AGTCAAAAAGCTCTTCATTTTTTTTGAAAAATACAAAGCAATGTGTTTCACTGAGTACATTTAAGATTGTAAATTGACTGTACTATTAATGAAACGTTTACTTTTTGCTGTGGTTCCACTGTAAAGGAAAATTTAGATGCACTTAATATCAGAAATTTGCTCCACTATAAACAAAAACTGGCCCGATTTCAGATAAAAAATTTGCTCCACTACAAACAAAAATTGGCTCGATTTCAGATAAAAAATTTGCTCCACTATAAACAAAAATTGGCTTGATTTCAGATAAAAAATTTGCTCCACTATAAACAAAAATTGGCTTGAATTCAGATAAAAAATTTGCTCCACTATAAACAAAAATTGGCTTGATTTCATATAAAAAATTTGCTCCACTATAAACAAAAATTGGCTTGATTTCAGATAAAAAGTTTGCTCCACTACTATTTAAAACAGGAACAAACTCTACCTTTCTCGAAGTATATTGCAAACTAAGTTAACAAAGGGTACAAAAATTGAGTTTGAGCCGTTGTTTCCTGTCATGCAATTCAATTCATTTTGCTTGCTTAGTATTTGCCCTTGTGTAAGTTGTGCAGCATAATCCATTATTTTAATATTTTGCAAGTGATTGGTCATTTTTTCATATTTTATATTGTATGATGCATATTTATTGTATAATTGTTTGGAATCAAGGCCTCAAGAAAAAACTCTTTAGGAAAATGGACATTGAGCTCAGATTAAACATTGCAAAATTATTACATTAATACACATTTAATATAAACGACAACTTTTTTGAAAATAGACATGTTTCGACATCTCATGATGTCATCTTCAGTATGAATGAAATAATAGGTGATACAGGGTTTATATAAAAGTAATATGATACATAAATTAGAACAATAAAAAGGAAATAAGATAATATAATGAGGAGCGTCCGAGCGTATTATAAACTAAATATTGTATTGAATTTGAAAACTTGAACATTGAGGTCAGGGTTAGTTTTGTTAATGTGGAGTGCTTCTTTGATTTTAAGGGTGAATGAGGTGTCGGCAGTGTCGATGATTTTGAAACAAGAGGGTGAATAGTTGGTTTTGCATGAGTGAGATTTAAGAAGGTGTCGGTAGATGTGAGAGTTTTTGTCTGTTGTGGTATGTTCCCTGATTCTGGTGGATAAATGGCGCGAAGTTTCGCCAATGTATCGGGAATTACATCCCGCGCAATTGAATTCATATACCACCATAGATTTAATTGAATCAGGGATTGGGTCTTTAAATGAAAAAAGGTTTTTGATTTTGAATGATGTGAAAATTAGTCGAATGTCAATATCTGTACAGAAGCGTTTCATGATGTTTGTAAGTCTGCGTTGTGTGTGTCGTGAGTAACGTCCGATGTATGGTAGTTTGAAGTATAGAGTTGTTATTTTGGAATTTTCATTTGTGTTGGTTGTGATCGTCGTGTCAGGAGTTTCGGTGTCTAGGTTGAGGTGTCTAGGTTGAGGTTGTTGCTTTGTTTGTTGTCGAGATATCGTTTTACGGTTCTGTTAATAAAGTGAAGTGGGAAAGAGTTTCGTAAAAGAGTGGATGTGATGTTTTTTATGTCTCGTTGAAAGCCATTGTTCGTATTGTTAAGTTTGTATGCTCTGTCGATTAGTGTGCGTATAAGTCCGGTTTTGTATGAAAGTGGTGTGAAACTAAAATAGTTCGTCAGAAGTCCTGTGTACGTTGGTTTGTGGTATGTAGATGTTGTACAGCTGTCGTGAGATTTTGTTAGTAAAATGTCAAGAAATGGCAGTTGATCTTGTTGTTCAGTTTCAAAAGAAAATTTAATGTTTGCGTGCTGTGTGTTAATGTAATTATAAAACTTCATGGCCTCAGTTTCGTTAGTAAAAACACAAAAAATATCGTCAACGTATCTGCGGTAAAATAGTGGTTTAGTGTCGTTGTAGTTGTTTAGCCAGTTTCGTTCATGTGAGCCCATGAAAATGTTAGCAAGTATGGGTGCTAGGGGAGAGCCCATCGCAACACCGTCCGTCTGGTCATAAAATTTTCCATTAAATAAAAAATGCGTCTGTGCTGTTGCTATTAAAAACAGTTGTGTGAGGTCGGTCCTGTTTATACTGAACGTGGGGTTGTGAGTGAATATTAAGTCGATTGCTAGGTTGATGGTTTCAGTAAGTGGTATGTTAGTAAATAGGCTTTCAACGTCGTAGGAGATGAAGAATTTGTGACAAGAAGTTGATGAGTTGAAAGATGAGAAGTCGTCGAGGAAAGTGAAAGAATCTTTAGTGGAGTGGTCATTTGGTATGAGTGGTGTTAGTAGAGAACTAAGATACTTAGCTAAATTATAATTGTATGCGTTGATTGATGAAACTATCGGTCGTAGTGGAGGCGATTGTTCTGGTTCTCGTTTCTTGTGAAGTTTCGGTAAGCCATAGAAGCGTGAGGGTTGAGAACCTCTGGGGAAGATATCATTATAAACTTTGTTGCTAATGGAGTCTTTCTTTAGAAGCTTCCTTAACAGTCGTTGTAGTTTGGCTTCACGTGGTAGTGTGACGTCTTCTTTGAGTGGGGTAAACTTTGCTGTATTGTTAATGATTTTAAGGCAGGAGTTACGGTACATTTGACGATCCATGATTACAACGCCGTTGCCTTTGTCCGGTTTGAGAATGATAATGTTTGGATTGTTGCGAATGTTTTTAAGGATGTGATGTTTTTTGAAGTCAGCTGGTGTCGGGTGATAAGATGAGATGTACGAGTGAGCGATGTGTGCCAGCTCTGTTTTGAGATGCGTGTAGTCTTCTTGATTGCGAATGTTGTGTTTTATAGTTTGGTGGATTTTTTCGAATGTTGCCAGAATGTCTGGTTTGGGTTGAGTCGCAGTGGTTTAATGCTGAAGCCAAGGCCATTTTTCAGGAGTTCTAGTTCTTCGTCTTTTAATTGGTGTGATGATAGATTGGTTATCGTCTCGTTGTGTGTGAATGGTAGGGTTCTGTTCCTCGTGAGATTACTTAGTTTTTTCCGGTGTGTGGCAATTGTCTTTTGTAGGTATTTGGTAATGTTTTTTTCTAGAGCTTTGTTTATAATATTCCAGTCGAGAGAGGATAGATTATTCTTTAAACTTTCTGATATTTTTGATACTTCATTCGATAACTTCCTTTCTTCCTTTGTTCGCTTTTTGATTGCACTGCGTAATAGTCGTCTGCGTATCGCAAAGCTATCTTGGTTGTTGACATTTGGTAGTGGAAAGCAGAGAAACTTTGGATAAACGCCGAGTGAAAGACAATCTTTAAGAAACATAACATCTAATTCTGCTTTCCGTTGTTTGGTTTGAAGCTTTTCAAACTTCCGCAATTCTGATAAGGAAACCTTTCCTTCGTATTTTTGTGCTATGTCGTAAATAATGTTTCCATAATTTCGTAAAAGCACTATAGCCAATACACATTTAATATAAACGACAACTTTTTTGAAAATAGACATGTTTCGACATCTCATGATGTCATCTTCAGTATGAATGAAATAATAGGTGATACAGCACCCATAGCACCCATACTTGCTAACATTTTCATGGGCTCACATGAACGAAACTGGCTAAACAACTACAACGACACTAAACCACTATTTTACCGCAGATACGTTGACGATATTTTTTGTGTTTTTACTAACGAAACTGAGGCCATGAAGTTTTATAATTACATTAACACACAGCACGCAAACATTAAATTTTCTTTTGAAACTGAACAACAAGATCAACTGCCATTTCTTGACATTTTACTAACAAAATCTCACGACAGCTGTACAACATCTACATACCACAAACCAACGTACAAAGGACTTCTGACGAACTATTTTAGTTTCACACCACTTTCATACAAAACCGGACTTATACGCACACTAATCGACAGAGCATACAAACTTAACAATACGAACAATGGCTTTCAACGAGACATAAAAAACATCACATCCACTCTTTTACGAAACTCTTTCCCACTTCACTTTATTAACAGAACCGTAAAACGATATCTCGACAACAAACAAAGCAACAACCTCAACCTAGACACCGAAACTCCTGACACGACGATCACAACCAACACAAATGAAAATTCCAAAATAACAACTCTATACTTCAAACTACCATACATCGGACATTACTCACGACACACACAACGCAGACTTACAAACATCATGAAACGCTTCTGTACAGATATTGACATTCGACTAATTTTCACATCATTCAAAATCAAAAACCTTTTTTCATTTAAAGACCCAATCCCTGATTCAATTAAATCTATGGTGGTATATGAATTCAATTGCGCGGGATGTAATTCCCGATACATTGGCGAAACTTCGCGCCATTTATCCACCAGAATCAGGGAACATACCACAACAGACAAAAACTCTCACATCTACCGACACCTTCTTAAATCTCACTCATGCAAAACCAACTATTCACCCTCTTGTTTCAAAATCATCGACACTGCCGACACCTCATTCACCCTTAAAATCAAAGAAGCACTCCACATTAACAAAACTAACCCTGACCTCAATGTTCAAGTTTTCAAATTCAATACAATATTTAGTTTATAATACGCTCGGACGCTCCTCATTATATTATCTTATTTCCTTTTTATTGTTCTAATTTATGTATCATATTACTTTTATATAAACCCTGTATCACCTATTATTTCATTCATACTGAAGATGACATCATGAGATGTCGAAACATGTCTATTTTCAAAAAAGTTGTCGTTTATATTAAATGTGTATTGGCTATAGTGCTTTTACGAAATTATGGAAATATTACATTAATAATATGAAAAACAATCAAAATGATTTGAGTTGTATCAGAGTCAAGATAATTTAGTGTAGTGTACTTGCTAACACGATAGTGGTTATAAAGCTGAATAACTTGGTTGTCTTTGTTAAGATGCACTTGTTAAATAGATTTAAGAAGTAATTATAGGAATATGGTTGAAGCACTAAATGTCAAATTTTCCTATAAACATATAGGTCTGGATGATCTCTTTATGCAAAAGAAGTAGATTTCCTTTCTCAAACTTCCTAAAGAATGCTCTTAGAGGAAGTAGATTGGGTGGACAAACCACTCGTAATCATCAAACAACAACCAAAACTTCTAGAAATAGACAGTTGTTTTGGTCTAGCATAGTTGCAGGCTCACTTGGAACTGGTGTGATTCTGCTATATGGACAAAACACATTAAATGCTCGATCAAAGTTAAAAGTTGCGCCACCCACCCCACCCCTGTACTCAAAGGATGATGTTGCCAAACATAATTCTTTGGAGAATGGTATATGGGTGACTTTTGAAGGTCAGGTATATGACATTACTCAGTTTGTGGACCAACATCCTGGGGGGAAGAAAATTTTACTTGCTGCAGGGGGGGCTATAGAGCCTTTCTGGGCAATGTATGCAGTTCATCAAACTGAGGAAGTTCGTAATATGTTGGCAGAATATAGGATTGGAGAATTGAAGGTATTTGTGAAATGTTTTCATTTTTTATCAATTTTGCCTAATTCGTTTATCAATCTTCAATTTTTGCTGATTTCTTTGCAAATTACAGGCAGAAGACAAAAAGTCAACTCTAGATCTTAGTGATCCGTTCCACAACGATCCAGAACGCCATCCATCGCTTGTAGTTCGCTCTAGTAGACCCTTCAATGCAGAAACACCACTCTCCCTACTGGGGGACAGTATCGTTACCCCTAACACGCTCTTCTACGTCAGAAATCACCTCCCGGTTCCCGAAGTCGATCCGAAGACGTATCGACTACAGATCGATCTTGAAAACGGCGGGAAACCGGTTGATTTTGATCTTGAAGAACTAAAAACAAAGTTTCAGCAACATACTCTGACGGTTGCGATTCAATGCGCGGGAAATAGACGAGATGAAATGAACGTTATTAAGAAAGTTAAAGGTTTGACTTGGGCTGAAGGTGCTATTGGAAACGCGAAGTGGACTGGAGTCAAGTTAAAGGATGTTTTAATGGCGGCTGGTTTTAAAGAAAGAAGTGACTACACTGGAAAACATATACAGTTTGAAGGTTTAGATATGGACGTTTCTAAAGCTCCGTATGGTGCCTCCATATCCCTTAGCAAAGCTTTGGATCCTAGCAGTGATGTATTGATAGCCTTTGCGATGAACGGTGAAGATATCCCCAAAGATCACGGATATCCCGTTAGGATCATAATACCCGGTGTTGTAGGTGCCCGTCAAGTGAAATGGTTGAGCAAGATTGTGATAGCGGACGAAGAAAGTCGTTGTCACTGGCAACGCAACGATTACAAAGGATTCTCTCCTTGTACAGACTGGGATACAGTAGACTTTACTACCATGCCATCCATACAAGATCTACCCGTGCAGTCTGCCATATGTGAGCCAGTGAACGGTGCTTTGCTCGAGGAGGGAACTGAAGAGTTTACTGTCAAAGGTTATGCTTGGAGTGGTGGTGGACGTGGTATCGTCAGAGTTGATGTTTCTCCCGATGGAGGTGCGTGAGATATGAAAATATTGTTGTGTGAATTTTTGAATTTTTCTTATTCATTTATAGGTTATCTCATTTAGGAGATTTTACTCTTTCGTGTATGAAAGATTTTTCTGCATAAATCATTAAACAGAATTTATAACTGGATGGCTGCCTTAGTATTGAGCTGCATATGCCTGTTCTTACATGAAGCCAAATTTTACCTACAACCGCGCGTCACATTTTAGCTCACTGTCTTATTGATCATTTTTTGGGGTGTGTGTGTGTGTGTGGAAAGATTGGCACTAGCTGAATTTGCTAGCTTCAAATATTAACTTTCTTGTTGTATTCGATTGAATACTGCTACCTGACTGTGCTCACGTCATAAGCATAATCAAAACGGAGGAACAACTGTTGCATTAAGGCTGATGTTCTCCCACTTTTTGCTTTAAGTTTCTTCATGGAAACAAGTTGATTTGGTGGGATCTTGCATGATATCTCTGTGTCCTTCTCGTACAACTAACCGATGCGAAAGAAACTTGTGTTGATAAATGTTTATGTCCACAGGAAAAACATGGCAGATAGCTGATCTCAAGAAGACGGAGCAACCGGATGGTAAGGCATGGGGATGGACTCTTTGGGAGGCGACGATACCCGTGGAGAATCGTGAAACTGTCGAGGTTTGTTGTAAGGCCATAGATTCTTCCTACAATAGTCAACCGGAAAATGTAGCTCCAATATGGAACTTACGGGGGGTCCTGTCCACCGCCTGGCACAGGATAAAAGTCACTATCCCCCCTGAGAATTAATGCATTTGCAACGTCAAATTGAAATATCGTAAAAACTCAAGCTTAGCGAAGGTTTTTACTTAGAAAATAGTTAATTAATGCAGCATTTTTAAAAAATATTGGAACGTTTAACGTCGTCTTGTGATGGCTTGCTATCTGACGGTACGTCTTGTCGTAGTATGTAGAGCCTTAGCAATTGTCATTCACCATACAATGTGGTAATTTGAGCGTAATTTTTACTTGTATCGACATTCATCATGTATGACTGCTTAAAATGTATGTAAAAATTTCCCAGACTTGGAGATTTAGTTTTTAAAACTTCTTTCATGTTTGTTGCAATGGCGGGAAACATGCGAGGGCGTCTTTTGGGGATTTTTTCTCAAGTTTTGAAGTGCAGATTTTTGACCTGCACCTCATTGCTACAAATTGAGTGTGTGGACTTAGTGTTAGCAAATGACTCCTGTTGAGAAAATAAAATCATGATCCCAGCAGAAAAACTATCATGCGCAAAGAAATCGACATTCATCCAAGTGATGAACGTTGACTTTCTTCGAAAACGGACTGTGACATAGTTACGTTGTAAGAACCTTAAAGGACAAAGGGTGAAACAGACTTTTAAATTGCCATTTTCTCGTTGAAAAGGATTTCAGCTCAGCTGGAGATCGATTCTTACTTGTCATGCAAATTTCTTCCGTCGTTATTTGTGGGGGGATTGATCAATTCGACACCTTAAATTAGCTCATTTTTCGTGACGTTCACCTTGCGGTCAGTTCTCGCATTTTGCAAGGCGTTTTTTAAGCACTTCCCCGCAGAAAATGTCTTTCTCTGAAGATCAAATTGCCGAGATCAAAGACACTTTCATGATGTTCGATACAAAGGGCAAGGAGAAGGTTCCAGTCGAAGAAATGGGAAACATTATGCGCTCTTGTGGATTGAATCCGATGGGTGCCGACATTGATAAGTTTATAAAGGAACTGGGCGCAGGAAAAGATATGGAATTTGAGGAATATTTAAGCTATCACGAGGAATGCGCAAAAAAGGGAAATAGCGGCACTCTGGCCGCCTTCTTGGAAGGATGGAAGTGCTTCGATCACGAAGGAAACGGTTTTGTTAGTGATGCCGAAGTTCGCCATGTTCTGACAACCCTGGCTGACGCCATGACTGACGAAGAAGTCGATAAAATTCTTGAAGGCAAAGAAGACGCCGAGGGTCTTATAAATTACGAAGAATTGTCGAAGTTCATCATGTCCGGTTGACGTGACCTGTTCGAAAGGAAGACATTTGGTTTTTGAACATCTTTCTTGAAGGAGATGTCATTGTATTGTGTTGTAATCGACTGTTTCGTATGTTTCGTGTTTTTGTAATAAACAATTGATTCTATTCAATGACAGCTTATTGAATTGATTTAGAAGTGTAGTTTGCACGGAACATTTTGTTCGTTGACAATGTAACTTGCTGGTTTCTGAGGAACAGTAAAATGTCGGCCTGTTGTCGAAAGGAGCTTCTTTGCTCTCATCCTATTTTCCCAGATTTGATTTGTAGCGCTTTATGCTCAGGTAAAAACAATAATGGCTAGTTTATAAACAAATCCATTACGGGTTTTTTACTGGGCAAAGTTTTGGAGTTTCGAAGCAACAACGACTTGTACATTATAAATAATGAAAGTGTCTCAAATTTTAGATTCAGTTATTATCTGTTAAACATTCTTCCTATATCCTTTACTGTCATTGGTCGATTTTGTTTTGCGTTGAAAGTTCACTGAAAAATGTAAACACAAATGTGAAACTCCTGTCGAGTTATCTTTTTTAACACCTCCAGAGGCACCTCCAGCTTAATTGGGTTGCAAAGGGAAAGGTTAATGTTGACATGTTTTTATTTAATGATTGTAGAAACATGCATTTCAGTGACACAGACCATGAGTATGTAAACACTGACACCCCCCTCAAATTATCCACAGGATACACTCTTGCCTGGCTGCTTACTAAGTCCCAGTCTTCCAGCGTCACTGTTTGTCCTAATGTATTTTCGTATCTTAGTAAGTTTCCGTCACTGATGAGCGATATTTAACTCAATGTACTGAACACAGGACTTAAGAAGGAAGTACTTCGTTTATGAAGCGTTTTTCTTCCTCTAATTTTTAAACATTGTCATAACTCTCTTTAAATATTGATAGCAAAGAATGAAAAACTGGTGAATTTTTTAAAAGCCTGTCATTGTTCTTATGAACTGTCAACAATAAGTCATCATTGCTCCTTAGTTGTTCGTCTCGTGAACTGTTCGGAGTAAAGAAGCAATGTGGTGTCGGGTTCCGGATCCCACCCTTTGGATTCCGGATCCAAAGCTTGAATTTAGCTGGATTACGGGTTCTGGAGAAGTGAAATTTCAATTAGCTTACATGACGCCCATCATCAGGAAAATGTGATGGTCAGCGGACTCGGAACGTTTGAAGAAATAAATGAGAAAGAAAAACGAAAACGATTATTTTCTTCAAGTATAAAGTTAATATAATATGTACTCTGATCTTCTTTTCAACGTTGATGGAGGCTATCTCGAGGGTTTAGTTCGTGGCTTTAGATCTGGAATTTTAAAACGAACGGACTATCATAATTTGGAGCAATGCGAAACGCTGGAAGGTACGTAGTTCTTGAATAATCAATTCTTCGTAAAACTATCTTCAGGCAAAAAGTCTTATGTTTTGAGCGGTGAAAGGAGACTGTTGTCACATGATGTTCACATGGCAGTGTTTTAAGAAGCTAAAATTGTACAGTTTTTGAGCAATATCTGTTTGTTTTGAAAACATTTCATTTAGTAGACATGTCTTGTCCAAATGTCTTTTAAAAAGATCTCTGTTTTGCCGGGTTTTTTCTCTTATCTATGATCTAGTAGTAAGTTTGTGTTTTGCAATTGGGAGGCAACCTCCTACAATCTGAACATAGTTGGATTACCAACTCGAAAACTGTAAATCTGATGGTCTTTTACAGTTTGGCTTGAGAGGATTAGCGAGAATATTTTGAGATGTATTGTGTATTTAGCAATTCTCCCACTTAAGTGTGAAATGACAACATATAATGAAACTGCACTAATTCATTTTTCCATCTATTCACATAAGTCAATTTCAAAATACTCATAATGACTGTGACTCATGAATATTTTTGGCATTTGACAAAAAGTTTTGAAGATAATGAACTATGGCAGTGAAAAAAGTATGAAATTATGCACTGTTGTCCTTCATGTTGTCTGTAGAAATAATTATTTTTACTATTTTAGATTTGAAGTTGCACTTGCAAAGCACAGATTACGGCAGTTTCTTGCAAAATGAAGCAGGGCCACTGTCAGTGTCTGTAATTGATGACAGGCTTCGTGAGAAAATGGTCATGGAGTTTCGTCATTTGAGAAATCAAGCTGTGGAGCCTTTGGCTACATTCATGGATTACATCACGTTAGTATGTGTATGGAGATGTACGCATGAAACTTTACCCCCAATCATATGGATCTGCTTATGATCTTGTCAAGGTCTTGTATCCATCTTATAAGATCTTACTTAAGCCTTGGTAAGATAAAGTAAATGGTTTGAACCCGGGAGTATTGCCAGATGTTTGTAGATGTTGATCGTCCAGGTTGGTATAGTCATGAGAAGGGCTGTTTTTGTTGTTGTTGACTCAAAAACAGTCCTTCTCAGGACCTTGGTAAGATCTTGGAAAAATGATGTCATTAGTTTAGTTTGATCTTACCTAGATACTGCCAAGATATTTTGCCTGAATCTTTTCAATATCTTTTTGTGTTTATCACAGCGTAAGGGTCTGGTCTTTGGAATAATAAATTTAGTAATTTCTAGTGTGGGCAATAGGCTAATATTTTTTAGGTCAAAAGTTGGTAATTTTCCAACAGGTACAGAAGTGCCCAAGTTATTACATAACAACCATTTTCCCACCTGTCCGTTGACAATTGCTCCCTCCCCTCTCCCCTCATCTTTTTTTGTGCAACAGTTTTGAGGCTCCCCCCTGGCTGGTACTCCTTTGATTTGTTATGAAAATCAATTGTGAAAACATTTTCTGGAAGTTTTTGAATGGCAAAGTATATGAATATAGAAAAAGTTTTGTGCGACACTTTTTAAATGTAACTCCAATTATCACTGATAAAATTTAATGAATTATTTTAGTCAAAGATATTTTATCTTTCATTAGATATAGCTACATGATTGACAACATCATTTTACTCATAACTGGCACTTTGCATGAAAGAACTATCTCCGAACTCATCCCAAAATGTCATCCACTGGGAAGTTTTGAAGAAATGGCCTCCATCAACATAGCAGGGACACCAGTAGAGTTGTACAATGCTGTCCTGGTCGATACACCACTTGGTAAGGCTGAATGATTAACAATACTGGAGTTTATTTTATGAATATGCGGTGTGTATGAAAAAAAGTGAATCAAACTTAAATATGCTATCATCATATATTTGAAGTTGTGTTTCATACTTATATTTTTGTATGGCATAAATGCTTTAGCTTTCCAGTGATGTGTTCTTCATTTCATAATAACCAAATAAAATTGAGGACTTTTCAAATAAAAATTGCAAGTGAAAGTTTCAATTTTAAACCGCTGAGAATTGAATACAATTGTTGAGATGTCACGGATATTTCAAACAAAAGCTAATGAAACAGTTGGTTTTTCTCTGTGTTGTATCATTGTAGGCTAAGCAATGTTCAATAATTCTATTCAATGCCCAAAGATGAAAAATTGGAACTTTGACTTGCTATTTTTCCTTGAGGGGTACTCAAACATTTCTGATTGTAATGAAAATAAAAGCATATCATTGCAAAGCCAAAGAGCTCTTGTCTTTTGCCATGGAAAGACAAAAGTTCAAAGCACAATTTAAATGCACAATCGCCAATTCATTTTTTTGTACACAATATAAAATCTTACACAATTTTGTTGCACTTTTCACTAAAAAAAATACGGCATTTATAGCTCCATTCTTTGTGAATTGCATATCTGAACAAGATTTGGACGAGATGAACATTGAAATTATAAGAAATACATTGTACAAGGTAAAATTTGATTCGTTAATTTTTTTTAAATTCACCCGATCGTTTTGTCTTCATGAGGCTTAAACAGTGCTGTTTATCCCAGGCTGTAGTACTGCCGATAATTGGTGGCAGTGTGCGAATTAGTTGAGAAAAAACGATGTGCAATTGCTTTGGATAAAAGTGTTTCTTTAGAGGCATAATCAAATCGACATTACGTTAATTATTATATAGCGCTAATTGCTAAATTAATATTTTTAAACGTGCACAAATTCGTATGATTTTGAGCAAATTTGTCTTTTTCTCACGTTAGGTTTATTTTATTTAAAATCAAAATTCCCTTTGGTTTATTTTTCAAATTTGGCTTATTTTAAGTTTTTTTTTTTGTCTTCTTTTAAGAATCAAAATCAACATGTTTCCTGATTTTACTGAAAATACTCAAAATAGCTATGATGCCAATTGCCAAAAACAGTACATAACGGTTTACAAAACAACGTAAATGCAAAAATTGACATTAATAACGTATTACACCCCTATACATATGTCATATACATATAAGCACCATGTGTGTTGACTGTTGACAGACTTCCCAGTCTCAAAATGACAACGTCTTTAAAATTTGATGACATTGTGTCAACATGGATTTTAATGTCGCGCAGCGCACTCATTTATAAAGTAAAGATCAGTAAAGATTAAGCTTGAAAACTTTTTCCAATTTATGTGGTAGTAATCAATAAAGAAGTTTTTTGCATATCGTTTGAAAAAGTGATGTGCAATTGTTTTCATTTTAGCCAAAACGATGTGCAAATTGCACATTGCACACCGTTAATTCGCACACTGATTGGTGGGGAGGGGGTCATATGCATATGTGCACGTTATAGAAAACAATTAACTTAACACAGCATATCATGTATGTATGAATATGAACACACCCACCACCACCACCCCCCTAATTAGCAATGGTACTACAGCCCTGTGCTTATCGCAACACCATATATTCCTTTTGTAGACATACCTCGGAAGTTTCTACAAGTTTTGTGAAGATCTTGGTGGTGTCACGGCTGAAGTCATGTGTCCAATCTTACAGGTTGGTTTTTAATTGCCTAGCAACTTCGCCATATTGTTCCGTGGAGAAGATTATACATTTGATTGCTTCCAAAGCAGAGGAGGAAGATCCAGTAGGCTAATTCGTACGAACACATTTAGTTGGTCGAGCGAAATGCGCATGTTTTCATTCATACATTACTGTCTTCTTAGGCTTGCGTCAACAGAAGCATTTTAAATCTCATTACTACAATGACCATTACCGCGCCGTTGTCTCTCCACCATGCGTAAAAACAATTTACACAATACATAACATTGACATTACACCGTAGACCAAATTAGTCGGTAAAACTACAGAGAAAAAGCAGATTTTGTTCGACAGTTTACACACACGTGTAAAACACCGCCAGTGCTGCCACTCTGTGTATGCACATTTCACCTACCAAAACTTTATTTTCCCCCTACGAGTGGCAGCACTGAACACCGCATACATAAATCGTGCAATGTTTGTCCGAGTAGATGATATTTTTAGCACGTGCTTCACCACGTGTTTCTCAAGGTGGTAAAGGTGGATTGTACAGTGTGCATAAAGAAAAGCGAATCGAACTTTGATATGCTGTCATGTATTTGATATGTGTTTTACGATTATATTTTGATGTAGGAAGAAAGAAGAGCTTCTAAGCTTTGCAATGGTGCTTGTTTTATTTCATAGTAATCACAAATGATCGAGTACTCTTCAAATAAACAATGCAAGTCGAAGTTTCATTTTTACACCGTTGTGTATTGACTGCAGTTGATGAGGTTTCACTGCCATTTCAAACAAAAACAGATGAAAGTTTTTCCCTGTGTTGTAGCTATCATGCTTTGGAGACTCTTTGATAATTGTATTCAATTCTCAGCGGTGGAAAAACGTAATTTTAGCTTGCAATTGTTATTTGAAGAGTACTCGATCATTTCTATTGGTCATGAAATAGTAAACAAGGAGAAAATCTTTAACTTCTTAATGAAATATAACATCAAATTCCCGATTGTCTACAGAATTTCGATTCATATTTTTTATACACATTGTATAATTCATAAAATATGGAATAGTTAAATGTTTTTTCTGTGAAGAATCCTCGGTATGATCTCGCCAAATCAGCATTACAGATTCATTGATAATTTCATTGACAAATTGAGACGTGGATGTTTAAGAAGAATGCGGTGCTCCTCTTATAGTCATTCAACAAACTTCCTCGTACCATGCCCTTACACGGTCTAACTTCGTGCTCGTAGTTCTACTCGTAGTCGTTGCTAGAGCTCGCTATCAATCTGTTTGGAGACGGAACTTCTTAATATCTTTCTTTTACAAATAAAATTGATTTACTTAAATCAAAACGTAATCAAAAGTCATTTTTTTGGATACGCCCTTCGGTCTAAGGCTTGCACTAATCTGCTCTTGAGTTCTTGCAAATGTCTTCCCTGTTCGAAAAAGCCCTGCGAACGAAGTGAACATCTTTTATTTCTTAATTTCTGTACAGTTTGAAGCGGACAGACGAGCGTTCATGATCACCATCAATTCTTTTGGCACCGAACTAAGTAAAGATGACCGCGTTAAGCTGTTTCCAACCTGTGGTAAACTTTACCCAGAAGGACTTGCGATGCTTGCTAAAGCTGATGAATACGATCAAGTAAAAGTGGTTGCCGAATATTATGCGGTAAGTCTCATGAACCTTTTGAACTCGACTGACATGAATTGATGCCTGTGTTTGCCTTTGAAGTTTTCTTGTGATCACAAGAGAAAACATCCTGCTGAATCCACCTTTTCGACGGTAGACATACGTGTCAAAAATACGAGGTTAAAATTACAAAATTCGGACAATCAAATGGTCGGACATAGTATTGTTTATGTACGATAGTGGCAATAAAATGGTTAGGAGATGATTTCGAGTTTTAGGGTATTAGTGAATCTGATTCTAGTTATTCAGAACGATTATTTATAAAGGCAGAAAGCGTAACAGTAAATATTTACTATTTTGTTGCCATTGAAGTGCCAGGCGGGAAACGGATTCTCAAAATGAGTATTAGAATTGTTTGTTGGGCTCTAATATTTTGAGAATTAACTATTTTGTGTTAGAAAAAAGCATAACGATCAAAGGAAAGCTTGAATACTGGCATGTTGTTGCGTTGGATGCTTTCGTTCGTGATGAGAGAGGCTGTCGCTCATCTCGAGAGAGTTATGAGAAAGTTATATTGTAAATGGTATAAAAACGTATAAGCATGTTCAAAGTTGAATTAAATTGGCAGAAGTTGTTGCAGTATCCTTGGATGTTCTAGTTTCTTTTATGAGAATAAAAAGTAAACAAGATAAAATTCGAAAGCAAAAACCCCCGTTTTCGGTCCATGATTCCCGATATCTTCTTAAGCGTAAGGCATTAGAACGCTGCATGTTAACGTTTCGGTAGGAGATTTCGGCCCCTTCCACGCTATCCTACTTGGGGATGTCAATAGCAAGCTTCCGCCCATCAGACCCCGAGATCACCTGCGATAGGCTTTGCTCGGGGTACGCAGGGAGAGTGCGGTCGCGACCCGAAACGTCTGGGCCCTTAAGCCACTGCATACTTATCGCACCCAGCTTCCACTGCTAGTTGACATCTACTATCCATATATTTAGCTTTACATTTATATACATAAATTCAAAGGCCTTACGAAAGTTGTGATATTATTAAAGTCGCTACTGCGCATGCCCAGATGATTTCTTCAATAATTTGCGACTAAGTTAGCTAACTGCCACAAATGTAGTGCAATTACATATGGCTAGTCGTTGCCATGACTATGAACAATTATTCCAGTTGACTGCGCATACTCGAGCGCATGCGCAGATGATTTCTCTATTATATTGTTACTAAGCATGCTATTTACTTCAAAATCGGTGCTAGTAGATGCAGTTGGTTGTTAGCATGACCATGAACATGGGCAGCTAGTCAAGTTGACTGCGCATGCTCAAGAAAACTGCGCATGCGTAGATGATATATCTGAAAATTTGTGACTGAGCGAGCTATTTACTCATTAATCGATACTATTACATCCAATTGGTCATTGCCATGACCATAAACTTGGAAAGTTGGTGGAGTTGACTACGCATGCTCAGTTTAATTCTCAATTAATTTGAAATTGGTGCTTGTAGATACGCTGAGCAAGTTTTCGATCATATATAGTTGGCATGCTCTTTGTCGTCTGAAGTTTGTTTTGACAAATGCATATCAAACTCATCAACACTTTGTTACGCCACTCGTAATATCCGTGACAATGTTAGAGATGTTTTTGTTTTTCTCTATAACTTTGTATCTGCACATTGCGTGTAATATCCAAATTTTCCTTTAATTTGACGGAAAATGGTTTTTATTCACTCTTACACTATCTGCCTTTATAATTAGTCGTTTTGTATTTCTAAAATACAATTCGCAAATGCCCCACGAGCATCTTCATTCTATTTTATTGCCACTATTCTACATGTACAATAATACGTATGTCCGACCATTTGATTGTCCGAATTTTGTAATTTGATCTCGTATTTTTGACACGTGTGTCTACAGTCGGAAAGTGGATTTGACTTTGTGCCAGGGCCGTAATGGAGATTGGGAAGCCCTTAGAAGAAATTCTCTGTAAAATTTATAGGCTCGGATGCGTGGATCTATACTCATCTAACCAGAAGATGCAGATTTTCAGATGCATGCATTGGTGTGCTAGCAAAGTTCGCCCCACTCCCCCAGCTGTTTGCTCCCTTTTCTGTGCTTCAGGGCCATTGTATTTCAGGGCCCCTTAGGAGTTGTTCTAACCTGACCTTTGTATATTACGCTTCTGGTTGAATTTACTGTGTATTGGACTATTACTCTACAGTGTAAATTTGACATGTCAGCCGTCGGCCATCTTAAGATTTATTCTAATTTCAAAATATTTTTATGTGAAAAGGACTATCGACGGCTATTTGATGGCGCTGGTACGAACCCCGGGGAAAAGACTCTGGAAGACAAATTCTTCGAACACGAGGTAAAGTTGAACACTCTCGCTTTCGAGCAACAGTTCCATTTCGGTGTCTTCTACGCTTTTGTGAAATTGAAGGAACAGGAAAGTCGAAATATCGTTTGGATTGCCGAATGCATTGCGCAGCGCAATAAAGCGAAAATTGATAATTATATTCCCATATTTTGAATCGGGCAAAATTTAAACTGGATGCGACATTTCTTAGAAATTGAACGCGAATCGTTATTGATTTTCAAATGCGAGTATATTGACATATAAATAACATAATTGAACGTGTAATTTGTTATTCATATCTTATAATCATCATTGTTATAAAATATGACAAACAGGAAAATAAATTTATCTATTAGTATACCATATTTTTTAACATCTTCTACCCGTAACTTTCCCATTTTGACGCCGTTTTCTTGGTACCTTCCTTTCTCCCCACCTCTAGGCAACCCTAACTTTGGTAGTACCCCTCCTTCCTGTCTCCCCACCTAGGCAACTCTAAATTGGGTAGTACCCTTCCCTCCTCTCCTCTTTTAGGCAACCCTAACTTTAGTAGTACCCTTCCTTCTTGTCTCCCCACCTTGGCAACTCTAAATTGGGTAGTACCCTTCCCTCCTCTCCTCTTTTAGGCAACCCTAACTTTGGTAATATCCCTTCTTCTTGTCTCCCAACCTCTAGGCAACCCTAACGTTGGTAGTACCCTTCCGTCCCGTCTCCCAACCTCTAGGCAACCCTAACTTTGGTAGTACCCCTCCTTCCTGTCTCCCAACCTCTAGTCAAACCTAACTTTGGTAGTACCTTCCCTCCTGTCTCTCCTCTTTTAGGCAACCCTAACTTTGGTAATAACCCTACTTCCTTTTTCCCCACCTCTAAGCAACCCTAACTTTGGTAGTACCCCTCCTTCCTTTCTCCCCACCTAGGCAACCCTAACTTTGGTAGTACCCTTCCCTCCTGTCTCTCCTCTTTTAACTTTAATAACCCTTCTTCCTTTCTCCCCACCTCTAACCCTAACTTTGGTAGTACCCCTCCTTCCTTTCTCCCCGTCTAGGCAACCCTAACTTTGGTAATACCCTTCCCTCCTTTCTCTCCTCTTTAAGATAACCCTAACTTTGGTAATAACCCTCCTTCCTTTCTCCCCACCTCTAGGCAACCCCAACTTTAATACCCCTCCTTCCTTTCTCCCCGCGTCTAGGCAACCCTAACTTTGGTACCTTTCCTCCTTTCTCCTCTTTTAACCCTCTTTAATAACCTCCTTCCTTTCTCCCCACCTCTAGGCAACCCCAACTTTGGTAATACCCCTCCTTCCTTTCTCCCAACCTTTAGGCAACCCTAACTTTGTACCCCTTTTCCTTTCTCCCATTTCTAGGCAACCCTAACTTTGTAATATCCTCCTTCCTTTTCCCAACCTTTAGGCAACCCTAACTTTACCCTTCTTCCTTTCTCCCAACCTTTAGGCAACCCTAACTTTTGTACCCTCCCTTTCTCCCAATTTCTAGGCAACCCTAACTTTGGTAATATCCCTCCTTCCTTTCTCCCAACCTTTAGGCAACCCTAACTTTGGTAATACCCTTCTTCCTTTCTCCCAATTTCTAGGCAACCCTAACTTTGGTAATATCCCTCCTTCCTTTCTCCCAACCTTTAGGCAACCCTAACTTTGGTAATACCCCTTCTTCCTTTCTCCCAACCACTAGGCAACCCTAACTTTGGTAGTACCCCTCCCCCTTTTTCTCCCTACCTCCAGGCAACCCTAAATTTACCCAATTGCCATTGCTCTCACAAGAGTAACCTCCCTCATGTGATCTTGCGCAAATCATACTTTATAAATGATATACTATTATATTTATCGCACGACTCCTTGTACCAAGTACTAGTACCAACTCCTTCAAAAGCAAAAACTCATGTTGATTCTAAAATTTCTCGAGATAATAGATATGCTATTGTTGGGCGATTCTCTGAAATAGAGGCTTCATGATAAATATTCAAAAACTACAAGGTATAATACGTTGATCGTGTATTTTAGTTTACAAAAGCATTAAAGGACGGGGTATTTCATGTTTGTTTCATTTCTCTCCTATATCAAAGCTCACAGAATGTGGCACTTGTTAAAAGGACTCAGCAACCTCCCTTTTCTGACTGTCACACACGTGACTTAGCGCATTTGCCTTCGCATCTCTGAGAAGTATTGTGATAAACTATAAGGCGTCATATGTTTTCTGATGAATTCACCCTAACACCGAATAAATTACCAATAATTTATAAGGTAGTAATTATTGCTTCCATTTAAAGCCACGAATAACAACAAAATTAGCCTACAGGGCTTATGTCACGCGCGTGACGGGAGAATTGCCCTGTTCTTGTTAAGCATAAATATTTTCAGAGACGAATAGACGAATTTTAGGTATGCTCATACTTATTGCTGGATGGGCAAAAAGATTGGGGCGAGCACGTAAGGGACCTGGTGATATCTGTATACTTTTTTTTTGCACAGCGATTTTTAAACAGTTTAACTATCCAGACAATACAATTTAAAACGATTTATATTTTATGGACGAAAACTAGAAAAGTGAAAGCCAAGCGGTAAAAAACAGCAAGGACGAGAAAGAAAGCAAGCTTCGTTTCAGGTCAAATAATGCCATATAATAATCCTTTTAATAACCTCGCTTTCTTGGTCTTTACTGAGAAATATCGGACCTCTGTCTTTTTGTACAAACCTCGCCCTACGGGCTTGGTCTATACAAAAACATCTCGGTCCGCTATTTCTCCGTCAAGACCTCGCGTTCGATCATTAAGGGCTTATTAATTTTACTGTATCTAGCTAACTACCACATAAAATAAAAATAAAACAAAGCATGGTCTGAAAACTCAAATTTAATTTATAAAACAAGACGATTTAAATATTCTAATTTGAATTGTTTTGTTTTATAACTTTAAATTCGAGTTTACAAGATGAGCTTTTTCGTATTATATTTTATTTTATATCTTAAAAAATTATCAAGGTCAAGGATTGCAAAGTACAACATTTTCAAAGTGTTTACAAAAAATGTACTGTGTTGGGTGAATGCCAACTTGAATCCTATCATTAACATTCCAAATTGATGGAATTTTAAGGGCACGAAGCTCTTATCTGGAGCAAATGATAAATCGCACGCTCGCGAAAGAGACGCTATTCAAACTCAATACGTTGCGAAATATTTACAATTGTTGAAAGCTTTGTCTGTAAGCAGTGATCCAGAGATGCCATAACAACAGAGACCCCTGTTTTGGGAGAAGGAGGGTCGGTGAAGGTGGGATGAATGCAAGAATGCAATGCATGATGGGGGTGGTTTAAATTGTGCATGCTGGTTCTTCATTATTGTCAAAGTTATTCAAACATGTCTGCGGTTACAGTTTATTGTTAAAAAATGCCAAACTTCGTTCTAGTTAGTTCGTATTCTTCGATTATTTACAATACTCCTATTTCCGTATATCATAGTTTAGTTCATCGAAAAGCTTTATGGGTTTTTTTTGATGAGTTCTTAGTCCATACAGATGTGTCCATTCCCTGTGAATGTTGAATAGAATAGTTGAGAGATGACGAAAGCTTTCTACCAAATAACTATTGTCACACGTGACAACATCGAGTTTTACGCGTTTTACCACATTTTTGTGTTCTCGAAGTTTCCCACGAAAAAAAAATGAAAAATTCGCCGTTGGATACTGGGTTGTCAAATGTGCGTGGTTGTTTTATTGAAAAGCTTTTTATCTTTTGGAATTTGCTATGGTATTATTATGGTAACAATTTTGTCATTAAACGCCCTCTGTTATGGAAAATTAAGCTAACGTTGCGCGGGATCTTTAACACTTCGCGTTCCATGTTACGGAGGGTTCAAAACAACATTCATTGATGTACACACACACGATGATTAAAGGTCACGAAGTCGCCGGGGTATCGGCCTTTGGGCAATTTGACCGACCTCCTTCGGGTTTTTTTTGTATGACGACAGTCTAAATAAAGTTGTTGTTGTCTTTATGAAAATATGTTTTTTCTATCTTCTTTTACCTCGTCCAACATTTTGTTTCGAATTGCAAGCAGCGAATACTTGGTGTTTTTGAATAAAGGGGACGTTCATTCGCTCATATCGAACGAGTCGCGAAAAACACTGAATTTTGTAATTCATTCTGCAATATGCGTTAACTGTATTTGAGCTAAACTGCAAAAAGATTAAAGATAGGGCTGTCAGTGCTTTGATATCGTCGTTAAAGACTGTCTTCTTGACCGATAAGTACTTTACATTGTCCGCGTTCATCTTCCAACCTTCCTGGATTATTTTTAGAATGTTGTATCGCGCGAGTAACTGTCGCGAGTTAAATATAGGCAAAGATGGACAAATATAGCTAAGCTTGTGGTATATTAGTAATTCTATGTAGACAAAGGAATTATGAAATGTGTACTCAACAGTGAGTGTATTTAAATATCGAAATTCGTCTGTGTTTATTAATAAATGAATGATTGGCATCGTTTCCATGGCAACGACATGAATGATGACTCAGGATCATTCAACTTGCATTCAACGACACCGCCAACTTTGTTGCAACGCAACATGATAGCAAATAGCCAAATCGAAATTGACAAGCGTATTATATTCCGTTTTATTCGGCAAATATTTTCTCGTCGCGTATGTTTTCAATAAACAGTGTAAAATACAAGGTCTTTGCTTGCAGAAAGCATGCAAATACAACATATAAGAAGGAAAAAGTTTAATAATTGCCGTTTTTCACCTTTCATTTGTCTTCTTCGACTGACTCATTGCGAGAATGCCACGCGGGCTTCTCCCTGACGGAAATACCGACCAATCAGGACATCAGAAAATGACGAATGTCTGGAAATGGCGACCAGGTGTTTTTGGAATATAATTATAACGTGTGCAGAAGGCGATCAAAGCACAATGTTTAACGGCTCAAAACAGATGCGAAAATTTGCATTTGTATGAATTTAGCTTAACCTCTAGTACAGCAAATGTGAATGAACTGTGCCCCTATCACTTCAGTGATGCTTCAATAAAAAATGCCCAAGAGAAGAGGTTTGAAGTGTTCTAGGTCTTACTGTTTCGTATTTATATTTAGAACATGTCTGTTTATCTCTTAGCTCTTAGAGCTCGCTAAGATCATTGTTGCATGGTAACACGGAAATGCTTTGTTCGGGTCTCTGAGCTGCTAGTTTTGAAATGATTTGCGTTTCTTTTGGCCGCGTTGAAATGCATCTTAAATGGCCAAGTGTATGCTGGTTGAGTTTTGAAAAAAAGCCGACGTGACAAACTAATGACTTTTCTATTTTAGTTGCACCTTTTAATACAAATATGGACGTCATCTGAATAGCATTACATTCCAACTTATTTGCCGTTTCAAGTATTGTGTTTGTTCGTAACATTCTTTCGGGAACTGTCCATTTGAAGTTGTCAAACAACTTATTTGAGCGGTTACCTCATCGCTACGATATGCATCGTGATTCGTTTGGGAAATTTCATTTCGTCATACCAAAGTACAATTATGTGCAAGTATTTATGCCATGTTTTCAATTAGGGCCAGTGAAAAACGTCTTTGGAGAAAAATGAATGTAGCTATTGCTTGTATGACGATGCAAGCGAGAGTCTCAAGTTTGGTAAAAGTTAACCAACAAGCTGTTCATACTGCAAGTTCGTGAATGAAATTTGATAGCCAAAGTTTGCCCTTCCTAGTTACGAGATGTTTTTCTCGGAACCATCACAGTGAAATGTCTACTTTTCATAAGTTTTATAAGATCTTCGATGCTTTGGAACCTAAGCTGCTAAAACTGCAACTCTTGCGTTATAAAAAGAGCGATTTATCCTATCAAATTCATGTCATTATTGTTTCAACTAGAGCTTAAAATAGCTCGCTGCTATAAATAGATTCACCAGTTGGCATGCGCTGTTGAGCGATACTTTTCTATGATATGCAAAGCGTTGATACTGACAGAAACACGGTCGCAAATTGCATCGCTTTCTTGACAAAAGAAAGAGCTGAAATTTGATGTTTTCGATACTGTAAGTAGGGTGTTGTATCTGCTAAGCTTTTCACCGCGTCCATTCTGCAAAATATGGTCAAATTTCAATGAAAATCGGACGAAGTTCTTCGCTCTAATTATGTTGGGCCAAATATTGGCTGCATACAATCAAACCAACAGCACATGCGCAGAAGACACACCCTAAAACAACGACGAACGGGCGCTCAGAGCGACTGACTGCTTGCCATCTTCAACGAGCCTCGCAAAGTTTTTACTCAAAACTACAACGGGGGCGTTCTCCGTTTTTGCTGCTCGCACTTTTAGTGCGATGGGGTGTTTTGGACCAGGGCAGACAGAGCAACAGAAAGAAGAGCGTAAGCAACAAAAACACAACAACAAGGAAATCGAGAGACAGTTGAAAAAAGATAAACTAGCATTTCGAGCTACACATCGCCTCCTTTTGCTTGGTAACATATTTAAACGTCTTTCTCGTTGTTTTATTGAGTCTAAAGGAGGACCATGGTTTGGACTATCGAATGGCGTTCATATTTCTTCTTTATTTTCGTTAAGGGGCCGGAGAATCGGGCAAGAGTACAATCGTTAAACAGATGCGAATTCTTCACGTCAATGGCTTCGACGAAATGTAAGTCTTCGAGTTTACGTCTCTTTGGTGAGATACGGCCGTGTTATATGGCGATATTTCCTTGTCTCTTGCATCCATCATTTGATATCAAGCTAAAAGAGTTGTATGCTGTCGTATTTTAAGGGAAAAAAAGCAAAAAGTTGAGGATATCAAACGAAATATTCGCGATGCAATATTGGTACGTATGAGCTGAAATTTATAGTGCCCTCATTACAACTAGCAACGCAAAGTCTCTGGCAAGCTTTATCAACTCGTAGGCGCTTCTCTCGTCAATAATATAATGTATTTGTCGTATTTGTAGACGATTACAGGGGCTATGAGCACTCTAACACCGCCTGTTAAGATAGGGGATCCCGAGAATCAGAGTCGTGTAGACTACATACACGAAGTGGCCACAGCACCCGATTTTGATTACCCACCGGTAAGTGAAATATGTTATATTTTTGTGAATGTTTACGTCGGAGGACCGTGATTTGTTTGAAATCGATGGCCCTGGCGTAGAAGCAAACTTTTGAGGCTAAAATCGTGCACAAATCTGCTCGTCAAGCGTGTTAATATCAAGCCAATTGCAACACGATTTGTGGCCAAAGAGAGTTGCTTCCACGACCATAGCGACACCGCTGCTTCCATGGAAGAGCCTTATGTGTTGTTGTTTCAATTAGGCGTACGCGAACGTTTCTCTTGTGCGTTTTGTAGGATTTTTTCGATGGGGCAATGGTACTGTGGAAGGATAGCGGAGTTCAAGAGTGCTTCGAACGGTCCAATGAATATCAACTCATAGATTGTGCTCAATAGTAAGTGAAATTTTGTTAAGCTAGTCTCGTTATAAGCGAAAATATTCGGTGTACAATTCGCCGGCCGAGTAGCAACCGAAGCATAATAGTTACAATGTTTCGCGACATTTCCCACACCAAATTGTTCTTCGGTCTTCTGATGGAAACCATTAGAACAAATTAGTTTCGCGAAGCAAATTTGCGACATTTCGTGTGTATCAACATGGGGCTTTCGCTCGCCTTTGACGAACGGTGAAATCTACGATGTTTATAATTTGACAAACGCTCAAATGAATGCCATATTTGCTGCGCGAAAACCGAGCTTGTTAGGGGAAAAGACTAGATATTCCAGCTTCAATTGTGTTTGTTTTGGAGGGAATTCGAAACAGCCGAAAACAATATTTTCATTTTTATTGTGTATGAGACGATCTAAGCTCGCTTAGTGGGCTTAAAATGTTGCTCAAGCTTCTTTGCAAAGAGGCAGCATAAGCGATGTCACTTGCACGCGTGCATTTCGACTGATCTCGTTCATCTTTTCGTTCGCGTACTTGATCAAGGAATGACGCAGTATTGTTGCTAGGACTGTTTGCATCAAACTTTCCCTGCTTGTCGCCATGCATTGCTGTCAAAGTTCCAAGGTTTATTCAAATACCCTTATTCGTTTCTACGCTGACAACAGAGCATTTCTGCTCCGATTTTAGCTTAGTCTTAGAAGCGAAAGTGCAAACTATTTTCAAATCCACCTCCGCTTTTGCTGGGCTGCACAAGTCAAGGAAAGGATTATCATTCTTAGGTTTTCGTTTTCCTGTTCAGTAATCTTAAGCTATCGCTGCCAGCCTTGAACCTATTGACAGTGGATTATGCTTCCTAAGCTGGTGCTATTTTAAGGACTTAATTGCAACAAGCAAACGTGAAAATACAGATGTATTTGACAATCTTTCTTCAATGTTTTGTAGCTTGAACCACTCCATTCTATGACAAGGGTAGTATGGTTTTAGCCGGAGGACTTTGAATCCCCATGCATGTATTGAATTTTGGTCATGTTGATTTATTTGCCCTGATTCCTAATAAACTTTCTTGGAAACATGGTCAGATCTTTCTTGTAACAACTCCTTTGATATTGCTGTATTCTGGTCGACTTTGCTGTTATGTGAGAGTATGCTTGTTGTACGGGAAAATTGAATTTGTTTAGCCAAGAAAGCTCTTAACTTGATGGTCGATATACGAGTTTTCAAGTTGTATGTTGGTGTTGTGTTGGTTTTGAACATTTGTTTTCATGCCCAGAATTTAGCTCGATGAAAGTGAAAGGCTTGCTGTGTTTTAGCCATGGATTTGTGACATATCTTGTTTCGTCTATAGTTAAGTAAAGATTTCAAGTTTTTGATAAACCAGGTTGTATTGTTTCAACTACAATACCTGGTTCCTGATAAACTATTTGAGACGTACAATTGCCTCTCTGGCTGTTCATGTTTTTGCTTCGGTATTATGTCCTATAGGATTTCAGTGATGCAATTTGTGGTTGCTGGGTGACTTTGAGACTCTGGCCCTTGAGGGGTGAAAGGGCAAGGACATGAGAGCTGTTCCTTTTGCAGTTTGTAAGTAGTAATGTGTGAAAATGTATTTTGTCTTTGTTTGAAGTTCTTCCAGAGGGGGTGTAATTGTTGCTGACAACATTTTCATCAACTTTATTCAGGTTGGTCATGTTATGAATGCTTAAGCTTTGCATGTTTGGTGAGACCCGAATCCCTACACTTACAACCCCCTATTACCCCCTACCACTAGAGACCCACCACCAGACTCTCTTCTTCCCATCCCCCTCCATCGACATCTAGGAGATAGGTTTCTAAATCATTTCGTGTACGTTAAGTGTCGTGTTTCGTGGATCAATTTACTGAAATATTTCAACGTCTTTATAACTTTAACAATCACTGCCTACGCTGACAACAAATCATTTCTTTCCTGCTCGATCTATTCCTCTTCCCTTAAACATTAACAAACATCGAGCGCTTACGCTGAGATACCGTCACGTGACGGGGGTTAGATAGTTTGAAATCCATAATTGAAAAGAAATTTTAAAATATTACGATGAAGAAAATCACGTAGAATAGTATGCTCGGAGAATGTTTTAATTTCAGGGGGGGTGGTTGATCAGGAACCATATTATAGGAGTTGATACTAAACAATGTTACAAGCGTTGCTCTCAAATGTTGCGCTTCTCTGTTGGTAAGGCTTACGAAGGAATGGATTCTTATTCAGTGATTGCTTGAATTCGTCTTTGAATATCGTTACAAGTAAATTAATTTTTGCTTAACAATGATATTGAGGTCAATCGACTAACACCGACCTAGTTCACTTTCGAAATGGTGTCTTGGGTTGAGTGCTTAAAAGATTTTAGTATTAACTTAGTACACCAGTACTTTGCTTCATTACCATGAGTAACGACTTGCTTTCAAAGTAAAATTCAGACCAGGTAGAAGCTTCTTCGTGTGATAGATTCAATTAAATTCTATCAGACGTCGCAAATGTGTTAGTGCCCTGTTAACTTGATTGCTTTGACGAGACCTATTGTCACTTGTTTATATGCATAGTCCTGTATGGATTATCTTGTAGTCCACTGTTAGGGTTATTGCTAGTTAAGGCTTGCTAGTTTAGTGGATTAGATCAGGATCAGCTTTATCGTTGATTAGAAAGAGTGGAGTACAATCAGTGATAGGATTTGGAAATTCCCTATTTAGGAAATTTCTATTCTTCACTTTTAACTTTCAGTCAATTCTGTTGCTATTATTGATGTTTTCCTACTGGTCAAAATACCTGAAACTACGATTTAAGCCTGGCAAATTGGCAATTACACATACGTATGATTTGGTCCAATAATATCTTATTCTCGATTGGTCAAGTAATATTCACTTTTTATCTGCCAAATTTATCACTAAAGTGAATGTTACATACCATGAAGTAACGAAAATCAAAATACAAATATTTTCCTATCGGTATAATCATGTCTGACGAGTTAAACTTTGCAATGAGTTTCGACCTCTGCATGCCTAAGGCAATACCTTACTAAACTTACATTTAAGACATTACATTTAAACTTACATTTAAGACATTACGAGTAATCGTCAATAAGCGGATGCTGAAAAGTTTGCTTAGTATTTTTTGATTTAATTTTTGTACTAGTCGAGTGATTCTGTTGAACAGGAAACAGTCTTCGAGGTAATGTTTCCCCCCCTCTAGAAAGCCGCGCTTTCACAATGAAATAACTGCTCTCCAACAAAACCGTCTGTGCTCGTTGCTTTGACGTTAATATTGGCTATAGCTCATGGTACTCAATACAAAGTACTTTATTAGCACGAGTATAAGTCTCTTTATTCAAAGCACTTAAAACCGCACGCTATTTTTAGTTGCTTTTCGTTATTCACACTTACGTATTGTCGTCTACGATTCATTATGAATATATATATCTTCTCAAAACTCATATTTGCAAAACACTTGAGGCGTTCTAGTCAAAACAACGGCGGGCGAGAACATGTGTCGGAAGTATTCTCGAAACCACGATGACTATTGCCCAAAATAGAAAGTCTATTTATTTTGACCTTGAAGTGTTCGTTTCTGGTGAATGGGGCGATTTTCCCCGCCTTTATTTCCGATTTCAGATCACTTTTCAAAGCATCGCTGCACACGTCTTGCATGTCGCTTTGACATGTGGGCATCGTTTGGCGTTTTAATGCATAGCAATTTCGAAGTTGTGAACGCATGCTTTCTAATTAAGCGAGACAATTTTCACGTTTTTCGAAGGCATCGCTTTGAACCTCGAACATACGAACCGCGTGTTTTCAAAATCGAATGTTGTTTATATGTATATAGTATATGGGCAAGTTCGGTTGCAAATTTTTATCTTTATATTGTATGGCTAAGTTAAATTTCATAAACTTTACACCTAAAGCTTCTATGAACTTTTTAAACTCCAAATTCGAAGTAACTTCGCTACCTCGTACAAACGTAATGATGTTCATCTACACCCCGACCCTTATTGTGTTTTTAATGTACGTATTTTCACTTACCGTTGTTTGCCCAGCACGAGTCCAGAGCAGCCAGGTTTAATTTAGTTTGGGAACTATTTTCTCAAAAGGAAAGAGCTTTGTTTGGGCGTTTTCTCAGTCCTGTGGTTAAATTGGCTCATTGGAACATTCCATTTATTCTAATTTCTTCGTGTTAGTTCCTTTTCAAGTAATTATTTATATTTATAACTTCGTATGATATCCTTCTTAATTTCTCACTATTTTTTTCATCAACATGCTGCCATATTCTTACATTTCATTTTAAAAATCGCATTTTTGTGATGTGTGGTTTTTCTGCCGTTGGATCCGATTCTAAAGTAAATGTTGTTCTCTGTGCTTCAGTGTATAATCAGACTTTATCGTCAGCTATCACTGCGGGGTTTCGGCTTCTATCTAATTCTATTGCGAATTCTTCAAGTTGGCCAAGTCCTATCAAATTTTTTAGTCAATTTTCACCGGGCTTGCATCAGATCAACGGTCAGTTCTCGTCGTGATCAGATCATATCATAAAAAATGATTGCTAATTCAAGAATTTTGAGTCAATTCTATTTTTTATCTGACTTGTTCTATATTTACCCTTGTGTTCTATATTTGCTCTTTTTACACTCCGTGAAGATTCTTTGTTCTAGTTTAAAAATGGAAATCCTGACCCTCAAATTTGTATTGTTATATATTTGCGATATCTTCAACGTTTACCCACGGGGCTTTTTTGTTTTTCGATGCTTGTGTTCATTTCAAACTAAAGCAGGCATATTGCGCGAAGTTTTGTCACTTGCTGAGGATTTGAATGTAAAATAATTGCTATCTTTAAATGCGTGGGGATTTTGATGGCCCCCTTGGATGATATGATTGCGTAACTCGGATAAAGGACGTAAAGTGGGAATAAAACGAGGGAATTTGTTTGAAAACGTTTGAAATTGAAAACCGAAAAACATGCTCGAAACATTTCAAGCGTTTTATTTGAGTATTTGAAAAAGTCGTAGATATTAACTCATTGGAAAAAGTTTGCCATACATGCGTAGTATAGACGTAATCCATGTTTATGCCATCCAGGTATAGCTATATATATATATAGGTCAGTTGTTATTCTGTCTTATCCTTACTTGTACTTCGTCAAAAACTATTTCGCGATCCTTTGACATGAACACGTGTCGCTGTCGTTGTGGAAAGGAAAACATTTTAATTCGACGTTCTTTCTTTAGTTTTTTAGACAGGATAGATTTAGTTCGACAACCATCGTACATGCCATCGGATCAGGTAAGATGAGACAGGAGGAGACTCGGGACGAAGTATGACTTCTCTTTCTATAGTTGTTCTCATATTTTTTGTTGGACACTCTAGGATTTGCTAAGATGTCGTGTCCTAACGTCCGGTATTGTCGAAACGAAATTTCAAGTTGATAAAGTTAATTTCCAGTGAGTGTTTTTACTTGTTTATTTTGTTTCATATCTTTGCGCATTCAGCCACATGGATTGCGATTGGTTGATTGCATTCATCCACGTGGATTGTGATTGGTTAAATGCCTTCGTTCACGTGGATTGTGATTGGTTAAATGCATTCGTTCGCGTGGATTGTGATTGGTTAGATGCATTCATCCACGTGGATTGTGATTGGTTAAATGCATTTGTTCACGTGGATTGTGATTGGTTAGATGCATTCATCTTCGTGGATTGTGATTTGTAAATTGCATTCATTCAAACGGATTGTGATTGGTTAAATGCATTCATCCACATAGATTGTGATTTGTAAATTGGACTCATCCAAAGGGATTGTGATTGGTTAAATGCATTCAGCCACATGAATTGTGATTGGTTAAGCGCATTTATTCACAGGGATTGTTATTGGTAAATACTTTCATTCACAGGGATCGTGATTGGTCAAATGCAATCATTCGCAAGGATTGTGATTGAATAAAGGGCATATGAGTTTACTACTTAAATTTTAGTTTCATTTAACAGAACTTTGAAAATGACAGTGTATTTTTTAAAACAGTTTGTGCATATCTCTTTTCATTCTCGAAATAATGATGTTTTTGTAATGTCCGATCCATACAACTTTCTACGTCATTTTGCATAATGAGAATTTGAAGTAGCAGGTATATTTGCCGATATATTACCTCAACCGAGCAGGGTTCCCTTCATTGTGAAGAGTTAATGGTATAAGCAATTGCATGATCATTTCAACCAAAAGTTGACTTGAATATAAAAGATGTTTGAAACTTTGCAGGGACTCGTGCAAAATGACGTAGAAAGTTGCATAGATCTGACATTACAAAAACTTCAATATTTCGAGAATGAAAAGAGATATTCACAAACTGTTTTAAAAATACACGGTCATTTTCAAAGTTCTGTTAAATGAGACTATAATTTAAATAGTAAAATTTTTAAGTCATATGCCCTTTAAAAGTGAGATGGAGTGTATAATTGCGGCATTGAAATGAGCTCCAATAATATAGCTATTCTTACTTGGGCCAATCAGCAAACCTTTTATATGAAGTGCTCAACTATCTGTTTACGTGCGTTTTCTCATTTTACAGAGTTTATTTGACTGCTGTTTCTTTGTTTGTTTGGTGTTGCTTTTTTGAAAAACAGTAATATTTCCTCCTTTAAAAATGATCTTAAGAATACAATGATTTAAAAACTGGCTCACAATGTTCTTTAAAATGTTGCGAGCTATATTTTGGTGGCCTGTGACCGAAGTACCAAGCTACCGTACACACCAGTTTTACTTACCAACTTTCAAGACAGACTGACCGACTCAATTGACGAGGCAGAATGGACGTTTTCACTTGCAGACGACAATCTTTTTAACTGGCGGACCGAAAAAGTATCCAGACTTAATTTCTTTTTTTCTTTCCTTTGCTAGTATGTTTGATGTAGGAGGTCAAAGGGACGAAAGAAGGAAATGGATTCAGTGTTTTAATGGTATGCACATTATTTCCAACATTGAGGATTTTTATTTCCAACATTGAGGATTTTTATTTCCAACATTGAGGATTTTTATTTCCAATGCCGTCGATCTTCCGAGGAGCTGATGTAGCTAATGAAATGTTTTAGACACGACAAGTGATGACAGAAATGTCGGGGTCAGTAATGACAATCACTTTAAATTTTAAGTGTTCCGCATTTTTCTTTCAGATGTCACTGCGATTATTTATGTGGTGGCATGCAGTAGCTACAACCTGGTCCTGAGAGAGGATCCCAGTCAGGTGAGCATTTTTTTGCATGAAATATGTTTCTTGTTACTCGGGTTTCGATGGAAATCAATTTTCCTGACCATCTTTTTTTTTCATTTCGCAGAATCGATTACGAGAATCGTTGGATTTATTCAAAAGTATTTGGAACAATAGGTACACCTAGTTGAGGTTTTTATGAATAGCTTATGAATCGAATTTGTCATTTAAAACTTTTTTAAAAACATTTTGTTGGCCTCGATTACACTGTTCTGTTTTTCAATTAGTTCGTACCGAGACTTAGCTTTTGAATTTTAAATGCTGTTTATTTTGTATTTGATAATATAACATGGAAGACTCTTCTTTTCTTGCATTCTCTTGCGTCAGTTTTGAACGTGCGTTGATTGCGCATTTTTATTTCTGTAGATGGTTAAAGACGATTTCAGTAATATTATTTTTAAACAAGCAAGACCTTCTACGTGATAAAGTTCGAGCAGGCAAATCAAAAATCGAAGATTATTTTCCCGATTTCGCGAGATACAGAACACCACCTGACGGTAAGCTGGGTTTGTCTGGGACTTGGCTAACTGGGAGGAAGGAGGTTTAGGGATGTCTAACTGACTGGTGTATGTTGCTAGTGCAACGTTGCCCTACCGATTAGGGGTTAAGTGTAAGGTTGTCTATCACTGGTGTTTGTGACTAGAGGGTAAGTGTAAGGTAATTTGTGACTGTAGGGTAAATGTAAGGTTGTCTTTGACTGGTGTTTGTGACTGAATGGTAAATGTAAGGTTGTCTTTGACTGGTGTTTGTGACTGAATGGTAAATGTAAGGTTGTCTTTGACTGGTGTTTGTGACTGAATGGTAAATGTAAGGTTGTCTATGACTGGGGGGTAAATGTAAGGTTGTCTGTGACTGGGAGATAAATGTAAGATTGTATATGACGAGTGTTTGTGACTGGAGGGTAAGTGTAAGGATGTCCATGAACTGTGTTTGTGACCGGGGGAGTGAGTGTAAGGTTGTATATGATTGGTGTTTGTGACTTGAGGGGTAAATGTAAGGTTGTCTATGACTGGTGTTTGTGACCGGGGAGTGAGTGTAAGGTTGTATATGATTGGTGTTTGTGACTTGAGGGTAAATGTAAGGTTGTCTATGACTGGTGTTTGTGACTTGAGGGGTAAATGTAAAGTTGTATGTGACTGGTGTTTTGACTGGAGGGTAAGTGTAACTGTGTAAGGTTGTTTATGATTGGTGTTATTGACTGAGCGGTGAGTGTAAGGTTGTCTTCGACTTTTGCTGGTGACTAAGGGTATGTGAAAGGCTCCTTTCGACGGGGATTTTTTTGACCGGGTTAAGAGTGAAGGTGTCTTCCTATGATAATTATATTATATTTCAAAGCTTGCTACGTATGTTTTTTTGTCTGGTACCATACTTTTGTCAACATCATGTAGAAATAACGAATCGTCTTTCAGCAACGGCCGAACCAGATGACGACGAACAAGTAACTCGAGCGAAATATTTTATCCGAGACGAATTTCTAGTAAGTTGCCATTGATTTTTCTTTGCGTGCTTTATTCAAACGTTTGCTGAACGAGCAAGGATGACTGGGGCTCGTCTTTTTTCAAACTATCGATGGGGAAACGAGATTTCATAATGCTCTATACTTATTTATTCATACTCAAATGTTAGTTGATAATGAAAATGGCGGCTTTTATTTTCGGTCGTTGGATTTGCCTAATCCGGGACTTATACATTCATTACGTATTGATTGAAAGCGGTGGTGATTGGCTTGTTATTTTGTTTGTCCGAGTTGAAGAGAACACCGTCCGGTAAGGTTGAAGTTTTTGCTCAGTGTGCAATTTTTTATTGTTGTGCAACAGTTTTTTCTTCATTATCTACAGATTAACTGTGAGTTTTTATGGGGGGTTTTCGTGAGGAAGAGTTGAAAGTTTCTATCTTTGAAAATTTAAATTTCATAGAAATGAGAAAGTTTGTATTTTGTTTTACGACGCCAAAATATCTTGTAATGTTTTGTTCATTTCGGTTTTCAACAAAAATTATCAAGTTTTTGCTGTTTCCATGTTTAACTAGTAAAATTGAAATTTTCATTACACCCTCATTAAGATTTGGATTGTATTATTTACTGCATGTACCATGTGATCCAAAAACGTCCAATCAAATGTCCATAATTAAAATTGATTAATATGCTCGGCCTTAAAGATTCAGTCATATTTGACAGTAAAGAAGATATTGGTTAACGTTTTAGTAGTTAAAAGCAGTGCTGTAGAAGTGGGAGGACGCTTGGGGGAGGAGCCCCCCTTCTACCTTTAAATTGGGTTATTTTAAAAGGGCACTATTGACAAAAACGTCAAGAGAGCCCCCCCCACATCTGATAAATTTAGTTCTACAGCACTGGTTACAAGCGTTAGTTGTATGTAAAAAAATGAATTCCGCCATCTCTCAATGGTGCAAAACAAAGATCTCCTAAATACATGCGTCAATTGTTTGCTATGTATCATGCTGAGAAGTTAATCGATTAAATAAGTGTTATTATGATACAAGAAGATTTTTGAAGTGCCGCCATATTTGAAATTCGACATGGTTTTCTATGTCATCGGAATGGGGTTTGACGAAGTGTGGTTTCGAAGAGTTTTGTGTCCCGCGTGGCTATTAATTTGAAGGTGTTTGGAGTTGTGGTTTGCTCTATTTGATTGTGTCTAATATCTATTCCTTGTTGTGTAGCGGATCAGTACGGCGAACGGTGATGGTAAACATTATTGTTATCCACATTTTACATGCGCTGTTGACACGGAAAACATCAGACGAGTATTTAATGATTGTCGTGATATCATACAGCGAATGCATCTTCGCCAATATGAACTGCTCTGACTTGGGTGCACCATAGGAGATTTAGGACACGATGGCCTTGCCAGCAACTGAACTCTAAATTTGAACTGGATGCCGAGGTCATGAGGTGGACTAAATCTTCGTGTAGTTTGGATCCCGTGTGAATAAGTAAATATAATTATTAGATTTATATATGAACGCCCGACGTGGAGCTACGAGTGTTAATTTGCTGACGACGAGCGCGATTCAATGGATGTGAAATTTTATCTCGTCGTACGCGTCGGGGCAGAAAATCGAACAGACCTCCTCTCTCCCCACCCGTCCGTCCGTTGTTGAATAATGTAATTGGATAGTCAATATGCGCATGCGCTTTGTACAAAGTCTTCTGACCGCTTCTGCGGCGGTCAACAATTCGTTTGAGTAAAACTGATAAATCAGTTAAAATAGTACGGTCTGTTTACGGAAGTGCAAGAACCGTAATACACAAAGGTCCTCCCTTCTCCCTCTTTCTCTTTTAGTACTTTGATATCAATCAATAATACTTTAGCCAATGTTGATTTAATTTAAGAATTGATTTGAATAATCCGACATTTGTACATCGTCAAGTTCTAATTGGCTATTCGAGTGAATCTTATCACGTGGTTAAATATCATCTGCGACGTTTATAGATGCTCTCTGGGTCATTTTCAAATTGGTTTATAGGGAAGGTTTGATTTTGTTGCCGTTATACAAGGCATACTAAAAACGACAACTCGAGTTATTGCAAGTTCAACTTTTAGGAAATGAGAAGCAGTCGGATAATATCTTTGTATGTTTTATTTTGGTCGGCAAATTGGTCTTGAATATTCGATAATTGTAGATGTCTAGTGATTGTCCTTTTTGCCGACTCCATGTTTCTCATCATCCAGAAGGTGAAAGCTTGACTTGATCAATTTTTCTCTTCTTTGCCGCATGTTACTGGGGTAGATGGGGTTATACACGTCTAGCTTACTCAAGTCAGTTTACGATGTAGGGGGAGGGATAAACTTGTTTTCATAAAGACTGCGGTTCTTGCACTTCCTTAGATCATTGTCCTAAATCAAAGGAAATTTCCTATAATTCCAAGATGCTGGTTCATCTCAAATAAGTCCACGAACTTAGTTGGTGTCCTGGCACACACGCATGTAGAGAGACTTTATGCGAGAGAAACTTTAGCGCGACGAAAATATGGAGAGAGCAGTTGGACTACTGTTAAGGTAGCATAATAGGCTTTAATGAATGATACACCGTTGACCAATTTGTAAATTCTCCTTACTGCTCACCAGGTGTAATAGTGTAAGTGTATCATAGTGAAAGGATAATGTGAATTCTGTATTCGATCGAACGTAGCTAAAATTCGCTTTAAGTAAGTAAATTCTAGTAAAAGTATCAATAGCAAATCATGTTGTGTCGGTGTGTGTTTGTTTATCTCTTTGTATGCTGTATTTTTGACTCTTTCAACTCGAAGAAAACAGTTCAATTTGAAATGAAGAAAAAAGCCTGCATTTGAAATTGTTTGGTAGGGAACGTCAAACGTTCCACTTGTCTACGGACATTGGCCACCGGCATTTGATTTAGATTGAATCTGATCGCTGCGGGGATCTCATTTACATCAGAGATTTAAATGATTTCTAAAACGTTTCACTTGTGTTCGAACGATTTGATACTCTCAAATCTTCATCTTGCTGCCATCTTTGTTTGTACGTCACGTTCTTGAACAGCCAAACAAAAGTAGTTTAAATATTTTAAATGGCCTTAATGGTAAATCTTGCTTGATTTTCGTGTCTTCAAAGATACATGTCTTGATCATGCGCATTCGTGTGGCATGACCGTCGACGAAGCATTTTTTAAATTAATGGTAAATTTTTTCGTGCTTATTCTATGTGAATCTTATATATTGGGATTATTAAGTGTAAAAACTTTCTTGCTTCATTTACTTTCTTTTGGAATATAATGCATGCTTAGCTGCATTTAAACTGATAGATTTAATAAATCTTGCATTGATCTGTCTTCAAATTACATGCAGTCCTAAAGAATTGTGGACTTTCAAACCCCTCCACAAGGCATGCCCCTACCACCCACCCACCCTACGTCCATTTAAGGATCGTGGAATATTTTGTGCAATTAGATAATATTTCAGACTTTTGCATGTAGCAATTTCTATTGGCTTTGCCGCAGGTCGAAAGTAACGAAAAGTGCATAATTTTATGTTTCTTATAAATGTGCACTACAGCTGCCATATGGAATCACTGAATGCCCACGCATGATGCACGTGTTAAGCCCTGTTTACATGAGACCGGTACGAAGTCAAACCGGTGCCAGTTCGTGTCGGTTATAGTATATAATCGGTAGTGAATTTTATGATATTATTCGATCGAATTGAGGAGAATTTGTAGCTCGTGAACTTGATGACAAACTTGACTACGGTGTTAAATATAAGGCCTGTTTCAAACGTCGAACTTCCCTTGAGACGAATGCATTTGAAATACAAGATAATTGGGAATTTTACCACATTTTCTATTTTCATTAATCCATTTTGCTCATGTAAAGTTGAACGTTTGAAACAGACCTGTCTACCATTTTTCCTAGCCTTCATATGCCCTTACCCCGGAAAGAGATCTCATTCAATTTAACTTAAGTAATGAATACGTCGGCGATCTGCTCTTTTTGATAACCTCCAGAGCTGTATGTCTCGATGATTCAATCATTCTATTAACATGAAGTCTTAGACTTATTCATAAATAACTACCTTCTGCTGTTATTTTAATACATTGTTAACTGACCGACGTTGGACTCCATTCATTTATCCCCAAAAGCTGAAAAAACTGAACTGTATTTTTTTCAGAAGCCATTAATTTTTTTTTCTTTTCTGTTTGATAAAGTCGGCCACGTCACTAAATTGTTGTGTTTTTATTTGACCTACGCATTTTCCCAACATGTTGAAAACATCTCCCAAAATAAATATGATGACGAACAAAGAATTTTTATGATTGCACATTATCTAATAACATCTATTAAACGTTATATGCCAGTGAGAGGTCTTCCATTAATTGTTTTTATTAACAAAATGCAAGAATATTGTTTTGCGACATAAGTGAGTCACAACAGTCTAGAACATCTTGTTTTTTAGCGATTCTCTTATTAAATTAACTGTTCTACCGAAAACAGTCGGTAGTTTGAAATTGTTTTTGAAATATACGTATGCTCTAATTAAAACTTGAAATCATTACTATATATAGACACAAGTGTATCCACAAAGCATTTTTTCAATTGTACGTTACGCTTGCGTCATACGGACGGGTTTTCTCACTTAGGTGCGAAGTGCAATATTTTATTATTTGTGAATCGACCTTAGAAAGTTCCCCCATAGTAAACCGAACTCTTGACATTAAAATGGCGGAAACTCATCATTAATCGGTCTAGTTCCGACAATCATGTACTCAAAATAAACATGACTGCTCGTGTGTTTTAGATAATTACACCCAATCTTCGGATTGCCCGAAGCGAACTCGCCTATAATGAATTTCGTTGACTATTTCGTTCATCAATGTTGTTCTTTTAAAAACTTAAATCTTAGATGGCATTGAAGAATTGAAACAGAAAGCGTTGTTTTAAAATAGTAAAAGAAGATCATAAAATGTAAATTCTATAATAGAAACCGAAATATTGTTAGAGCGGTTTTAATTTTGTAGCCAGTTGTTCAATTTCGTTGAAAAGTACAAATCCGCCATTGTTAGTTCTAAGTTGCCAGCTTATGGTTGATTAATAATTAACATTTTCAACATCAAGGGCACTTAGCCAGTAGGCCTTAAAATCTGGGCCCATATTTTGGTTAGTTGTTGTGGGCAGTGGCGCCTACACCTCCCTTATCAAGAAAAATCTTTTTTGGCAATTTTGACGCTTAGAATTCATCTATTGCTTCGATAAAATCGATTCTATCTCGGTGACGATTTCGTTCAATGGCATTGGAAAGTTGATACCAGTCTTTTTGGCAGTTTTTTGTTGTTGCGCGATAAAATAGCCACGGCCCTCGACATATATCAATCAAATTAAACCTGGTTGTTGAAAAAGTTTATTGATTATAACTTATGGACGTGTGCATTCAAAACAGCCCCATTCATCACTCATTGTTTTTTTGTGACCTCACACTTTAAATATATATGATCAATCCAAGTCGAAATTAAAATACTCTGCCATTATAATAACTTAAATACGTATAAGTCAATATTCTATTGGCTAATCATAAACCACCACTGCGTTTTCATTGGTCGCTTGCGTTGAGCCTCAGAAGAAACATAGAACATGCACAACACCTGAAGCAGTCTCGAAAGCCTCTTTGTCATGTAAGTACGTTCGCCTGGCGAGTTCAAGTGTCTTTAAAATGCTGTTTTTGTATACTCTATTGACACTGTTCTCTTATCAAGTATCGACTGTGGCTTGTTCCGAAATGAATGTCAATGGCAGGAGCTTCTTGAGATTCGATTTGCTCGGCACAAATACGTCTATAGCTGGAGCGACTGATACACTTAGTCTTCGCTTCAGGACCATCGAGCCGCACGGTTTGTTATTTTACGCTCATGGTGTTGGATACGTTTCGTTGGAGCTGTATAATTGTAAACTAAGGTAGGAACATATGCCCTCGCCTTGTTTCTTGTTCAGTGTAAAACGGTTCGACTGCTACTGTGTTGCTATTTAATTATCATGATTGGTTTCGGATAAATTAAAAGTGCTTTATTTTTTGAGTTTTCAACTTGAATCCGGTATTTTTGGATGTATTTTCACTTTGGCTAGAGGCCCGCTGTTAGTATTGTTTAAGGCAGACGCTGAAAACACATGAAACGATAATTCCTGATGTTGGTCTAAACAATATATAACACTTTAACTATAGCTGTATTTCTTAGTTCATTTAATTCAACATTGAACTGTCAGTCATTTTGGTAGCTACATGGCCGTTGTGTGTTTACCCAGGTAGACTACACTGGAGGTAATTTTTTGGAAACAAGTTGCAACAACTTTCTCTCGTGTTGATAAGTGCTGTTATGCAAAAGCTGGCTGTTTACCGTACAGGCATCTCTGTTGCCAAGGCAGTCGAATTGTGTACTTAAAATGTTACAATTGGAAATTTAAATTGTTCCAATAAATTGTAGTACCAACGATAGACCTCGTGTTTGGTTTGTGAGTAATGTTTGATAAACTAGAACTTTATACTTTGCCTGAATGAATTTCGTTAAGTTAAGAAATGGCTGCATAAAAACTGTTTAATCTCCATGAAGATGTATTTTTCTTTGAAGTTAGCGATATAATTGAAGTATGATGCAATTTTACATCTAATGACATTTTAGTCACACGTTATATCCGTCTTCGTTAGCCATGAGTCGTGACGTAAGCCATAAAAAACATGGCTACTACGCAAACGTAATTTGTAAAATTGTCAGTTATATACAATCTTTACTAAACTCAATTGCTACCTGCGTTTGTCATACATTGTAACGATATGTATAAGGCTGTTGGCATTAGCTATATACAGATTATACCATCTTGCTACGGCTGTGGTTTCTAAAAATAGATTAAACAGCTGAATTTTTCTGGCGACTGATTGCGCCTAGGCAATTGCTTCTGATGAGACATTAGCAAATTCCAGCTGTATTGAATTTCGAAAAGACGTTTTCATGACGTAGCTTTGAAATTATCCATGCTCTATACCCGTCGTAAGCCGAACTTTGAGCATTTTAAACTTTGCAAAAGGACGAAAAATTTATGAAACCGGCATATGGTCATAACTCTAGTTGAGAAAAATGTTTCTATTTTTAAAAGTCCATCACTTGTGTTTTAGTTGACGCATATATATATGTATTACAATTTCCAGATATATTTATTTATGTAAAAGTTATACTTCATACCGCCGTCCACCTATAACAACTTTTTCCCGAAAACTGAACTCCATCAAAGAGTAATTTGTATATTTTGCTCAAAGAAGAGCAGGAGACTGGGGCGAAGGCAGGTGTTGCGCGTTTGTTTTGTCGCGTATAGTGTATTCAAAGGGCTATGAGAACAATTTGCGGTTGAAGTAAATGAAGTATTAAAAATCCACTAATTCAATGCCTTAACATTACAAGAGAAAATCTTCACAAACGGCATTGTGTTGTTAGCCCCGCCAGACTGATGTACGTATGCTGTCTGCGAGTTACGTACCCGGAGATTCGACTTCATAGAGAAGAACAAATCTCCGAACTCCTAGACATGTGACATAATTTTGAAAGTCTTTAAATAAATATAGGTCTTTCGTCATCTAGCGTTGTTAGGTAATTCTGGAGCACGCAGGGTCTAATTAAAGAAGTGAAGCCTGGATTTCACATGTTGTATACGTCATATTGTATTACATCAAAACGTGTGGCAGGTTTTTAAATTGATTCAAGCTTTTATCAAAAATGACCTGTTTGTCATTAACGTTTGCTACACGATTTGCATAATAAAATGCTTCCCATCGTTTTCTGCCGGAATCTATCGATAAGCTTTAGTTGCTATTAGTGGGCAGTAATTTTTTACAAGTAGAGAAACAACACCCTCATTGCGGATTTAAATTGCCAATGTGAGTATAGACACTCGATGTCTTTTACTTGAATAAATGTTCTGCCAAAAATTTTAGCTGAGGATGTAAGTGCCTTGTGAGAGGAGGGAAAAAGTGCCGGTTAGAGACATTTTCTTCAACAACCCACTCCATCCCTCCCATTTTCGAAGACCATTCGCATTTCTAAGCGTTTAGGTATATTACATTGCATCAAAAATCATTTCATGGATGTATCATTTGAGAAAAAATGCAAATGAACTCTGCAAAGATTTGGGAAATCACTCATTGCGCCGTGGAAATCCATTTTGGCCAATGGTGGGTTACAACCATCTCTGAGAGTAAGAGAACAATGGATTGCTTGCCATTTGAAATTTGGATGAAATTTGCATTGTAAATAAAGAAAATCCTTTGTTGAAATTATTCAACATGGCGACTATGACGTAGTTTGCAAACCAAGAATAGCGCAACAACTAAAAACTTGTGCATATAATTTGATGGGACATCAAATTTATGCACATCACCAACACATCTTGAAGCAGGATCAGTTCACAACTAACTTTTGATTTTAAACTTGCGCTTTTAGATACACCATAAACATGGGTCAAGAATTCATGTTCATCTTTGGTGATAAGCTTTGCGACAACCAATGGCATAGCGTTGTCATAACACGTGACGTACAAAAACTTCGCGTGCGCCTAGACAAAGAGGCTCCAAGACTGGTGCCAATAAAGATGGCAAAACGTTTCAATGCTCAACGCATTCTCCGTATTGACATTAGAATATACGTCGGTGGGACGCAAAAAAAGACGAACGAAATGAAAAAGACAAAACTGGTGGGAGGTTTTGTGGGTTGTATAGCAGACGCCCTATTCAACACGTATAACGTAATATCTGAGGCTCGCTCTAAGCGAAGGGGATTCACCGCAATTGGTGATGTGTCGTTTCGCTGCAAACCAACCGTATATTTTGAACCGTTCGGTTTCAATAACGATCGTGGTTTCTTGAAATTTCCAACTGGCAATCCTAACAGCTTTTCGGTCCAGTTGAGATTTCGCACATACGATGAAAACGGTATATTAATTCATCGAGAGGGTTCCAAAATATCAGTTTGGGTTTACTTGCAAAATGGCAAACTCAAGATAGATTTTTACATTCCGAAGACGCCGTTGTTCAGTATAAGCACAGACTCGTGGATGCACAATGTTAATTTCAATGACGGTGAATGGCATGCCGTTACTGCGTCAGTCAATCTAACTAAAATTACATTTCGTGTCGATAACGAAGCGCCGAGCGTCACCAGTGTTCATGTCAACAAATACGTCAACAGTTTGAAATTTGAAAATGTGACGTATGTGGGTGGTGGCATATACTACAAGAAAATGTTCGGTTTTGTTGGTTGTTTGAAGGATTTAAAAGTGAATGGCATTGCTATCCAAGCGAGAAAGTTAAGTAAGGTGAGCCAGACATGTTTATGTTTCATGTTTAATTCACGGATGATACGAGTGGTTGCGAAGAGACAATTTAACAATAGGAAATAACCGGCCTGCCTCATACTAACTGTTTACATGCCAACATGGCATTTAAGATCCCCAAATCGGGCTCGACCACGCGTGAAGCACTCGTTTGACTGGACTATTCTAATAAAGTTTTACTTTGAGTTTCGTGTACATTTTACTTCTTCTCAAATGGTAAAATGACGTTACCTTATAGAGTTCTCCTTGAAATTGCATTCTGTTATTTATCAAATAGCCAAACATTCGACATTTTTGCCCTTACGGGTGTAGTGAAATTAAAATTTATGATACAGGATCAGCCTAAGTTACCCTCCTCCTTCTCTTGTTCAGTTTGCTAAATGAAAAGGTTTTACCGCACTGTATATTTCAAATGACGTATTAAGCCAGCCAGCCATTTTAGTGCTTCCATTTTGATTTGTCCGTGTTGACTTTGTCTGAAAAAAGGTTTCATAAGACTTGTACATGAATAATGAAAATGCTCAATAGTTCACATGGTAACACTAAATCTTGCGGGTAGGCTACTCTACAGGTAATATCGAAATATATATTCCCAGAAAAATAAAGCCCGGAAAAGTCATATCTTCCCACAATAGGTGACACTCATATTCATGGATTTAAACGTGTATCTTTGAAGGATGTTAAAGTGGCGAATGTTCAGCTTGGCACTTGTGGAATGCAAAGTTTATGTCATCCAAGCTCATGTGAGCACAAATCGCGCTGTGAGCAAATCTCGAACAATTTCACGTGTCATTGTAAGAGATTTTTTCGTGGTAGATTCTGTGAAACGCCATTATTTCAAAGAACTTGTCAAGGATACAAAAAATTAGGGATGAAACAAGATGCCTACTGTACAATAGATCCCGATGGTAAAGGTGATCTTGCTGAATTCAAGGCAAGTTCATTCGCTATCACATATTTCCCACAATTCCAAGCACGTGTTTGCGTAATACTTATACATGCTAGGGATACCCTTGGGACACCTCTGTATCTTTAATAAAAAACCAATACTCCGTGTGGATTTAATGTAAAAACAGTAAATAATGAGGGTTTTCAACCCAAGCTTCAGCTCCGGTAGGAAGTTTCCATTACGTGCTGGTAGATGTAGCAGATCGTCCAGGTTGATGCAGTCCTAAGATGAACTGTTGGTCTTGGTGTTTACTGATGTTTTGGCAACTTTAGCGGTAATCATTTTCAGAATCAAGGTTGTCTAAAGACTCTAAACGTCCTTCAGTCATCATCACTGCACTAACCTGTACGATCAGCATATAACCATACTCTCGAGTTGAAGCCGTTCATCCTAGAGGGTTCCATAACCAAAAACTCACGAAGTTTTAAAATGACATCGAATTCTACCAGTCAAATTGAAATTCATTGTTTTGTGATCATGTCACGTCATGACATCGGGGTTTCGGTTTAAAAGCGTCAGTGTATCTGGCTTTGGAGATACTTCGGCCATAGCATATTCCTTCATGGTAAATTTACTCTTTCTTCAATACATGGTATTTCTAATGACCCTTTAGGTTCTATGTAACATGACTGGTGATACAGAGGCCGTGACTGTTGTCAATCACACGCGAAGCATGCGTCCCATTCAGATAAGAGATGAAGCGTACAGATATAGCTATGCTATGAAAAGTTGGGCTCACAAACTTGATTACGGGGGAGTCGATCTTGCAAACGTCCGTGCTATGGTTGAAGAAAGTCGATATTGCCGGCAGTATGTCAAGTTTAACTGCATCAACACTAAGTTTCTTACACCACGTGACCGTAATTTACCTGGTGCTTATTGGGTTTCTCACGATGGGATGGAGCATCGATATTGGGGAGGGTCAACAAAGGGAGCGGCCTGCGCTTGTGGTTCTACAAAATCGTGTCATAATCCAGCAAAGATGTGCAACTGTGAGACTGGCGATGGTGTTTGGAGGCAAGATGCGGGTAAGTTGATGTTATGACGTTATGAGCTGACGTGTGATTGAATGTGTAGAATTTCACGTGAGGAAAGAAAGTAAAAAACTAAAAATTGATAATCTGAAATTATGTTATCTCTATTTTACGTGATTGTAATATTCATTGTATACCGTCAGGACAAGATCCAAACCCATTTTACTTAAGTAATTTTACTAATCGTGAGATTTTCTTGAGATGATCTCGTGTTTGTAGATGTAGTATGATCGACTTAGGGGGTCCCTTTGAAAATTATATGATAAATGGCACAATTTATCTTTATCTTTCATATTATTAACTTATTTAAAAACACAACCGAATAATGCTTTGCATGCCAAGTAGGTAGACAGAAGTAAGCATAAACATAGACATAAAGGCAGACCGAAAGGTGGACAAAAAGGTAAGACACCAAGGTAGGACATAAAGGTAGACACAAAGGTAGACATTAAGGTAGACATAAAGGTAAGCATAAAGGTAAACAAAGGTAGACATAAAGGCAGACCGAAAGTTAGACAAAAAGGTAAGACACCAAGGTAGGACATAAAGGTAGACACAAAGGTAGACATTAAGGTAGAACAAAGGTAGAAACAAAGGTAGACATAAAGGTAGAAACAAAGGTAGACAAAAGGTAGACAAAAAGGTAGACATAAAGGTAGACATAAAGGTAGACATAAAGGTAGACACAAAGGTAGACATAAAGGTAGAAACAAAGGTAGACACAAAGGTAGAAACAAAGGTAGACATAAAGGTAGAAACAAAGGTAGACACAAAGGTAGACAAAAAGGTAGACATAAAGGTAGAAACAAAGGTAGACACAAAGGTAGACATAAAGGCAGACCGAAAGTTAGACAAAAAGGTAAGACACCAAGGTAGGACATAAAGGTAGACACAAAGGTAGACATTAAGGTAGACATAAAGGTAGAAACAAAGTTAGACACAAAGGTAGACATAAAGGTAGACATAACGGTAGAAACAAAGGTAGACATAAAGGTAGACATGAAAGTAGACATATAAGTAGACACAACACAAAGATAGACGCAAAGTGAAAACGTTCCTACAACCTCGTTGTTAGTTAAAAACAGATATCTTATGTGTAACTATGTGTGTTTACTGATAACATTTCAAGAGATTCTTCACAGCAGTTATCTTCCATTAGAAATCACATTTTTGTCACTCTATCAGTAAAAAGTGATTGGCAGCGTTTAGAAAGTAAAAAACAATCAATGGTTTAAAATGCTGTCGTTTTATAGGGTATCTTACGAACAAAGACCATTTACCCGTCGCTGCGTTGTTTTTTCCACTGTCCGCTGGAAGTTCAAACTTCACCGTGGGTCCGCTGGAATGTTTTGGACGCAAGAAAACGCGGGCCCGCGCGATTGAAAAAGAGAAATTCTTTGGTGTCGCTTGTCAACCGCTCGTCACGACACGCCCCCCGTTGTTTCCATGGCAAAAGATCACGTCTACGGTTAAACCGACTCGGCCCCAGGCTCCAACAACGCAGGTACCAAATTTTTGTTGATTGTAGGGCAAAAATATATTTTACAAGTTGCAAAATAGTTTATGAAAAAACAAAAATGAATCGCGTGCGCTGAGTGGTCTTTAGCTGAGTTTATCTTGTGTAAACCGATCAGAGGTCAATAAATTAAATCAATCAACGAATATTTGCAAATCAATCATGAATACATGTTAAAGGAAAAATTAAAACATTTGTTTTAACTTTATCTGTTTCGGATTACTGTTATTTTATAAAAGAAATAAAAGATGATCACAGTGTTTGTACTGGCTCATGTCAACGGAGAAGCCTTTTTGGAGAACTCGAGAGCAGATCAGTGCGAAGGTAGACACAAATGTATACATAAAGGTAGACGTAAAGGTAGACATAAAGGTAGACATAAAGGTAGACACAAAGGTAGACACAAAGGTAGACACAAAGGTAGACACAAAGGTAGACACAAATGTATACATAAAGGTAGACATAAAGGTAGACATAAAGGTAGACATAAAGGTAGACATAAAGGTAGACATAAAGGTAGACACAAAGGTAGACACAAAGGTAGACACAAAGGTAGACACAAAGGTAGACACAAAGGTAGACACAAAGGTAGACACAAAGGTAGACACAAAGGTAGACATGAAGTTAGACCAAAAGGTAGACATAAAGGTAGACATAAAGGCAGACACGAAGATCTTTTATTTCTTAAATAATTGTTGTCTTCAGAGCAAATACTCGAAAAATATAATACTCAAACATGCATAACACACTTGTGCATTTCAAACAAACTCATACTCAAATCCTTTCACTCCACGTCCTTGAAAAGATGACAATTCAAAACTAAAGTAGAGAGTCAGACCTTAAAAGTCCAGGGCGTGGAGCGAAAGGAATTGCGGGCATGAGTAATAAAATTATGCATTTTAGCGTAATGTAATTTTCTTATTGCATTGTTTTGATTGATAGGAACAATGTTACACCCTGACCCATGTCCTTTCCTTTGTATATTTGCCTAATGTTCCTTTGTTTTTACCTAAACTAGATGATTTCGACAAAGAGGAAGACAACAAACAACTCAACAACATATAAGCCAACGACAACATACCTTTCCCTAGGATTAACACAGTCTACTTCGACGACTAAGGTCATAAGCGACAGTTCTTTTGTGCCGGAAGAAAATCCAAATCCATTAATCGTGAATGTCGCGAATGTTGAAAGAAATTCGGAAAAAACGAAATTTTCTGATTGGTGGTTGATATTGGTCGTTTCAACTGTTTCGCTTGTCATGATTGGCTCAATTGTGCTCGCAGCTTTAGTTTATCGAAATAAGAATAAAAATGGCGTCTGGTTGAAAGGTATCGACTCCATACAAACCAATTTATCGGGTTTTGTTTTATGTTTTGGAAATGATTTAAACTCTTGTTTGCACAATTGATTTGAGAAAACTTGTCAATGGTGGTTTAGCAGCTAAAATTTACGTCCAGTTTAGAGTGTTTCCTCTGACGAGGTCGGGAATTTAGCAGGAAATTTGTATTTTTGAAATTTGCTACCGGGAAACGAAGTCCATATCCAGTTCTGGAAGTCAGGAAACTCCTCCCTGAAAATGTTTCCTTTCGATTAAAATGGGTTTTACTTTACTGATATTTGCGATTATTAAGGAGATTCTCATTAATTTTTTCAAACCTGCATACGGAAACCTCCGGGGAGGGAACATTGCTCCAATTCAAACTCCCTGCGTACAACTTAATTATTGAATGAATGGGTAGACCAAGTCAGAGAAATGCTAGAAGGGGGGGGGTGATGAATTAAGCGACTATTCATTGTGTTTAACTTTTTTCCACATAACTTTTAAAACTGCTCACATGGGTTCTTTCTTTGCTTCATTTAGGCTTATTCGCGTTTAGCAAAGAGTCCAGAATGCCAACGATAGAAATATACCGGCATTCCTTGCAGGTTGACACCCCAGATATTTTACACTTCGATGATTTCAAAAACTCTAAAGTTGTCGACGTCCATCTTCTTAACGGTCGTTCGGCCACGAAGAAAAAGAAAACGGTCTCGTTCAAAGATCAATGCTGAAATATCGCTGCGGCAATCAGCGAGAGAATGTTTGAATTTTCAACATCACTTTCGGCGATAGTTCACATTAATATTTGATTTTTAAGAGCACTCGTTCGAGTGACGAGAGGGCGTGTGAGCGCCTAGTGCAATGTAATCATCGCTTGAGTCATTCGAGCCTAAAAGTCTTGGAATGTTTTCAAATAAAACAGGCGTGCCGAGCATTCCTATATACCGAACTGCGCCCTTACTGTAATATGACACTGGTAACTAATATATCGCCCATCTTGTTGTAAATTTCCATGAACTTCCTTTTCACTGAGAACACTTGCCTGGCTGTCAAGTGTTGGAGATCGTTACAGAAACGTAAAGGAAAACTTTCATGTGTAATGTATAATGCACTTTGTATAGAGATTTGTAATTTGGTTATAAATAGTCATTTGTTATAATCACAACCTCCTGGACATGATATAGAATGCTTTGAGTATTTGTCAGCCGTATAAGTTCTATTCATGACGTAATGATATTATTTGTTTTGGTGATTTCCCCCATTAGACGTGATGTTAGCAAGCATCACCCATCTCTATCCAGCTCAAAAAATCGTTGCCGCGTCATATCAAGTAATGTTTAGAAAGAGCATTTGAAGCTCAAAACATACTCCCACCTTGTCAATTTTACATTGAAATTGTTTCGTTGCGTAAGCAAGTAGCAATGTTTAGAAAGTCATTGAACATTGTGACGATCGAAACATACTCCCACCTTGTCAATTTTACATTGAAATTGTTTCGTTGCGTAAGTCACCAAGTGTGCTGTGCGTACTCGCGCAAGCGTGCGTGTATTTCGTAGAAGGTATTGTCATTGAACATTGTGACGATCGAAACATACTCCCACCTTGTCAATTTTACATTGAAATTGTTTCGTTGCGTAAGTCACCAAATGTGCTGTGCGTACTCGCGCAAGCGTGCGTGTATTTCGTAGAAGGTATTGTCATTGAACATTGTGACGATCGAAACATACTCCCCGCCTTGTCACTTTTACATTGAAATTGTTTCGTTGCGTGAACCATTGTCATTGAACATTGTGACGATATACTGCCTTGTACATTGAAATTGTTTCGTTGCGTGAACCACAAATTTTATTGTGTAGACTCGCCCTAGCGTGCGTGTATTACCGTATAAGACATTGAATATTATGACGCTTGAAATGTACTCCCTTTTGTCAATTTTACAATTTCGTTGTTTCGTTACCATCTCTAACAATGCTTGTGTACAGACTTTCACAACAGGGGAGACGAAGAATGTACTCGCCACTAAATCAATGTATTACTGTAAAGCGCTCAGCAAAATTAGATGTCATAAATATGCAAATTATGCTTATGTATGTAATCGAGAGTACGACCAATATGTTAAAGACACTTCAGCTATTAGCAAAATCTTTTTCGAGTCGAGTGAAGCATATGTGCTCGTAATGGCTTGGAAATTTTTTTTGTACCTTAAACATGGACTGCGGAATACAGTTACTCTTTAATTGTAAATTAGTTTTCATAACAAAGATTTCGTCATTTCGATGACGTTCGAACGGATAACAATTGTTACTGATCTGTTAGTTTCACGTTGATGTGAACTTCCTGAAATCAGGGTCGACATAGAAACGCAACTAACTCGTTTATAGGAAATCAAATGGATTGGGTGGGTAGTGAAGACACTATTCTGGCTCCAAACTGGTTGACTCCCAAAGTCTATTGAATATGCACCTGCACTTAAACATCAGACAAGTACCCTTAAATACTGTTTAATGTATCTAGTCCTGGCAGGCGGAACTTAGAAGCTCAAACACAGCTTTAAAAACTTGAGAAATAGCAGTTTCAATATTGTAGAACCGTGTGTACACACATATTACTTTCGAGTTTTGTAGACGACTCTGTTTCTTCTATGAGTATAACAAAATATTTTGTAACGGGGGGATGGAGATCTCACGAAACCACACTTAAAGAGGATTCATGAAAAGCCTAACATGAGATAACATATTGCTCTTGACATTAGGTTGGCACGGTTGAGTAGTTGTGAAAATTCTTTTTACTCTCTCCACTCGCAATATTTTAATTGTTAATAAAAATTTCCCAAATTACATTCAAATCTTTCGAAAAATTTATCTTTACATCACTAATCCCCCCCTTCCCCCTTTTGACGTTATCAGAGTGAGATTTTCGTATCAGCAATAATGTAACTATGAAAACAAAATAAACACTTGCTAAAAGCGGAAAATCCAATATACGAAAGGAATGTTCACTTCAGACTGTACAGGCAAACCGGAACTTGTGTAATCGTGGCTAATTTTCCCACCATCGGGAGTTTACGTAAGATCAAGTCGTCATGACGTCACGGCTGAAATCAACTCAATTTTTCTATGCTCATTTCTCATATATAAAGATGGCGGCCAGGGTGGTTTGTGAAAAAGTTCTGTTGTTTGAGTCGTGTTTTGTTCTCGCTATAACACTGCTAACGCTTCGCTTGTAATAATCGTGTCCATATATTCATGCAATCTTTCCCATCGTTGGTTACTTAAAGAAAAGAAAATTTTGTAGAAGTCTGGTATATAGAAATGAATAGCACAACATCTCATGGACATGGCGAGCGTCTTCGTATGCGACCGTGGATCGAAAAGAAGTTGAACGAAGGATTCATTCCCGGATTGTTGTGGGAAGATAAAGAAAATGGCATTTTCAGAGTACCTTGGAAGCATGCAGGCAAGCCAGATTTTGTTCTAGAACGAGACGCTATTCTGTTCAAGGAATGGGCAAAGCACACTGGCAAATATTTAAAGGATGGTGAACAGGAAGAACCATCCACTTGGAAAACACGATTTCGTTGTGCTCTACGTAAACTTCCCGACGTGGAAGAGTTGAAGGAGAGGAGCAGGCTGGACGGCGAAGAGCCGTACAGAGTATTCCAATTTCTGTCGAAAGGTATGCTGCATATGTAATTGTCACGAGGTTCAGCGCGCTCCGGTTCGATTTGTGTAAATTTTGATTCCTGGAAAGAATTGCGGTTATTTTGACACTTTTATGCGTGTTTTTTATTACAACAGGAAGTCCTAAGAGATTAGTGGACTTTGTCTGCGAGGATATTGCTTGTCTGGGAATTTGTTATTTTAAAGCGTTGCTATTAGTGAAATTATGCTTTCTTTTTTCGATATTTTAGCTCATTTGCTACAATTTGGTACAAATTGCCATTCTAAGTGATGTTATTACTTGAATTGCTTCAGCAAAGCGAATTGCACCTACGTTTCATGTGAAAATCGTTTACTTTAAGTACTTTAAAAATTTGTCGTGCTTATGATGGATTGATTCCAAAGTGCATGCCTAATGTGATTTTCACACAGCAAAGCAAGGTCAACATATCCATTTGTCTTTACATGAGCAAACTCTATCAAAGATAAATGAGCCAAGTGAGTTTACTAGGACCTACCATGGCCTTGTCTCAGTGTTTGGACTTGTTTTCCATGAATTTTGAATTTAAATGAGAGGATCTGACCTGAAGTTGTGTGTAACACTGGGGGCTAGAATACTAATTGGGAGTGGTCAGTATTCATATATTCAGCTCTGCCCTGCTGATTTCTTTTGAAATTAAAAGCACTGACAAACCAAATCACTCAAGCAGAGCTGAACATATATGATTATCCACCCCTAATTAGTGTTCTAGTCCCCCCCTGCTTTCTAGCTGTACTCATGTGTATTTTTTTTATCTTTTGGAGAGTTAAAAATTGAGAGTCAAGAAAATGCTTATTCACCATCCCATGCAAATATAGCAGTGTCACCTGTTCCTGCTGTGGACCAGGTGAGTTTTATCAAGAGATCATATAAACGTAAAAAAGTGTAAAAAATTTACATGTTTAGATGCTTCTTTACTTAAGCCTGCATGGTTAGGACATTTTCAACATTACCATAGTCCATAGATACATATACTATAAAACAGAGACTTTGTCTTGTTGTCAAATCTAAATATTGATTTGTGCAATTGCCTTTGTGCTCAATTGGCTAAAAACGATAGAGTTCCTAGAACTTCTAAAAAGCAGTAGAGACCAATGAACAATTACTGATTTTTGGATTTCAGTACTTGTGGAAACTCTATTATTTGTGGTCATTTACCATGGCAACTGCACTTTCCAAAGCAACATTAACATATATATTATATGTATGCCTATATATGTTTATACACATGTATATATATTTTTTCTATGTATGTTTATTCTGCTAGAAGGCTGTATTGCCAGATGTGATGCAGTGAACATGATAATTTTCCTTTTCTTTTAGACCAGCAATTCTCAAATATTTGGTAAGCAATAACTTATTTTTATAGTAGTGAAGGAGGGGAGTTGGCTGGATGTTAATGACCAGTATTACATAAAGTATGCATGTTTATGGAACAACAGCCAGTTGGGATGTGAAACCAAATTCGCCAGCTTGCACTATTTGTAAAGTCACAAGAAAGCTTATTTCATTCTTGGTTCTAAACACTATCCCAGATTATATGTTTATATAGTATAATATAGCATTCTTGATATGTTGACAATACCCCCTAATTATGTGTTCAAATTTTTCTTTTGACAGCTAACTACAGAGTATTGGATAATGGTGACGACAGTGTTGATGAGCTGCAAGCTACTATACTTGGTAATTTTACAGAGGTAACAGGAATCGATGTATATATTTGCCAAATTTTGTTCATTTATTGTGCAAAATAGAGGTGATGTTTGCTATCCTTCATTTGACTGTTTGTTGCATTTTTTCGTCATTCGCATGATTTTGTAGGAATTTGTTCAATCTTTAATAAAAATCAGTGCAAGAAAACATCATATCTAAGATAGCTAACTGCCCTCAATTAAAGATAGTGAAATATCACGGATAAAATCAATTCAAAATATAAATCGTATATATCGAAAGATTTGTATGAAGCTGCATGATGAAGCTTTGGTGAAGTTTTGTTTTTTTTCTACTTTTTAGCCATCATTGTGGAGTCCAACCGAACATATGGTTACTGGTATGAATTTGTTATAATTTTTGGTTCAACTGATCAATGTTTATGTCACTCTGGCTTAGCCAACAGACCCCCAACTTTGTTGACAACCTTTAAAACAACACAATATTTCAGAAGAAACAAATAATTATTTTTGGAAATTGGCATGGTACTATGAAATTTGAGCTGGATGGGAAGTTCCCGCATGTTCATTCATGGTTTGAGAAATTTTACAGCGTCCAAGATGAAATACTTCAGAAATCTAAGTTGTTTTGAAAGTTTACATTTTTAAGCTGAGTGTTTTTTTGTCAGTCTCCTTTTGTACATCCAGGTTGTTTTTCCCAAAGATCAGTGGTCTATGCAGAGTGACCTATATTGATACAGAACTTTTGCTATCGAGATTGGCAAACTTTTTCTCTGAAGAATGTCATTGTTTGCTTAAAATGATTCTTATTTTTGATGTAGATTTCTCCAGTTCTTATGACACAAATGATTTTTTAAATGACTACATGAGAGCGGATGATATGTTAGCAGATTTCTCGCCAACACCGCAAATTCAGACACAGCCGCCGCAGGTTGGCGTGCTGGATTCAAACGAGATAAATGAGATCATTGGAATGAACCCAGAAAGTAAGCATTTTCAAATTATCATCGATTGCAGTATTTAATGTATGCCATTTTTACTTCGGCTTTCTTTATGTGACCCTGTTTCCTATGTAAGTATGTTTAATCGCAAACAACATCTCTTTTTTTCTTTTATGATACATTGAAGTAAAATACATGGAACGCTACCTGAAGTAAATAATTGAAGCCAAATATTGCACCCAGACACGCGTGTTTATTGTTTCGCGATTCTCTGGCGGAATGAATATTGATTGAAGTACCTGCGCGTGTCTGGATGTAAGATTTGGCTTCAAAAAATTATTACACTTTTCTATTACAGGTAGCGTTCTATTTATTTTAGTTCAATGGTATGCACAATTTAATTTATGATTTCTATAGCAATCAATGTGGGCGTCAAGGTCTTTTATCATGAGAAACAAGTCTTGGAGAGAGTTGTCGACAATCGTTATGGTTGTCGATTATACTCAGGTGTCGATTTCACCAAAGCTGCCGACTATACTGGTGATTTTGCGCGAGTTTACGGCCCACCGGAAGTGGAGCAAATCCAGTTCCCCGAGCAAGGAAGTCAGGTGGCTGTCACTGACAAACTTAATCGTGGCCTACTACTTCAGTGGCATCAAAATAACATCCACGTGACCCGCATTTGTCCTGCTCACGTGTTTGCTAGCGGAGGATGCCTGGGGACGAATATCGTACCACTCAAACGTAATGAAACAACCAAGGTTTTTGACTACAATCACTTCCTGTCCGGTTTAGCCGAATACAAACTCTCCAAGGCGCCCGTACCCTTATACGAAGTATTCTTCGCATTCGGGCAACAACCCGCAACCTCTACGACTGTCGATCCCGGCGTTTTGATCACGGTATCCGTGACCCACATGAATGCAAAGGCAAGCATCAGTAAGATGGGCAGTGGGTCTGACGTCATCATGTCCATCGAAGATGACTTTGACGTTCTTGCAAAACAAATGCAACAGGTTGTAAAATTACAACAAAAAAATTTTTAAAGTTCAGGCGCTGGTCGCTGTCATGTGCTCGGGCTTGGAGCCAAACCTTGAGCCTATTTATACTTTGCTTTTCTTATTGGTGAGTGAGCTAACGGTTCTTGGACGTATTGAGATACATTGATTATTTCATGGACGGATTTTCTTAGGGGAGTGCAGTGAGTGCCACCTTACAAATATCACACTTCACCTAGTAAATGAACTGTTCACCCCTCCAAGAAACATTTTAACCCCCCCCCTTAATTTCTAGCAAAACAAAATAGTAGTACATTTGAACTGAGTTTTTCTGGGCATTGTTTCAACTTTTTACACAACCTTCGGTGGCTGCGAAAATCCGTCCATTATTTTTGTGTGAAAATACTTTACGTTTGAAACATTTTAATGGGGGGGGGGAAGGTTGTTAATCTGGAATCGTTATCGTTTTACAATCAGACATAAAAAAATATAAATATTTATGTACGCCATAGAAAACTTTATAGTTTTGAGAGCTTATCTACCATGGAGTATGAATAAGTGCCACTCAACAAATATCAGAGTATCTTTGAAAACTTAGGAATTGTAGTCGCGTATGATTGAAAAATCAAGCAAATGAGAAGTATACAATTTTAACACGTTTTGAAGCAGGAATGTCTATTTATTCCCATGGAAATGTCACCGCTTTACGACTGTACATTAGAAGTAAGAAAACATGAAGGAATAATCCTTATCACTGACAAACAGTCGTTTACCGTTTATTTACTCTGCACATTGACACTTGTGAAATACAGTCCATATGTATTATGATGTTGGGAAATTGCTGTAACCAACGTTGGACACTTGAGGAGGACAGAAGTGACTTGAGACCTTGAACAACCCCCCTGCAATAATTTCGAGAGGATTCGACCGTCAGACAAAATGAGTTAGAAAGTAAGCGGTACTCCAGTTACAAAATACGAATTGTTTTATATCTAACCAATTCGCTCTCTCCCTTCTCCCATGTCCAACGTTTGTTGCAATCTTGTTCAATCCCTACACCGAAATCTAATATAAAGAATTTGAGAGAGACTTCTCGTTGTAGATCTTATAGAATTACATTTTTAAAAAAATAAATTTTTAAATACAATTTCTACCATCCATAACAGTTCTTTCCCGGTTTGAAAACACAATTACCTTCGTAGGGTTTCCATTTTTCCAGTCTTTCTTTTTTCACTTTTGCTAATCTCAGCAAAAACAATTTTCAAAGTCTCTTCGAGGTCATCTTGTTTACTCTCCTTTGCCCAACAAAAACTTGTTATGCGCTGTACTTATTGCCGTTGTGTGATGTTTTCAACATTAAATTAAAGATGGCTGATCGTCAAGATGCCTCAGGAACGAAGAAGTCCAGGAATATTATAATAAATACAATCTTTATGCATAGACGTTGTGTTTTGTGCCTCATGATTGTTTTAACACTGTAGTTTTAACACTTTATTTGTAGTTGAACAAATATTAAACTTTTATCGTATTCAATCCTGAAAACAATAGGCAGTGATTCTAAACAAAAGAACTGTGTTCTCCCTTCGTTAAATCTACGTTAAATTTAAATGCAAATCACCATTATATGATGTCTTATGCGCTTTCTTACATTCTGCTTGATGCGTAGAAAGTAATGGTGACTTCAAGTTGTTCGACTTATTATTCTTGGGCTGCAAGCGACGTCATAGTCGCCATGTTGGATGATTTTAACAAAGGATTTTCCTTATTTACAATGCAAATTTCATCCAATATGGCGAGCATTCCATCGTTCTCTTACTCCTGGGGTATGATTGCAACAAACCAATTATAAACGTCGAGTCTTGTTGGAAGGGAGCTTATCATTAAGATCATGCTAAAGATGATCATTCAAAGCTATAAAATATAAAAAAATCATAATCTTTGTTCTTGTACGAAGTCAACTGCAAATATTTTTGGTATGTAGCGCCATTGATCAATATCAAACGTGTTTGTTGTGTTAGCTGACAATTAAATCTCGTAAGACAATTTATGAATGTGGATTTTACGCTCTGTCTCGGAATCACGGAGAAATGACGGTGACGGTGTAAATGGTCACAAGATAATCCATTGGAGCTCAACAACGAATGTTATTGGTTTTGGGCTAATTTACTCGATGTTTTAACTTTCAAGCGAAAGAAAACGAGTAGGTTTTGAACCTGAGAATTTACGATCACCACACCCTCGACTTTACTATTACTTGTTTACCCATTTTCAACTTTAAAAAGAGGAAGAACTCGAATTGGTCTTAAAGTCTAGGAACGAATGTTTATCTGTCAAATTTTTTTCAATCAAACACTATAATTCATGTATTTTCACAAATCTTCACATTTTTTCAATCAAAGACTATAATTCATGCATTTTCACAAATTTTTACTTTTTTTCATACAAACACTATAATTCATGCATTTTCACAAATTTTTACTATTTTTCACCTAAAGACTATAATTCATGCATTTTCACGCATTTTCAAATTTTTTCATACAAAGACTATAATTCACGCATTTTCACAAATTTTCATATTTTTTCACATAAAGACTGTAATTCATGCATTTTCACAAAGTTTCATATTTTTTCACACAAAGACATATTTTTGCAATCAATATTCATGCATTTTCACAAATTTTATATTTTTTCACATAAAGACTATAATTCATGCATTTTTACAAGTCTTTGCATTTTTTTAATCAAAGACTATAATTCATGCATTTTCACAATTTTTCACACAAAGACTACAATGTGAACGTGTAATCGATTATAGTGGAATCGTGTAATTGATTACATGATTTTTAGTACAATTGATAACAGTGTAATCATGTGCTCCATTACAAAGACTATAATTCATGCATTTTCTTAAATTTTTACATATTTTCAACCATAGACTATAATTCATGCAATACACGCGATCTTTGAAAGATATCCAAACAGAGTTGCAACGATGTCTTTAAGTTGACGTCGAAAGGAAGGAATGTAGTCGTAAACTTGAGTATTTCTCCAGTTTTATTTTCGTATGACTTGTGAAATATTTATGACATTCAGGAACACGATGAACGAGCAAGAAGTTAGCACCTATAACATTTTATAATGCATCAGTTCATTGAGATGCAGCAGACTAAACTGATGACATTATAAAGATGCTCCTTCTGTTGAGCTTGCTGTTAAATCTTCACAGAAAAGCTATTAGTTGTGTTAAACGACACCAAGCCAAAATATATTCAAACCTATACAAATATATATATAATATATATATATATATCATCAAATACCCTGAAGAGTGAGTAATCCCAAAACAGGCTTGTAGGGATGAACTGTAGATTTTGTGATTTTTTTCCAAATCACTATGTATATTTACGCTCTTATTCTTTTAATAGTTACACAACTATCAAATACAATATATTTGCGATGGGTATTCAACGCACTGTCTGGTCGAGTGGACAGATGCAGGTTAGTCAGGTTGAGGTGTGAGGTTCGAACCTTTCAGGGGTCGGTTGTTGTTGCCTTGGTGTGTCGAGCCTACGTGTAGCCTACGTCATATACACATGCTTCTCGTTCGTTTAGCCTACGTCATATACACATGCTTCTCGTTCGTGTAGTCTACGTCATATACACATGCTTCTCGTTCGTGTAGCCTACATCATAAACACATGCTTCTCGTTAGTGTAACCTACGTCATAAGCACGTGCTTCTCGTTAGTGTAGCCTACGTCATAAACACGTGCTCTCGTTAGTGTAGCCTACGTCATAAACACATGCTTCTCGTTAGTGTAACCTACGTCATAAACACATGCTTCTCGCTTGTGTAACCTACGTCATATACACATGCTTCTCGTATGGGAGTCAATGCAATGTTGAATCAAAGTTTGCCCCCATGTACGTTACATTTGTTTGAGCACAGTTAATTTTATACATAAATTACGGACTTGTAGTGAAACAACAGCAAACAAAGAGCACAATGTCTCATTAGAATATCGGATTGGTATTTTAGCCCCCAATCCTTTTCATCGCAACGATTGATCATACTGAAGTGAAAAAAATTGCCATTACTTTATATACAGACGATTTATTGGCGTTACTGTACCGCTAGTTCTTCTCGAAGTTTTTTTGAAGCAGCAGTATTTGTTCTGCAAAAATTCACAATTTGCAATTAGAAAAAGATTGGTGAATTAAATGAAACAAAATTTAATAGCAATTTTTTATGGTAAAAACTCCTTCAGGCAAATAGAATACATGTATATGACTATTCTTCTCTAACCAATTTCGTCTTCATTATATAAATTGTGGCTAGGTAGTAAATAAGGGTATAGTGGTAAGGGAATTTTTTTTGCACTCAACATTAACTAACACGTGCAGTCTGTTTATGTAGTCTGGCAAATTTCGAAGTGAAATATCGTACATATTACCTCTATTTTAGCCCTCAGCCTAATTTTAGCCCTCCTTTCTAGTAATCCTCCACTTTATATGTAGAAAAACAATACTAACCCCCCACCATCCTACACTTACCTCTCACCATCCTACACTTACCACCACCATCCTCCACTTACCACCACCATCCTCCACTTACCCCCATCATCCTCCACTTACCACCCCACACCATCCTACACTTACCACCATCCTCCACTTACCCCCATCATCCTCCACTTACCCCCACCATCTTCCACTTACCCCCACCATCCTCCACTTACCCCCACCTCTTTCATGCAGCAAATCAAAAAATCACAAGTCAATCTCACTGTGAAACCAAAGCAAAATACGAATACTAATTAAGCTCTATTCGCTGATCAAGCTTTTATTCGTTGGAAACTTATGAGTGTAAAACTTAAAACAATCGCTTCCTTTGCGTCAAAATTTCAGAAAGATTAAACTCAGGTGTACAATTTTTCCATAATGCACTTATTGGATAGGGTATTTTAATATATAGTAATTAATAACGTTGTGTGAATCAGTATGCACAAGCAAAGTTAAATGAAAACTTATTCAGCCTGCAGCTTCATTTTTGCTTCCTTTTCCAATAATCCCCCACTGTCAAAAGGAAAATCCCCACGGTAAGATTGATCAGGGAAAATACGATGTTCGTATACCTTCATCCAGATCCCCAATAGTGCTCATTTTCTGAATGAAATCTTCACACGTGGCTTTCGGGAGTCCAAATGCTTTCATATTACTTGCAAACGATCTTAGAGATAGAATCTTTTAATTAAAAACATGTAAAATATTTGACGTGTTGATCTACAGTCGTGTATTGAAACGAGAGTGGAAATTGGTTGATCGTGAAGTTGTGTGGAAACACAATCCCTAAAGGCCCGTTCACACAATCCGAGAGTCGGATTCGTCAATCTAAAATTCGGATGGAAATAGAGCTTGCTCTATTAGTTGTTAGAACATCTTACTCACAAATACAACAGTTTAATGAATACATGCGTCGATGAAAATATATGTTAAATACATTAAGTATTAGAGACAAATAGTAAATAACTATATAAACCAGCAAATGAATACGAGTCAGCTTACCCGAGTTGCCCGAACATGCGGTTTTTATGCAGATCCCTCTGAGCGTTCTTTTCTTTATCAGACAAAGTATCCCAATCAGACCTTCAAGGAAAATTTTTAACTATAAATGAAAATGCCTCGTTGAAGCACAATGCTATGTCCTCATACTTAACAAAGATATATATTTTATGAAAGAATGTTTTATTTCATTTAAAGATATATATTTGATATATTTCAAGCTGGGACATTCGGATAGAAAAATCTTTCCAAGAGGTCACAAAAAGACGCTTTCTGAGATTGATGCATCATCAATCTAACACCATCTTGACGTCATCATGGCTGATAAAATTTTTTGTATAAAATCAATCTACAGCCATAGTGGAAATAACCACCAGTTGTGCTATTGTCAGCGGTTTACATGAACGCAATTTTCTTTTTGTCCGCAGTGTAATTTCAATGGTTGTGCGTTGGTTACTTTTCTTTCACGCAGGTGAGAGGTGGGGACACCAGGCTGGTAACGGTCATTCAGGTTAACGAGTTTGAAATGTTGTTGTCGACTGAAAACATGCGCAGTCTACTCTATCAACAAACGGAGTTCATACCAATCAGCTGGTATTTCAAATGACAACATCAAAACACAATTTGATGTTTTCACATGCGTTTACTATGAGTTTGAAATGGCGGCTTATGATTTTTTGTTTGACTGCGGTTAGATATCGTGAGACTCCGACCGCTGCTACAACCGGTCAGATTGCAGGCTCGGGTTTCGCCCGTTGCTCATTTGAAAAGACATAAATATATGTTTTAAAACGTACTGTGGCAATGTCGGTTGGTCTTGCTCACTGTGAACAGAATCGAGAAACGCGGCGTTCCAAAATCTCAATGTCCGCCTGAAAAGAAAAGATGAAACATTTTGAAATGCATCGTAAAGACAAATCGAATCTACTTTAGAATAAGTCTTTATCACTCATATAATATGAATTCAAGTACAAACATGTATGATAACAAGTACAAGTTTTGCTGCAACTAAAACTTATTTCAACACAGAATTAATTCAAGTATTGTATAATCCGACACAATGTAAAAATTTGCTGCATGTTACATGTTTTAAAGCGACTTATTCTTACCAAATTGGCTGGTCTCTCAAATAAGTATGAAGAAATTCTTTCTTTTCCGTATTTTTTCCTGGAAATTGAACAGTTATTGTTGAATTTTTACCTGGAAACTGACACTTATCGTTGCTCGTTGAATAAGACAAACAAATATTTGCGAAAGCAGCGAACACGCTGAATTTAAGCAATCAAATCAACACAAAGCTATGAATAAAGTGATTATGAAATTTAAGGTCGCGGGAAGAAACTACTACTTCTCGATTTTACCACAATGCAATGCGCACCGCCATTATCATCAGTTATAGTGGTTTATCAAATTGGCACACTCATCGAAATCACCTGAATAAAAAACTTGATAAAATGTAAAGCACATGTTCATAAGAGTCTTTGCTGGAGAGAAATCATCTGCTTGATGGCATCTAGATGAAACAGACGAGAATAAGAAAGGAATATTAGGCAATGTTTGCCCTTTCCCGGCATGCGCATGCGTTGTGGAAGCAAGCGAATGACGTCACAGACAGAAACAAAGATGATTACTTACTCAAAAAGTACGGTAGCAAAATACTGAACAAGTCTGAAAAAAATAGTTTCATCCACGCACATGTTTTCTCTCTGACAAAGAGAAAATAGAAGCATACAAAAAACGGACGTTAAAAAAATTAAAAATGACGCTTTCTCGCCAAAAATAGCCCAACCTGCATGTTGATATAACGGGCGAACCAACGTCTTGCTGCAGCATGCTATCAATGTTCAAACATAAAAGTTAGCATAAGATGTATGTTGTCGACAAAAATGACAACATGTTTGTAAATGTAGATCGTCCAGGTTGGTATAGTCCTGAGAAGGACTGTTTTTGTTGTTGTTAAAAAAAACCAAAAAAAACGAAACGTTCCCGGGTTCAAACCATTAACTTTAAAAATGACAACTTTATTCAAATGCAACAGCGTAGCCAGGCAGCAAGTTTTGGTTCTACTGCTGTGTAAATTTCAGCGTATTGTCAATGTTTGTATTTTTAACAAGTTTTTTCATGGTATTTGAAAGTTAACTCCGAAAGATTTGCGTAGCTGGACTGGATAAGCGGGCAGGCCATGCAACTGCTAAATGATACAACTTTTGATAGCACTGTCTATCGTCTTTTCTATTTCAGTACTGCAGTAAGATATTGCATTGTGTTAAGGACTCGTGCACTATAAAGACGTTGTCACATGCAGCTCACATGTGGAATGATTAAAACAGGGGGGGGACATTAGGTATGTGTGGAAGGGACATTAGGTGTGTGTGGGAAACATTAGGCGTGTGTGTGACATGTTCTCCAAATTTTGTGATATATGTCTTAAAAATCAGTGCTGAATCTGATAGACAACGGAAATTGTGGCTTTTTCCATCGCCGTAAATGCAAAAACTAAAAAAGTAGCTTCTCAAACGGTAGAACACCCACTCTTCCCCATTTTTTTGAAAGGTGCATCCCTGTATGAAACAACCAAAGATAGGAATATTTGATACTGGCCGAGTGGCACATCAAACCAACCTGGCAAATAACTCCAAATTGCGCTTTTTCCTCTTGTGACATATCCCTTGGAATTAAAAACCACATCATTTCAATAAAGTTCTCAGTCCAAACAGCTTAATTTGCAAATTTTGTACCCTTTTGAAAATATCTTGCTCACAAACATGTTCATGAACTCTTTACACTCGTTCGTGAACACGCTCGTTTCCGCATCATAATCGATTTGATACCCTATCAAAGAATGAAAACATTCCAATGAGAAAAACTTTACCATAAGATTCAGAGACGCGAACACAATAGATCCTGGCTATTTCGGATCTTCAGATGAATATACAGTCTACTTTTAGCCAGTGGCGGTCCTGGCGGACATTTTATGTAATATTCAGGGAAGGGGGGTTCGTCTTCAAGGCATGAGATTTCAAGGTAGATTCCAGGGAATGCCTATTGGTGTATTTTTAAATCTCATCTGCAGAAATTTAATTTAAGCATTCATAAATATCTTACATGCACAAGGTTTAATGCGTCTGCGAGTACGTGTACAGTACAGAAGTGTATGTAGGGGAGATTTGAAGGATTTGGCACGAGAGATTTGAAATCTTTCAAAATTATTGGTGGGGGCTCAAAAGCCCCCTTGACCACTTGCTACAGCTTTTAGCCAAAATGTTTTATGCAGGTGTAGACTCAAATCATCCGGGAATTGTGTATAGTCGATGAAAGTAAGAAAACCCCCTCACATTCTCCTTAACTTAATCCTTATGATTGTTGCCTCAGTTTTCTTGTTTCCAAAAATTGGCTAGTTGACAAAAAATTTTTTATGATTAAAAAGAGCATTTCTAGATGATGCATTATTGTCCACAACCTCCCTTACTGATGACCTAGCCCATTTCATAATGCAATGATTATATCAACTTATATCTAAATATTGGTGGAAAAGCAAGCCAAATTTTTACTTCTGCAACACAAATCTTCAGGAAAAATTATAATTCATTCTAAAGCCAACGAGTTCACATGAGACAAAATACTGATGTGACTTGAGAATGCATATTAAATATTAATGGACTCCGTCGATTTCGACATATGAGGGTTCCACGAAGTGGAACATCCTGGTTACTTAATTATAGTGAAGGCAGCTGACCAGACTACAATCACTCGTACCTACAACGCTGATATCAGCGTGACACATTGTGGCAAGGCTGCAACATTGCAGATGCAGATACAGTCCATCCGAGGACATAGTTTCCTCTACCAAATTTCCCTCACATGGCTTTGGTCAACCCGGGCTAGGTTTACAAACACATTGCCAGATGTGCCACGAGCTGGGATTGAACCCGCGCCGTCTGGCTTGCAACTCACGCAATTAACCATTCAGCCACCCGCCCTGTCCCAATAGGTAAGCATAGGCATATTAAATAGGTAAGCTGTAATACCATGTGAAGCAACCGTCATTGAACATGAACATGGACAGAATCAAACAGGTATGTACTTGTAATCTAATGTAAACTACCTATACATGTTTGTAAATGTTGATCGTCCAAGTTGGTATAGTCCTTCAGAGTCAAAAGATGACTACCGCTAAGGTTGTCGAAACGTCAGTCAACAACAACAAAAACAGTCCTTCTCAGGACTATACCAACATGGTCGATTGACATTTACAAACATGTAACGATACTCCCGGGTTCAAACCATTTACTTTGTAAACTACCTATCCTAAATCTTATTCTTGACTTGCAATCAGCCATGTTGGTGGTATAATACAAAAGAATATTTTATCAGTGTTATTGTTGGTACCAGCCGATGTGGGTGAGCAACATTGTTTGGTAAATCCCAAGAGAAAGGTTGCAAGTCCAGGATAAAACTAACCCAAACAATAATCCCATCTTAAGAAACACAAAAACAATAAGCAAAGTATTCAAATATGTTAATCTGCAACCCTGTGTCCCACTCGCCATATATGCCCATGGTGATGGCCAGTTGAAATGAAGTACAGTGACCTACCATTATCTTCAGACAGGGAATCTTCAAAAACATCTCGTCTCATGGTGGTCGCCATAGCCATTTTTTATCAACTGGAATTAATTAAAGATGCGCTTAGTTGTCAATTTGATGAAATAGTTCGTCTTTATATCAGCATACAAAATTATTACACATGAATCGTGTGGAAACAATTTCAGGACCTCAGAAATCATTGAAGTGGTTATTAAAAAGTGCACATGGAATATGTCCTAACTTGGCAACTTTGAAAGAACAAAATGATGGTGATTTATGTCAAGTAAAAATTGAATCACATGCCCTAAGCCATAAACATACATATGGTTACTCGTCATAAGCTTTCCCAGTTTCTACAATTCTGGGACATTTTCACCCACATAAAATGAAGAATTAGAAACGGAATTAACTTCTTACAACAAATTTTCATCTCATGCGATCACAAAAATAGGCTCAAATGAAGCATTGTCTCGGTAGATATATAAAAATTGGGTTATAATACCGTTTTTCCTTTAAAGCAAACGCCACTAAATGAACATCATCAATTTCTCGTCGTCAAATTATTTTCAGGAAATGTCATAATTGGGAATTGTGATGGTTTCTCATACAAACACCAAATGGACTCGAATTGCGCGCAATCTCGCGTGAAAATGTTGCCAATGCTTCCACCATTGGTGAATTTAATGTCTTTAAATATTTAGTGAAATTGCTCATTTTCGTTCGTGTTTGTCTATTGTGTTTTGCAAAATAGGAATCGATTGAGATCTTTGTAGACTTGCTTTTGTGAACAAAGTTAAAGAAGATTAAAACCTTCACTCATTTTTATTGTGAACATCGATTACTTTGCATCGAGAAGACGAGAGAAATTTATCGTAAACGGATAAGCACATTGGCCAAACGGTAGCCCGTAGAATACACTGACGCCAGACTGAATTAAAATTATCGATTTGAATCGACTCTTGTAGTGAGAATATGTTCAAATACAAGCATGTTTTTCTTTGTTCGGTATGCTGAGATTATGCACATTGTACAAGAATGAAGCAGTCGTGGACATCGATGATTTTTGGCATATTTTTGGGAATACTTTTGACGCTAATATACTTCAGACTGAATAGACCCATTGTCTGGGTCTTACCGAATAATCGCCAGGTTTTGGTCCAACGACCCGTACATTTTGATGTCGATGCTAACGACAGCCACCATCATGAAAATGCGCATTTCAAAGACGCGCAAAAGGAGTACAATGAAACGCGCATTTTGTGCTGGGTGATGACCAATCCTAAGAACCATCAGAGCAAGTGTAAACCCATAAAAGAGACCTGGGGAAGACGATGCAACATACTACTATTTATGAGTTCTGAGACCGATTACAGTTTGCCATCTGTCGCACTCAACGTACCGGAAGGTCGGGAAAACTTGTGGTTGAAAACCAAAGCTGCATGGATGTATGTAAGAAAGCATCACCTGTATCATGCGGATTGGTTCCTCAAAGCGGATGATGATACCTATACTATTGTTGAGAATCTGAGGCACTTTGTGTCGCCTTTTAATACGGAGAAACCACTCTACTTTGGTCGAAGGTTCAAGCCATTTGGCTCATACAATAGTGGTGGTGCTGGCTATGTTTTCAGCAGGGAAGCTGTTCGTCGGTTTGCAGATGTAATTAAAGACAAGTCTCGTTGTCCCGAAGCAAGCTTTGCTGAGGATGTTGAAGTTGGTCGGTGTCTTGCAAAAACTGGTGTCACTGCTGGTTACACCCTTGACAAACGTGGAAGGGAGATGTTTCATCCACTCCCCCCTGAACATCACCTTATACCAGGCTATCTGGACAAAAAATTCTGGCTTTACAGCTACAACTTTCATCCATACAAAGATGGACCCGAATGCTGTTCGGATTATTCGATCACGTTTCACTATATCAATCCTAACATGATGTATCAACTGGAGTACTTTATATACCATCTACGTGCATATGGTAGTGAGAAGGATTGAATGTAATGACTATTCAACATGATAACAAATTATCAAAATATGAGATGATTTTATGAATAAAAATTCAAGTTAGCTATAGTTAGAGCTGTTCTGAAACATCAATTGCAGGGGGTGGGGTGGGTGGTGTTTATTCATACAGTCAGTTGTGCCTGACTGTTTTCTTTCAAAAGTAAATTGCTTAATTCTTTCAGTGAATTGCTTTCAGCAGAAACCAGTGGGTGCAATTGAATGTATGAATATCCCCCCCTCCAATTAACGTTATTCTAGGGATGGCTCTGGCCTTCCGCAAAAGAAGTTGATGTGGTAAACATATGAGTATTAGCATAAAATGTTGGAGAAATGGATCAGGGATGAATTTTTAAGGTGTGTTTATGTGGTCTAGTTTTAATGTTTTGTGCATGTTCTGCTGTGCCTTGTCTAGGATTTTTTTAAATTTTGTCACTCATGTACCATGATTTGGAGATATTTTTTAAAGTGTGCTCCATTAAATATAAATTCCAATTACTCTTGCTTAATCATTTGATGCATTAATATTTCATTGGGAAATTGGCACCACTTATGCACCTGTCAAGCCAAGGAAACGAAGGGTGGACACCCCCGGAAATTAACACCTGACTTGTTGTAGCCCCCAAGTCCCTACAAAATTTGAAAGCTTGAATTTTGTTGGGCAAATAAAAGCAGTAGAACGCGAGTTTCCGTACTTTAGGAGCAACATTGCTCCAATATTTATAAACTAAACGAATGGAATGCAACCATAAAAAAACAATCCTTTTCGCTTAACTCACACGTTAAACCAACGAGAATTCTTCAATCGTTTTGAATTTTCACCAAACAATTTCGTTTTATATTTTTGCACAATGCTATTGAATTTCTCCTCTTCCTTGTTGACGTTTTTCCGTCGGCTTGTTTTCTCCGTTTTTGGCCTTAAAATTTCGAGTTTATCTGAAGCAAGCTCATTTGATTTTTTCTCGTTCCGCTTCTTGTACTTGCTTCCTTTTGCAACATTCATTCTTTTGTTATTTGTAACATTTGGATTATTACTGCTAATGGTATGTTTCAATTCATTGCTAAAACCTTCAAAATTCGAAACCTTCTGATTGTCGACGCTTTCATTGCTTCCTCTCTCTTTTTTTGCTCTTTTTCTTTGTGTATTTCCCTGCATCTCGTGCTTTCGTTTATTTTTGCCTGGTTTTGAATTTTGGACTACGGTCGACTCTTTTTCCTTTGCCTTTCTTAAGTTTTTACTTTTACGTTGTTCCAATCGTTTAAGCACGAGACCGTTTTCAATGGCAAATTCAACAATGGGCCTTCGGTCGGCACCAAAAACCGCTGGATTGTTATTCGTGGCACGCAGTACTTCCAAGGCATCTTGGTGGTTTAAAAACTCGGCAAATCCGAATCCCTTAGATCGGGCATTTCCGGCGCTATCTAATCGTTCCATGTTTCGCATGATCTTCACTTTCCGGACGGTCTTCGGTTTGCTTTCGCACACATTTCGTAATACTTCGGAAAGCTTTGTGTCGTCAATGTGTAGAGGGATATTACGGAAGCACAATCTAAATGGTAGCAAAAAAGTACTGAGCTACTGTATTCTTATGGAAGTATTTCAGATTTTCTTTTAAACGGAAATCCTACTAAATGGTAGCAAAAAGTACTGAGCTACAGTATTCTTATGGAAGTATTTCAGATTTTCTTTTAAACGGAAATCCTACTAAATGGTAGCAACAAAGTACTGAGAGACAGTATTCTTATGGAAGTATTTCAGATTTTCTTTTAAACGGAAATCCTACTAAATGGTAGCAACAAAGTACTGAGAGACAGTATTCTTATGGAAGTATTTCAGATTTTCTTTTAAACGGAAATCGTACTAAATGGTAGGAAAAAAGTACTGAGCTACAGTATTTTTATGGAAGTATTTCAGATTTTCTTTTAAACGGAAATCCGACCTTGTTTTAGAAACAACATAGTGTGGCATCTTTAGTTTTGCTTTCTTTTCCTCTTCGGCTTTTCGTCGTTTTTGCATATCGCTTTTTGACAATGCTGCTGCGGCTTCCGAGCCCGGAACAATAACCCCTTCTTTTGCGAGATATAAATTGCGTTTATCACGCGGGACCTTCTTCTTATCGTCCTTTTTTGCCAACAGTTGTGGGATTTTTCCTTTAGTCACGGCTAGCGTGACAGACAAGGGACGTTTGCGCATGATCAAATCTGTGTACAGTAAAAAGTTGAATAGTTAGTTACACTTCACTCGTGAAAATTCCTCGGGACAAAGCAAAGTTTATCTTCAGTCACCGATGTTTTTGTCGACGCTAGTTAGCAGCTACCTTAAATTACATTATATAATACCTTCTGAATTATTTTACCCGACTGCTTTTGCCTCGTTCAACAAATACTATTCTTGTACGATTGTAATATATAGGTTTATAAAATAAAAACGATAATATGGGTGCAGTGATTGGTCTAGAGCCGTGTTTGCATTAGCCTGTGCAAAACACATCAGAGCTCAACCAATCAAATCAATCAAAACAATCAATCAAACGAAGAGAATTTGCAAATCGATCATGAATACATTTTAGAGGAAAATTAAAATGTTTGTCTTTTTCATATTATTTCATTTTATAAAAGAAATAAAAGACGTTTCTCGTGTTTGCAATGGCTTATGCAAACCCCGGAGACGTTTGTGAGAACTTTCGAGCATGTGCAACTCTCTACCTTCGGTCTGGGGCTTGCAATGACCTGCTCTCGAGTTCTCCCAAAGGTCTCCTCGGTTTGTATAAGCCTGTGCAAACACAGTAAACATTTTTTATTTCTTAAATAATTTCATGAACATACCTTCGCTATGTTCGTTTTCTTCACCGTACTTCTCCAAGCATCTAGCGGCGCCTTCTTTTTCTTTGAACTTAAGAAAGGCACTGCCACGGCTGTGTTCAGTAACACTGTCCATCACAATCTTACAGTAATCAACTTCGCCGAATTCTTCAAATAAACCGCTGACCTCTTCCTTGCTGGCGTCAAATGGTAAATTTCGAATGAAAATTGTTTTACCTTCACGAGCATCACGAAGCTTGCTTTTTTTCTTCAACGGAGTTTTGTCAGCCATTTCATCCTCATTGTCACCATCTGTTTCATCATCATCATCGATACTACCAATGTCGACGTCATCATGTATGTCTTCGTTTCCATCTTCATCTACATCATCATCATCTAGATCATCATCATCTACATCATCATCCTCCTCATCATCCTCCTCATTATCATCATCGAGGCCATTATCATCGATATCATCATCGTTGTCGTCATCAATATCATCATCGTCCAAATTAGCTTCATCATCAGTTTGATCATTCATATCATCGACACCGATATGATCATCACCGGCTTTCTCAGAAATTCCCTTTCCGTTCTCATCATCTGGCGTATAAAGAAGGACATGATCAATATTTACGCAATACTTTCCACTGCATATCATGATGACAACCCATATACCTGGGAGCTCGTACGGTACACAAATCGAAGAAATATAAAACGTGTAAAAAATATATACTATATAGAGATTGTGGTGAATGAGAGAACATTGCCCTAACCTCCCCGTATATAAAAGTTTTAAAACAATAGAAAGTAACGGATTAAAATTACAATGAATACTCCGTAAGCTTTGCCCCACTGAGTTACATAAGAATTAGTGGGGGATCGAGGAATCCTCTTGCGGGACTCCACAATACTTTAAATAAATCACGGGGTGCCCCAATTCAGTATTTTGACAGCGATCGTTAATCACATGCAATAAAATATCAATACCATCATGCCTTGCAGAAAATCTCCCGCCAAAACAAAACCATTTAAAGGAGAGAGAACACCGGTGCTAAAACGTTAATTGTCCCGAGAAACAGACTCTGGGGACTGAGTTCCTGCAAGAGAAACCTAAAGCAACAAACCTCCATTTTCGTATGAATCTTCGGTAACTTTCAACAACTCGTACTTTTTCTTCGGTACAGTCCAATCGACCGCTATCGGTCGACCTTTGATATGTTTCCCGTTCATGTTTTCCATGGCGTTTGCCGCTTCGAAAATATTCTTGAATTGCACAAAAGCAAAGCCAAGTTTCACTTTGTTTTTCCCAGTCATTTTCGTCGGAAGGACTATCTCCGTTATTTCACCAAATTTTGAAAAGGAATCCTGGAGTAGATCTCTGCTACATTTGAATGGCAAATTGCGTACAATGAGTCGAGTTTTCTTTAGAGATTTTTGTGAAACAGTTTTGTTCTGCTTCGAACGCAACGCGGCACTCACAACGACTCCTTTTATCGTCTTTTTATCTAAATTAGTGACTGCTTTCCTTGCACTTTTGTGTAACTTATAAATAGCGTGTGCTGTCGGCTGAGCTTCATTTTCGACCGGGTAAACAAATCGTTCAACTTCGCCGTGTCTTTTGCACGCCTTTTTTAGTTGCTTAATGTTAAAAGTGGACGGAAAGCCGCTCAAAACAATCGTGCGACCGTCGTCGTTCACCGCCGAGCTTCGTTGTGACTTCGGCTTTCTCTTGGGTTTTTCCTTTGTCAACAATTGACTGGGTGCTTCCGTGGTGATTTCACCATCAACCGATTCAGTCTTTTCGTTTTCTTTTGCAGTGCCTAGGAACCACAAAGTTCTGAATTAAAATACCATCAAACTTCAATACATTTAGCTTGTGAATATACCACTTTTTTGAAACTAATTTTGACAAAACAGAAAACATCAAGTTCCTACTGAATGATATAGTTTTATTCAAATGGGAACTAATCATCAATGACCAATACTTCACGATCAAAATCAACTTGAAACCTGCTTGCCATCTACTACAAGTCAATTTCTTTACATAGCTGTCAGAGTAAGGGACCAACATAGGATAGGTCTGCATACATCAAAATGATCATTTCAATTCAAAATACCATTAAAATATTATTGGCAAACAGGTTACAACAGAACTGTTCACAAATTATTTTGAAATGAAAAAATTACAGTAAAGTATTTCTAAGTCACAGCCACAGCTATGTGTTGGCCACTATTGTCAAAAATATATACTCATTTATAATTGAACTATCATAAATATTTAACCAAAAGATTGATTTCCATACAACTTTAATTTATAGAGCTCTTACCAGGTTTCATGTCAGCCTGTTCTTCTTGAGTTGGACCACGAGGAATGTGCCGTGGCTTTTTTTTTGAAAATGTGACAAACACCTTCCTTCCATTAATTTCACGAATTTTTTCCTTTGCCTGTAGAGCATCCTCTTTCAGAGCAAATGTAACATATCCAAATCCTCTGCATTTTCCTGGATCACCTATGATTAATTAAAAAATGGTGAGGGGTGGACTGGAAACGAATTTAATTGACTTATTCCATATTTTAGAGTTGCAAAACATGAAAACAAACCTGTATCTTTAACCACAAAGCATCTTTTCACAGGCCCCACGTCACTAAACACCTTCTCAAGTTCTTTGCTATCGAAAACAAATGGTAAATTACGCACAAACAAAGTGGTCGCACTCAAGGATGGTACATCTTTTTTTGACGAAAGTTTCTTCGCTTCTTCTTCTTCTTCTTTCGCCATGTTAAAAACTTCAAAAATATAAACAGCACGTGCTCGTGTTTCCGCTTCAAAATATCGCATTTCCAGATTACTTTTCCTAATCTTTCCGAAACATTCTCCTAATCAACTGCTTTATTTGTTTATGAATGATTCTAGTAAATGAACAGTGCAAAATACAACAGAAACATCATCAATAAATTTCGTTATAGCGTTTTAAATTCAAACTGCCCAACTGGATTCATTCGTTGAATTATAACTGTTTTTGCAACTGCACAAGTTTTGCGTATTCTCGCCTGCAAATGCAGGTTGTTTCGGGCAAATAACTTTGTTATTGCCAACATGGCAGCCGAAGTGGACGTGCACAATTTGACTGAAATCGAAGACATAGAGAGGGCTTATGCTCTCATTCAGCAACATGAAGTAAGCATACACATTTTCTTCTAGTGTAGGCTAAGAATGAAGATATCGTCGTCTATCTTATTATTTAAATGCCTGATTTATAAATTAAAAGTGTCTTAGATTAGAATTTAGAATTGAAGAATTTTAATTCTCATTGCATCAAAAACATTCAGGAGCAACTCGACCGTGAATTGGATGCCCTCTTGGATGGACAACAAAGACTTGACGTAAAAATGAATTCCCTTCAAAAAGTTGTGTAAGTATCAATTCCATTTAATAAGTGTTGTTTTGTTCAGCTGCTAATGCCTGCTACGAAGCTAGTCTTCTGGGTAAAAGGCTCTAATAACCCAAGCCCTCGTTTGTGCTTTGTAGCCCTAGTTTACAAGTTGTATTACGGGATGCTGATAAACTACATCAAATGATCGAGCATACTGCAGAACTTGCTGTGAAAGTGAGCAGCAAAGTCAGGAAGCTGGATCTTGCAAAGGTAGCCAACTGACTGAAGAAGTGTTTACCTAATTATCAGATAGTTGAGGAATGGTGGATGTAGTTGACTAGTTACATGCCCCTGGAGATATGCGGTCAAACAATTGATTGCATTGGAAAAATAAGTGTTTGGTTTTTATCATTTAAGTTACTAATGCTTTCTTCTGGTACACATGTAACTCCAAAGTTTAGAACAGAAGAGAGTATTTAAGCTTATCTGACCAGATTTTCTTTACCAGATTTGCATGTATGGTTGCACTGCTCCTTTGTTAAATTAAATGTCTGTCTTTCCTTTACCATAATGTTACTTTTAGAGCAGAGTTCAAGCAGCCATTGATCGTACCGGAGATATACTTGATCTTAAGGTACCTTTCACCACTGTTGAAGGGCGTGGCTTTTTTCTGAAATTATTGTTGTTTTTTTATGATATGGATCATAATTTTGGTTTTTATCTCTTCAGTCTTGTGTTGATGGTGTACAGGAAGCATTGAAGCACGAGGAATATGAACAAGCTGCAGGACACATACATAGCTATTTGTCCTTGGACGAAAATATGCTACGAAAAGCTGTTGAAGATGGTGGTGATTTAGAAGGTATGTATGTTGAAAGGTCGAACATTTTCCAAAATTAAGTGGGCGCGAACTCTATTGAATTAGCAACTGTTTTGATCCTGTGTACTCTATAAGTACCTGTATTCACTTGTGTATAGGATCCGATCTGAAGAACGCATTTACGTTGATCCACGATGCCGAACGAAAAATCAAGAAACTCATCACGGAAAAATTCGACGAAGCTGTGCGCATGTCAGATCGTGCTTCCATAGAAAGGTTCTCACATTCGGAAAACTCTGTCAGATTTTCTTGCGCAACTTGCATGCGGTTGGGCGAAACGAATACGGTTGAATTTTGAATTTTGAATTTTGCTGTAACAGATTCTTCAAGATCTTTCCGTTAATTGGCCTTCATGAAATTGGTTTAGAAAAGTTTGCGCGATATATAAAGGCCCAGGTAAACAAACTTATTTTTATGTAAACGTTACTCGTCGTTAACTTGCTACTAGGGAGCTTTAGCAAGAGTACGACTACGACAACGAATACGAAGTTTGACCGTGTAAGGGAATGGCACGAGGAAGTTTGTTGTCGTTGTCGCTTCGTCAAAATTTTGTTTTAGCTATAAACAACAGAACGAGCCTTTTATTGTGAAAAATACGGCTACGTGTTTTTGTTGTCGCAACAATGTTTTCGCGCCAAAATGACGTAAATCGTACTCGTAGTACTCGTACTCGTAGTCTTTGCTAAAGCTCCGTATTATCTGACCATCACGTTTCTTGGGGACATCGGCTAATGATGTTACACTTGCAATGAAATGTAAAAGCCTGGGGCTCGTCGCACGGATCTTAGATAGCGTTATCCATTGGATAGTAAATTTTTGAATTTTGTGAAAAAGTTGTTTATATTGTCGTTAGGACAAATAAATTTTTGTAATCTTAGAAGCAATATTTTATTTTGGTGATTGGTCAGTTCAAACCTTATAATTTTCCTTTTTAAGAAGTTTTTAACCGTTCGAAAAATTTGCCATCCAATGGATAAAGCTATCCATGCTACCGGCCCATGGTCCTCACTTGAGGCATAGACATAAGCAGAGGATTAACAAGACTCTCCGTTCTTATTATGCTTATTTATGATTATGCTTCATGCTTGTCCTTATTGCAGTTTATTGCAAGCGAGAATGCTTATCTTTTGTCTCAAGTGAGGAAAAGGCTTAAAACACCAACAGTCCTTCTTTGGACTCTAATAACCTGGACGAAATTAATATAAATCCTAATAGGATCTATATTATATATAATCTCTCTGATGATGGCTTTGGAATAAAGTCGAAACACGGTGCCATCTAGTAACTGCTATCATGGCGAGAACTTCTCATCCATACATAGTTTTAAGAGATTTGACTCGTCTCCAATCCCTGTGGGCTTAGTAGTTCAACAGGTAGAGCGGCAGACTAGTGTCCTGAAGGTGCGAGTTCAAATCTCGTCAAAGTCACATGTTTTTCATGTGCATGTAAAAACCGTGTTAAGATTTATATTATGTATAATCTCTCTGGACGAACTTCATCTACAAACATGTAACGATACTCCATTCACTTTGACGTAATGTTAACTTGACATAGATTGCTACAAAGTCCCAGGAAAAGCAAGAGGTCGCGCGTGGACTCCCCGATACCGGTTTGTGATTGTATTCTTGAACAGATCTATGCATTGTTTGCATATGTCAAGGTGTTTGCCTTATGATGTGCATTGTGGTAGACTATATTGATTTGGGATGTTGCTTTTCTTGCCACCAGATGGACGTGCTAGTGTCGTGTTTGCCGAAACGTTGACGATGCTTTACGAGGACGTGGCGAGAATCGTGGAAGCTCATCAGCCACTTGTTGAAACATACTATGGTAAAGATTATAAAACCGAAACTGTTATCTTTGTCAAACGTTTGCCAAAACATTTTCTTTCTGTTTTTAGGACCCGGACACATATTTCCTCTTTTAAAAGGCTCCAGGTTCGTTTAATTCAGTCTCAAATTAATTCAATGGCATCATAGAGTTTGTATCAAGCGCAAAAACACACGAAAAGGCAGTGGCGGGCACTTTATGAAATATTGGGGGAGGGGCTCTTCCTCAAAACATGAGATTTCTAAAGAGAATCCAGGGCATGCCTATTTGCATACTTTTAAAATTCGATCTCCATAAATTTAATTTAAGGATTCCCAAACACGCATTAAGCGTCTGCTGGTACGTGTACAGTACAGAAGTCTTTATTCAATATCACAGTTATGTTATGTGGATGTAATTTTAGGGATTTGGTGCAAGATTTTATATCTTTCAAAATCATCGGGGGGAGGGACTCAAGCCACACCTACCCCCCCATACTGTTCGTCACTGCAAACAGGCATTGAAAGACTAAATACATGAAAATAACTCTTAGGCAATATCAAAAGTTAATTGTTAATGAGGGCAATTTAACAATGGTAAATCGCTGCTAGAAGTTTAGGTTTACAAAGGTAACTCTAAAGTAATACCGAAAAATCACAGTTGGTGGGGCAAATTGAAATCAACAATGTTAACTAGTGGCTAGGGAGAGCTTTACCAAGGTAACTCGTACACAATATCAAAAGTCAATAGTTGGTGCGACTATCAATGTTAAATCGTTCCTAGAAATGTAGAGGGTAATTTGCAAAAGGATCACGTAGCCAATATTAAAAGTTTTGTTCGTGGGGCGATTTTGCTTTGATAACTCATGATTGATTTGTATATGTGTATGGGAAGTTTATTGTAGTGTAAGTTTATCAAGATGTATGTCATTGTTTAGTCTTACCTAAAATTATTAAACAAAATGTGTAGTCCAAAATGGCGTCTAGTCTAATTTCATGTTGTCTTAATTGACATTCGCGAATGAACGTTTCAAATCTTGAATGAAGAGGAGGATTGTTAAAGCTTGATTTGCTTAAAGCAAAAGCGTTGATATACAGTTTGCTAAATTGAAAATATGAACTTCAATTCAATGTCGAAGCGTTCTACATGTGTTTCGGTTTTCAATTATTACTTATAAATATATTTTTTAAATGTTTTTTCCTAAAACAAAATGTTCTAAAACATTATGTTCTTGTAAAACGGCTACTCATTTTGAATTTTTTTTGCAGGAAGAATGTGACAGACAGGCCGAAGCCATCACCAATCAATTCACAAATAAAAGAGATTTTTATGCCAAGGTGAAGCTTATGATAGCATTTTTATCAATTATATCCGCACGAGGTTCGCATGGATGTCAGGTGTAAATAACGAACAGATATCACCCTGATCTTTAAGGTAGTTCATCTACCTGGACTTAGCATCTTTTCCAAATCGCCATATTGTTTATTGTCATGAAATCTTGTACATTCAGATAATTGTTTACATATCAGTTGCTGTGCTGAACATCACTGGCTTTGACATGCGTCGATTCTTTTTTCAGATAAAATCCATTCAACAGATGTCAACTTCGAAGAGCTCGAGTGCTAACTTTGAAAGGTTTGTAGAAATGTCGATCATTTTCCGTTGCACAAATTTTATGCTAACGGAGATTTTCTCTCCTAAATGCTGAATAAGAAAACGGGATTGATTGATCCCAGTCTACTAACACAAAACCACAGCGAGAATCCGTAGAGAAAATACTCGTAGTTGACAATGTCCTTGGGGCTCAATATCCGTGAGACGGTAGCCGTGTTTTTTACTTTTCTCTCGCAGAATAGATCCGCGAAGTTTGGACGTTTTGCTCGGAGAGATTGTTCTCATGAATGCGAGGACTGAATTGTATTTCCGTTTCTTGAAGAATCAAGTCGTGGTTTGTAAAGATGTTTTTCTTTACGTGTGGTGCAGTTGTTAAATCCATCGATATTCGTCACATCTCAAATCGTGATATATTTCTGTGTTTTTACACAAAACCACGGTTTTTTGAATTACCTATGTGAATTTCGAGTTTTCTCTCTTTTATATTTTTTCTTTCCTTCTTTCTACAATACACAGGCTGACATGGAAGTTTTGCCAGATGAAAATAAACCGAAAGGTGATTTACTGTGTATTTTTTTATTTACCGATGTGGAATAGTAAGTTGTCCGTAGAAAAAGAAGTATGTAGCAGAAAAGTTCTTAGCTACATTCATGTTTGATGAAACACGGATGAAATTTTCTTAAACTATAATTAAAAGGAAAGGCAGAAGTTGTATGAACCTTTACAGCCATCCTTTTTATGAGAAGTACATGTTTAGACCAAAAAATTAAAAAAAAATCATTTCGAGCCATGTCTACCGATAAGTGATAATGCAGCTTTTGTGATAGGTTTTGTTAAAAATGTCTTTATTCGCCATGAAGTCGATGAATGTTCGTTTCATGATACAACATGAATCCAAATAAAATGAGCGTTGATCATTGAACTAAAATACATGGAACGCTTGCTCAAGCAAATATTTGAAGCCAAATCCTACATCAGACACGCGAAATTTTACCCCAAACACGCGTGTGTCATGTTTCAAGATTCTCTCGCGGAGTAATAATTGATTGACTACACACGCGTGTCTGGGGTAAAATCTCGCGTGTTTTGTATTACAGGTAGCGTTCCATGTATTTTAGTTCAATGGCGTTGATTGGGAAATGAAATTTATGTATGAAACATTTTATGGTTGATTCACATTACAATTCGAAAGACAGTGTCTTTAATTTTGAAACTTTGCACTTTCCTCGATTCCCCAGTTGAGCTATTTCTTCAAAATCGTTTTATTTATCGTAGATGTTCAAAAGATACTCGAAAAACTGATCACGGAGAGCGATCTCAGTCGAAAAATGCAAGAAATCATTGGATCTTATATCATTATGGAGGAGTTTTACATGCGAGAATCTGTTAGCAAGGTCAGCGGTTTCGTGAAATATTGACACGTGTTAGGAGTGCAAACTTTAACACGACTCTATGCCCCCAAGGCGTGCATTTGTCTTGAGTGATTTCTTTATTTTCAAAAATCAATCTCAGGCAATCGATTACGACACTTTTGAAGGCTATGACGAGGAAACTGTGACGTCAAGTATGGTCGATGACGTATTTTTCATCATTCAAAAATCTCTTAGGTTTGTTTCTTTAATGAGAGCCCATGTGCAGGCAATGTTTTCAACCTGATAGTGACATCATTACTAAATGAATTTCGGAATAAATTTGTGACTCGGTTTATAACATTATTTTAATATAGAAGAACAATGGCTAGTGTTAGTGTTGATGGAGCATGCGCAATGATGAACCACGCTGGGTAAGATGACTAGAAGCAACCAGAGCCCTACATCAGAAAGAGTTGGGACACCGGAAGTAAAATTGCATAGATTTTTGTTCCAAAAGCCAGCAAATATAGAGAGTTAAATGGTGGGAAGACATATTTTCTGTTGTGATTTCTTATTCATGAATAGAAAGCGATCTCAACCTTTGGAATTCAGTTGTTTATAGATGTCATTAATGGAAAAGCATTTATTTAATTCCGTGGATGGATGTAATTTTTACGTCTTTTACTGTTTTCGCCACAAGGAGCGCGTATATTTCTAATCGTCATCGCTTTGATTTGCACTGTTGAAACGCAACATAAAACCATTGTAAAATTTTTCATAATTTATCTCCTATGTAAAAAATGGTTTTAATTTGGGCTTTTGGAACAAAAATGGCAGTTAGATAACCATGTGACCTTTTTTACCCAATCACATTGATCATAATGCGAAATGCAGAGAACCATGCGTGTCCCAACTCTTACAAATACAGGGCTTTGGAAGCAACCTGTAAATGTAAAATTCACTATAACCTCGAACTTAGTCTTCTAGATACCTGACTCTGACGAAGCTGTATATTTATAAGTTGTGCAAGCCGCCATCTTGAAAGGCGGCAAAACTGACAATATTTTTAAGACAAAAATCGGCTTCTTCCGTATTTATTGATAGTCTAGGTTTTGTTTATAAAATGTTTGATAGGATGGGTTTTAAAACTTTATTTTAACTTATTTCTGATTGAGAGTTTTGATTTTTGCCACCTTTCAAGATTGTGTCCTTGCTTCACATTGACACGGAAGTTCGACATCTATCAAGTTAATAGAGCTAATTTTATATCTTTTAGTACTTTGTTGGATACAGACTACAAAGGCGTTCTTCAACAAAAAATTAAACAAGGATTTCCTTCTGGAAGGTGACTTTCTCATTAATTTCATCAATTTAAATACATATCGACAGTAAAACTGTTGAAAATATGTTACACTCAGAACCCGCAGTCTATTTTGAGGATGCCCGGATGTGTTAGCATAGCAAGGCGAAATCTTTACTTCGAAGATTTCTGCTCTGGATCCATTTTCTGATTCCTTGTTGCATTTGCGCATGACTCTAGCCCACATACAAACTGTCAAAGTTGATTTATCGTTCATTTTCAGTCTTGATTTTGCTGGTGTGCTTCAAGGTAAACTACAGGGTGGACTCTCGTCCAGTTCTGATACTGCAGCCGCCAGAAAAGCCTTTCTCGTGAGTTCACGTAAATGAATTTCTCTAAGTATGATGTCGTACATGTTGCTATAAGATGATAATGTTTGTTGATGGTGATTCAAAAATTTTTCATGTTTGATGATGGTGTTTCAAAAATTTTTCGTGTTTGTTGATGATGATTCAAAAAATTTTCGTGTTTGTTGATGGTGATTCAAAAATTTTTCGTGTTTGATGATGGTGATTCAAATATTTTTTGTGTTTGATGATGGTGATTCAAATATTTTTTGTGTTTGATGATGGTGATTCAAATATTTTTTGTGTTTGATGATGGTGATTCAAATATTTTTTGTGTTTGATGATGGTGATTCAAATATTTTTTGTGTTTGATGATGGTGATTCAAATATTTTTTGTGTTTGTTGATGGTGATTCAAAAAATTTTCGTGTTTGTTGATGTTGATTCAAAAAATTTTCGTGTTTGTTGATGGTGATTCTAAAAATTTTCGTGTTTGTTGATGGTGATTCAAAACTATAAAATAAGAGCCTTTTCGTCCTGTGAGGTTTTTACGATGAAAATTATACATGGTCGTTGCTTCACTGTTTTTTTGGAACCTTTCAGGGCGCCCTCAACAATCTTCACGCAACATGTGAAAATATACAAAAGTTGAAGCGCGATCTTGAAGTAAGATTATGTTCTTTTTGTTAATTGCCCGTGTATTTCTTGCCAGCATTATTGTTCGTTGAGGTAGCATCATTGAACTAAAATACATGGAACGCTACCTTTAATAGAAAAGCCTAATAACTTTTTGAAGCCAAATCTAACACCCAGACACGCGAGATTACACCCAGACGCTCGTGTATAGTTCAATCACTTTTCACTTCGCGAGAGAATCTCGAAACACTAAACACGCGTGTCTGGGTGTAAGATTTGGCTTCGATTATTTGCTTCAGATGGCGTTCCATGTATTTCAGTTCAATGGAACGCATGTTTGCTCTCACATGGCAAAGGAAGATGAAAAGTCAAACTGTGAATATTTAAGATGTCGTTGTAATTTTATTCTTCAGGTCGACTGTTCCAAGCTTACCAGCATGGCTGGTGATCACGTAACAGGGAAACTTGAGGTTGTAGAAATGACGACAAACTCTGTTACTTTGTCTCAAGGAAAATATCTCCACTATGGAATTCACAGTTGATAAACTGCAGGCTATTAATTAATAGGATTTTTATCATAACGAAGCTTACTCTGGATGCAGGATTCTTTTATCTTGACAAACGTTTCGACTGGACTTCAGCTTTTGCTTTCGTGTAATTTTAGTTGAAGACTACGGGAACTCTTTTCAAACGTCTTTACCATTTGATTTCTTAGTCAACTCGTAACAGTTCTTCGAACTAACATTTCTTATGTCACCATTTTCCAGAGTCCGCTATAAAACTAACTTTATAAATCTGGTAAAACATTTTATTTTTATGTTATAGAGTGGTCTTTCGGATTTATCCAACGCAAGCACGGCATTCAGAGATCTCATTCAGGTATTTGTTACGTAATTTTATCATTCAACATTGTTAGACACTCTTCAATTGATTTGTTTTGCTGTTCAAATTTTTCGATCTCCCTCTTGACCTATTTAAATAGACCTAGCTTATTATTATTATGTTAAGCAGGTCTTATCTTTTGTTTGTTGCAACGTGTAACATTAATGTAATCGTTTACGTGGCGCAGTTTTTTGTGCTTCTCTACGTCATTTCAATACTAGGATTTGATTGTTTTGATTTTAAGGTCGGCTGTCGGCAATTAGCGGATGTTGCCGTCATTCCACGATTGAAACCACAGATTGATGGATTTCATTCAATCAACCACAATATAACTGAGGTATGTGCATGTATTTAGCTCTGCATGGTGGTTTGAAATGTGAAAAAAAGTCACACAATTTTATGTTGGTTGTCAGTTCATTATTCTAAGTGATTGTTTATGCTAGTTTTCACTTATGATAAGTAATGATGAATAATAATAACTAATGATAACTAATGATATCTAAGTATAACTATTGATTACTAATGATGAATTATAATAACAAGTGATAACTAATGATAACTAATGATAACTAATGATAGCTAATGATAACTAATGATAACTAATGATAACTTATGATATCTAATTATAACTATTGATAACTATTGATAACTATTGATTACTAATGATAACTAATGATTACCAATGATAACTAATGATAACCAATGATTATTAATGATAATTCATGATTACTAATGATAACTCATGATTACCAATTGTTTTTTAGGATGAGTTTGCTGTATACGAAGTAAATGACCCTTTTGTGCAAAATCTTATTTCAACTATGGAGTCGTCTCTCATTACCTTTAAGGTACTTGTGCAAATACTAAGTAGAGCAGGGTGAAACAATCCTAATGTATAAGAATCCATGCTATAACTTGATGATATGGGAAAGCGTCTTGAACGAGACAGAACATGACAACTATCGCCGATAATTTGTTTTGGAAATTTGTGTTATCCACTGTGGAATGGATAGCTTATAGAGCAGCCATTTAAATACAGCATTTGTATAAACATCGATTATCATTCTTCGCATAAAGTATTTGTAACACCAGAGTGTTAAATACTCCCCCCTGTTATAAACTTCGCAATTATGTAAAGCAGGTGGGAGAGGCGAAGCTCATCACACTAAATCTATTAAAAAATGATTATATGACGGCACTGAGCAACACCACCCGATCATGATTCCTAAACAATGAGTAATGATGTCCTTTACGATAGTTTTCATCATCGTCCTGTAGGGTCCTCTTGTGTCTGAAAGTTATGATTCGCTCGTGTACCTCGTCACAAATGAAATTGCCACATTATTGGAAAAAGCTGTATTCAAATCCAAGTTCAACCGGGTAATGTGCTTATGTATTTACGGTGATTTACAAAAAGATAGCTATTTAATTATTGATCATTGCCAATGGTCAAGTATGTTGGTTTATTGATCATTGCCAATGGTCAAGTGTGATGGTTTATTGATCATTGCCAATGGTCAAGTGTGTTGGTTTATTGATCATTGCCAATGGTCAAGTGTGATGGTTTATTGATCATTGCCAATGGTCAAGTGTGTTGGTTTATTGATCATTGCCAATGGTCAAGTGTGTTGGTTTATTGATCATTGCCAATGGTCAAGTGTGATGGTTTATTGATCATTGCCAACGGTCAAGTGTGTTGGTTTATTGATCATTGCCAATGGTCAAGTGTGATTGTCTATTGATCATTCCCAATGGTCAAGTGTGATGGTTTATTGATCATTGCCAATGGTCAAGTGTATTGGTTTATTGATCATTACCAATGGTCAAGTGTGATGGTTTATTGATCATTGCCAATGGTCAAGTGTGTTGGTTTATTGATCATTGCCAATGGTCAAGTGTGATTGTCTATTGATCATTTGCCAATGGTCAAGTGTGATGGTTTATTGATCATTGCCAATGGTCAAGTGTGTTGGTTTATTGATCATTGCCAATGGTCAAGTGTGATTATCTATTGATCATTTGCCAATGGTCAAGTGTGATGGTTTATTGATCATTGCCAATGGTCAAGTGTGTTGGTTTATTGATCATTGCCAATGGTCAAGTGTGATTGTCTATTGATCATTTGCCAATGGTCAAGTCTGATGGTTTATTGATCATTGCTAATGGTCAAGTGTGATGGTTTATTGATCTTTGCCAATGGTCAAGTGTGATGGTTTATTGATCATTGCCAATGGTCAAGTGTGATTGTCTATTGATCATTTGCCAATGGTCAAGTGTGATGGTTTATTGATCATTCCCAATGGTCAAGTGTGATGGTTTATTGATCATTGCCAATGGTCAAGTGTGTTGGTTTATTGATCATTGCCAATGGTCAAGTGTGATTATCTATTGATCATTTGCCAATGGTCAAGTGTGATGGTTTATTGATCATTGCCAATGGTCAAGTGTGATTGTCTATTGATCATTTGCCAATGGTCAAGTGTGATGGTTTATTGATCATTGCTAATGGTCAAGTGTGATGGTTTATTGATCATTGCCAATGGTCAAGTGTGATGGTCTATTGATCATTGCCAATTGTCAAATGCGTTGACCATATAATGGTAAGTTTCAAATCTGGGACAATCGCTTTTGCGAAATGAATATTTTAAACTTTTCAAAATCATTTTTACTAAACTGTATTAACTGTAGTAATCGTGTTCGTCTTGTGTTGTGTTCGTGCAGCTTGCTTCCAGGTACAAAATAGTTTTGTCGTTAAAAGATAGTTTTCTTTTTTCTCGTAGCTTGGGGGCCTTCTCTTTGATAAAGAATTGCGCTCTTTGGTCGGATATCTGACTGCAATAACACAGTGGACTGTGCGCGATAAGTTCGCCAGACTCACACAGATGGCGACTATATTAAACTTGGAACGGGTAAGTTAGTAGATTGTTAAAGTCTTTATTTTGCTATTGTATTCGATGACGTTCTCGGAAATAAACATGGAATGACCGTTGACGGAAGTCAGAAGAGTGTATGTAAGGTTATCTTTGATATTACCTTTAAGATACTTTCAGTCTTGTAGTCAAAGATATTAGTTGAGGTTCTTTGCTTTGGTAATCTTGACTCGAGCAACATTCGTTTTACCTCAGGTGAGTGAGATTATGGAGTACTGGGATTCAAGCTCAGGACCGCTGACCTGGCGATTAACACCGAATGAAGTTCGACAAATCATGGCTCTCAGGTTTGGTCATTTGTATCTCTGTATAAATTAATTGATGGATTATCCGATGTTTTCGTTTGAGCTGGTAGGAATTAAGTCGATACTCAGTAATAAAAGCATTTTGCATCAATGTCGTATACAATGGACCTTTGTTATTCGCTTGTGCGAATATATTGAACATGCGAACTAAGGTTTCACAAGGGTACGGGCTTTAACTTAGATGTTTAATTAGCTTCTTTTAAAAACTATGAACGGAGGTTGATGATTTGATGTATTCCAGAAGTTTATTTCATATACAGAGGGTATTGTAGCATTGAGACTTGTCTAAAGAAGATCTTGAGATACGACTTCCTATAGGTTTTACAACTGTCTTTTTTCATTGTGAGTTATATTAACTGCTTTGTGTTTCGTTATCTTCCTTTAGAGTCGACTTTCGTCCGGAGGATATCAACCGGTTGAAACTCTAACGCAAAACATGCGCTCTTGTGCATCTTCCTGCATGGTACAGTGATTTCAGATTGAAATTTGTCCATCCTTTTCAATCACTAGATTGTCTTAATATTGACTGTAGGTAGTAATTTTATGTTCATAAAAAATGTCATCTTTTTGAAAGGTGTCACAATTTGCCATGAGAAATCATATGTGATGTGGTCAAAATATATTATTATTATACTGCAGCCGTCACTTCCGGCTAAATGGCGCGCTTTGATTCGCTCGGAAACATTTTGCCGGTCCATTATTTTCCGTAATGGACCACGGTCCAAAACGCGTAATTTTACAGTCAAATGCAAACAGTAAAACAAAAAAACAAAACAAAAAACCATGTACGAAAGAAAAACACTTGGAAAATAGTTCAACTTTCCAGACGATAAAATTTGAAACGATTTATTTTTGACTGACGAAAACTAGAAAAGTGAAAGCCAACCCGTACAAAACAGCAAGGATGAGAAAGAAAGCAAGCTTCGTTTCAGGTCAAATAGTGCCATATAATAAACCTTTTAATTAACTTGCTTTCTCGGTCTTTACTGAGAAATATCGAACCTCTGTCTTTTTGAACAAACCTCGCTCTTTGGGCTCGGTCTATACAAAGAGACCTCGGTCCGTTATTTCTCCGTAAAGACCTCGCGCTCGGTCATTAAGGGGCATATTACTAACGGTTGCTGCAATTTATTTTATTTGCAGACTTTCTTGCAGCTAAAATTTCGCCTCTCATATTGTTTATAAGAATTCTTGCTTTCCTCTGAGCAAATATGTGCTTACAGAATGCCAAATGCCATATGTGACCAAAAGATCTCTCTTCCAGCTAAAAAATATGCTTTTGATAAAAGGAGACGTTGTTTGAGCCAAAAGTGTTGTACATTGACGAGATTTCACCTTTGGCTGTGGTACATGGTTTTAGAAAACAGGATATGCGAGCTTAGAGGAATTTCACAAATTGACGAGTTTCAATTCAATTAAAGTAGTTAATAGAATTACTTTGAACTATTAATAAGCAATGAATTATTCTTTCAATGTTACTGACGTCATTCCTTGCGCTTATTACTGTAATTGCAACTGTTTGAATTCCTAATGATAAAAGTGGTTGTACTTTTGAAGATTTTGAGGTAGATTTTTAGGTCTTTGCATGCTGTCATCGATACTTTAACATTGTTTAGGTTGGAAGAGAAAAATTTTTAATTTATCGTGCCGAATGATATTTCGTTGTTAAATACATGACCTAACATATTGATAATCATCAACATCACTAAATAATCACTCAACAAGTGATTTTCAACAAACCAGTAGACAAGTTTCAGTTCTGCTATCGATACCCTATCATATTATTCATTTCTTCAGAAACCTATTGAGTTTTTCATAAATGAATGTATAGAAATAAGGGGCAGGATTTGTTTGTTTCTCAAATTTTGAGTTAAACATAAATTTTTTATTCGGAGTATGTCTCAATGGGTAGAGCTCAATAAAATGTAACCAATTTCATTGGCTCATCAAAATAAGCCAATGAAATCAAAATGATCTTATTAATACACGTCAATCACCTTTCCGGCTGCTAGATGCCCCCAAGACTCGAGGGAAAGAAAGTGAAAGGTATGTTTGTGAAAAGTAAGTCAAATGTCGATAAATTCGATGAAAAAAAAACTTTTTTTATGTATGGTTACGTATCTATTCACTTTTAAATCTTTTCGTCGGTTATTTCTGTGCAGTTCGGCGTTTTAACTGCATGTTTTCGTCGGCGTGTTTGCTTCGTACAAAGACCTTGTCGGTATAAAAACGACAGGTTTGCATATTTTTCATTGACTATCAATTTTATTTTAGTCAGTTGCGTATTGCTAGCATGGGGAATGTTTGAAATGAAAAATTCTTTAAAAACAACAAATTTTGAAAAAAAAATTCCGTTTTCGGTCCATGCCTTTCGATACACCAAGATATTTGAGCACTAGAGCACTAACGGGAACCAGATAATCCTTGTTTGCCACGAAGCCATTGTATGGTTTGCTCATGATACATGAGAAACAGTAAATGGGAGAGTTAAGTCAGAAAGATATAAACCAATAAATATTGTATAAAACATGTTTAAGGTTCTTTTAAATTATAAGTTTCATAAAAAGTCACAGTGTTATAAGAAGTTAAACATATTTTATTTAATGAACATTGGTTTGTTTTGTAACAAAAAAAATGAAATTTGAAAACAAAAAACCCCGTTTTCGGTCCATACTTTCCGATACCCTCTTAAGCGTAAGGCACATGTTAGCGTTTCGGTTGGAGATTGCGGCCCCTCCACGCTATCCTACTTGGGGATGCCAATACGTAGCAAGCTTCCGCCCATCAGACCCCGAGATCACCTGCGATAGGCTTTGCTTGGGTACGCAGGGAGAGTGCGGTCGCGACCGAAGGTTGAGCTCCTAAGCCACTGCATACTATATCGCAACCAGCTTCCACTGCTAGTTGACATCAACTATTTGAAGTTTTAGCTTTATATATACATATACATGAATTCAAAGGTTTACGAAAGTTGTGGTATTCTTAAAGTCACTACTGCGCATGCCCAGATGATTTCTTTAATAATTTGCGACTAAGTAAGCTAATTGCCACAAATGTAGTGCAAGTACATATGGTTAGTCGTTGCCATGACTATGAACAATTACATAAGTGGACTGCGCATGCTCGAGTGCATCGCAGATGATTTCTCTATTAAATTGTTACTAAGCATGCTATTTACTTCAAAATCGGTGCTAGTAGATGCAGTTGGTCGTTGCCATGACCATGAACTTGAGCAACTGGTCAAGTCGATTGCGCATGCGCAGATCATTTATTTGAAAATTTTTGATCGAGCGAGCTAATTACTCCATGATCGGTACTAGTACATACATTTGATCGTACCATGACCATGAACTTTGAGAGTTGGTGGAGTTGACTATGCATGCTCAGAGTAATTCTCAATAAATTTGCGATGGAGCCATCTCTAAAATTGGGACTCTTTATATATTGGGACAAATATATATTTTTCGCATGCTCTTTGGCTTGTTAAGCTTCTTTTGACAAATGCATATCAAACTTATCAACAGTTAAACGTGTACTTCTCACTTCTAACGTTTACTCGTCACTTAACTCTTAAGATGACTACCGCTAAGGTTGTCGAAACGTCAGTCAATAATAACAGCAACAGTTCTACTCAGGACTATACTAACCTGGACGTTCTACATCTGCAAACATGTGTGGCGAGCATGTGTTCAAAACAGCTATGTAAAATAGTTCTCTTTGTGCTGTCAAAATAACATACGCTTTAAATAATCCTCCCTTTTGATACACCCTTCCATTACGTTCTACATATACATATTTGATATAAAATGCTCCTTTAGTCATAGTTGACGCCCAATGTCTTACATTATAAATATTGCTATTAACATTAATAAAGTCACTCTCGAACTGGAATCGTTTCTGTTATTGTTTCGGTACGCTACACATGTAATGTAGCTAATTTGTTTGTAAGAGCTTCTTCACACCGAATGATATAAAACTACACAGAACATCTCATTTTCTACAATAACATTTATATACAATTTATGACACACGCTTTCGTCAATAACGCTAGTGAAGAAGGAATTCAACAGTGGCGTATTATATTCGTTTGTTGCATCATATTTGTCGTGGATTAAATCATAGTTGTCCTTGATCCCAATCATAGTCAGCGTAAATTAAATCACGGCTGTCGTGGATTAAATCATAGTTGTCTTGATCCCAATCATAGTCATCGTAAATTAAATCACGGCTGTCGTGAATTGAATCATAGTTGTCCTTGATCCCAATAATATTCATCGTAAATAGAATCACGGCTGGCGTGGATTAAATTATGGTTGTCATGGATTTTATGGAATTAATCTTGGGGATTTGTCAATCGAGTGTTACGTTAATCAGCGAATGAAGACCAAAGACGACGTTTGAGGTTTGTAGTCTTTTACTTTGAATTCTGGTGAACAGCACTAACGGGAAGATGATTGAACATTAGCTAAGCTATAGAACAAAGTTAGCAGTTCTTTTTATTCCTGTTAGTGTTTTTTCAGTTTTGCGCATGCGCGCAGCTCTTTTTGCAGTCTTTACTTTTACCTAAAAATGATGGTGCATCTTACATCTTACATTGCCGGCGAAAGCTTTTATATAACTATCGTGCAATGCGAGCTTATCATTGTACAGGGCTATACAAGGCTCTACAAAACAAAAATACGCTGTACGTGTCTGATGTCGGTTTTCATAATTTTTTCTTTTTTTGATCACCGGGAACAAAACTACCGATCGCATGCTAGAATTAGCGAGAAAATTACGGTCCAAAAACTTTTTGATATCCGGATTACAAATAGCACTCAAACTAAAAAGAAATTGCGCTCCGAAACATGGGCTTGCTTGAGTCGAAATCAAGTCGAACGTCTTCATTCTTTTTATTCATGGAACATGATTTGATAGAGAGACGAACTAATTCGATATATTTAGTATAGTTCCAGACAGGAATAATAGTAAAAGTTGCCATAATGGTACCTAGTTGATCCAGTTTTGGAGAAAAGAAGGATTGGTTAGCGCGCCGTTTCCCTATACATTAGGTTCCCTTTCGGCTCGGGTACTTTGCTGGTGTATCATCGTTCATCAAAGGTTTGTTTTAATCAGTTATGCCCAGCAAAGTTCGTTGGTAGATGTTTAAAACTTTAAATAGTTTATTTCATGCTACTGATAAACAGGGTTAGGTAAAGATGCCAATAGGCGCAAAAAATGGCGCAGCTGAAAGCGGCTTAAAAATGGCGTACATTAAGGTTTCGAGTTTTTATACAAGGATCCATATTTCCTCAGTCGCCTCTTTCAACACCTTGTAAAGATAAAAGCAGTCTAATAAACTTTGCAAACATAATTAAGGCCTTAAAAAAACTCAAACTTCCTTTTTTGTAAAGACCGGCCTGCAAGTTATTTCCAAGGTGCTAAAGATACGAGAATTGTTGTTGCTTGTTAGCCAATCATAATGAAGACTACATCGCTAATATACGGTATTTTAAAAACTACATAGTTGTAAAGCAATTAGAGCTCTGGTATGTGGTAAAACATTGTTCATTGTTCAAGCATCTTAATAATGAGCCTATGCAACCTGGATCCCGATTGTTTGTTTGTTCGCAGCCATTGATTCGCAGCAGGTCATTTTTTAGGACCAATTGAGACGCTCGTCAAATTAAAGAAATTTTTACAGCATTGTTTTTTTTATAAATGTGGAAGCACGAGCCGGAAGCGAAATCGTCATCAATATCCAATATCAACATGGACGTTTGGAACTTGAGGGCTAAGTATATTAGTGTTTAGTTGAACGTGAAATGAAAGAGAAATCGCTTTCTTTTCAGTCTCTAGGGATGTGAATAGTCCAGAAGTTTTTAAAAGCTTGGTTTTTAGGCCGAATGATTGATGGATGATACGAATTGTAGTCTCCCAGTAGCGTGGAAGAATGGCGATTTTACAGGCAAGAATATAAGTCAGAGACATGAAAAACTTTTGCCTGACGTTTTATACCTCGAAAGCGACTTAAACGCGGTGAGTAAGGCCGTCGAAGGCTACGTTGATGCCTTAAATAGCTACTGCAGTGCGGGTAGTCGTGTGTCTTCGGCTTTCGCGAAGTTACTAGGCGAAACGACGTTGTCAAATATCGCTCATCAATTTCAACAAGTTACCGACAAATTGGAGCAGACGGCTTTGAACAATTATAGCGAGCAAATTACTAACGACGCTTTAAAGACACTGGGAGATTTTCAGGCTCTTCTGGGTCCCGTAAAACAAGAAATTCGCACGTATCAGCGTTTTAAAAGTCGATACGAGAAATGCCAGGGAAACCTCGAAAGCTTTGCGCAAAAGGACGCGGCTGCTTCTGAAGGGAAAGGCTTTCAACATGCCAAGGAGAAGTTCTCCCTGGCCGACCGAGATTACACGGAGAAACAAGATGGATTGAGTCGATGTCTGAGCGACTTAGAAGGCAACAGAATAAAGGTATATTGTGGGTATTTGTTTTGCTATTGTCTGTGTTATTTTCAAGGTTGTTTATATCACTTCTGCATATGACCGCTTTTCGCTGACTAACAAAAATGCGGTAATTACAAAGCTCAATTTTGAAATACTCGGGTACAGTAGCTCGTTTTGTCGACATTGAAAGTGAAACTCTCTGAAAGATGATATGTCAGTCGTGATGTTTTTGTTATTACATTTGTCTTGTTGTCTCAGTCGGTTTGGAATTCGAGACGTGTGCGACAATGGATTTAATTGATACATACGTCTCCCCAAAACGAGAGTAATTTAAAGATGGTTTTCTTTTGGGTGTGCTTATTGGGGCTTGAGAGAGGGCGTATTTTTGACGTTGGCCATTGACTTCAGGCCTCCAAAATATCATCATGAATAAATACACTTAAAATGGATATCGTTTGGTATAGGAGCCCAGCTGAACGCTTCAGGGGGATTGTAATAGTATAGTAGATAATAATTTGTGACATATGTCAACAGCCTTGACGTAATTACTTTTTTAAAAACATTATAATATTCACATGATTAAGAGATTAAAGAATTTGCCTTCAAAAAGTTTCTGGTCTGTTTGATTACAAATTTGGCATTTTTAGACATGATTATGATTTGGGTGATGTATTTCAATTCAACTTTTCTATCCTTGCAGATGGTTGGAGCAAGTCTCCTAATGCTACTTCATTCAATGACAGAGTTTAACAATGACATGATTACAATGTTGGCACCATTGGGCATCTTTCAGTCTGTCGGTGATTACCTGCGGGACAGGGAGATCGCTCCACAGCTAAAGGAAGCAGTGACGACTTGGTGTTCTCTATCCCAGGTGTGTGTGTGTGTAGTTTATGAAGTGCACTTCACATTATCATGCTCGTGTTTTCTATTGTAAAGAACATATATCTTGCATTGGAAAGAAATAATTCTCATAATCCAAGATTCTTCTAACCAGCCAGGATCATAGCAATAACTACTTCTAAATTGTAAACCATTCATTTAATTCTCGTCCATAGCAAGACGGTTCTTTCAACATGTCATGTGTGACACTTACACTGTAATTCTGTTGTTATTCTTGACTGTAAGCATAGATACTACATATTTAAGACCTGACTACTGAAGTGGGGAATAATTATTGTGTCTTAGGGGGATTTTTTTAAAAAAAGAATGCAGCATAAAATTTCTTCACTGTTCTCCTCAGAGATACTGTGAACTTTGGCATTGCAAAGTAATGAAAAATGCATTAAATACTACATCCGACAATCCCAATTTGAACAGAAATGGACCATACTGACATGTAACACATCATAAGCACCATCAACTTTAAAATGTTTCCATGCAGGCTCAATTTTAGATAATTGCCCAGCAGCTTGACCATGTCTAAACGAACAAATAAGCAAAATTTGAATTGTGTTTCATGCGATGACACATTTATAGAGCCATCAGATTTTATGTGAGAAAGAACTCGCTGGTGAGGACACACATAATTTGCTGAAGTATATGAAAGGTGACGAGCTATCTTCTGCTAACATGCTTAAATTGACAAACAATCTCAAAAACTTGTTGGAGGTTAGTAAAAGGCTCAGTTCATAATGTTGAGAGGTTATGCATTCTATTGAACATTTGTAAATTCTTATAAATTCAATATGTATTCATCTTGAAGGATTACAAAAGAGATGTGGAGTCGTTGAACGATGGGTCTGTATCGTTGCCCGGGGGTTTCTTTAAGAATCCTGCTGGTATCAGGGTTGCACTGAAGGTGATTCAATTTTTTCAGTTTACTTCTTTTTTTCTTGTAAATTTCAAATTTTTGTGTAATTTTTCGGAAATGCTTCGTCATGTTTGTAATTACCTTCAAAATGTTTCGAACTTTGTTAATTATGTTTGTAACTACGCCAAGAACATTTCAAAGTCTCTTTATCTTGCTCGTAATTACGTCATACCGTAAATACCTCGCTTTAGCCTTGCGGCGCTTGGAAGAAATATAGAGTTATTAAACTCTAAAGTTTACGACAACCTTTTTCTGCGTCTATGTGACGTTTTTTCCTCAAATTATATGATATTATATTATGAAAATAGATTTTGTTATTTTCTTGAGGCAAAAAAATAATCATAAGTACCGCTCTCGCATAACGTCGCATTCATAATCGGAAAAATTAAATAAGCGCCGCGGCGTTAAGGCGAACGTTTGCGGTAACCGTGTCTTATATAGGAAATAACATGAAGTTTACCAAAGTTTTTCCGCTGTTCAGGGACGGTGCTCGAGATTAGAGTCTCTCGCTATTGAGGGAGTGAATGAAACACCATCAAGTTACAAGAACATGATCAACGTTTTACGGAAAGAGATTCCTCAAGTAAATCTAGCAGTTGCCTCCGTTGGTATGATATAATATAGCATCTTATTAATTTAATGTAACTGGGCGAAGGTTTATTCTATGGGAATGACAAAGCCGCTTCTCTCTCCTTTAAGACTTCGATGTCCACTTCGAATTTTACACAATTTACTGTATATATGTAAGCAAGCTGAACAGGCAACCGGTTCCTACTGTGACGTATTAGTTACCAGTTCTCCGGCTTCGCTGTTTTGAAAAACTTTTGGCGTTAAAATTTAAAATTTTCGAACTTCGACGGGCTAAAACTCGCCCCAAAACACCATCAAATTGTTTGCGATAGCTGTTTTTACTACATAAGTAGCATAAAGATTCAGAATATGCAAAGTCGTATTTCATGTTAGGGACACTTTGAATTCATAAATTTGGTTGCAAAATGTAATAAAGCTTTATGACATCCAACTATAGAACGGATACAATTAAAAGTAGTTACTATAGGATGGTCATTTTCAGGGATTATTTGATGTTTTGAAAATTCTTTTACACAGTGCCAACCATCACCTCCCCCCAAGTATTTGATGTTTTGAAAATTCTCCTACACAGTGCCAACCATCACCTCCCCCAAGTAATATTTAACACAATTTTGCACCATTGGAAAATAAATGCGCAACCGAATTATATCACCTCTAGCGAATTTGTCAATTTTGAATAAAATCTACTCGTTTTTACAGGTAAACCATGGCATACCGTATCTAACATGACAGAATCAGATATTGTTGAATGTGCTCAGGTGAATTTTATCGTTTGATTTTGCACAAATTGTTTTCGCGATATTTATTTTCCCGCTATAACATAAGTTTGGAAAGTGATTGCTTCCAAAAGGAGTTACATCAACTTGTTTAACGCAATATCATAATTAATTTATGTGATGTATGCCAAAATGTTTGGTGAAGATATTTGCGCTGTAAACCATTATGTTCAATTGCTTGATTCATCTTTCTTTCAATTTTGTTGTTGTTTAGTGTTGCCTTGAGGATCTCATTGAGCCGTTAGCCAAACAATTCGACATTCCCTTTACGAAAGAAAGTTTCAGAAGTTTTGCTTCGACTATTCTATTCGAAGCTGTTTCTGAGAAGACAATTCTCGCTTCGAAGATTGCCGTTCAACTGTTGTACGGAAAGGATGGCTTGGTAAGGCAAATGTGTGTGGTCGTTTAATTGACCCAAGCTTAGACAAGTCCTTGCTTTATGATGCACTGCACTAAATGTGAACTTGTGCGTCATAAAAAAAGGAGCTGGAAGGTTGAGGTGGACGCCGGGCATATCAGGCAAAACACGCATGTATGAATATTTCCTCTCCCTCCCCTCCCCCCCTCCCCCAAATTATCGACGTTCCGACTTCCCTAAATAATAAAACATTCGAAAGCCTTTCTCCCTTTTTTTTTGTATGTATAAGTAAAGGTTGTTTTAAAAAGAGCAAATACCTTGGTAACTAATAATTTAATATTTCATAAAAGAACTTTTTAAAATCAGGACATTAACCCAGAAATTCTAAAAGAACTGTTTTTAAGACGCTATGCATTTCGGGAGAGCACTCGTCAGGTGTCAACGTCATAATGTCTTACAGCTTTAAAAACATTTCTTTTAGAATTGTTGAGTTATTATTTTGACCATTCACCATGGTATTTGCTCTTTTTAAAACAATTTCTAAATTTGTTACCACAACAAAGTCGTTAAGTTATTATTTTGACCATTCACCATGGTATTTGCTCTTTTTAAAACAATTTCTAAATTTGTTATCACGACAAAGTCTTTATTTTACTATTATTAAGGGATACTAAAGAACAGAAAAGTACTTATAGAAGCAATAAAGACACGTTTTTTATTAAAGTGAACACATCTCAATTCGTTGTCAGTTCGTCATTAAACAAAAACCTTAAACAAAAGTACGAGGTTATAGCTTCAATCCAGCTTGATCCCCCACTGACCCTAACACCCCCAATATTGCTTACTCGCGACTTTCTTTATTTCCACGGTGTTTCATTCAAAGAAGAATTTTTCGCACGACAGCTCGCCCCAGTTTTTTTCTTAATTCACTCGGCGCCGACATGTTTTCTTGTTTGATGTTGTCCAGGTTGCGGTCGAACTGTCGCCGGATTCTTCAAACGCAAGGAATGTTCGTTTGCATTGCAAGGAGAAAGGTGTTCACATTGAAGTGCAATTGACCTGGTACGTTATTAGTTTGCGTTCATGACGTGAAGCTTTCATTAATGTCAGTGCTGTAGAACTAAATTTATCAGATGGGGGGCTCTCTTGACGAAGCTGAAGCCATGAAATTATGAAAAATTACCCATTTCAAAGGTAGAAGGGGGCTCCTCCCCCAAGCGCGCCACCACCACCCTCCCCCTCACTTCTACAGCACTGATTAAAGTCAAACATGAAATCTGTTTTAAAAATGTGCTGTGCCACAGTATAGGAATACACAGTAGGGCCACTTCGCTGTGCAACGGGCTGCTGTATATTTAATAAGATTACTGGCTGCTGTAAGCCATTTCATCATTCCCATTGGTCAGAAATTGCAATTGACTGGGTGCCACCATGGTAATCACATGCGCAATGAGGTATGCGTGGCGCAGTAGGAGTGGCTCTACTTTATGTTCTCTATACTGTGGTTGTGTCAAGTTATCGTTTTATGTGGCGTAACTTTAATTTTCTATTTGAAGTTCTGTTTTCATTTTGTTTCTTTTAGGTGGGTTGTTGTCGATCGATCGTTGTATGCTGGTCTTCTGGACGATAACAAGGAGCCACTTTTTGCAGTACATACGACTTACGCTGTCATGATTAACTACATGGATTATCTTGAAGAAAAGTGAGTTCTCAAGAACACGATGTTAGGGGTGGCAGAGTAGTTAGTCTATTGTTGGAGATGAACCCAGTTTAACAGATATTAAATTTTTTGAGACCAAGTTCTTGTATATGAATAATGGTGGAGAAAGTTGTTATTGGACTGAAGTAGCATGAATTGAACTTACGATATGAAAATGAAATACCATGTAGACAAAGTAATGGGCTTTTACAATCTGCACATTATGGAACAAACGACTTTAGCAAAGCTGTGTCCCCTGTTTGTTTTTACCCGAAGATAATGACATCATTCTGCACATTATATTCTTACTAGGGAATCTAGGCTGCCTGCAATTGCTGTGGAATATCGAAGATTTGTCGGAACGAACTGTCAGAGTGATAAATTGCAAATTGGTAAAAATTTGACTTTCATCCTCTTCTCTATATTTGAATAACGTATTTTTATTTGAGATTGATCAGCGCGATCTGTTTTTTCAGAACCCGACGCTCCAGTTGCTCCACCGCGTTCAAAGCATTACATGCGGAAGTACGCTGATCGCAAAAAGAAGAGTGAACTGGATGGTATGATCTCGAGGAGTGTCGGCTGCCCAATGGGTAGAACAAAATCGCCACAATTTGACCAAGGTTGGCATCATCAATCATTTATGTCTGCGTCTGCATGTAACTGCAAGGCCGTTTTCGGTCAAAAAGGAGTTCCGGTCTATACATGCATTACTAAAACAAACTGATGGAGAATTATATTGAAAGAAAATTTCATTCAACGCATACTACAGCACTGTTAACCGAAGGATTTAACGTATTTTTTAAGGTGCTGTTAGCCATTTGTCCTTGGCTTCAGAGACCGAACTGAGCGACGTGATAAACTTCCTGTCGGGTTTAGCACCCCGGGCAAGTCCTAATGAAGCCGATACGGAGTCCTTATGCAGTACGGTGGCTCTGTCGGACAGCGGCATCGAGAGTGTAAACAATGCCAGGCTCGGGAAAGTGAGTTATATAATGTTACGAAAAGGGATAGAAAAGTATAATACCACTGCTATTATGTGAGGTTAACGTGTGTCTACTAAACTGGTCGAGTTTGTTCAATGATGAATGAAGGTCATGGAATTGTGTATAATCATAAATGCCAGCAATAGTGTTAAGGCCAAAAACCATGACCAGCCGACAATTTAAAGAAATATAGTATAAAGGAAATTCCGAAGAAGCAAGACATCTTGAGATTGCAAAAAAATACATCAAAACAAAACGAGAAGTGAACTGTAAATTTTGACTTTATTTCAAAGTCATCCTCAGACAGAAAGATAAGGCTTGTGACGACGTCAATCATTGATGAATGGGAAAATGCTTTTCGTTCAAAAGTGTTTTTCTTTATAAAGTTTGTAAAGTGAAGAAAAATCTTGAATCAACTTCTTCAGTCAGCTAGTTTCTAGTCCCCTCAGACTTCTCTACTTTCATTGGTGTTTTTAAACACGGAAAAATATCTTTTGCTTTTCAATTGTTTGAATAGACGAACGCCTGCTTTTCTTCTCGGCCAATTTTGTGAGTTTTGATTGATTTTTCCGTTTTACTTTACAGGCCGAGATCCCGGGACAGGAGAAAAAAGGCAAAAAGAAAGACCAGAACAACGTGACTGCAAATAAAAACGAAAATGCAAGGAAGAAAAAGAAGAAGAAACGAGGAGATAGGAAAAAGGAGAAAAAGAAAGCAATGGCCCAAACAGACGAACCTGAAAATGGCGGAACAAAAGATCCAGAGCAAATCAACGACGGTAGTTTCTCATATTTGCTGTATTTTCGCAGGCGTCCCGTCACTCTTTATAATTGCAGTATTGTTTTTTTTAACGGAGTGAAATGACATTGATTATAAGTAAGCTAATCATTACTTATCAACAAGATCTTAGGTACATTTTGGGGTAAGGGTGCGCATAAGGTACATTTAATTACACCATGTGTTACGGGAGGGTATACCGTGATGCGTGTTTTACATTATGTACTCCCAAAGCCCTGAATAAAGTCAACATATCGATTAGCTCCAACTTGATTTGCTTTTCTATGTCTTTATGATACTTACAATGGTCGTTTGAATTTCATCTTTTAGACTCTGCGAACCAAACACAGGCAAAACAAAGCGATGATAAAGTAGTTATCAGCGAAAGTTTGAGGTTAGCAATCTCCTCCATTTATTCCCAGCTCTTATTTATTTTCGAAAATGTTGAGTAGTATTCTTGCTCGATTTTTCATTTTTTTTTGTATTTCTACAACCTTTTATGCTAGGATTATGCTCTGCTCTTGTGCAATCAACCTTTACCTTTATGATTTTTGAATTTTATACAGAAGTGTGTGGGAGCAACCTGATCGCGGGAAAGAACAACAAGACCGGGAGATCACGCCGACAAATACTCTAAAGCGTCCTTTGAACAATGTCACCAGTCAATCTTCCTCACTGTATGGTTCGCAAGAAAGCATCTATTACAGCTGTTGGTCGTTGCCAGGTGCTAGCCAAGATGTTGACGAGTCTGTTGCTAAGGTTACTAATAATCAAGAAATTATGCCGACCGATTTCGTTGGTGGTTCTTGGGGGGCTACTCAGGGGCAAAAGACATGCGCACAGCGAAGTATTTGGAGTCCAGTCATTTCTACGTCCATTGCTAACATGGAAAATGTAAGATTCTCCTCAAATATGAATTTGAAATATACTCGGAAGAAAGTGACATTGCATTTTTTTTCCTGCATCGAAAGGACTTTGAAATAACTTTGCCATGTTGATGCATGAAAAGAAATTAAAATTCTTTTCCAAATCCTAACCCTTGATCTTATAGTACTAGGTTGTAGCTGACATATTGGTTAGAAATTGGATTAGAGCTCAATTTCGCTTATTGTAGAACACTGAAATATTACGACTTTTTCGATCTTTTTGGTGGGAAGTAGCGTTCCAGTTAAATATTCAATTCACCGGTCTAGTCAATATGCTATTTCCCCCAGTTTTAAATTGATATCCAATTGACTTGGCCTTATATAACGAAGCAACGTGTAGCGTCTTACATCGCTTTTTGTGATGTTTTCCTAGTTTGCAGGTCAAAATGCATGGGCGCCATCTTTGAAACGGCAAGGAGAAGTTGACAAGCAACAAAACGAACCAAAACCAGTGTCAGGTGAATCTGTTTTCTCTCTTGGTCTTGATATATCTGGTATGAAATTGGTTACAGCCGCTAACGAACAAGCACGGTACGTAAAATATATTTTCTTCATAATCTTCGAAGCCACATCAATGTACCTTACAATTGCAGAACATGTAAAATCGTTCAGCAATACCACGTTTCTTATTGTTCAAGGTTTCAAATCGCCGTCTGCGTAATTCTAGCGCCTATCGACAATGTCAAAGCAAACTGCTCCTCGAAGAAACCAAATTGTTTATGACTATGTTTAAAATTATTTGTTGGGCTCTAATATTTATATTGAGAATCCGCTTCCCGCCTGGCACTTCATTGGCGACAATTGCAGATCGGTTAACCAATCACACACTTGTTAGCCAATCCATCGTTTCAATAGTTAATTCCGGACGTGTAATTTTTTCCTTGTTGCGTTTAGTTCATTGGAGGAGACTGGAGAAAGGTCAATGAATGGCAAAAGAAATTTTCAATGCTCGGTTAGTCAATATAAGCTTATACTTTCTCCATACCTTCAATAGAGATTGTCGCCAACAAACTTTCTTGGCTCTCCACTGTGAAGACCAAGATTGGCTGCAACTCGCTACACTTTAATAACATTCACATTGAAAATTTGCCAGTTATACTTATGTGTACAAAATGTAATGTACATATTTACCGATTGTAGATGTGGCCATTGGCATCCCAGGGGGGGAGACCAACTGCTGGTCAGTTTGCCGAAAGAGCTTCATCGTACGAGGAGGGTCTGCACTCGTTGCCACAGCACGAGCAACTAGAACGAGCAAGACTCCCAACTCATCATAGCGATCCATTCCTAGCAACCAAAGTCCCCTGGAGACAAGGAATGTCGCCGATGTACATGAATTACGCAAACAAGCCGAGATTGGTTCCCCCGTTGGCCAGAGATATGGGATCGAGAGGCTACACACCTGTACAGTCAGGCAGAGGGTTTCCAGCATTTGTGAAACCTGGCCCTAATCTGGTTGAACGTCGTGGGAATTCACAGCAATATTATTTACGGTCTAGGGCTGGACCCCTTGGCTAGATAAATTTAGTTTTAACTTCATATGTAATGCCAATAAAGTTTGTTAAATGACATGTTTCACTCATCATTGCTCAATACAAGCTAAGCTTAGCGGAGAAGGGATTTTATTTTGTTAGCACGTTGTTTTGTGTTTTGTTGCTTATGTGGAGCATTCTGTTGGAGATTAAGGTTGAGGTCCAGGAGAAGAAGCAAAACTGGATGGTGAAAACTTTTTGAAATGGTTCTAATATTGGTTGAAATACTGCAGTGAGTTTTTTGAACTGATGCGGAACGTTATGATATTTAATATTTGAATCCAGCTAATTATCAGAATTGTGTGTCTGGAAACAAATTCAACAGAAACAGAAACGCCGACTTTCTTGAAAGCTGGTGTATCATTTAAACACCTTTGGAAGGTGATCTTTTTTCCCTTCGTTTACAAGTTACAACACTACAAGACTGGGAAGGAATTTTCCTTTGCCTGTGTTATGAAGCAGTTAAAATGGCCAATAAACTTATTGAGGGCAAGGTTTTATTAATTAATAAATACGAAAACAGGGAAAAAGTTAAATTTAACCCTAAGAAAAACTCACAGTTTCACAAAGCACAAGCTCCCCTGGTTTGCAAAAATATCAAATGGTATAATCTTTTCCGAATAATAGCGAGCATGCGCTGATAATTGCTAATGTCTCGGTGCCGCATGGAAACTTGGAAAGGCAGACAATTTCAAACGTCAAAACATTTCCAGTAGATGTCACGTTTATTGTGAAACAGTGAAACACACAACCACGCAATGTTGAAAAGGCTTGTGTTCTTGAGGCGTATGCCTGTAGTAATTCAACAAAGCGTGAGGAATTTACAGTCGGGAAAGTATGATGCAAAGTCTACATCTGCAGTCGACAGGGAAGGTAATTTAAATTTGCATTGAATTGAGGAATCGGGAGTGAATGTATGTTTGTTTTGTCAACTTCTTGTGAATGTAAGATGTTTACATATTAGTTATATCTTTTCTGTCGCATTTTACTCATAGATTATGATGAAAAATTGCGACCGTTGTATTTGGATGCACAATCTACAACACCTATGGTATTTGAATTCTTATTACATAACAATGTGTTTATGTAATGTACCTTGACTATTCCATATTGTAATCAATTAGTAAAAACTTGACACTCTGTACTTTTGCACGTAGAAATGTAGCAGAGAATCAATTCAAATTTTGTGTTATCTTGTTATATTACTTTACATGGCTTTCTTTGTATTTGATGCGATTTTAAAGAACTTTATTGCAAGTAAATTTTAAATTCTTGTGAACTGTTACATGGTTCTAGAGGCCTGCATAATTGTGGCTTTAGCCTGTAGACTGCTCATCAATGACTGGAGTAGAGTTGAAAAGAAGCTTGCTTGATGAGACTAGTGCCAGTTCTTCAACACTCACCTATTGTTATGAAAATATGATTTAATCAGATTCCAATTGGGAAAGAAGTCTGTCATTTTTTTCACTGCCAGTAGTGTTGATATATTTTCCCTTTCATGATTATAGGATCCTCGCGTATTGGATGCAATGATGCCGTACTATGTATCCTATTATGGCAATCCACATTCAAGAACTCATACCTACGGCTGGGAAAGTGAGCAAGCTACTGAACATGCAAGAGAAGTATGTCATTTGAATAATTTATTACTTAAGACTTGCAAACATAGCCAAATATACCATAAAGTCACAAAAGTAGCCTCCCTCCAAACAGTACTAACCAGGACTGGAAAGTTTGTAAACTGTGCACTTGAGGTCAAATTTTACAGAAATTTTTATGCGCCAGACGTTGAATTCCTGAAATGCCAATTTTGCACGAGATTTTTGTTAAAATATTGTACCTTTTCAAATTTTACATGTGAATGCATGCTCTTAGCAAAAAATTGTGCACCCGAGATCTCAAGTGTGCAACACAAACTTTCCAGTCTGAGTAGTGACCCTCACTTGATTTATCGTACAGTCTTGAAATTCCATTCATTAAGTTTTGTATCTGAACCATACTGCATTAGTTTGATGTTCATAATTTGTTGAAGTCCATGTTTCTTAAAGTGTGGATGAATTTGACAAATTGTCTTATGCTGTATCGCTGTTCTTTTAGCAAGTTGCATCTCTGATTGGGGCAAATGCAAAGGAAATCGTCTTCACTAGTGGGGCCACAGAATCGAACAATTTAGCTGTCAAGGTAACTTGCTGCAAGCAATGTGAATTTCCAGAAGTTTACAAATTGTCAATTTTGTATTGCATTTAGGATTACTAATGAAAAACGATTGCTTCTTTACGTATGTTTTTTAGGGTGTTGCACATTTTTATAAGAACAGAAAGAAACACATCATAACAACACAAACAGTAAGTTTATTCACAGCTCTGCTATTTCTCATATTTCCTTGGGTGCCTTTTTTACCCCTTTCTATTCAGGTTGATAAGACAAGTTTAAATTTTCTTGCATAAATAAATGTTATGTTTCACATGTTTTAATATTTACGTAAGCATTTTATTTTTACTTGTACTAGTGCAGTGAAGCATGCAATTACAAGAAAAGGGGAATGTAATTCTTAAGGTTTCTTTGTTTATGTCAGCAGGTATCAGCTACGTACTACCTGATGAATATATTCACTCAGTGTTGAATAATTTATAAATATCTTAAATTTATTAATATTTAGTAGTTAATTATTTAGTATTTATGCTTGTGACTCAATTTGCAAATGTCTCCGAGGAATCTTTGGTGTTTTAATCAATAAATGAATCAATTTTATTTACGGAGGTTAGACCCGAAAAAGCATTATTATCTGACTGACATGTGGCACTAGTTCTGACATTAATGTACAGTAAAAATCTAAAATTCATAATCTTGGAACATATTATAATTCTACATATGTTAAAGAATGATTTTACAACGTATCAAGGTACAACAATGTTTGAAGCTATAACAAATGCAGTTTTTATTAGCAATAGTAGCACTTTTTTCACAATTTAATGACCCTTCAGAGGACACTTCCTTTCCTCCCTTCCTTCCTTTCCCCTTCCATTTCCTCCCTTTCCTTTCCCCTTTCTCTCCTTCTTTCCTCCTTCTTCTTCCTCCTTCAACTCTTCTCCCTCTTCCTTCTTTCCTTTCCTTCCTTTCCCTCCTTTCCTCTTTCTTCCTTTCTCCCTTTTCTTCCTGTCTCCCTCCCTTTCCCCCTTCCTTCCCATTCAGGATGCATATTTCTAAGTCCGCATACTTTTCAGGAGCATAAATGTGTGCTTGATTCGTGTCGCTCCCTTGAGGCGGAAGGCTTTGACGTCACGTATTTACCGGTTATGGAGAATGGACTTGTTGATGTGAAGCTTCTTGAAGACTCGATACGTTCAGATACCTCGCTTGTCTCGATCATGACGGTAAACAATGAGATTGGCGTACGTCAGCCCATCCATGACATAGGTGGGTACCAACATCAACATCAACATCAACAGTCCTTTCTCAGGACTTTACAAACCTAGACGATCTAAATCTACAAGCCATTGAACTAAAATACATGGAACGCTACCTGTAATACAAAACCCTAATATTTTTTTGAAGCCAAATTTTACACCCAGACACGCGTGTGTAGTCAGTCAATTTTCAGAATCTCAAAACAAACACGCGTGTCTGGGTGTAATCTCGCGTGTCTGGGTGTAAGATTTGGCTTCAAAAAATTATTAGGGTTTTGTATTACAGGTAGCGTTCCATGTATTTTACTTCAATGCTACAAACATATAACAATACTCACGGCTTCAAACCATTCATAGTGTTGCAACACCTTCGTGACGAATGTAGATATATTTATGAATAATAATGTGCCAACGTTGTTTTATTGATATGTAATAATGTATTGGCGTTTCCATACCCCTTAATAACAATATTACTTATAACTATGTGTAATAATTTATTAACTTCCCTTGCCCCTTTATGACATTAGGTATACTTACACAATGTGTATTCGTGGATACACCTTATGGTGTATAAGGGTATAAGGGCATTCGCGGGTACACCTTGTGGTGTATAAGGGTATATGGGCATTCGCGGGTACACCTTGTGGTGTATAAGGGTATATGGGCATTCGTGGGTACACCTTATGGTGTATAAGGGTATAAGGGCATTCGTGGGTACACCTTGTGGTGTATAAGGGTATATGGGCATTCGTGGGTACACCTTATGGTGTATAAGGGTATAAGGGCATTCGTGGGTACACCTTATGGTGTATAAGGGTATAAGGGGATTCGTGGGTACACCTTAATTACAAATTGTACCAACCGTAGTAGACAGAGATATTTTGTTTATTTTACTTAATTTTTTCAACAGGCGCGTTATGCAAGGAAAAGAAAGTGTTTTTCCACACAGATGCCGCTCAGGTAGCTATGAAGCTCAATAATAAACAGTTTAGTATCGCTTAACTTCGTGTTGTTCGTCGTTAACTACAGGGGCGGGTTGCACGAAGCCTGGATAACGTTATCCATTGGATAGCAAAAATTTTCGAACTTGTAAAAAATGTGTTTATATTTTTCTTACGACAAGAAATTTCGTAACCTTCAAAACAATGTTTTATTTCAGTGATTGCTCAGTTTGCTTTTTAGAAGTTTTTATAAAATTTTAAAAAAACTTGCTATCCAATGGATAACGCCATCCAGGCTTCGTGCAACCCGCCCCTGATTAATATTGATAGGACCTTGTGTATTTTTGAACTTTGTTCTATACAACAATTCTGGGCGGGTTGCACGAGGCCTGGATGGCGTTATCCACTTTATAGCAAGTTTTTTTGAACGTTCAAAAAATCTTTCATGAAAGGAAATTATACGATTTTAACTGTGTAAACAATCACTGAAATATAATATTGGTTCGAAGATAACAAAATTTCTTGTCTTCTAAAAAATAGTTTTTACGAAGAGAATTGTTTATGAAGTGCATTTTGAATTTTTAATATTTTTATATTTTTTCAATATGCAATGACTCCCCCCTGACTGCGACTATCAGTATCCTGCAGGATCTCCTAGGATTCTACTGGATCATACTTAGGAATTTGACCGGGATATCTTTATTGTCTAGGCAGTTGGTAAGATTCCGTTGGACGTGAATGAGATGAATATTGATCTGATGTCGATCAGCGGTCATAAACTCTACGGACCGAAAGGCGTCGGGGCACTTTTCGTCCGTCGTCGACCTCGCGTGCGCCTTGAGCCTGTGTTCAGCGGTGGTGGACAAGAAAGGTTAACAAATCAAAAGACAATGTTGTCTTCATCACCTCTGATTTCATTATCAAAAAGTGAGCACGAATTGTAGAACAAGATCCCAACAAGTTGTTTGTTTTTCCAGAGGAATGAGAAGTGGAACAGTTCCTCATGTTCTTGTCGTTGGCCTTGGAGCTGCCTGTGAAGTCAGTGCCTTGGAAATGGAGGTAGGGGAAAGAACTCGTGTGTCTTGTACAAAGCGTTTGTTTGTCATTGGGTTGCTTTTCCCTTCCATTGACATGCGCAATCGTATCAACTCCAACGTCATGTCTGGGAAAGTTTAATCACTTGAATACTGAGTAGTTAGGACAAATTTTCAATTGAAAGATGTAATTGCTAATGTTTTATCATGAAGCATTAACATCCGTGTTTTGAAAAACGCTTGGTCAACTATTGTACAATGGGGGATGCAAGGGGATGCGCTGTGCATTCCTCGGAAATTTCGTAGTCTTCTCCTCCCCCAATAAATATCGAATTTGTGTAATATAGGTCATTATAAAATTGTACGGGAACTTCAAGATACAACAGCTGTGGGCCTTGAGCAACGCTTTAATAGCACACTGATGCGCACCCCCCCTCCTGGGAAAATTTGAACCGCTTCCATGTGAGTTGAGCACAATGTCACCCATGCACTGCTCCCGTGCTAAGATAAGAAACATCACGACAAGAAAGATAGTAACATTCAATCATAAAAATATATTCTAGTACGATCACAAACATGTGACGAGGCTGTCCAATCGTCTCGTCGATGGTATTATGTCGCAATTAGCAGACGTGGTGCGTAACGGCGACGAGACCGAAACTTACCCCGGATGTGTAAATCTTTCTTTCTCATACGTCGAAGGCGAGAGTTTACTAATGGCTCTCAAGGACGTAGCACTCTCGTCAGGAAGGTAAGATTTTCTTCGAGTCTCGTTCTTTGAACGAGTACGTGGTTTGAACAACGCCTCTACTAAAATGGAAAGCGTTGAAACATTGTCCAGCAAAAGAGGCTTTCAGATAATCTATGTTCAAAGGGAAACGAATTGTCGTAACACACGAAGCTGCTGTCACATCACATGCATGAAGTAAACATTGCACATTTGTTGGAATTTATATTTTAGTATAGCGATGTTATGCGAGCTGTTGGTATATATGTCGAAGCAATGGTTCTGATGTTTTCCCGGCTTTGTGTTAACTATTCAACTTGTGTTGTTTTTGTCGTAGTTCTTTTAGTTTTTGTCTTCTAAACTATGAAAGAAACTTTACACTATTCCTGGATCACTAGTGTTCGTCAATATTTAAAACTAAGTAAATGGTTTGAACTCGGGAATATCGTTACGTGTTTGAACATGTAGATTGTCATTTGACTCTGAAGATGACTACCGCTAAGGTTGTCGAAACGTCAGTGAACAACAACAACAACAGTCCTTCTCAGGACTCTACTAACATGGATGATATACATTTACAAACATGTAATATTTAAAATTGTTTTAAATACCATGGTGAATGGTAAAATTAGTGTTCTGGGGACGGTTGCACGAAGCCTGGCTAGGATAGCACAAATTTTCATATTGTTTGTCTTACAACAAAGAAATTTCGTAATCATACCATGATAAAGTAGAGTGAGCTGGTTACTTTTTGGCACAATGCAAACATGATACCATGATAAAGTAGAGTGAGCTGGTTATTTTTTGGCACAATGCAAACTTGTTACCATGATAGAGTAGAGTGAGCTGGTTACCTTTTGGCACAATGCAAACATGATACCATGATAAAGTAGAGTGAGCTGGTTACTTTTTGGCACAATGCAAACTTGTTACCATGATAGAGTAGAGTGAGCTGGTTACCTTTGGCACAATGCAAACATGATACCATGATAAAGTAGAGTGAGCTGGTTATTTTTGGCACAATGCAAACATGATACCATGATAAAGTAGAGTGAGCTGGTTACCTTTTGGCACAATGCAAACTTGATACCATGATAAAGTAGAGTGAGCTGGTTATTTTTGGCACAATGCAAACATGATACCATGATAAAGTAGAGTGAGCTGGTTACCTTTTGGCACAATGCAAACATGATACCATGATAAAGTAGAGTGAGCTGGTTATTTTTGGCACAATGCAAACATGATACCATGATAAAGTAGAGTGAGCTGGTTATTTTTGGCACAATGCAAACATGATACCATGATAAAGTAGAGTGAGCTGGTTACCTTTTGGCACAATGCAAACTTGATACCATGGTAGACTAGAGTGAGCTGGTTACCTTTTGGCACAATGCAAACATGATACCATGGTAGACTAGAGTGAGCTGGTTACCTTTTGGCACAATGCAAACATGATACCATGATAAAGTAGAGTGAGCTGGTTACCTTTTGGCACAATGCAAACTTGATACCATGGTAGACTAGAGTGAGCTGGTTACCTTTGGCACAATGCAAACATGATACCATGATAAAGTAGAGTGAGCTGGTTACTTTTGGCACAATGCAAACTTGTTACCATGATAGAGTAGAGTGAGCTGGTTACCTTTTGGCACAATGCAAACATGATACCATGATAAAGTAGAGTGAGCTGGTTACTTTTGGCACAATGCAAACTTGTTACCATGATAAAGTAGAGTGAGCTGGTTACCTTTTGGCACAATGCAAACATGATACCATGATAAAGTAGAGTGAGCTGGTTATTTTTGGCACAATGCAAACATGATACCATGATAAAGTAGAGTGAGCTGGTTACCTTTTGGCACAATGCAAACTTGATACCATGGTAGACTAGAGTGAGCTGGTTACCTTTTCGCACAATGCAAACATGATACCATGGTAGACTAGAGTGAGCTGGTTACCTTTTGGCACAATGCAAACATGATACCATGATAAAGTAGAGTGAGCTGGTTACTTTTGGCACAATGCAAACTTGATACCATGATAAAGTAGAGTGAGCTGGTTATTTTTTGGCACAATGCAAACATGATACCATGATAAAGTAGAGTGAGCTGGTTACCTTTTGGCACAATGCAAACTTGATACCATGGTAGACTAGAGTGAGCTGGTTACCTTTGGCACAATGCAAACATGATACCATGGTAGACTAGAGTGAGCTGGTTACCTTTTGGCACAATGCAAACATGATACCATGATAAAGTAGAGTGAGCTGGTTACCTTTTGGCACAATGCAAACATAATACCATGATAAAGTAGAGTGAGCTGGTTATTTTTTGGCACAATGCAAACATGTTTCTTTTCTCACGTGAAATATTTCTGTTAATGGGGCTTTTTTTTAGGAGGGGGTCGAGAATTGAATAGAAAAATGTAACAGGAATTACCGTATTTTTGGCTTGAAAAGTTTTCTGTGCATAAAATAGGACCGAAAGACCCGATTTTGTTCGGTCAACCGCACAGCTCTAGTATCTATTAATCCAAGTAAATGTGCTTACGTATCTTGAGTTCAGCGGTTTATAGTTAACGTATATTTTTCATGTAATATTCTCTTCGTAGTGCTTGTACATCCGCATCCCTCGAGCCATCCTACGTACTTCGCGCTATTGGCACGGACGAAGAACTCGCTCATTCATCTATAAGGTTTAATATGATACAATTTCATACTTAATGGTTCGTGCGTTCAAATTGGCCGAGGAATGTTGCTAATAGAGGGAGCTTTAGCAAGAGTACGACTACGACAACGAGTACGAAATTTGACCGTGTAAGGGAATGGCACGAGCAAGTTTGTTTTCGTTGTCGCTTCGTCAAAATTTAGTTTTAGCTGTAGAAACAGAACGAGTCTTTTTATTGTGTGAAACACAGAAGTTTGGGAAGCAGCTACGGCTCCATTTGTCAAAAATGATATCAACAAATCGGTAATACTGATTTTGCGAGAACATAGGACTCTTTAGACTGAAAAATCTTCACTATTTTAAGTTTTATGTACGATATATTTGTACTACTTTATCGTTTGTTTACCTTTCACTTTGCGTACGAAATACATGAAAGTTTTGCAGGTCATATTTTCCTTTTTAGTGTACATCTGCGCTCAAAAAAGGTTCTAAATTAAAGCCTGGATGCTCGAAAATAGTACTGTAAACTAATTTCTTACAGAATGAAGAAATATACCTACTTTCTTTGCTTAAGAAAACATCGTAGTCGCGACTACGAATTTTTTACAAAACGTCGTACTCAGATTGATGACGGCTACGTGTTTTTGTTGTCGCAACAATGTTTACGCGCCAGAATGACGTAAATCGTACTCGTAGTCGTACTCGTAGGCTTTGCTAAAGCTCCGTATTATCCGTTGCCGTTAAGTATATTTGTTTTCAGTTTTGCTGTTCATAATATTTCAGGTTCGGTATTGGCCGTTTTACCACCGAAGAGGAGATTGATTATACTGTTCGGAAAGTCGTTGACAACGTTAAAAGATTGAGGGAAATGAGGTACGTCCTTTACTCGATATTTAGTTATCAAAGGATTGTTAAACCTGTTCTAGCATACAGCTCCTTTACCATTGAACTGTATATGTAACTGGACAGCTACCCTTTGGTAAACCTATATTTCCGCATTTATAGCATTTTACCTTGGTGCCATTATGAACTTTATTTCGGTCGCGCATAATAGATTGGGACCAGTTAAATTGCCAGCGACAAATATTGGCTACAGATTGCATTCCAGTTACAATCAGATCTGTCTCTATTTATAACTACTCATTGTTCTTGGAAACTGGGTTTTAAAATAGCATTTAGCGTTCAAGTGTAAACCCTTTGAATTTTATTTTGACTTTAATACCCAAGATCACATTTCGTGGGCACGTTTTCACTTGTTTTATCAAAGAAAACTCATTTTATTATTAAAATAAAACATTTCACGTTGTCGACTGTCCGTGATAGGCCAAAATCAGTTGGCAACACGACGGCGCCCCCGACCCAGATCTTCTCGACATTTGATAGGCCAAAATCAGTTGGCAACACGACGGCGCCCCCGACCCAGATCTTCTTGACATTTGATAGGCCAAAATCAGTTGACAACACGACGGCGCCCCCGACCCAGATCTTCTCAACATTTGATAGGCCAAAATCAGTTGACGACACGACGGCGCCCCCGACCCAGATCTTCTCGACATTTGATAGGCCAAAATCAGTTGACGACACGACGGCGCCCCCGACCCAGATCTTCTCGACATTTGAAAGTCCTCGTTTGTTTCAGCTGTCTGTTTTCTGAACATGCACATGTATGTATTGGGATTATTTTATTTTTTCATCATTGTAGTCCATTGTGGGAGATGGTGCAGGATGGCATCGATCTGAAAACGATCAAGTGGACTCAACATTAACCACGTTCGTTCGTCATAACAAGTACCGTTATGTATCGCAGAATTTTTTCCTTTTTCCTGCCGTGCTATGGGCATATTGAACGCGATGCGTATTGCCGCCAGCGATTCGGGATTTTTGAAACTTTTTCCTATTTGCTCAAGCTAGATGTAAAACAAACGGCTCGCGTGTATATATGCTCCGTATTCAGAACTTGACTTCGATAACTGTTGACCAAATTTGATACGTATTTCATTTGTTATATCACTCCCCAAGCACATCGTCAAAAATTGGCACAACTTATGGGATTTGACAATTTGTAATACTAAATACAGTCGAACCTCCAATAAATGGACATCCTGGAGACCACCTTGTGATACCTGCAAGTATAGTGGACATTATTTCAATGTTGTTTTAAAGGGCCAGTAAAACGCACATTTTACTCATTCGAAGAGTACTCTTTAAATGACTGCAGACGTTCTAAAACAGTTAATTCATATCTCTTTTCGTTCACAAGATATTAAAGTTTATGTAATGTACGCTTTACACAACCATTGACGTCATCTTGCTGATACGTCATATTTGCTGAAACGTCAAACAAGCAGAGTTGCCTTCGTTATATAGTGTTAACGCGGCGTAACATTCTCCTTAAGTCCTATTCTCCTTGAGAACGGAAAGAGATATGGATGAACTGTTTTATTTTATGTCTGCCGTCAATCTAAAGAGTTCTCTTCAATGAAAATATAACTCAAATATCTAAATTTTCATTTTTCTGGCCTTTTAGGATTTATTCTCAATTATACAATTAATGGTCTTAAAATTCAATGTGTGTTTACGTGAAAACACAAGTTGAAATCACTGCACGATATCGAAATCAAACACTACATTGAAATCACTTACGTGAAAACACTACATAAAGATCGCCGATATTTTGACGATGAAATAGACATGGAGATTTTTCCTATTTTTTATCAGTTTTCATTTTATTGAATGTCATTTCCTTGAGAAGACGTGTCTTTGAAAAACTGGACATTACAAATCATGTTTAGTTTGTTCGTATATGTTCTAGGTTGTGAGAGATTACATTGAAATGGCTGGACGCAAACGCGTTGTGTCCACGCACGAGAGTTGTGGGCTTCCGAGAATGTCTGTAAATAGAAGTTCGACTGTAGTGACGATGTTTGCCGGATGCAAAACTACGTTATTTGTGTCATATTGTTTTTGACAATGCCCTAATCAATTTTTGCACGCATTTATCAAACGATTGACGTCATTGCATTTTGTCCTAACCTAAACAACATTGATATTACGATTATTGAACAATTATTGAACATCGATTTCGTATTCTTTTGGAGTTCCACTCGTAATTACGTGAGTTCATCAACGAGTTGTCTTAACGATGATTTACTCGTTGCTGATAAATACATTTAAAATAGAGAGTGAGAATGAATGTAGCTTATTAAAAGGTATTTTAGAAGGAATCGCAAGCAATCAATCGCTGGATATTTTTAGAGAAAGGATATCTACGGAGAGAGAGAAATAGCTTCGTCACGCACAGGCATATGAATAGGATACTGTTGGATGTCCAGTTCATTTATTCTATAACTATTTCTTGAATTTTGAAATTTTTTTGCGAAAGAACGCAAATAGACGGTTTGAAAACTTTTGAAGGATCCTGGAAGTTAAAGCTTGGTTTACGCAACAAAATAAGCATAAACATAATAGACATAAGCATGCGCGTTTGAATCATTTTAATGCTTCAAAATTATTATTTTATTTCACTCGTATTTTCCAGCGTTTCGTAATGTTTGCTTACACACAACACAAGCACAACCAAAGACGCATTTTTTTCTTGTGTTTATGCTTGTCCCTTATTTCACACAGCTCAAACGTGCGTTCATGTTTGTGTTCACGTTTGTGTTTATGCTTATTCTAGTTATTTCGCTGTGTTGAAAGGCTTGAAACTTTAAATCCCATGTTTTTCCAACAGTAAGGTGTATCTTGCAAACTACAGATAATTAAAGTTCATTTTGGTTAACCTACACGAGTCTGGCCTCCTCGTTATATTAATCATGTATGAGAGAAGAATTTAGATTAAAAGTGCGTCTGCTTGGATATAAAGGATGCGGCCAGTGACAGTAGATGAAACCAGGAGACACCTGTCATGGTTTCGTTTGTCGGCTGCACGACGCATAATGATTATAGACGTGTTGCGGAGTCGTGACTCGCCTTCAACGACAATATTCAATGTTTGCGTACTTTTGATCAATTGCTGTTGGTTACACGTATCGTTTTTGACGTGCTGTTTTTCAACTTTCAACGCGCCTACGTTTGCGTTGGCTCGGTATTTAGCAAGATAACGAACAATATCAGTTCAAAGCGTTTTCGTCTCGAGGATCAGTTGCCGTTGGCTAATGTTGATGTATGAAAGATTAGCATACTCGAAGTTTTTTGGCTTTTGGAGTTCGCTGCCCGTGTTTTGACTGAGAGTCTTGGGACGTCATTACGAGTCATTAGTTTTTGGATTCGAGCCGCATCCGTCGTCACGCTGGATCTGTTCGCTAAAGTGCAACGGAAAGGCGGAAAGTCTTTCGCGGCGTACAATAATCAGTCAAGGAATAGTTCCTTGGGAAATGTAAGTACAGTTGGTAAACATTCAGAATCTTTTGTTTGCGACATCTTATTTCTTACATTCTTACCTACTTTACACCGATAGCTCGTTCACTTTATAAAAAAATTTACAAAGTGAACGCAGGTTTAGTTCGGCTTTCAAAAAATATACTATTTTTATGGCTGTTGTTGAATGATAAGGGACTAAAACATCGTGCTTTTCATGTTTGAATGATGGTGATATTTCGGAGGAATGTCGTGCTTACTCCATTTTACAATTTTTCAAACCAGCATTTCTGCTCTACCAACTGAAATGTACGTAAAATAATTTTCAGAGCCGTCGTGAAACGATGAAAATCAAGAACCGAAAATTGATTACAATATTAAGCGATGTTGACGCCATCATTCCGTTCGTTGAAATCATTGAATTCTCCGTGTTTTGCATGTAAAAAGCTACTGAAAGCGGAGATTTTATGCCGTTAGCATCGATTTTAGCTTTATTTTTTAGAAACATACGTTCGCGCAATCGTTCGTTCGGTTGCCTAAATAATACATTATTGCCACAGCGGTGTTTATCACGGTTTTGTTAATTGTTCCCGCCCGCACAGCAGACGATTGGCGTGAATCGTTATTAAATTGTATATGGAAAGAAAACAAGTTTTACATTGTTTTAAATACATCCGGGAAGAACTCCTTCATTCATTGTCTTTTTTGAACATCTCTCGATTGCTTGTAGCTAATTTCAATGTGGGTTTTGTCGCTCAACTTATATCAAAATGAATTGCTGCGTTGGACGATCTCTTGAAACGCAATCCTCAATGTCATTGACCTCAATGTAAGTCAAGATGAAGCTTCGAGGAAGAGATGAAGCTTTTTTTCCAACGTTTTAGAAATAAGGGATTGCTACTTTCAGAATGGTTCGTTTGAATTCATTACGTATGTTTTCGACTTGTCGTTTTACACTGAAATTCTAATCAACGGAATCATAGTCGGAAATACGATATGGGAAGCATTTGCAGCTGAAAAGTAATGAACTAAAGTGTAGAAAGTTTGTTTCCAATTATCTAGTATAATCAAAGCGAGTTTCTTAGGAAATCTTTGAACTGTAAGCTTGTAGTATGAGTAAACTTTGTTCCAAAAAATGGACACCAATGTAATTGTCATCGTTTCAACATTCAAATCGCTCACAAATAATTAGTCGTTCGACCCTCGATTAGACGAATTTATGAAATGTATTACCCTGAAGGTCATCTCTAAATTAATGGAGTCCACAGTACGGATGTGACTCGTTTGACTCGTTTCAATATACATAAACGCAATTTATTTTGATAGGAAAAAGAGTTTCGTTCTTTACACCAGTCAAATTGTAAAAACTAACAGAAAAAACATTTTGTGAAGAAAGAGCGCCGACCATTCGCCATTAGTCGCAGGTTTGATTACAGATTGAAAAGTTAGAGCAAAAAATAGAACACAGATAAGGTCGGACAGCTCCATCCACTACAAGATTTTCAAAGAATTTAGGCTTTCGGGCATGATAAGAACGAAGATAAGCCTATTAAGGGCAAGATCAAGATATTAGGCAATCATCAAATGAGGGGGTTGTAGGACTCTACGCTACAACGGGCTAACCTATTGAACATATTTCATCAGATATTTGTAGTCTTTAAGAAGAGTTAACATGGAAAACAATATATATGACTTGTCCAAAGTCACTTGTCTTTAGAAAGATTTAGAATTTCAGAGAAATGGCAATAGCGTGTTATTAAGACGTTAAACGGTTTTCGCGAGAACTCAAGTGCTTCGTCAAAGGAAATTCGAATATGATGATAACACATCGAAACTCTTGGGATTGTGAGAACAAAACTCACATTATGCATCTTTTAAAGAATTTTTCATGCGCACATATATGATTCGTCACTGTAGATCAGCAAGGTCTACAGTATCAACGTGAACATTTTCCACAAAAATTTGTTACCGTCCAACTTCGTGCTATCGTAAGATGTCAGTCTAACAGCGACGGTTGTCGAGACTCGAGTGCATGAAATATAAAATAGTTTCTTTTTGTTTAATAAGCTCAAAAGTAAGTTCTCCGGTGTGATATTGAAAATAGGAATCGAATATATAAACAATATTTCATCTTACAACGCACGCAACATTCTCAGAGGCCGCCCCACTGTACTTGTCTTTTTGGGCCGGAAAAAAAATGCTTGAAAATTGTGGATATTCCTGATCACTGGCAAAATGTTCCCACAGCTTGTTAAAATTGACAATTGATCGTAGGATTATTGATATTAAAGTTTCAACTTTACGTTAAAGTTTGTTTCAACAATTACTTAAACGCCTTTAACGTGCTCATTAAGCGATCTGATGTCATTGCGGTTTATTAAATGAAATCTTGTTGTGAAGTACGATTATCTTGGCATTAGAAGGAATTATTTCAATATTGTTTTAAGTTTCATTCTTAATTATACAATTAATGGACTTGAAGTTTCAATCAGCGTGTTCACGCCGGGGGCGGGCAACTTGAAAATCACCGATATTTTGACGATGATATAGAAAGAAGAAAGAATTGAAAGAGGGCAATATAACCGCAGTGATACTTCCCATTTTATTTTTTTATTTTTTTTGAAAAACTCTTTATCAATTTTGCTAAAGCTTGTTCCTTAGAAAGACGTGTGTGTTGACATTAGAAACATCTTGAAGGCTTTTCTCCGCAAACTTTCTGCGATGAGGTGTTATGACTGACTAAATATTTCGTTTGTGGTATTTCGGGGATGACTCTCTATTTGCCAAATCTTCACTTTTATTGCATGCGTCAAGTATGTTGTCAACAAGAGACGAAAAGATTACTGCAGCCATAAATTATGTACATTTTTATAGGAACGAAAGGACTACTTTACGTACCTTTTACTCAAAAAAAATATGTATCGACAAACAATTTCGTAATGATGGTCAAAAATCTCTGACCAATAGTTTAGCAACGATATTCCAACTTATAGTTTAGGCTTTAAAATGTTATACTAAGTATCGCATGTTTAGCTTTATTTTACTTAATAAATAAATAATGTTTTATGTGTTCGCCCCGGCTTATGCAAACCGATGAGACGTTCGGGAGAACTGGAGACCAAATACGGAGTTCTCCCAAACGACTCGAGGTTTGCATAAGCCAGTGCAAACACGAAAAACATCTTTTCTTTCTTTTATAAAATAGCAATAATGCGAAACAAATACGTTTAAAACAGTTTTAATTACTTTTAATTTTTCTCCTAACATGTGAACGATTTGCAGTTTCTCTTTGAATGGTTTGAATTGATGGAACTCCGATCGATTTCCTCAAGCTTATGAAACACAGCTATAGACCAATCAGCGCATGCGTTTTATTATTTTTATTTTATAAAGTTCCCCTGAATCCTGCTGACTCGATAGACGCGCGACAATTGTCATTTTGACAATTCGCAACTTTCAACTAAGAAAATTGTTTGCGTTGCATACACAATTCCATTTTTTCTGAACGTTCTCTCATAGTCAAATCTCTTGAAAATTTCACGCCATCAAAAAGTCAAACAAGTTTATAAACCTGTTTTTGTCGTCGACGCGATTTCGTTTTGTCGTTCGATCTCGAATTTGAATAATACATAAACCAGAAAATGTTGTCACGTGGCACCGTGGCATTATATGATAACAATTCATAATAGTTGTCAACGCGTCGCTCCTTCCTCGTATGACGAGGCTTACTTAATTTGCGTTTCCTAAGAGGCCTTTCCCGTTCTTTGTGTATCTTTGTCTTTTCTCGCCGTGCCAAAAGCTACATACTCTTAACTTTTTTTGCTCCAGTGTGCAGGGACTTACAGAGCTCTTGCTCAGACTGACAACGAGAATATGGCGACTAATAATAATGATGACGGAAAATTCGCTGGCCATAATGCGAAGGACGAGGTTTGCCCAGTGGGTCCTACAAGCGATCGTGTTTGTATGAAATTTAAACTCATTCACGAAGGAGACATCCAAGTTTGTCGACTAAATCATAGTGGGACTATATTGAGCAAAATACTCAGTTCAAAATTTCTTCGCAAATGGGAATCGCATCACATCGTACTGGCAGATATTCAATTGTACTCCAACATCGTAAGTTGCATTTTGTATTATTAGCTTTTAGTATATGTTATGAAATTTTTATGACTCAGTTTTCAGATTGTTTTCACCAAGGCGTGGGTAGGGTTTTTCTTGGTTTTGTTCATCGAATCTTATCTATGGAATTTCATAACACTCGACTCACAAGAGCGGTTGAACTATCAACAGCATTCTTGCGGACATTCAGCTACAGCCACACTAATGACTAATGGCCGTTTTATCTACCGTTTCAATTTTTTTTCGTTTCGTGAACTCTACTTTAGCTTGCTCCGAGAGCTTTAATTTGCCCTGAATTTCTCGAACTTAATGTTGATAACTTTAACTTTAAGTCGCGCTACAAGATCGAGCTAAACGGCCTCGCTCTATAATCACAGCTGCTTAAGTTTGAAGCCTTAATTGAAATTGTACAAGCAGCAAAAGCTTCTTTTACTTTACTATTTGAATTTCATCCTCGTAGCATTGTTAAGATCCTCAGCGTTCGCGTTCTCGTCTTTGAAGGACGAGGTCACCGCTAAGTGTTTATTTTTATTTGCGTGGTGAAGTCGTTTGTTTTAGGAAGAAGTCGAACTACAACGTTGTAAATAAATATTGCGAAATATCACGACGGATATGAAAACGATATGGGCATGGCGTGTTATTTCCTATTCTAACGACTTCGGTTCACCTTTCCGTTCGTGCATTGTGGCTTGCCACCGTTTAAAATCTTCTGCAGCGGTTTTTAAATTTTTTTTTGGCGAAGTATAAACATTTTTACGCATTTATTTCCGCGTAATTGTGTGCTCAATTTTCTTACTCGCGTAATTTTAATTTTAACTTTTACATTAAAAATATTTCCCCCGAAAATTACTTCGACTTTTATTTTTTAACATCTCTGTACATTCTATGCTTTTGTGAAATACATATGCTCGCTAATCAGCACCCGTTACGCCATAATTGCATGTCAAATATATTTGTTTCAAGAAGAGGAAAATGCTTGCTTAGCGCTGTTTCCTGTTGAACTTGTGAAGTAATTGCAAATTAAATTTAATTTTGGGAAAAGACGAAGCGTGTGCCTTCTCTTAATGACGTTAGGTGTTTTTTTTTCATTTTCCTATTGCTAAATTGCTAAAGCTCGCATTGTCACGCTGCATTTTAGAAGCAAGTTGAACATGGTGATTGAAAGTGGCCCATATTGGTCTTTGATATTACCCCTCAGTTTACACTTCGAGAACTCTGTTGCGGGGGGAATGTGCTTGACAACAACTTGTTTCTGTTTTAACGGTTAGGTCTGTTTCAAACGTCGTATTTTGCGTGTGTCGAATAAAATAGTTTGAATTAAATGCATTTGAAATTCGACGTATGAAAGAATTAAATTCGACTGCTTTAATCGTAACTTTAAATTCGACCGTTTAGGTCGCTTTATGCGACGAAAGTACGACTTCGTTTCAAACGCTGAGTTTTGCATATGTCGAATACAATTTGGCTCTCGCGTTTTACTCACAACAAAGTCTGGATTGAGATGAAGCGAAGACGTCGTTTAATAATTGCATTCGACGCATGCAAAATTCGACGTTTGAAATGCACAGTCAAATTTTGCAATTCGTTCGAATTAAATTGCTTATTGTATTCAACACGTGCAAAATTCGACTTTTGAAACAGGCCTTAGTTCATACGACGTTAGAAAATCTTATAAAAACGTTTTATTTGAAGTAGGGCACGTGTATAAATTTTTGCCGAAATTAGAAAGTTCTAAGCTGTCGGTGTGTGTCACTTGGAAATTGTTAATTTCAAAAACCGCATGAACTTTGCAATTTTTCCTGAACTAATGAATAATCATTGGGGATATTTTGTTAATAAATAATCCTTGGGAAAGGCGTATGGACTTTTAATTAAAAATATAGGAAACAATGGTGTTTTAATTGATATATGATGAATATTTAGGACATTGATGAATTGTGACGAATATGATATCGTTAATTATTAAAATGCATAGCCAAAAGGAAAAATTTAAAACGTGAAAGATTGGATTAGTATACAAAGCATCCATTGTATACAAAGTGCTGCTTATGAAGGGAAAATTTTACTTTTTGAATTGTAGTTTTATTAGGCATAACTTTTTGGTAATTTGACAGTAGACTTTATGTTTACACGCGGTCTCTTGTGATTCTTCAGTATTTTAATGTTTTCGTTTAAAACACAGTTTCTGTTTTTGTTCAATATCTTAAGAACGAAAACAAATATTCATAAACTGTTTTTGAAGGTGTACTTTAAATTTAAAAGTTCTGTTGACTAAAACCATAATTTGAAAAGCGATAACTTCACTTCACGAGCACTTTGATGATTATTTGTTTAACTTTACGGTAGCCCTCTGGCTTTATGGAGTACTCGATTGCATATCAAGATATTACCGAAGCGCATGTCATGGCAAGATGGGACGCTGGTCAACATTTCTGTTTTCGAGTTGCCGTACCGGATGGATCGTTACTGTTTAAGGTCAGTCGTTTAGATAGTTATCAAGCAAGCGCGTGTTTTTACACCTGCTATGCAAAATCATTATTCGTTTTTTTAGAAATATAATCTTTCCAAATGTTTATCTTTCAACAAACACAATACTATAAGCGTTTATAAGCTGGTAAAAAGTCAGACCGGCATCGCCGCTGCTCCTAGATTAAGCATAATATTTTGCAATGGATCTTTGTAAATGGAAATAAGACTATTTTTAGCAGATATTCAGCACGTAAATTTTTATCTGATTACACTTCAGACATCCACAGCTTATCATCGAGATCAGTGGCTTCATTCCTTGAAATGGAAAGTGCAACTGCTTCGTTACAGGAAATTGATAAATAAGATCAATGATCCTGAATCATTGGTTAAAGAGCTGAAGGTAAATAATTTATAATGTACGTACCTTATGAATGCTCGGCTAAATTTTAGAGGCGTACTTCCTACTAACAGTGAAGCCCTGTACAATGTATGAAAGAAGTTCTTTGAATACGTAGCAAATACGCTGGATTTGGTCAATTTTCCACGCATGCGTTTTGTCTAACTCCGCTCTTGTTCTAAATGAGCCATCGTTACTAAGTTTTCTGCGCGTGCTCGGATCGCTCGGACCGAAATTGCGGCTATGTAGGTTTTTATCGAAACAGTTCACCTTGAATTAATTACCATCAGCCAATGAGCTTTGGAGCTCCCTCTTAGTACGGATTTTGCAACGTGTTTTGAAAATTCCAGTGATCCAGCTAAGAATTGAACACGAGTTTTGAAATGATATTTTCCATAAAACTTGTTTGTTCACGTCAAGAATTGATTGACGACAAGTGGTTTAAATAATATTTACCTAAAGAATATTGTAATTAAAATATTGACATGAGAGAAAAAATTCTAGAAGAGACATCGAATTTTGAGTGACTAAAGGTGATAAAAAGTGCTTACCCAATGCTCATCATACTATCGATTTCTAGCTATATGTTGAAACTTTCACTTTTTTAATAGGAGCTTGTTTCGTACTCTTTATCATGTCCCATACAAGACGAAGCCGTCTTTCAAACCCCCTTGAAAATCGTTTCTACCATTTTGGCTCAGGTACTGTCAAATGAACGTTATTTAGGAGTAAATTCCTTCATAGCAGAAAGGCCGATTGCGTCTCACAAGACGTTGTTTTGTCTTCCCTGAAAAAAAACCAGGACATTTTTATTTTTTTATTCAGCACGGATCTCGAATATCGCTAATTGCTCAGGAGAGCATTATATTGTCATTATCGAAACTTCTCGACTATACACAACTTTCACCAGAAATATGCAAGTTCTTTAGCAAGGTACTGTTACAAGAAGGGCCTGCTCCTCATAGTGTAAGCTTTCAATTGTTTATGATAACATCACGATATTAGTAAAGCTTGTGTATGTTTTTTTCAACTTTCAAAATGCATATTAGAGAGCTTTAGCAAAGATTACGAGTACGAACTACGTAATTTTGGCGCGAAAACATAGTTGCGACAACAACAAACTTCCTCGTGCCATTCTCTTACACGGTCAAACTTTGTACTCGTTGTCGTAGTCGTACTCTTCCTGTGCTTGACAGTTAAAGCTGTTTTCTACCAGGCGGAGTTTTTCGCGCAAAATATCTAACAACGTGCTTGATTGGTAGATAATGAAGTCTTTATTTGAATATTTTTTGAGAACCAATCATCTAGCAAACATCGCTTAGCACGTGGAAAATTCCGCCTTCAGGAAAAAGACATTAACATGTTTGTCTTCCCGCGAGTGTGTTTGACTGTGTGGAGGACTGGGACCTAACTCATGGCTGTGTATTTTTTCCACTAGCATTGTAAAGATAACTACCACAACAACGCAATTATGGATATATTTGCGCCGGCCGTTCAAAGAATATTGAAACATAACATGGTATGTGTGTATTTCAGAAAGGTTTTGTAACATTTCTGGATGTTTTTCATCGATAAAATGTACATCTTCCATTTCAGCATTGTGACATACTACGAGGTGTTTTGCCCGTGACAGGATTGGTAAGAAATCCAGTGAATTACCCAATTTTGAAGTTTCAACCGTCATTCTTTGCGCCTCTACATTTACAGTCGCTTCATATACATAGTGATGTATGTTTCTGACGTTTGTACATCAAAATACAAAGAAGCGAGGAAACTGTTCCGTGTTTGTATTCTTGCGACTTTTTCGAAAAACGTTGTATTGTTCATTTCATTTGAAAATGAACTTGGCTTATTTTCCCTCGTTGAATCAACACTGAAAGATTTGAGCACAAAATGTCGGACTCGGTAACGCAAAGCATGACGGTTAATATTTGTTCTTAAAACTGAATACACTGTGAATGTAACATAATAACAACATGTTTTACTTCTCCCGTTCGCTTCTGGAGATGTTTTGCGTAAAAATATTAAATTACTTTGGTATAACAAAAAGAGGGCCTTTCGTTTCGTTTTATTTAGGTATGTTTCTGGCAATCTCGTGTTTTTTCCTGTTGTAGGATTTTGGAAAGTACCCGCATCTTCGAATGTTTGTTCAGGATTTCCTCTACGCAAAGTTTTACCAAGGTGGCGAGGAAAATCCTAGTGCTGTCAAGGAATTCGTTTCAAGGTGAGATAAAAGGTTGTTGAAAGGACACTTTAAATCGATAGCGCTGAAGCTTTTTGAATTTTTCTATATATTTTAGTATCCATAGTCCCGCGACTGTATGTCCACATCCTCGAGTCTTACCAAATATGGTAGCCGTCGTCCTTGCTGGCGTGTACTCGTCCTTCGACAATAGTAATAGTAGCAAACTGTAAGTGTTGTTTTCAAGTTGATCTGGCAATGTATGTATCGCCTTACGTGGCTACTTAAAGCTTTCATTATTGAGGAGCTTGTTGCTTTAAAGCATCGAAAACTAAATTTTCTGATAATTTATAATAATTCTGATAATTATAATAATTGTAATAATTCTGATAATTATAATAATTGTAATAATTCTGATAATTTCTAGAGAGGAACTTTGGGTTTCAGTATGTGCGAGCGTCGACAACAACACGGATCCAAAGTTATTAAACAGGTGATGACATTTCCCATTTTCAACACGTATATCGGCAAAAACTAAACTGACCAAATTACTTCACTGTGGTAGGAGTGTGTCGTTCAAGTATTGTTCAAGTCAGCTATCGTGTCATCCCCACCCACTAAGTTTTAACTTCCCAAAAAAAGAGTCATATTTTCCCATTTTCAATACGTATACCGGCAAAAACGAAACTGACCAAATTACTTCACTGTGGTAGGAGTGTGTCGTTCAAGTATTGTTCAAGTCAGCTATCGTGTCATCCCCACCCACTAAGTTTTAACTTCCAAAAAGAGTCATATTTTCCCATTTTCAACACGTATACCGGCAAAAACTAAACTGACCAAATTACTTCACTGTGGTAGGAGTGTGTGGTTCAAGTATTGTTCAAGTCAGCTATCGTGTCACCCCCACCCCCTAAGTTTTAACTTCCAAAGAAAGAGTCATATTTTCCCATTCCTGAATAATGCTTCCCTCTACTCGTTAGCTTTGTGCTAAACTTGTTGCTTTGCTCGATAAGCGTTTTAATGTTGATCTTTGAACTTTTTGTTCTTCTTCATGAACTGTTTCATATTTGTTCTGCAGATACACAATCAAAAACATGGCGATTCGTGATCGATTTTCAAAGTGTTATACGACCGTACTGGAAGCTTTGTGAGTGAGGCTTTAAAGCTTTTTGAAATAAACGGGACGCGTTCAGATAAATCGCTGGAAGTTGAGCGTAAAATATAAAATAAAACATAATCAGAAAAGATGTCTTATAAACTTAATTTTAAGTTATAGCCGAGACGTAATATGTCGGTTCTTCTTCAAAACCATCATCGACCATCATTAAATAAAACCGAATTATTACAGTTTAAATTTTCTTGATCATAACTTAAATTCGAGTTGACAAGATGTCTTTTTTCGGAATACGTTTCATTTTATATTTTATGAAATTGTCGTTAAGTCAAAGAATTTAGCGTAAAAATAAAGAATGCTGATTCATCAATTTTCATAACTTTCTTTTTTAAAACAGAGCAGAATTTGACGATTGGAGACCTTCTCTGGCCACGTTATTGCAGCCCATTCCGTTTCCCAAACAGTAAGTATCCTAAAACTGCCATTTTAGGAGTAAGTTGACACAAATTTGTTTCCTGTAAACCATCTGTTGATGAATGTAGAGATAGTCTTCTGAAGTTTAGCTAAAAGCACAGGTGCTGTATTTTAATTACAGTACAAGCTGCGGTTTGCCATTTCAGCGTTCTCATTGGTCAGAAATGCAATTTACTTGTCGTTATACATGTAATTGCATGCCTATTTACATATGCGCTACACAATAATTTTTAATAGAGTGGGACTTTTGTTTGTTTCTATACTTTGCTATAAGTAAGGATTTGGCTTAGCGAGCTAGCTATCACTCTCTATGAATCTACCACTGATATATATAAAGACTGGATAACGCAACCTTATTCTGGTGCCTTGAAAATTTTGAAGCCAACTTTTGACAGCGACGGCCATATTGGACTATCCACTTCTAGTGCATATTTTATAATGAATTTTTATCATATTTTGTATTCTTGTTATTTTCTCTTTCAGAAATCATGCCAAATATTTTATTATGATATTTAAGCAACGTGAGAAGATTTCTATATGAAATTTACCAAATACGAGTTTTAGCTTAAAACCTTTCTATTGCAATCTTATGATCGTAATAATCCTTTTTTGTCCCAAGAGTAAAGCATATGATCCAAAATAAATGCGACGGTAGCAGTTTGTTATATAAAACCATTTTAAAAACTGAAAAAGTGGACAGTCCAATATGGCCGCCCGGCTTCAAGTCAAGCACTAAGTTGCATTACCCAGTTTTATATATATCAGTGGAATCTAATACAACACCATCTCAATGGAGCAAACATTAAAGTTTTTTAGACTTTATATAATGCGTTCATATTACTTTGGATTTCAGCCAGTTCGTTTGACTGGTCAATGCATTGCACTTGGAAATAAGAATTGTTTAACTTTTGTTTAGGACATTAAAAGACGCCATGTTTGTCAAGTGAGTTGATTTCATTTTTTCATTGGAGCTCATGTGCTCATTTGGAATTTCACAGGAGTTATTTGAAGACATGAACACGTTTTCGATTTTATGATGTCGTGCCCTTAAGTGGAAACACTTGGTCGTTAGTCACGTGAAATTGACATATTTCCCTCGTTCTCCAACAAAACGTTTAGTATTGTTTGGATCTTGAACTAGAATAATATTGCAATATTTGGCAGCTAAAATCTTTCATCATTACTATGTTAACAACGCCTTTTGTTGTGTGCTCATGAACACATTCAAAAACGACAATTTTCCTTCTTCAGATGTTTATCTGTTCTTGTGAATAAGTTTATCGAAGACAACAGATGCGAGGTATGATGATAATGAATAGAGATTGATTCTTCGTAAGTTACTTTATGTAAACGTCTTTGAACTGTATCTTATGTTGATATTTATATGGTGAATACATCATGACCAGGATATAGGGGTTTACAATCTTGGTTTGACTGCCAATACATCGCAAGTTACCATACATCCCCACCTTGCGAGTTTATATTTAAGAATTTCTCATGTGTAAAGTTTTGTGCAGGTTCATCAAACTGTTCTTCCTGTTCGCGAAGGCAAAGATGGCTGGATTGATCTGTTTTGTCCCGGTGGCATTTGTTGTACGGATGATGGCGAATTTTTCTCCAAAATGGTAAGTCATCCTTCTGAAGTTTAGTTTGCTCGACGAGAACGAGATTCGATGGAAAAAACATCAAGTTTTACATTTTAATTAATTATGTTAATTATAAATGTTTATGGATGTAGATCGTCCAGGTTAGTAAGGACTGTTGGTGTTGTTGTTGACTGACGTTTCGACAACCTTAAGGGTAGTCATCTTCAGAGTCAAACATGTAACGATACTCCCTGGTTCAAATCATTTACTTTATATGAATTATAATTATTTACATCTATATGTGTAAACGTAACTCGGCCCATTCCACCCAACGTAATTTTCTAAGAATTCAATTTTATGAAGCAGCAGTGGTGTAGCTAGCATCGATAATTGTGCGGGGGGTGGGTGGCACAAATTCATATATGAACTGATACAATCCGCTGAAAATAATCGATTTCAAGTGAACTTAATACTGCAGAACCAATGACCTAGAACCCAATCTACTAGGTATCTGACTCAGCAAAAATTGTATAGTAATGAGTGAGGCAAGTTGAAATGAGTCTCCATCTTGAAAGGTGGCAAAACTGACGATATTTACGACTAATATCTGGTTTTGTTGAGTTGATATAGAGTCGCAAATTTGATAGTCTAGGTTTGATTCTTAAACGATTTGATAGGATGGGTTTTTTAAACTTTGTTTTAACTTATTTTTCATTTTGAGTTTTGCTTTTTGCCTCATTTCAAGATGGTGACAAACACCCACCCACCTTTCCCCAATTATGGAGCTGGCTACTCCACTGTAAAGCAGGTTGTAGAGTCAATTATGACGACACTGCAGCAGACACTTTTATTGTGGAATTCATTCCTTACTGGACATAATTTACGTTCGTTTTTTAGGTCGGTAAGATAATGCGTTGTTGTGTGAATAAGAAAAAATTTTTATCAAAGTTAAAGCGAACAATGTTGGGACCATTTATGTTGCTTTCACTGAGGGGAGACAAGAATTGTATCGAGGTAAGTAAGTCGCCTTTTGATTGTTAAATTTCTGATGATGGCGCTGAGAAATAAATACATATGTTGTAGATAGTAGCTAGTCTGACCACTTGTGCGTAATTTATTACCAAGATTGCTTTGATATAATCAAAACGCTTTCCCATTTTTCCAAATTGTCGCGACAATTGAATGTATATACGTTTGTCTAACCGCATGAGAGCGGATCTAGCAATAAAAGTTACCAAGTTTGATTATCCTGGCATTAACTAAAAACATGGCGGATGAGTATTGCTAAAGCCGATAGTGATACGTACTCTGTATCTTCTTTTCATAATATCTGGTACGTTTTGCCATACTTCATGTAGGTCTTAGTGAAAATGTTGGATGTCGATGTGTTTTCGAGCGAAGAAGAAAGACTTCAAATCATTTCGACTTTGCAAAGTTCATCGGAAGGAAAGAAGGCGTATGAAGTTTTGTGTGAAAAGTACGGCAACTTATTTTATTGTCATCGTCATTCAAATTTATTTATAATCCACTTTTCACACGCGAAAATACACGTAAATTCAACAAACATGTTTTTATGGACGTTGCTTTTTTTTTGTACAGGAAAGCGAGATTCCGTGAAATGGTGAGATGTTAGCGATTACATCATTAGTACAATATTACTGATTGTGAAATGTTAGCAATTAACATTATTTAAGTTATGATATTGACTGTTTAGAATCAGCAATTAACATTATTTAAGTTATGATATTGACTGTTTAGAATCAGCAATTAACAGTATTTAGGTTAAAATAACTGTTTGAAATCAGCAATTAATATTAATTAGGTTATACCAACAACTGTGTAAAATTAGAATTTACATCACTAAAACTGTATTACTGATTCTGAAATTGGCAATTGACATCAATAAGTGTATATTATTGATGACTGATATTGGACATTTACATAATTAAGTCTATATTAATGATTCTGATATTGGTAATGTACGTCACGCGTTTAACTTTCCAGGTTGCAAGGGGTTGCATATTTAGTATATTTGCGTTCTTATCAATTATCCTATCAAATTTCAATCATTGAGAACATGACGTTACACATTTACTTTGTTTGACCAAGTTTCTCTACCCATTTAGCAAAATCGTGGTGGTCCTACAATGCTGACATTACCAACGAAATCTACGGTAAGTTAACTATGAAAATATTTAATATTAAGATTTGTGCCCAACATGTAACTTTAGCGAGCTTTACGTATGTTCAGATACATTTTTTGTCGATAACGTTTCACTTTCACATATGTTGAGATTTTTTTGAAGTGACATCAGACTTTTCATATAAACGCACTAGTTTACCGTTAGCAAAGTGTTCATTCACGTGATCAATAGAAAGTGTAAAAAAAATTAGGTGATAGAACGATACAAAGAAGGGACATAGGACGCGTGCTTGAAAAAAGGCAGAAAAATTAAGCGTACTGGAGCTATCTTGAGTGTTTTTAAGAGGGCTCTTGTGTATCATAACTTCTAAATATTGTAGCAAAAGGATGGTATAGCATACTATACAAGGATGGACTTAAATGACGCTTTTCTTGTTAATGTCGCATGTAGCTTAATGTTAGAGAAAATAAATGGAAATGCATTGTGTTGATTGAAATTATTTTAAAAACATAATTTAAGTTTGAAGTTGATGTTACAAGCCATACGACATATCGCACTTTTGTCTACGTCTTACAGGATGAAGATCTTGCTCGCATTATCAAATCTGGGTCATTTGGTAATCTGAAGACACTTAACCTTGCCTTCACTCACGTGACTAGCACGTGTGCCGAATATCTTATCCAATTACCAACACTAATTCATCTCAACTTATGGTCTACCCACGTAAGTAGCTGATGACGTCACCAATACGTAAGTAGCTGATGACGTCACCACTCAAGATATATTTATAAGGAACAGTTGCAAAACCTATCGATAGAGGACAGTTTGCTTATAGCTAATACTTCAATGTTCACATAAATTTCTAAACATGCCTTTCAATTTTACTAGTTTGGTGATAGTGGTTTACAAATATTGGCAGAACATTTACCTCTGCTGGAGTCATTGAATCTGTGCGAGACGCCAGTTACGGATGTTGGTCTTGCCTCTCTCGTTATACTCACTAGTCTGAAGAATCTTAACTTAAATAGTACTAAATTATCACCTGTGATGTATGAAAAGTTGAAGGTGAGTAGCAGGCAGAAGTTCCTTGATAAGTGGCTCGCTAGCAAAATGGACTTAGATCAACTATCATTTGAGGCGCCATTGTAAAATGCTTGTAAAACTTACCGGAACCATGTGGGGATGACTGGGGATATTTAGGGATTATGACCTATACTTTTTCGTTCGGGCCTAGGAAATTGTCAAATCTCAAATGCTTATTGGGATTGTTTTACGTTATAGAAACTTTTTGTCCAACTTAGATCCCCGTTCGAGTTTCGTAGAACACAATTTTTCTGTCTGCCAAGTAACACTGAAAGTTGTGCAGTAACTTACTCAAATATGTTTCTTTCCAAAACAGAATAAATTGCCGGTGTTGGAGGAACTTGATGTCAGATATACCGATGTATAATGTTCTTGTGTTGAAGACGAACATGATTTGAGTGTCGCTGCTTTATGCATTTAAGCTGGTGAAGAGAATGTGACGTGTAATATGAGTCCTCTCGAACCAGTTCCCTTTTCTCACGACCGTGTTTGTCGTAGGTGTCGTATATCTATTGGGAACTTGGAGATTTCCCGACAATTTATGTCTTTTAATGTGTACAAAAGGATGTACAGTGAATTATTATTTATTGGCAATCGCACTTTCGAGGAACCAATCGTTGCATTCTTGAGCAACAGAAAATACTTTTTAATGACATAGTTCATAGGAAAAGTCGAAAATTGAATGCTATGGTCATATATGATCGAAACGTGCAGTTTTAAGAATTGGCTGGAACAATTTTGAGTGATTGCCTGTGCATTGTCGTCTTTGTTGCTGTATTAATTTATGGTTGTGCGTATGTGTTTTTCACAGAACTAATAACTGCAGTTCGTCTCTTCCCACTGGTGAGGTTGAGGCTTGAATCCCCAATGATGTTCAATGTATATATTTAAAATGTAATTTAAATTGCTGCTAGTATTTTTAATAGTTGTCACAATTATTGGCACTGTGTATGTTAGTTGTATTATATATAGCTACTTGTGTATTTCGTCATGTAACATGGCTTTTTATTATGTAAAACTATGTGATTTACTCAGTTGATATGATGAGTCATATATTCTAATAGCATTTAACTACATACCTGTATAACAAAAAAAGGATAAAACTGTCTTTCTTCATGTCATCTTTTTGAAATGTCGTTCATGTCGTCTTCAAAATATCCTTCATGTCTTCTTTTTGAAATGTCTTTCTTGTATTAAATTTCGATATTCTGGGGTGGAGATGTACTCGTTGGTCGTTACCGTCAACAACCCACAAAAACCGATAATTAACGAAGGTTAAAAGGAAGAGAAACATAAAAGTAGACAAAAAGGTAGAAACAAAGGTAGACATAAAGGTAAACATAAAGGTAGACATAAAGGTAGACATAAAGGTAAACATAAAGGTAGACACAAAGGTATACATAAAGGTAGGCATAAAGGTAGACGTATAAGTAGACATAACGGTAGACATAACCGTGGACATAAAAGGTAGACACAAATGTAGACAACAGTAGACATAAAGGTTGGCATAAAAGTAGACAGAAATGTAGACACAAAGTTACACATAAAGCTAGACACAAATATAAACACAAAAGCAGGTATAAAGGTAAACATCAAAGGAGATATAAATTTAGAAATAAGGTAGACGTAAAAGTAGACATAAGTAAAGCTAGACATAAACGTAGAGTCTAGATAGTCTCGTTATAGTTTCCAAAAAAACAATCAGAACAGTGCTGCCACTCCGTATATGCAAATCTCCCTTACAGAAACGTTCGTTCCCAGGCTCAAAGTTCGGCGTCTAAATTGTCAATATATTTTCGATTCGCGTAACACTATGTTATAACGTTAGCAGCAAGATTTATATATACACATATTGTCAAACCTCGGTCTTAGTCAATAAGTGTTAAATATTACTGGCTGATGAATGTGTAAAATTTCAGCTTCTATTCTAGTCATATTAAGGCAATGTCTGGAAAGACAGCGCCCTATGCTTTGAAATCAGCAATAACGACTGGAATTCTTGGTTCTCCAGAATCCATTCATTTGCACTCCTGTAAAACGCAACCGTTAGCGTTGTTTTACGACTTGAATGTGTTCGAAAATGGCTTAAAAAATGTGCAAAATGCGTTCGGCAAAGGTATGAAATGAATGGAAATGAGCATGTGTATTGTTTACTGTTTTACTTTTGTCTTTCCTGTGTAAGCGAGCGAGGTAGCTCGCTGTTCTCTTTGTCTGTTCGTTTGAATTATGCTAAATATTTAGCTTGCATTTCTAGTATTAGCTATGTCTTATTGTATGGTTTTGGAGTTGGTAAAACACCATGAAATTTAATTATCTTGAACGAAATTAGTTGAGGCTGAAGAAGCAGTATGCTTGAGAACTAGCCATTCAATCAAAGGATTATCTGCAACTGCAAGCCAACCAGACTGGAAAGTTTGTTGTAACACACAAAAGATCTTGGGTGCTCTACTTTGAGAAAAAAATAATTTTATGCACATACATTTTGAATTTTAGGTGCGCAGTTTACAAACTTAACAGTCTGGCTCGTTAACCCCTTTTCTCTGCTAGTCCTGTTTTACTCAAACTTGGACATGTATTCATCTATTGTGATTGTATAGTTATTTATGATACGTACTTTTCCACCAGGCTTTATGCACGCTATTGCTGTTAAGTCCAATCCAGTATGCAACATGCTTGAACTGGCTATGAAACAGGTATGTCTTGTGTATATGAAAGAATGTTATATGGAGTGCGGTGTTTGAAATTAAATGAAGATATGATCTTCGCACTTTGCTGGACAATTTAAGCAATTGTCTCATGAACCTGAAAAATTCAGGTGACTCAACGAGACACGAACCCATGACCTCTACGATGTCGGTACAGTGCTCTGACCAACTGAGCTATGAAGTCACACAGTGGAGAGCAGGTCAATTTTGTTGGGCTCGTGTTTTCTCGTGAAAGGAATGTCATATGAAAGAATGTTAAATCCCATTGAGTCACCTGGATTTTTCAGGTTCATGAGACAATTGCTTAAATTGTCCAGCAAAGTGCGAAGATCATATCTTCATTTAATTATGTCCTGTGTATTGATTATGTTATTGAATGACTTATGTTTCATTTTTTAATTGATTTAGTTTAACTCATTTTTGTGTTTATAGTGTTAATATTATTTGAAATTTATTTTATTTTGCAATCCTGTAAAATTTTTCTTAACTCAATTATAATTTTTTTGGTATTTTTCTGCAAGGGTCTTGGAGCTGAATGTGCTTCTATTGGTGAAGTCCTAAATTGTCTGAAGGTCGGTTTCCTGCCTGACAAAATTGTCTATGACTCCCCAGTTAAAACAGCTTCAGAAATTAGTGAGTTATTAACTTTATAAAATATATCTTTTCGTGGTAAACAGCCTATGAAATAAAGACTTTTATAAGTGTATTTCATGTGTTGTTGTCATTGTTTAAAATCGTGATATTAATATCATTGTGATTTTAAGTTTTTGATATGAATTTTGGTTTTTCGAAAAAAGACAATTGCTCGTTTTGCTTTCATTGACTAAATTTTACAACTTGATGATCAATTCCTTTCAACAAGGGTTTGCATTGGAGAGAGGCATTCATATCAATGCAGATAGCATTCAAGAAATCCACATCATTAACGAAGAATTGCAAAAACTTAAGAAGTAAGTTAGCTATCAATGAAATCTTATCAACTTTAATATGCATCGATGAGTGATGTGTGATACCTAAGTAGTACATATCCCTTCTGATAGAACTAAACTAACAAATATGACGTCATAGGTTAGTTGATAATGAGCTACTCGTCACCCTAGGTAGATCTGTTAGCAACTGTTGCAGTTGACAAGGATTTTGTGACATCACTACCAGCATGTTGTTAGTGGTCAGCAGCTACACTTATTGATAAATATTTTTAGAAGATATAAAATGAATAGATTTGAGTAATGATCGACGCATGTTTGCGTGCATATGTAAACATATCGTTTTTTGTACATAGACTGAAATTTCGTCAAAACTATATTCCCATTGTGTTGATGGTCAATAGCTAATTTTATGATTAATATTTTTAGGACGAATTCAACGATTGGGCTTCGTGTTAATCCTCTTGTTGGAAAAGGAGAAATTCACGAACTAAGGTCTGTGATGCAGCTATTTGACTCAGTGTAGACGACATTTTTTTGTTTTGTTTCAAACAGTTATTTTCATGAACAATTTGAGATGTATTAACGATTGCAGATTGCCTTTTTTATGTAACATTATTCTCGTTTTATTTATTTTCAGTACTGCAACAGCAACATCGAAATTTGGTGTGGCGGTGTGTGTGTGTTTTAAATTTTCAACTATGTAGATTTTTTACATATCCACCAGATACCTTTGATGTTCCTCTTCATCCCACTAACCAACGTTTCTTACCATAGTTGAATGAGCATTTCAAGGGAGAGGTGTTAGAATACTACGCTAAATACCCATGGTTGACCGCAATGCATGTTCATATTGGATCTCATTCATGAATGCTAGAACTTGGATGGGAACATGGACCCTCCACTTTTTCAATGGACAAGTAGTTTATCTAGGGTAAAATTCGGTGTCATACGTACGTATAAAGAGTGTTCTCGTGCTATTTTTCTACACAGCGGGGAATGAATAATTACGGGGGGGCCTGTAGGCTAAGACCAAGTTGTGGGCCTTTAAGTAATAACTATTCCTTCCACTATGTTCAGTTTTCCTTTGCTTGTGGAAAAAGCCAATACTTCATGAGTTCTGAGTATTGCGCATTTGAACAGTAGATAGTACGAAAGCCATTTTTCCACTGCATTCGATTGCGTGTTAGGTGTTTAACAGCGTAAATGATCTAAGATAAGCCCATTTAGCTAGCCCAGAATAGAAAAAATGTTCAAATCCTAATTACGTCTAGATACAACGAGCCTCTCGAAAGCACGTGCCCGTAAGCTTAAGCCTACTTAGCCTACTGGATAATCCGCCCTTGTCTACCCCCACCCCACACACACACACACACTATTCAGCAGGTTCCGCGGTCCCTAAGCATGCCTACTTTTCAATGCTCCTTGAACTTTCTTTAAAGCCATGTTGAAGTATTTTTGCTTCACAACTTTATTATAATCTTATACATTTTTGGCTTTCTTACCTTTAGTCCTACGGCGTCACAGAGCTTGCCAATGGTTTGAGAACAGCTGTCCTTTTTGCCTTGGTACGTTTCTCGTCACAGCTAAAACTCTTAAAGTTATGAGAGAAGACAAGGGTTATGTTTGAGACGGACACTTGCATTCTAAAAGCTCACTCACCCTCACTGAGTTAGGCTTCAAAACAGTCTCGTGATTCTTCACCTTGTATAAAGTTCTCTTCAATGATTGCTTGATTTCAAATATTGTTGCAAAAATCTTGCCTTTGATGGAGAAATGGCTTTGTCATGCATTGATAAGTTGGCACGTAGCAATTTGTATTTCGTACTAAGTGAGTGAGAATGAGCTCATAGCATACGGAGAAGAGTTTTTGAAAAGTGTAAATCGTCTTCAGTGTTTGTTTTTAGGAAGTGAACGATCATCTTGGCCGAAATCAAGTCAATGTTTTTGATATTGGTGGAGGATTACCGGTCTGTGTTTTTCTTTCCTTTTACTCTTGAATAAAATTGTGTTTGCATTGTGGTCGCCATTCAATGCCAGTTTTAAATGGTAAAGTATTTCAATCTGACTTTTTCTTCAATTTTTTGCATCAAGGTGAACAGAGACGATGATGAAATAAGTCCGACGTTTGACGATTACGCCGGAAAATTAAAAGTGAGTTGATATTATCATGCCATCATAATTTTGAGTCAAAAGAACTTTTACCTTTTACTTAAAATTTTGCATGTATTTAATTTTTTCATTCAGTCGATAATACCGGAATTATTTCCTTCCAATGGCGTCTTCAGACGAGTTGTCACTGAGTTTGGTCAAGCTTTAAATGCCAAGGTATATCCTTCAATTCGATGTAGTTTTTTCATGTGCCATAAGAGTAAGGGTCTACAAAATTTAGGAAAGCATTCAAAATTAACTACACTGAAATTTCAGATTCCTTAACTTTTTTTATGAATTTCGTGATTTTATATATACGTATTATAACAAAACATTATTTATAATAGTATATATTTATATAGACAGGCTGGTTGGCCAGCAGGGTGGAATATGTGAAACAGTCGGGAAGTGAAGATGTTGACATCATTCTTAGTCATATTGGAGCGGTAGGAAAGATTTATTAAATTTAACCTTGACGCAAGGAGAGTACTGAAGCGTGAAACCGGATCAGTTGTTAACCATGATCTACCCAGAGGCGTAACTAGAACGTTAATTGGGGGGGGGGTGCATATTCATGCATTCCGTTGTGCCCTACTGATTTCTTTTGAAAGTGAATTGAATTTCAGTAGGGCACAACTGAATATAGGAATATACACCCCTCACCCCAATCAACATTTAGTTACGCCTCTGGATCTACTTTAAGAGCTCGGAATTTTTTTCTCAACTCTATTTCATTTGGCTTCTTGATTACATTTCTGATTGGACACACGGGGCATTTCAGTTCTGCCTATCTATTAAGTTAGTTATTTTAAAAGCTTTTGAAATTAGACATCGTGGTTGATTGTAAGCTGACAAAAATTGGAAAATGATCCATCTTTGAACATAGTCATAATTTGTCATGTGTTATGTTTGCAGGACTTGTGCATGCGCACGTGCTATTGTCCAAATCAACGAAAATATCAGGTGATAAGAAAGTGCAAGTTTTCAAGTCTCTGATTCCTGTTTTTTGTTCATTCTTTGTGTTTGTGGAGCAATTGAGTTCTTTGAGAGTAAATCATATATGAAATACAATTTGAAATTTCTCGCACCACAGAGAAGAATCGAAATTTACGACAGTGATGGATGTCTAAAAACAGGAAAGGTACACTTATTGCCAGGCATCCAAATTGGCCTGTATTTGATAAAAATAATTTTTCTGAATTTTTGAGTTTTTCATGTCTGATGAATCTCGATAATCTCTTTTTTATTTCTGCAGAAGCGATGTTACAATATTGCCGGTCCATTGTGCTTTTCTGGCGATGTTATCAAGTACAACATACACTTACCTGAGGTGAGAGAACTTACCTGGGGTGGAGATAGTAAATTTCTGCGTTGTTTTAAATGGCGTATTATTTCTTAACTAAGGGGAGTGGACGTCGACTCCGACTAGAGATTCTCATATTCATTCTTCAATACTTAAAACTTGAATGTTTTAAAGTGAATCTTTGTATGGTGTTACTGATTTCGTTTCCATTGCTATTTTACCCTTAGGTGATAAGGGGTGATTATATTGTTGTGCTGGACTGTGGTGCTAACTCCCTCTCTGTTTTTAACCGACATTGTAGTCGGTTTGCACCCTCCGTATTTGGTAAGTTGATAGTGAAAGATAAAAATTCTTCAAACTCTGCGGAGATGCAAATTACTAAAATTAACAATTTTTCGTCAAGGCTACAGAAAAAGAGAGAATGAATCTGTGGAATTTACTGTCCTGAAGGTTTTTCAATTAACTCATACATTTTTTGAAAATTAAGTATCAATTTTTACTTAAGTTGTTCTTGCCTATCAACAAATGTTTCTTGCTTATTTTGAAGGAAAATTAAAGCCGTAAAGATTTATGTTGTAATGAAAAGTTTCAACATCGTCTCTTCGGTTTAGTGTCTAACTCTATCTTGATTTAATTTCTTGTATGATTTTCTTTAAGGAGGCTGAAACAACGGAAGAGTTACTAAAGTTTTGGGGAGACAAAAACCAGCTATCACCAAAATGAAATGGGGCTTCGAAATTGTAAACTGGATTACATTCACTGTGGAATGATATAAAATGACGTTTCAGCTCAACACCAACAGCTCGCGATTCAAAATCATACTTTCTTGCAATGGAAATAATGGCCAATCACTAGCTAGATGGAACATTTCACGCCACTGTCATACGACGAGTCAGAATGATTTTCCCACAATGCACTTCTTTTGTTAGGCTAAAAATGTAAATAAAGTTGGGCTATTTTATTTCAGTGTGGCAATCTTTATATACTTTTGAAAGATGACTTTCAGAGCTGTTTGCAATTATGGCGGACGACAAACTAAAGTTGATCTCCTCACAGATAAGAAATATCCCTGATTTTCCAATTCCTGGCATTTTGTTTAGGTAATGAATATCGTTTGTGTCTTCTGTATTGCGAAAAATGTTGGTAGAAGTATTAAAGCCATCGTACAAGCAAAACGTATCATGAAAATAGTTATATATAGTCATAGATTACTATTTTTCCTATGCATGCTGATGGTTATTGATTCAACTTTATTATGCAAGCAATTTTACGTGTTGAGAGAGAGAGAGAGAGACTGGTCACTCATGAAAAGTTAAAGATCTATCATCAATACCCAAAAGACTATCCATCTGACCATCTCTCTTATAAGTCTTTAAGAAGCGGAAATGAGCTTGTTTTTTCAGTTATCCCATGTAAAAAAGGACGTAAAGGTTGAAGACTGAAACTATATTTGTATTTGAAATGGATATCAAGTTGGGAGAAAGCAGGTTCTTGGTCTCAGATATCCATGGAAGGCAATGTACACACGGAAGAGAGAAGAACTTGTTAAGGGGGGGAGGTGGTTTATTTTCAATTTTTTTCATCCAGAATCAAGTTGCTGCAGCAACAAGAAACATTGTCTTCAAGTTTCAGTTTATAAAGGACAGAGTTATTTTCTAGAGACATGTGTAGGAAACTTTGAACACATCACAAAATTCACAATTGTCATTTTTTTCTAGAGATATCTGCCCACTTTTAAAACATCACGAGGCATTTTCAGCCACTATTCAACTTATGTCTGATTGTATTAAAGAGAATTATTCTAATGTTGATGTGATTGTTGGTATGTTGATTTTAATGTTCTAATGTTGATGTGATTGTTAGTATGTTGATTTTAATGTTCTAATGTTGATGTGATTGTTGGTATGTTGATTTTAATGTCATCTTTGGATTTTATGTACGTACCTCAGTTTTAACTTATTCTATTTGCTTTTCATTGTTTTAGGCCTTGATTCACGTGGTTTTCTGTTTGGTCCTGGAATTGCTATGAAATTGGGCATAGGTTTTGTCCCTATTAGAAAGCAGGGCAAACTACCAGGGGAAACAATATCTGTGGATGCGGAGAAGGAATACGGCAAGGTCTATATTGATGTGTCAGTTGATTTTTCTAGCCAGGAAATAGGAGTGAGGATTTCCAAAATAGGGAATTTGTCATTTTTGCAGCAATTTCAATAGTTGAGGAAAGATTATGGTAGTTGCGTTAGTAGTGTGAGAATTCACAATGGCGAGAACATAGTTAGAGAAATCTGCAACAGAACTTGAGCCATAGTCATTTAAATATGTCAACCAAATTGTTTAGCGCTCAATGAAGAGTTGAGGTATTCATGATCATCGTTTACAAGCCAGTAGATTGTGCTGCGCATGTGCAGTATTTAGATCTGTCAGCTGACGTCTTTACTAATCAACTTTAGAGAACTTTCAATTTTTTTGTTCTTATGATAATACCATTTGCCTGTTATTTCCTTATTGGTCTTTATGAGTGTCTCAAGCTCAAACCTGGCTTTACAATAATTTGTTAGGATGTGTTGGAAATACAGAAAGATGCAATTTCTCCCGGACAAAATGTGGTGATTGTGGATGATCTTCTTGCAACAGGAGGTATTGTCTTTTGAATTGTGAATCCTAACTGTATTTAAACAGCTTACAGTGGGAGGGGAGGGCATATAATAACTTTAGTGCACTTACTAAACATGCCAGATATTACTGAACATGCCAGCAAAATGGCATTTACTTTGTTGAGCATGAAGGCACACTAGTGGTTTTGTTTAGGTACATTACTGACAAGCTGTAAATTGTTGGAGCAGCTTTGCGGGAAAGTATTAGGTTGTGTTGTTGTTTATGAAATTGCGGAATTAAACGGTGCATCAAAAGTACCTGTCAAGTGTATTTCATTGCTGAAAGGATAAACGGAGCTTATGAATGCCAAGATAAACTTTTATTTATCAATGTACGTATGATGTTCGTGCGTAAAGTAGTGAAGAGTTAGACTCTTCCTATCATAGTAAATAAATTAATTTAGACGGCTTTAAGTCTTTAATTCACTGTCTTTGTTTTGCAAATAAATTTTGTTTTTTGATTCATAGACATGTTTATATGTGATGAGATATGCATGTATATAAACATGGTGATGTCGAGATACATTGTTTATGCATGTTTTAGTTGATAATTTATGTATAATATATGCATATCTTGATGTGTGTTTTTTATTAATTAATTATTTACACTACTTTATGTGCAAAACAAGATAAAAATACAAGTTATTTCTGCTAAGTATCATTCACTTCATACGAATTAACACGTGTTTTTGTTTGCGCATGTGTATTATACCTTGCTCGTGCATCAAAAATTTATCTTAGCAAATTTTCTCTATGCTGGTTCTTTCCTTAAAAATATCGTTAAAAATGTGTTTCCCATTTCATGAGAACACAGAAATATTTGCTTAGCATGACAACAACCTAGGCTGGCTACGTACGTGATTGCTAGTAGCTTAGTACATGCCAATACATCCTAGTACATGGCAGTACATCTTAGCACATGCCATTATACGCACCCAACATATGGCAGTACATGTATGTACTTCATGAATATCCTTGTAACGCTCATACAAGCACATCCTTGAACATGCCATTACATCCTTAGTACATCATAAATATTGTCTGTTCAACCCACTGAACTAAAATATATGGAACGCTACCTGTAAGAGAAAAGCCTGCTACTTTTTTGAAGCCAAATTTTACACCCAAGACACGCGTATTGTAGTCAAACAATTTACATTCCGCGAGATAATCCCGAAACACTACACACGCGTGTCTGAGTGTAATCTTGCGTGTCTGGTTGTAAGATTTGGCTTCAATTATTTGCTTCGGCCACAGAATAGGAAATGAACAGAAGGCCAACTCAGGGGTGCAATGTGTCCTAGATTTTTTATGCGCTTACGTCAGATCCGCCGTTACTCTGGCAAGTACTGCAGTTGCTTGCTACTATAAATTATACAGTACAATGGAATATTTGTGTAAGAAAATCGCGCTTTTAAAGGCAAAATGGCAGTATTTACATTGTATTTTGATGTTTTGATAATTAGAACGCAGATTTCAAAAGTAAACCTCCATGGCGGCCGTCGAATTTCGAACATGCGCAATGAGACATGCGTGAGGACACTGACTTCAAAGGCTCCGACACGAAGTTGGCCTTCTGTTCATTTCTTATTCTGTGCTTTAGGTAGCATTCCATGTATTTTACTTTAATGGTTCCACTTAATGATTTAGTTCCCATATTTATGTTGCAAGCGACGCTCTCTGACATAAGAACTTTTGTGGCAAGATGAGGAAGACATCGTTCAGCATGATGATAAGAAACACTACTCCTTTAATCCAAATACACGACTGTACTCTGTTGCCAACTGTTTGCTAGTCTTGTAATGCTGTTTGTGCGACGTTCTGATCTTATTTGCATCATTTGAATTATCATTTCCGATTTCGAGAATTTTTCTGGCATTATTAATTATTGTCATCACGAGTTGCTCGGCAACCTTAGAAATCTCGTCTTCTTTTTTTTTCACCTTAACAGTGTGGTCGACCCAATCCTCGATACGTTTTCTTCTTTCGTGTTCTCCATGTTCTCGTCTTGTGCCTTTAACTTTCAGTGCCATCTCGTTTGGCTTAACTGCACCTCTAGTTAGTTCACGTCCAACACGACCGTGCATGCCAAACACGTTTTGTTCACGTGTCTCTGCATAATGTTTTGTTGAAGCAATATTGTTCTCGTGCCAGGCGAATCTCTGGTCTTTCGTGATGTTTCTATGCATGATTCTATCGTCAATCAGTGCATGCTTCTTTGACACAATCCTCTTTAGATGTGCAATTCTTTGGTTGCTATTTATTGAAATTTTGTTTTCTGTCTCAGATCTTGAAGCATAGTTAATTGAATGCAGAGTAACGTTTTCTTTATTCATGGTCGTCTGTCTTGATGAATGATCCATTTCTTTTCTTCGTCGTGTTGTCATTTTTGTCACGTTTCCATCTAAAACTTCCTCCTGTTGTTGGTTTCCATAGTGATTCACGACATCGATTTCTTCTTCATGCGCATGTACGATGCCCAACGGTTTTTCCCTGCACGCTTCCAATGGTCCACCTTTATATGAGTGCATTTCTGTGTTTCTGTTTATTAGATTTCTGGGCTGCTTCTTGGCATAGCCGTAAACAACATCAAAACCGTTTTCTTTCTTTGGATTTATAACAGGCAATGGGATTTTCCGTTTAAACTTTAGATTCTTATCTTCACTGTTGTCTTTACTGGTGTGATTAGGTTTTTGTGGTTTAATGGATGGCAACTTATTTGTCTGATGTAAGACATTCTCGTTTTCACTCGACGAATTGTACGAGCAATGACGAAATCGTTGACCTTGTTCTACAGCTACGTATCTTTCCTCAGGCTGAAGGTCCTTCACGTCTTCAATGATCTCCCCATTCACTGTATACAGGCGAGCTACAGCCCTATTGCAGGTTATCTTATCTTGGATGACGTCTAGAACTTGATCTAAACTTCTTAGAAGCCTTTCGTGGAAAAATATTTGGATTGGCCGTTCATTATAACCGTTTCTGTGAACGTATATGTTTTTTTGCGTTTTCATTTGTTTTTCACGTGATAGCCGTAAGCGGCTTGTGATATTGATATTTTGTTTCCTTGACGTTTTCGTGGTTGTCGTCTCAGTCATTGACTGTCCCCTGTTAATTTTTTGACCATAGGCTATTTTCTTGAAGTTCCCCGTAGACACAGCTACGTATGTCCCCCCCGGTTCTAAGTTCGAAATGGCGCCAACTTGCCGTGAACCGTGTGGCGTGTAGATTCGTCGTACAGCACATGTTGCTTTTGTTGCCATGGTGACCTGATCGAGGAACGCGTTGAAAGTGCGCATGTACTTTGGATTAACGATGAAACGTTTTGCATCGTGTTTATTGCCGTTTGTGTAGACTGTTATGGACGCCACGTTCATTTTGGTTCTCACCATTCTCCGTTGTTGCTGTTATAAAAGAAATGAGATGATGGTTCATCTACATTTTTGTATTTAGTAGCTTATACCTTTTCTATAATAGAAGTGCCCAATAAGAAATTAAGGAAAACGCATTGATGCAAATAAACAACATGTGTATCCGCCAATCTGGTACACATAATCGTTTCATGAATTTCTAGTAGCATTTAAAAGGAAGGTGTTTTCAACGCTTACAAAGTATAATTATATAATAGACGAAATAGCTTTGTGGCTCGCCCAATTTTCCAATAAAATGCGAGCATGTCACTTTTTAAAAGGCTATGAAAATAACACGATTCTGAAGTTTGTTTTCATAGTTTTGTTCATGAAAATCGTGATTTGGTGATATTATTTCAGAGACGATAACTTAACTTCGGATATTACTCGATTTTTTAATTGTTGTATAAGCTTGTAATACATAATACCTAACGACAGCTGAATAGACTTAGAAACCTATCCATGTTTTTGTTAGAAATCCTGCAACGCTGCGTATGCGCGTCGTCATGCTCGTAAATTCAAACTGTTTTTACTTCGTTTGAAAATGAAAACAACGAATTTGTTGCATGTCACTTTTCGTAAATGTTATATGTTATGAAACGTTTTCAACATTCCTACGTTTCAGCGTAGCACGCTGAGAAGCAACTTTGTGCTAAGAATTTTATTCTTTTCCTGACATGAATTATATTCTTTTCCTTTTTTCTTTTTCTCTCTGCGTTTTATGGTCAAAACATTTCTGTAAGAAGTTGCTACGTTAAATTTGACGGTGCAACTTGTTGTGAATATAACTGGTTCGTTGAAACGTTTCGTCAATATTTTATCATCAACTGCGTTAAATAATTTTCTAGAATTACAACAAAAGAACGTGAAAACAAAACATTTTGTAAGCTTCATGTAAAATTTCATGTATTTGCCACAGATAGCCACATTTGCAATGCTGTTCTAATTTTAATTATTCGCTCACGAATAACATTGACACCTTTCTCTCAAAACAGACAAGCATTTTCACAATGAATAAGCTCACATTGTCCAATTAACTTAGCTTACCGTTAACATTCTCGAGCTTTAACGTTTTCTTTCCTGTTTCTTTGACTTTAAACCTCTTTCATTTTTCGTACGTGCCAATATCGTCGTAGCTATGATATGCGTGTAATATATCATTACATTAGTTTGTTGTTGTTTTCAATCAATCTGACAGGTGTTGCCTAATTTGTTATACGTATTGTAATTGTTCATTAGTGAACTCGTGAACAATTTCACCTGTGAATATTAAACACATAATCGACAATCTGTGTTTTCTTCTACAAGTTGTCGTTTGCGTTGGCTTCCCATTGGGTATCGTGTACGTGCGTGCAAAGGTCAAGATAACACAGCTTGTTTTTATGTTTTTAGTTTTTCTTGTTAAATTTTTTTCCGGTGAATGTCTCCTGTTTGTTCACCCGAAAATCAGTATCTTCAACGTGTACTGTACAATCCATGCTTATCCCTATTCCGACATATAAATATATATTTGAAAACCTAAATTTCGTGTTTGGACAATCAATTTTGGAACTACTCTACTGTTTGGCTGCCTATCACAACTGCGCATGCTCGAATATTTTCTACATAATATTTTCAGATAAAGATAATGTTTAAGACTGCTTTGCCTATTGTACGACGTTTTTCAAAATTTCGTCAAACATTGACATTTGTATCAATGTGGAGTAAGATCGATGAACAGATAAAATACTTGTATTAGGATAGCGTTTTTCTCGTGGAAAATCAATTGCCACTGTCATAAATGCTACTGCATATTTTGAAAAATATACTCATAAAGTACATGGAGTTTACAGTGCTTGTTCACCAAGTGAAAACTGCAAGTGCTCATATTTGTTGTAAGGATGTAAAAATATTTAAAAAGTCCCCACTTCAGAGGTGATGGTGAGAAGATGAAGGAAAACATTTAATTTCTTCTTTGTGATTATTTTGCATAGGCTTTTGGCAAACTGAAATAATGATGAAATCTTTGCTTTTGATCGTAGCATCTATAACAGCTCTGTCCGGGAATGAAAACACGATGGCCTTTGAGTGCAGTATTATCAAAATAAGCACACAAATTGAATTCTTGGGTTGCAAGCTACGTCATTGTTGCCATGTTGGATGACTTTAACAAAGGATTTTCTTTATTTACAATGCAAATTTCGTGCAACATGGCGAGCATTCCATCGTTCTCTTACTCCCAGGGGAATGGTTGCAACTCACAATTATAATAAGTTCGATTACGAGTTGTTTCAGCATGTGGCTGAAACGCATTTTTAAATTCTTGAAGGGTAATTAGTTGTAATGTCATTGAAATGTATAACCTCGTGCATACAAATTATGGCATTCGTAGTTTTTGGCTCATTTCAAACGTCGCATTTTACATGCGCCGAATGCGTTAAAGACAAAAGAAAATGAGATAAAAATTCTCATTATCTTTTGTATGAAATGAATTCGGATCATGTAAAATGCGACGTTTGAAACAGACCTTTGATACACCCCGTATATTAACTCAGTTAACAGGTGTGTGATTGAGACATAAAAAATCACATGAAGAAAGAAGACTACCTGGTAATAGCAGACAAGTGTGGGGCATAAACCACTCTAGTGCAAGACGAATATTTTATCGATATTTATGAGGAAATGAGAGACCACACGAAGAGGATACAACAAGCCAGTTCCGAAACAACTCTCAATGAACAGTGAAAGCGATCAAAACGTAGTTACAACGATGTGGATCAGAAAAAACTGATTTGTCAATGCATATACCGCGCCATATCTAAGCATGATGTTGAGATAGAAGCTATCATATCGAGTGCCAGTGGATAGCAACAGACCAGAAATTGTAGAACGCCGTCACGACTAAAGTGTTGTCTTACGTTGGAAAAATCCTCCAGTTTTAGTTTGGTATCAAATATTCAATGCATTCCTATATAATACAGCTCAACATCTGAGCGACCAAGAAGTCAAGAAATAGAATCTTATGGCGCATCCGTTCATTGAGAAGCAGACCAAACTAATGACATTCATGCAAAGATGATGTTCGTTCCATTCAGATCGCTCCTCAGTCACTTCAACAAAAGGTATTAACTGTCTCAAACAACACCAAGCGAGAAATTCGCCGTCTTCATATTAAACATGTTTGAAGTGTCAAGGCGACAAGAAAATTGGGAAATTGTGCAAACATTTAGCGATAGCAGTTGCTAAAAGAAATCTGAATAGGAAAACTGTATAAAATATGCTACTGTCGTACTTGCTTTGATATCATTCACGAAAAAACAAGTCCCATGACTAGAAATTATTAATGTATGGTTGTTGAGGCAAGACTGACTCAACCATAGACTATAATTCATGCATTTTCATAAATCTTTGCAATTTTTCATACAAAGACTATAATTCACGCATTTTCACAAATTTTTCATTTTTTCATACATAGACTATAATTCATGCATTTTCATAAATCTTCGCATTTTTTCATACAAAGACTATAACTCACGCATTTTCACAAATTTTCACTTTTTTTCACACAAAGACTATATTTCATGCATTTTCACAATTTTTCACATTTTTTCATTCACGCATTTTCACAAATTTTACATTTTTTCATACAAAGACTATAATTCATGCATTTTCATAAATTTTTACATATTTTCAACTATACACTACAATTCGTGCAATACTACACGCGATTTTTGAAAGATATCCAAACAAAGTTGCAACGATGTCTTTCAGTTGAAGTCGAAAGGAAGAAATGTAGTCGTATACTTGATTCCTCCAGTTTTAATTCGGTATGACTTGTGAAATAATTACTGCATTTTTACACAGTAGTGATGGACGAGCAAGAAGTTAACACCTATAATATTTTATGATGCATCAGCTCATTGAGAAACAGCAGACTAAACTGATGACATCCTTTTGAAGATGCTCTTTCCGTTCACCTTGTGGTTGAATCCTTTCAAAAAAGCTACTGTGTTAAATGAGACAAAGCCAGAAATTTATACTGTCCTCATACTTCAAATTTTTTTACAATGTTTGTAAGGTGATAAAAAATATACAAATATAATGGCTATATTTGGGGAAATGCACAAAGGAAAATTGATAGCAACAGCGAGTAAACCTTTTGAAATGTGCTATGGTAGTTTCGTTGATATCATGTATGAAAATAAAGATCGCATAGCTTTAGAAACTATTTATGTACTGTTTTTGCTTGACAAAACTCACGATAAATGACGATTTCTTACAACTAAATTCGTCTTGATGTTTTCTAGTTTTTAATTATTTTAAATTCTTGTGAAAATCATGGTTTGTTAATTAATCATACTGAACACGTGTACATTCCTTCATAAGTTACAGTACTGCTAAATACAATAATTTTGCGCGAAGTTGTCAACGCACTGTTTGGTCGAGTGGGCAGATGCAGGTTTGTCAGGTTTAGATGTGAGGTTCGAATCTTCCCAGGGTCTGTTGTCGTTGGCATTGGTGCGGCGAGCGATAGACTTCCAATGTGCAAGATGTGTAGAAGTCAGGATGTTGAAGTTGAAGAAGATGCTGTTAAACACATTATGTGTAAATGAACAATTTTCTTGCTGAACTTTTGACAATGGAATGCGACACTTTCAGAAAAAAATCAAGCAAAAATAAGAGTACCTACACAAAATTTTGCCCTAAAAAAATTAAATGTTTTTTCTCAAAGTTTTCTACGGCTGCCCAAAGGTAGTAATTTTTTAGTCAAGAACCTCAGGGTAAACCGGACCCTCTCTTCAATTCCCTCCTAACCTCGAACCTTGCACTCAATCCTGAAGCTACAACCCAAAGCAACACCGACGACGGGACGAACCGAGGACCTCGTGCATTAGAGATCAAGCACAGCCGGTTGAGCCAGAAGCTCAACAACGAATACCTCAGATTTCGGGGCATGGTTTTTCAATTATTTAATTTTCAAGCAAAATAAAACGAGCTGGTTTTGAACCTGAGAATTTACGATCACCACACCCTCGACTTTACTATTAGTTGTTTACCCATTTTCAACTTTAAAAAGAGAAAGAACTCGAATCGGTCTTGAACTCTTGGAACGAATGTTTATCTGTCAAGCATCCGTACCACCCAGCAAAAGGAGGAAGATGTCAAACGACAAAAAACACATCAAGTGTTTCAAGTAGAACTGCATTTCTTTTCTTTTAGCAAGTACAGCTTTAATTCGACCCAAATAATTGGCAAATGCTTTGGACGACATAATAGAACCACATATCAAGGCAATGGTTTGCTTTGATATTCATGTCGAACAGTAGCACAAAGAACGAATTGGCGTCCAGATTATTCAACTTTACAATTGAACTTACTAAAATATTTTTTATCATCATACATACCAACCACTTATTGTGAAAGCTTCTGCAAAAGCACGTGGTTTCCTCAATATTTGCATTGACGTTGTTTCCTTTTCTTACAATGTATTTTTTCTATAGTCTCTCTAAACGCGAGAGGATTCGACATTTGAAAAAGTCAAAATTTAGGTAACGTCATTTCATGCTTGAATATAGTCAATGTAATCGATTGTAGTAATAATTGTGTATTTTAATAAATCGAATGTAATAGTCCTTATGAATTCATCGGAATTTCGGTTGAATTTACAGTGAGCCTATAAGAAAAATGTTGACAGGTGCTCAAAAAGGCTTCAAGTAGATTGAGATCGTTAAAGACAATTAGAGCTTTCTTAACATTGGATGCAGCAGAATCTATTTACAAGAATATGATTTTGACAATATTAACATACTCTAGTATTGTTACTTGGAATTTGAAAATTCGAATTCTATGAATGCTACAAAATTCAAAATCTTTCAAGAACGAGTGACAAAAATAATACAATCAAATGGTTTGGTACAGTTACAATTATCTCATGTGATCCATATGGTAAACATCAGTTATGTAGTTTGGTAAAGCAGTGTATTGACAGAAATTTGTGCAGTACATTTGACAATTGTTTTAATCGTTTACAGCATGTTAAGAATAGATGAAACAATGGTGTAAGGGTTAGGATTCCGAAAGTACGATTATAGAATCGAGCATTTCTTAAAAGCACCATAGATATTAAACATTCGAAGTGAAACATATTAAACATATATCAAACATGGAGTACCAGAAAAATCAAAAATTTTATATTATTTTTAAAAGAAAAGGAAAAAGTATTTTAGTATACATGCAATAATAGTAGACTTTTTAATTTTGCAATTTTAATTATACTTTTACTTACAAAAGTATTATAAATTCCGTAAGTGACCATTAATGAAAGAAACAAAAATCATTAGCATCGATCTATACACTGTTGATATTTTCTCAAGAACATTAAAAAGATAAATCAAAAAGTACTTATAGTTGCAAGAAATATTATAAAATAGACACAATGAAATGCGAGCGCTGATTGGTCTAGAACTGTGTTTGCATTAGGTTGTGCAAAACACATCCGAGCTCAACCAATCAAATCAATCATAACAATCGATCAGTCAAAGAGAATTTGCAAATCGATCATGAATACATTTTAGAAGAAAAAATTAAAACGTTTACTTTAAATTTGTCTGTTTCGAATTATTATTATTTCATAAAAGAAATAAAAGATGTCTTTTTGTTTCCCCCCAATCAAAAATTAAAACAAAAATCAGGTAAAACTCATGTGAAAATCATGTGGTAAATTAGTACGATACTGATGTAAATTATTGCTAAAACAATCAATTTAGATAATTCCAACTGGAAACTGCTGCGTTGGTTACCAGTCTTGAATTACTGGCATATAATATGTAAGAGTGGGTATATGTTTGATGCCAGTTAAAATTTTAACGTTTAAAATCGACCATTAATATAAATTAGCAAAGAAACAATAGTTACAACACCTGTTTGAAAACCTGACAGTTGATATGTTATACTTTGCTGAAAGCATTGATTATGAACTTTGTAGAAAGTAGACATAAAGCAAACAAAACATTGCATTATTTCGACTTTCGATGACTAAGTTATCTACGCAATAAAATCTCAGGGAAACGATTAAATGACTGCATGATTCTCGCTGCTGAGAAGGATATAACCAGCAAAATCAACGTGCATAAACTTGCAAAGAAATGGCTGTTCTGAAGAACCGTAGAGTGCCTTTGTGGGCGGTTGTACCAAAACAATTTGTGAAATGCAAATATAATTACTATTTAAGCACAGAAACCTGAAACGTTACCTATTACGCTAGGTTAGGGGCATGCCCAAATAGGTCTATACATTCCTTGTTTATGTAAACTAAAATTCTTATGGAATAAAATGTTTTGAAACTGTTCATTCATTTTTTTTGTAAAACTGAAAATTCTGAGATCAATGTTTCCCAAATTCGGCCAAATGCATATCTGGAAAGCCGAAAAATTTCAGGTAAATATAAAAATATCTTCGGGTAAATATTTATGACACCCCCAAAATCAAGGTGTTCGCGACGTCCCTGCTGGAACATGTGCAACCCTCGACCTTCGGTCTCCAGCTTGCACTGATCTGCTCTCGAGTTCTCCCAAAATTCTCCTTGGTTTGCATAAGCCTGTGCAAACACAGTAAACAGCTTTTATTTCTTAAATAATTTATCGTCACTCTCACTACACAACATACGCGTTTCTAAGCATGAAATGTTATTTGCACATTATATCAAAGGGCAAACAGAACGCCCTCAATTTTTACTCAACTGTTCACTCAATTTTTACAATTTAGCCAGCCAAACAAACAAAAAAGAAAGAACAGAATAACGCCAACGTGATTCATGATGAAACTCATTCGACAGTGTTTGCAAGTCAAAATAGTATTTTAAATCAGCGTAAAACGACATGAAAATCTTTTTCATAAGTTGCACCAAAAAAATGCAAACGAGTTATCGTTCTTTGGAACCGCGACACGATGACAGATCAGAATAAAGAAACCGAAAAATAGCCACAAAGCGTCGCCAAAATTTTCAAATCAAGTTGTACGTTGATAGTGTTTTTGTCTGCTACATTCATGTTAATTTGGTTTTTAAAATGGCGAGCCAATCATAGTAAAAAAGTTGTAATAGCTTGTAAGCGATCAAAAGCAAAACATATTATGGCCATTCACACAGATGATGTAGTTTGCAAAATCCTCGTCAACTTGTGGATGTAATTGTTCTTAAGCAAGAATTTTTGACGAAAGTTTTTCCACGAGTTTGTTGAAACCTACCCAGCGCAGTTTGATGGTTATTCGCCATGATTTGTCGCGAAGGCAATTTTTTACGATCAATTAACGGCCAGCAAAGTTGCTTTTTTTTGTTGTCAGATGATATCATGTTAATGCTTGTTACAAATTAATAATTTACTATCCCATGAAATAATATGGCTAGCCACTTTTTGCCAACAAAGATAAATCGGATTTCTTGCCAAGAGTATCATCTATTTCACCGAAAAACAAAACTAATCGTTTCAGGTGTTTTTTAAAAAGACAAAACTGTAGATAAAAGCGGTATGTGGGGAAAGAATATGCGTAACTATACGTTATCCTTCGTTCAATTGACTCAATTGCTTACGTTATCTGTTTACAATTGTTACTATCAATTGCGATGATGGATAGCTGACTAAATCAGTGTAAAAAACAGGACGCGTTATCATTCTGTTCTTCATTTGATAATTGTCGTGCTTTTACTAACAACCTCTTGAAATGGAAATTGCGCTATGCACATTGAACGGTTTCCATGGACGTTATGAAGGTGTGCAAGTAAATTTTCTTTCAACCTGTTGCTAAAATTTTTGAATCACATGAAACTGGTTTTCAGGAATCTAATTTTCGTATTAAAGGTGTTCAACATGGCTTTTATTTCATAAACTGCTTTTGTTGATTTTACATAACATGATGTTCTTTATTATAAATGCGAAACGATCATACATCTTTGAAATGTTGGTTGATCATCTTTTTTGTCTTTTGTTTGAGGTCAGAAATATCCTGTCTGTCTCTCGTTTTTTTACTGTACTTAAATAAATAATAAAGTGTTTTCACAGAAGTTGGTTGGATTCAGCTAATCAACATTTGAGGTGCATGTGTTGGCCGAGATTGACACCAATGAAAGCAATGTTGTACTTGCAAAATGCTCAGACAAAATCCATTATCACGTCACAAACGTCTGTGAACAACAGATAAAAGTACAAAGCGTGAACGCCATCACACGTTTTTCTCGACAGGAGGCCAAACGCTAGCAGTAAGCATATACATTGACAACGTAGAAGCCCAAGATACCTTTTTTGCACTAAAGTCGTTTAAAAGATTTTTTTGCACTAAAGTCGATTGTCCATGAAATAACACCATCAAATCCTGTATCTATAAATCAATTTGTCACAAATACGAGGCTCCATTTTTTCCACTGTACCTGTGAGTTTGTTTAAAAACAGGTTTTAAACTAATCGTATTCAGACATGCACTAATTTATCGAGCCAACGGGGTAGAATCTCAATGATTTTATTGCATCCTTGCACTTATATGAATTGGATTTCAATCGCCTATATTTCAACAATAAATCAGTTTGTGATCATTTTCAGAGTCTCAGAGCTTAACTGAATTGAAGCGTGCTGTAATTATCGACATTACCAGAGCATTTATCCATTCAAATCTAGCGCCGGTAAAATTTATTATTCATTTAGTGCAAGCAATTTAAGTTTACGTGCTTTGGAAAACAGCATGAAATTTGCGTGGTACAAAAGGAATAGAAACAATGTTACGTTTGAGCATACCGGTAAGTTTTCGTAAGATGAAAACATATTGTTGATTTGAGCCGATTGCCCTACAGAACGGTGTCGAAGTAGTTTGGAACAATCAATTTCGACGTATTCCGTATAACATTTTGTGTGTCGACAGACTGACTGTACTACATTGCGTGGCAGTTTTCGTCAACCAATTAAGGGTAAAGCTTTCGTGAGCAAACGTTGTAAATTTAAATGTATACAGCTTTATGCAAACTTCATGTCAATATTAAATGTTTTGTCTGAAGAGTTACTCAAATATAATTTTCGTTTTATGTACATTATAGTAAAAATAGATGATTCAAGTGACAAACAGGTCTTGTCAAGCACAATGTATACATCTGGTAAGTAAAACACTTATGTCAATTTAACACCACTCAAGTTCAAAATATTATCTTATCTTTATTTGTTGTATACAAGCATTTATAATAGGTAGGTTTATTTTGCTTTGTGTGTGAAAGACGTGAGAGCATTTTAAGTAAAAACACGCAAATATCATGTCTTAAATTACAGTGTAGAGAGCGATGTTGCTTTAAGTATAAGGGGACTCAAGTATGTTGAACTCAGAATACTATATGCAAAAACCTAAACTGCTTTTTTCTGAATACTTGAAATATTTGAATTTTAATTGCTCCATCGCCAAATCGCAGTAATACATAAATCTATAATATATATATTGGTTTCAGCAATCTAACCGATTTCTAGCTTTTACTATTCTTGTGATATTATAAGCAACCCTAGTTGTGTACTTTTTAAATCTCTACTGATATTGGCAACTTGGGTCGTTGCATTCCTCAAAGAACATTCCCATTATGAATTTTATTACATCGCGTTGGATAATGTCATAGCAAACAAATAACTTCCGCTAGCGGAACTAATTAGTTATGACTTATCACAGCGGGGCTCGCTTCGTCTATTCGATTATTTGGATACTTGAATATGATGAATTTAGGTAGCAAAAAAGAGAAGATAATACAATACAACATAATTATACATAATTCCAGCTATTCACAGTATTAAAAATCAAGCGATCAAATGAATCAACTGAATTTCTATCGTTAATAATGACATTGCTGAAGTAATCACGTCACTAACAAAATACGTTCAGTGATCGACTTCATCGATCCACTTATTTTGTGACCATGTATTTTATTCCCAAAGCTAACTACATGAACGCACTGTACCTATTTTTTAAGTGTTCCAGTGGCTAAATGTCTTCATTATCGAGCATGGAAACATGCAGAGATGTAAAGCTGTGTAAAACATCGCACAAAATTTGAAAGGTCGTCTTTTTAGCAGCTGAACTTTGTGTCTTCCTGTTTACATAGTCGTTTAATCAAACTGCCTGTGCCAGATGAATCACATTCACTACAATATACAAAACCAAAAAATCTTACTACGGTTTTAGTGCCACCAGAAAACGACAGACCTAGGCCTCTTTCTCAGAATGTCGTCACTCGACGGCGCATGACAGCGGTCAGCGGTGCACGAGAAACATGGAGCAACCGTGCCGAGTTCATTCTTATTCTTATTGGTTACACTATTGGTTTGGGAAATGCTTGGTTGTTTCCATTTCTATGTCACAAAAATGGCGGAGGTAAGAAGTAAGAAAATCCCATCCGATACTCCTCAGTCTTCATTAAATTAAGCCATCGTGTTTTCCCTGATTTTCTACAGAATAATTGAAACTTATAGGACTTCTACCAGAAATTTGCAGGCATCTAATTTGCAATTCTACACTTTCAGCATCTTTCCTTATCCCTTACTTTTTCATGCTGGCTATCATTGGAATACCACTTTACTACCTTGAATTATGTCTTGGACAACGCATGCGTAAAGGATCCATTGGCGTATGGAATGAGATCAGTCCATATTTAGGTGGAGTGGGGTTTTCAAGCGTTGCAGTCTGTTTCTTTGTCTCCCTATACTACAATGTCATTATCGCTTGGTGCGTATTCTACTTTGTCAGCTCGTTCCGGACCCCTTGCCTTGGACATTGTGTCCAAGAGAGGAGTTTCGCGTCGGAAACACAACTGAAATGTTCAAAGTTCCCGAGTGCAATCGGTCCAATCCGACAAATTATTTTTGGTATCGGACTGCCCTTGACATTTCCTCAAAAATCGAAGAAAGCGGCGATTTCAACTGGATAATGTTTTTATGTCTTGCATGTACTTGGTTTGTCATTTGGCTTTGCATGATGAAAGGAATCAAAGTGACTGGCAAGGTAATGAAATAATTTATTCAAATTTAATTTGTGGCACGTCATATGTCGATGTCGTATTGCAAATTGCTGAACCTGTGAGAAAATGTGTATATATACTCTTCTTCGTATCTTCTTTTAGATTGTTTATGTCACTGCAACAACTCCATTGGTATTGCTAATCGTCTTATTTTTTTGTGGTGTGCATCTCAAAGGTTATCAAGAAGGATTAGCTTTACTTTTTATACCAAAGGTAATAAGCGTTAATTTTTGCACCAAAGGAAAAGGCGTTTTACAGTTGTAGTAAGACAACGAGTAGTAGGGTTAATGATTGATAGATATTGACACTCCAGTTGAAGATGACAGTTCACTGCACGTCTTCTGGATTACTAAATCTTTTGTGTAAAATGCCATTAGATAGAATTTAACTGTTATGCCTGGTTCTCATTAAGTCGCTTACGTCGTCCAAGTCGTTTCGTTGTTTGTAAAACGACTGTGACGACTCAAGCTATGTACTTCTCATATATTCGTATTAGCGCTGCCGAGAGACTGCTTTAATTAATTTTTACGCGAAACATTTAAAAATGGCGGCTGCTGTTTATCAAAGACAAAGTCTTTTGGCTTCTTATTTGCTTGTTCAAATCGTTTTGCGCCATAAGCTCACTTGCATTTCTCAACGGTTGTCCGGATAGAGCAAAGTTCTATCCAAGCGACCCTGCTCGTTTCAGTCGTGTGAGTCATTTGAGGTCATCCCGATCGCCTCTGAAATGTTCTCGTACAGTCGCACGATATCGTTTGTGAAATTCTAGCGCGACTGAAACGACTCGGACGACTATATGAGAACCAGGCTTTAATAACTTGACATTAAGGCACGTTCTGTTGTGTCAACTTCTTTATAAGAGCTTCTCGTTCATCTGAAAATTATTTTGATTCAAGTTTGAAAAACTGAAGGATCCTGAAGTGTGGAAGGATGCTGCAATTCAAATATTTTACTCGCTTGGCGTCGCATACGGCTCTCTCATCGCGTTTGCAAGTTATAACCCGATGAAAAGTAAATGTAACCGTGATGCAATTCATGTTTGCCTCGTCAACTGTGGGGTGTCAATCTACGCGAGCGTTGTCGTATTTTGTTTCATTGGATTTGAAGCCGATAAAAAAATGGAAGACTGTTTACACACTCAAATAGGTATGGCGACTTATGAGTGGGACCAGCCGACAAAACCAGCCGTTTTTTGACACACTTGGCAGTCTCTGGTGCTTAAGAAAACAGACCAATCCTCTATTTCACATGAAAAGTCTGTGTTGGTTAACAAGACGATTTAGTGTTCATGATAGCCAGATCTCAAATTTTATAGTGTTAGAGATTGCACAGTCTGTCACAAGAGGCTTTAAAATATAACTGCATGGCAAGAATTTGTAGTGATATATTGTATTTTTTTCAAGCTGGTCTTTATTGTTTAAAATCACCGTTATGATCCTAAAACTTTGAGTTCACCCACTTTCATCTTGAACGTTCTTTGCCGGATAATTAACCTGGATGATGTTTGAATCTTTAAGTTTTACAACAATTGCGTATAAATCAACTAAAATCAGCATCATTTTAGGCATTTCTGCAACGACTGAATTGTTTTGCCTAACACACATATTGTTGCTTTTTATATGACCAGGTGTACTGAATAGCACAGGTTCACTCGCAAAGCATGATCTACCAGTTGAAGACTTGTATACACTGGAACAAATTTTAATTACCAAAGCTAAGCAGTTAAATACTACCATGGCATGTGACAGGAACAAATTCTTGGAAGAGGTAGGCTGTTGGGTTAGGTAAGACTACATAATCTGACCACTGACAAACATGAATGCTAATAAAACTTGGCTTGAAAAAACATATAACCATATATTAAGATATAATTTGGACATTCAGTCCAATATAGCTTGAACTTGCTTTGCTGAAATCTATGAAATACATGTTCCTGTAAATTACTCTTTAAACATAGGAAGGTTGCATATAATATGAATCTACATCGTTTTAGGTACCAGCAGGGAGAGCATTTGCATTTCTTGTAATTACTGAGACGATTAGTAAATTACAATATCCAACGTTATGGTCCATCATGTTCTTCTTCATGCTTGTGATGATTGGCATAGATACAGAGTTTGGAATGCTCGAGGGAGTCGTTACACCTATTATTGACATGAAGATATTCCCAAAATTGCGCAGAGAAGTACTTTCGGGTGAGTAAAATGAAAAAAGAAAACGCTTGTCTGAAAACAAAGTGGCTTGCGCCTAAGATTTGAAAAATAAAACTTGAGCGCTCGCCTTCAGAAAAAAAAATTACTTTGAGAATAAAGCTTCCTTATCACTTCACTTTCAACAAGGTTTTTTAGCAAACCTTCATTTGCAAGTTTTGCGTCGACACAGACCAGTGAGTTTAAAGCATACTTTCCCGTCATTACTGCTGTAAAAATTTATGAAACAATCAATGACGTTGCGAGAAAACATTAGGCCTTTCATACCTTGATGACTGGCTGTTGGCCTCTTTCCTAATGATTGTTATTTAGCTTTCCTCAGGTAAATAAAATATATCCTTCAGCTAATTGGGCTAACCAATTGTCGGAGCCTCGGAAGCCGTTAATTTTCGAACCAACTCCACCAAAAGAGGGTCATGCCACTGTTAATTGCACATGTACATGGACTGTTTTTTTCGCTGAAAATTTTCTGTGACTATTCCAGATCTTTTTTTCAAGAAAACGTGCAGTTAATAACGTACAGTCAATCGCAACAAAGAGCAGAGGATAAAATTTTCCAAGTGCACTATTATCGAAAACTGGTTTCAATAGAGTTATTGTACCAATTTACCAATATTGTACCAAGCAGTAAAACACCAATTTTTTCTTGCTCCTTTAGGAATCGTATGTTTCATCTGCTTCCTTTTTGCAATCATGACTTTGTTCTCTTCTGGCGAATACTGGTTGCAGTTTATCTCTGCTCACTGTTCAGACATACCATTACTAGTAATTGGACTTGTGGAGGTTCTTGCTGTCTCTTACGTTTATGGAATAAATAGGTATGAGTTTATTTGCTTATTTTGAAACAAAGATTTCCTTTACCCCTTAGGATATTGATTCTTTTTTCGAGAATGGACTATAGCACACCTCTTTATACTGCAATCCATACGGGATATTTATCCTTTTCAGACACATCTCCACACACCTCCCCACAAGGTTATCAATTCGTTTGTTGAAACTGGACTATAGCACACCTCTTTATACGTTGTTCCATAAGGGATATTTGTCCTTTAGTAAGACTGAAGTGTAACACATCTCAACACACCTCCCCACAATGCATTCAATTGTTTTTTTGAGAGTGAAGTGTAGGCGTCTCCATACACCTTTCCCCAAAAGATGTCAATCCTTTAGTGAGACTGAAGTGTAACACATCTCCACACACCTCTCTACAAGGTTATCAATTGTTTTTTTGAGAGTGAAGTGTAGGCGTCTCCATACACCTTTCCCCAAAAGATGTCAATCCTTTAGTGAGACTGAAGTGTAACACATCTCCACACACCTCTCTACAAGGTTATCAATTCTTTTTTGAGACTGGAGTCTAAAGCCCGATTTATGCTGCACGCAACAAGCGTCGCGCGACATGGCGCATAGTAGGACTGACGTCATTGCGACTAAAATGGAAGTGTATTTTGATGGCGCATTTGCTTATTGCCGCGTCGCATGCAATCAAAAATTTTGTAATGTCGCAGACAAGTTGTTGAGTTGCCGTGCATTGTAATTGGTTGAAAGGCTTCTTTCTGAGTGAGGTTCTTTAGTATTTTACTAATACTGCATTATCCAACCAACATAAGACGCTATTATTTCATGTTGTTTGATATTTCAATGAGGACGGACCGATAAGGCGCGTTAACTACAAACAGTGCTTAGCGCGACACAGATGTCTTGCACAATTAAAAAGATTGCACGACATTTGTCGCACGAAGCATAAATCGACGTTAACGCTTCTCCATACACCTTCGCCTTAAGGATTTTAATCCTTTAGTGAGACTAAAGTGTAACATATCAATATACACCTTTCCATAGTAATATAGATATTTTTTCAGACGAAATTGTGACAAATCTCAAAATACATAAGCCCAAGGGCAGTGACGTTGCCAGAAAGAGAACTGTGGGGACGTGTCGTCTTCAGTTATTCCAAAGACGAATTTTGAGATTTTAAAAAATATGAAAGGAAATGAAGGGGAGTGTGCATGAAATTTATCTCACTTTAAACAGCAATGAAAATAGTTGCTACCAGTAAACGGCCACATAGCAAAATCAGTATGATAAACAGCAATCTTCAGGAATCGTTGTCTATAAGATTGACTAGAACACAATTGTTGACACATCTAACAGAAATCTGCGTTCAAAAAACGTTTGGCTTTTAGATTATTATAAAACCTGCCTGAAGAGAGCATACTATCAATTATTTTTTTTTTGTGGGGGGGAGAGGCATGACTCCAAATAGAAACCTCATTTAAGTCTCGCACCTTTGAGTCTGAAAAATCTGATAACATAACTGCCTATGGACATATTGATCCCCTTTTTGAGCCAGGACTATAGCACATTTTTTCATGCATCCCCCTAAGAACATCAATCTTTTTTGGAGAGTGGAGTGTAACACAGTACTATGTCCCCTAACCCAATGGATATATATCAAAATGTTAGTACGGAAATCTATAAGCTAACATCTTTGCATGCTCTATAAACATGACAGACATCTCATCGGTTAATCAATTTTTCGTCTTCTAGATTTTGTGATGACATCAAATACATGACAAACAAGTCTCCTTCTTTCATTTGGATATTGTGCTGGAAATTCATTTCCCCTCTAGCAATATTGACCATTTTGATAACATCAGTTGTAAAAATGATTGAGATGCCACCAACTTATCGAGCCTGGGATAAATCTACGGTACAGATATTTGCTGTATTTTGACAATAGACTAGAAGAGAGGGAGAGAGACAAAGTAGAGGAAAAACTTGACTTGAGTTAGTTTATAAAACAGCTGTGCTAAATTTAAGACATTGATGTGTAAGATGTGGATGACATAAAGAGGGCAACTTTCACATTTCATTCTGTTTGATTGTTGGGTGTTGACGTAGCTCTGACTAAATTATCACCATCGTGGATGACATAAAGAGGGCAACTTTCACATTTCACCCTGTCTGATTGTTGGGTGTTGACGTAGCTGTGACTAAATGTACACCATTGTAGATGACATAAAAAAGGAAACGTCCATATTTCATCCTCTTTGATTGTTGAGTATTGACGTAACTCTGACAAAATGTTCACCAATGTGGATGAAAAGAAGAAGGCAACTTTCATATTTCATCTTGTTTGATTGTTGAGGTAGCTCTGACTAAATGTACACCATTGTGGATGACAAAAGAAGGCAACTTCACATTTCATCTTGTTTGACTGTTGGGTGTTGACGTAGCTCTGACTAAATGATCACCATTGTGGATGACAAAAGAAGGCAACTTTCATATTTCATCCTGTTTGAGATTAAGTATTTGCGAGAAATCCACGAACTTTTCAAAGTAAGAGAAACCATTAAATGACAAAAAATTTGTCACAAATAGAAAAATAACCTTACACTCTTGTAATTATATTGAAAAAACAGACAACAACAGTACTATACGAGGATGTACACAATATGACATACGTTAACATGGTCCCAGCATTTACAGACGAACAACCCAACCAATCTCCTGTATGTATGTTGAACGCGACTTTTAAAGTGCCATGACATCGACAGTTACTCAGGGCAGGAGCAACCTCTCAGAAGGCCTGGGACCCATCTCATGATGGATGGCTTTCTTACCCAAGCTTAATTTTTCTAGGAAATTTCTATTGTCATACTTGACGTACTGAAAATTAAGCATTCGGAGGCGCATCAAACGATATTGGAAACAAAGGATACGACCTTTGGCTTCAATAAGCAAAACTTGTCACTAAAAGCAAATTTCCCAATGTGATTTTGTAGATAGAAAAAGAGCAGCAATGCATTTTCGTAGGGCTGTTGTATGAGTCGTTTCGATTGCTTTGACAAGAGTTTTTCTCCCACATTGTTGTCAAAATAGCCTTTGCATCTTTAAGAAGCCAGTAGTCATATATTTCATTTGGGATCAAGGCTTGCTGCAGTCCAATGTCATTGAGGTCAGGAACTGGCCATTTTTCAACAGCATTAGGTCATTATTATTATAGCTGTTAGTGCTGTAGACGTCGCTTGTATGATTACACTGATCTAGTGGATAGCCCCTTTTGGTGGGTGGTCCGGGGCCCTGGTACCACCCATTGATCCGGGACAATGTATGGAGTAATATGATGTAGTTACAATCTTCAATAGCGATACATTATTATAACCTTCCTATTATGTTTAGGGGGAAACATCGTCTAAAGATTACCCTCCATGGCTCAATGTGCTTGCTGTTCTCCTAATACTTTCTTCGATCATATTCATACCAGCTTTTGCCTTGCTCAACTTTTTCGGCGTTATAAAAATAAACGGAAGAGGAACGATCGTCCTGTTGCCGAAAAAGGCTCGACGCACCAGTACGCGTAACATACCGATGATTCGATTCAGCAGCTCACAAAGCTCCAGAAGTAATACTAAGTCAAGTGTTGGCTCGTACGCTGAGCATTATGGGAATGGACAGTATGAGAGAGTGATTACGAATGACGAAAATCCATTGGTTAATTGCAGTAATTAATTACTAAGTGTTACGAAAAACTACTAATGACAAAATTTTGCAATTTACTAGGACCGATGATGTATACACAATTGTTTTCTATTAATATTACATTTAATGCTATGACTGCTATGATATAAAACTATATTTAATGGTATCCTTGTAAATATAATAAAGAACAATATAGTAGATTTATAGTCTTTTTACCACAAATAAAATAAGAATACGAGTGACTGTTTGATAAATTGCTGCTTGTTGTTCAAAATGGCTTACAATTGTGCATTGTACAACCCGTTACATCACAAGTTTGCATTAAAAATCTGCATTTAGACCATTCAACAATGAACAATTATTTAAAGCGTACATTTTTTAAAGAACTAACCATATGTAGTCCTTATTAAAATGTATACCATGATCTCTAAGTGTTAGAAAAAGTGCGTTTATATACAGTGCGTGTTTGTAGAGCTGTCCGGTTTGCGTATCAGAGCGTTTGCAAAAAATGAAAAAGTGGCAAAATGATTTTTTTAACATTTGGCAAAATATTTTGGTTTGGTATCTTCAGTATAGAAAAACTGAGCCAGATAAGCGTATAATATGTAAGAAATCCCAGCAAATTGTTTCACAGCGATTCTACCCACAAAATTTTTATTACAGCTGAAATGAGTTATCCAAAATGATAGTGAAATTGATTTCAGTGATTTTACATCGCAGTGATTTCACGCGGACTTTCCGTTCCCGTAATTAAACACAGTAGTTTCAGTTATTTCACGGTTGCGCGATCCTCACGTGAGAATTTTGTAAGGATGAGCTTATGTCGCAGGTTTGCGAGGCTTTTACGCTGATGTGGTGCAATAATTTGCAATTACGCAATGCCCAATCGGGATTTCACCATGTGCGATGTAATTTTGAACCAATGAAATGTCTGAAAATTTAATCTATGGAATTTGTTGCACAGATTCGATTACTACACTTCGAATCGCCGGTGTGGAGACAAATTTCGAAATTATTCCTACAATATACAAGGATTTATTTTTCTTCTTGTCATTTTTTTCTTATCATGTCTGCATTAAAGTACAAAGTTGGTAAGTTTTCAAATGAAGACCATTTTACCTTTTGAAACAATTGGCAATTGTGCACATTTTACAGTATAAGCTGAATAGCATATGATCTTTATGAAGAAAAACACACTTCGCGTTTTTGCAGTTTTAAATTGTATTGATTACCTTGGTGTTGACATTTAATTCATTTTGCTGAGCTTATCTTGACTTTCGTTCGTCAGGCTTGATACTACATTCAAATATTTTGATGTTAACAACACGTGTAACGCTTTATAGCCTCAGGCAGACCTGAACTGCTGCTGAAATCTTTTACAAAAAGTAGATGATGAATTGTGATGCGAATCCCTGCTTTTACGTTAGTCGACCCTTAATCCATTAAGATATTTGCTTAACCACGTTGTTAATTGCAAATTTACTCTCAAATATCAAAGGACAATTGACATAAATAAAGTATAAATTTATCAATGTGTAAATTTATCAATGTAATTAAGTAAGCCGTAATATAAAAAAGTTTGACTGTGGGAGAGGGATCAGTGAAAGGAAGGAAAGTTGCTACTGAAGCCAGTCAGTGTTAGGAATTTTTACTCACTAAGTTTGATTGATATCATAATCTTGCTTTTGATTGAAAATCAAAATGTTGATATCATAATCTTGCTTTTGATTGAAAATGTGTTGCAGGGGCTTGGGAAGCCATGGGTGTCCGGGTGCCAGGGCACCCACAACTTTTGAAAGCTTCCAAAGCCTCTGATGTGTTGTATGGAGGAAATGTTAAAATTCTTTTCATATGCTGAAAAATAGAAAGACATAAGTCTTGTTCAAATATGATCAAGTATGAAGTATGAAGTATTTATCTTTGCAGATATGTTGCATTAGTTTTTTCTGCAAAGAAATAAAAACATAAAAGTTTTGTGTTTTATTCTTAGAACTATATATGTTTAGTGATATGCAGCAAAAGAGTAGATTAGATGACTGTTAAATACTCATTTTGCTTTGAAAAACTTTTTTTTCAATATGAATTGTTTTTGCTGATCTAGATACATTGCAAAGCCTTTCGTGCAAAAAGTTCTTTAATTTGAGCATATATCATTGTGAGCAAAATAAGAAACATTTTACTTAGTCATACTTAGGCATTGTATATACTTTTACACAGCTGATATCAGTTTGGCTGATTGGGGAAGAAAGGAAATAAGTTTAGCTGAAAATGAAATGCCTGGTCTCATGGTGATGCGCAAGAAGTATGGACCAAGCAAACCGTTAAAAGGTGCCAAGATTGCAGGATGTTTGCATATGACTATTCAGACTGCTGTTCTCATGGAAACTCTGATAGAACTTGGTGCTGAGGTGAGTCAAACTTGTGGGCAGAAATGCAGAAGGAGGATTATTAAAAGATAACCTTGGGGAGTGCAGTGTGCCGTAATTTACATTGTGTTAAACATTTTATTCTTTTTAAGATAAAAATTTGATGAAATTGACCAGGCTTTGGGTATCTTGCAGAAAACATGTTTTCCACTTCTTTCAAATTGACTTTTGACATAAAACATCGTAAACCATAAACTAGGTTCTTTAGCCCTCTTGTAATCTTCATTTATACTTGACATAGGATGTGATCTGATCTTGTGTTTGACAATGTGAAACAAATCTTTCATCTCCTTGGAATTGCCTTTTAAATCTTGACTAGGTTCAATGGTCCTCTTGTAACATTTTCTCAACCCAAGATCATGCAGCTGCTGCAATGGCCAAGGCAGGTATACGGGTATTTGCTTGGAAGGGTGAAACAGATGAGGAATATATCTGGTGCATTGAGCAAACTCTTGTGTTTCCTGATGGCAAACCTTTGAACATGATCCTTGATGATGGAGGAGATTTGACCAAACTTGTGCATGACAATCATCCTGACTATCTCAAAGGTAAAGGATCATTTTTTTGTAATGGTTATGTTAAGGTTAAGATTACAGAGTAGGGTTAGCCTAAGAGCCGGGGCAGAGTAGGCATCATATTTCTAATAATGTATTTTAAGCTTTTTATAAGCTGTGTTTTACTTTTACTGGTACTAGAAGCATCTTGTTTTAAAAATAGAAAGGAAATATCTTTATTGAAGGCTTTATGCTTGACTCATGTTTGTTTTTCAGGTATTGTTGGTGTGTCTGAGGAGACTACAACTGGCGTTCATCATCTTTATAAAATGCTGAAAGAAGGCACTCTCAAAATGCCCGCCATAAATGTCAACGATTCTGTTACAAAGAGCAAGTTTGACAATCTATACGGTTGTAGGGAGTCGTTGGTTGATGGAATTAAGCGTGCCACTGACATAATGTTGGCTGGAAAGACTTGTGTTGTTGCCGGATATGGTGATGTCGGAAAGGGTTCTGCCAGCTCCCTTCGTGCTTTTGGAGCACGAGTGTTAATCACTGAGATTGATCCAATAAACGCCTTGCAAGCTGCTATGGAAGGTATGTAAGTTTTGCTATACATATCTTGAACAGACTCTAAAGAAATGAAAGCAGCTATTACAAATGAGAAATTACGAAATTTTCTCGATCAAATTTGTTAGACTGGGATAACTATTGATATTTGAGATCACTGCTCGAGGTTTCCGTCCACACCCTTTACAAATCTTTTTCTAAAAGAATTTTCTAAATGTCTTTTAATGCTGTGAACTTCGAAAGTTTTACGTAGCTTCCAAGTCAGTCTCTTCCAACATGATTTTTCAACCATTGATCATTTGAGATCGTGTTTTTCATATTTGTGTGTGTTTGTCTGTATCCTGTAGGTTACGAAGTTACAACGATGGAAGAAGCAGCTCCAAAAGCTCATATATTTGTGTCAGCCACTGGCTGTCGAGATATCATCAATGGCGAACATTTCATGTTGATGCGCGAGAATGCTATTGTTTGTAACATTGGACATTTCGATATCGAAATTGATGTGGCTTGGCTGAACAAGAATTGCAAGAAAGACACGATTAAACCACAAGTAAGGAATCTGTACTTGTTGTTCTCAATCAAATGTTTCAACTTCTCTTTTTGTCTCAGGAAATTGCTCCAGAATTTAATGTGCATTAATAATTAAGCAGATTTTTCTTTCCATCTCATTCCAAGATTTTTAAAACCTTTTGAGAATATTTTACCAAAATCCATCACAAAGTCTACTAGAAATAAGTAAAATTTTTCAAGCACCTCACTGAACTCCAATGAAAATACGTTGTTGAGCATTTCATAAAAGTCGACGGTAAGCCAATCATTTACTTGCTTTTTGTCATTCCTTAGGTTGACCGTTATGAATTACCGAATGGTCGTCATATCATATTGCTTGCCGAAGGTCGATTGGTGAATCTTGGCTGCGCTATGGGGCATCCCAGTTTTGTCATGAGTAATTCATTTACCAATCAGGTCCTTGCTCAAATTGATCTGTGGACTAATCCCAAGAAATATTCTATTGGTGTCCACGTGTTGCCCAAAAAGGTGAGAATTTTGATGGATTTTTATTGCAATCTTTGTCATAAGTATCAGATGTTGAGATCCTAGGTGGCCGCGCTGCCTGTTGTTATCAGCAAACAGTGGTGGAAAGAATTTATTCACTCATGACTGAAGTATAAAATCCTCTCATAACTTTTACATGCAACGTTTACCGTCGAAAATATTTGAGCAATTGTGTTTGAATGGACAAGAATAAAGAATTAGCAGTTTGCAGTTAGACTTTTGAAAGCACAGGGCTGCTTTAACAATTTGATCACGGTTTTCTGTCAATCATAACTTAACTCCCCTTACCCACTATTATATACGATTATATACGATATTGTTTGGCGGCTTAATTGTAACTTTTTCCCAAATTCATCAATTCAACTTTCAGATTTGCAAATCATTAGTCAACCGTCGATTTTTTCACAGCTAAATATGTTGTTTTTATAGCTTGACGAGGAAGTTGCCCGCCATCATTTGGAACAAATCGATGTTAAACTTACTAAACTGACTGACACTCAAAGTTCATATCTTGGCTTGGAATCTGAAGGACCGTACAAGCCAGACCACTATCGGTATTAGATCAAGAGCTATGAAATTCACGTTTAGAAAAACTGAAGTGAAAATTTTACAATTACTGAAATAATTTAATGTTCTCGTTAATAAATCAGCGAACTGACATTTCTGCTTAGTTTCATACAAAAAGTACACATGCTCTCAATCGGCAAGTCGGTTGTATTTCAACAGGCAATGAAGAGCACATTAGTACATGGTATTCAGCGATAAAATCTTGGTTGATTTTTGCTATGACTATTGCACATTAGTACATGGTATTCAGCGATAAAATCTTGGTTGATTTTTGCTATGACTGTTGCACATTAGTACATGGTATTCAGCGATAAAATCTTGGTTGATTTTTGCTATGACTGTTGCACATTAGTACATGGTATTCAGCGATAAAATCTTGGTTGATTTTTGCTATGACTGTTGCACATTAGTACATGGTATTCAGCGATAAAATCTTGGTTGATTTTTGCTATGACTATTGCACATTAGTACATGGTATTCAGCGATAAAATCTTGGTTGATTTTTGCTATGACTGTTGCACATTAGTACATGGTATTCAGCGATAAAATCTTGGTTGATTTTTGATATGACTATTGCACATTAGTACATGGTATTCAGCGATAAAATCTTGGTTGATTCTTGCTATGACTATTGAAGTGTCAAACGTTAACGAAGAAATTCTTGTTTTTCTCTTCTATATTCGTTCATTTTCACCAGTTTCGGCAATTTTTCCCTCCAATATAGAACTGTATAAGAACACTGCATAAGAACAGTCAGCATAAGAACACTGATTCAATTGATTCAATCTTCATCTTATTCACTTTTCTTATCGTCATGAACAATGAAATCATTCAAATTTCTCTCAGACGCTTAATTTCTGAACAAGAATAGTCAATCTTCCCAGGATCCACCTTGTCCACTACGTGAGACTACATGAGAGTTACGATAGATTAATCAATCTTCCCAGAACCTTGTACAGAGGTAGCTGGAGAGGGTTTAGATTGAAATGAGAAGAATAGATTTGGACAAGGCCAAGAACGAGTATGAAAATGAGTATTTTGTTCTACTCTCTACTAAGATAAAAGCGTTACGTTTTTCGGGAGTAAATACGGTGTTTGCATGAGTCTTGAATATCAACTCATCATTGCTCAGGCATACTGGTGCGAAAACCTCAAAACATTGATATGAGAAGCTTGAGATATTGTATTGTCGTTTGCAATTTATCTATAGCTAGGAAAGCTACCGGAAGTCTCGATGAACACACATCAACTTATCTTTCTTTACCATTTTCTTCTTAATGTCTAAAATTACATAGACATCCTTTATCTTTGCAACTAAGGTTGCCGATGGAATTGAATGTGACAGCATGCATCCTTGTAAAAACTCTTTAAATAGGTAACCAAAAATACCGAACTCGCCATTTTTTATGTCGCTCTCAGCGACAGCGTTTTATCTTGCTTATGCGCATCATATGCTAATTTGTATCGATTATGTCATGAAATAACAAATTTAAACATCTACCTACTGTACAATATAAACCAAACTTAAATCGAAGTTTGTAGTAAAACACAGAGTTAGGACATTTCTCGGTAAAGACAAAGCAAGCGAGGTTAAGAAAGTTTTAAAGTAAATGGTTTGAACCCGGGAGTATCGTTATATGTTTGTAAATGATGATCGTCCAGGCTAATAAAGTCCCGAGAAGGACTGTTTTTGTTGTTGTTGACTGACGTTTCGACAACCTTAGCGGTAGTCATCTTCAGAGTCAAAAAAATGTGATTTTTTGACTCTGAAGATGACTACCGCTAAGGTTGTCGAAACGTCAGTCAACAACAACAAAAACAGTTAAGAAAGTTTGTTGCATGACAAGAGATATTTGTATATTAGTTCAGGGGCGAAACTAGAACGCTGGCTGAGGACTGGGGAAGGTGGGATTAGCGTTGTAGTTCGTCCCTTCTTTACGCAATGGCTTTACGACATTTGTTTCATTTTTTTTTGCAATGGACTGCTAGCAATGTTCCTAAATCCGGAAGTAACGCTTGTCAAGTTTTCATGCAACCGATAAACCAAATTCTCGCAATGCTGAGTACCGCTGTCATTGTGACCGTAATGTTTTTCCGTTTCACGCGTCGCGCTTTCATGCATTTAGATTTTCAATGTTTAGGAATAAAAACCATGATATTCATAAAATTAATCGATGAACTAATCTACACTATCAAAACCCAAAGAAATCTATGCTTATTTCCATGAGCTTAGGATCGTTTTTCCTGGTGATCAAAAAAATGAACTTATGAAAACAGATTGCTCACTACAAAAGTTAACATTCCAAAATAAGTAATAATAAAGTACAGCTCATAATGAAGTCAACGAAAAATGCGAATATTAAAGGCAGTTTGCTCACTTAAATGTCTATAAATGTTGTTTAATTCCCTAGGTATAACAATTTTAAGACGAGAGATTAATATATAACAGAATTTTTGTTAAATACAACGTAAACTTATAGTTTTTTCATCTGGATCACTCAACTTTAGTATTCAGCTTTGCATAGTTCGGTTCGTGCCAGTGTTTTTCATTTTCACGCTGACAAAAAGTGGCGCGAAATTTCCCTAATTGACATAAACATGTCAATCAAAACTTTCATATTTTTCGGCAAATTTTCGCTCAAATATACAGGTTTTACAAATGAAAAACGACTCAAAGGGTAAGGCAAGCCTTGCCCATTGCTCATCTTGCCATCCTGATACTTTTTACCGAGAATTCTCCTATATTTTGTGTTGTAGGACGAAACGAAGTCGGCCGTGCGAGCATGTCGTTGAAAATATATCGATGCACAAAATCCTGTTAAAAGTAGAATATTCAACAAAAATTTCGTTTCCAAAAGTTCGAGAAACCAACACGAGACAACAGACTAAAATGACATGAAAAAATAACTATTAAAAGATCAAAAATGTAGGGAAATTGTCATTACAATGGCCTAAGTCCCTCGTGCAAAGCTAACACTCCGTCCAAGACATGCATTAAAACACCGAACTTTAGCAAAAAGAAACGATGAAAATGGTTGAATAACCAACTAAATACCAAATAATGTTTTGTTTACCGAATGTATCGACTTTTAGATTAATTTATGAAATATTAAACAAAATATTATGAACATACCTCTCTCTGTCAGGTCTCTTGCATCTGGGTGAATGAAAGTTGAGTGACGTGACTAAGATTAAATGGTGGCATAATTTCATTGGCTAGTTCCGATACTGACGTAACATTTTAATGATGTATTTTTCCTTTTTCTGATTAGCTAAATCACAAAAACAGTTATTCATATGAGTCAAAAAGTATAGCATACTTTATAAGACGAATGAAAAGATTTCAAAGAAAAATCTCATGACAAGCAAATGAAGTGCAGCCAAGTCAAGAAGGCAGAATCGCTTTCACAGCTATATACTTTTTTCATAGTTTCCATTTTTTTGATAATGAATGTAACTCTAGGTGACTAGAACTATCAAGAAGTGATTACTTCAGTATCAATAAGTCGATAATAAACTGAATAGTTAAAAAACGTGATCCTAGTTTCGCTTTTTCTTTATGGCATAAATCACGATGCAGGTATATGTAGATCAGTGCAGGAGGCCGGATTCTTTACGTGATACTTCATGTAGTATAAGTCTAATTTTTTAAGTGATGCAAAAAAAACAAGATATTTCTGTGCCTTGTGGTTCATGCTAACATAGATTCATGAGATGATGACATATATTAATAAAAAATCAGATTTTTATAGCTGTCAAGTGAAGCCAATGGAATTCACCGGTTTACAGGTTTAACGCAGTGCTTACAGAAAATTCATTTTCAAATTTCAAGCTTGCCGTTTTGAATTCTTTCGAGAATTAGACTTCGGCTGTCCTAGTCAATGTGAAGAGATCGTTCAATCTCTACACAACCCACCATATCCTCTACGCTAGCTTCATTTAAACTCTACACAACCCGCAAGCAATCCAACAGATTTGACCATCATTCATTCAACTCACCAGAAAACATTGAAGCTGTTGGGGCTAAGGAATCTTTTTACAACTTTGTTGTTGTTTAAATTGCAATATGACAAACAAAAAGCCTTGAAAGTTGAAACACAATGTCTATATAACAGTGCGTATAAACAAAGCCAAATGCTTCATGATGCAATAAATGTATGTAAATTCTAATACATGTATGTAAACTCTAATACATATATGTTACTCCGTATGTATGTAAACTATAGTACATCTATGTACACAAATTAATTTATGTATGTACGTTTGAATAGACGTAGTCCTCTTCACGTATAATTACGTTTGTCTGCATTTTTTATATTAAGAGATTGTCGAAGCCGTTCATGCTTAATTGACGATCAAATTTTCTGTTCCTCTTGAGTTCTTGTTCTTCAATTCGGTTATTTGAGAATTTCCTGGAGAAAAAGAACATTTGCAATGATCCACATAAAAAAGCAACCGTTAGTGCATTCAAATTTTACATAAAACATTTAAGAAATAAAAGATGTTCACTTTGTTTGCGCAGGCTTATGCAAACCGAGAATGCATTCGGGAGAACTCGTGAGCAGATCACTGGAAGCCTGAAACCGACGGTCAAGATCACGACAACACGCCTTAGTCAAAAATTACTGGTTCATTATTTCTTATCATCGTTGAATTGAATAAAAAATGTTTTCTTCACGTGAGTATAATAAGCTTTAGCACAAGTGAAAACAAAAGATAGAACAAATACAAACGCAGTAAGCGCCATTAGCACAAGCGTAAGCCAGATAAACGAAAGAAAATAAAAAATTCCTTGTCTTTGTAAAGTTCATGCTTATGTCACTCGTTTAAATCAGTGATTATAATCGCTGTATAAGGTATATACCAACCGTGTGTTGCGTAATTCGTCACTATCTCCGCGTAAGGAAAATTTTGTCGTCTTTGACGGGTATTTCTCTGCGAGGTTAGGTTTAGGCGTATCATCATAGATATTCAAATTTTTTCTCTTAGGCTTGCACCACGGTGAACCAGGGCGAGGCCGGCATTCTCTCTTTAAGCCAAACTTAAGTTTCTGTAATCCATTCTGAAATTCTTTTTGTAATCCATAATGGAGTCCATTCTGTAATCCTTTGTGTAATCCATTGGCGATCATACCGGGTGACTAAAGTAAGATAGCACATTTTTATTTCGCTTTATATAGCAGAACTCTCGTGATTATAGATGTTATGTTTTACTGCACCATTCTTCGGAATTGAGGTTAAAAAATTCATAGAACACACACGCTAAAAAATATTTATGCAATGACGACCGAAGTCCCTTTATAATAACTTGACGAAAGTGCTTTTCATGCACTGCATGCATAAAGCATCGTGAGATATAAGGGATTTTTGTGTCACAAATGTTATTCGGTTGAAGTATCTGACAAAAATCTGAACATCTGTTTGAAACTTTTGTTTATTCAAAAAAGCGATTAAATATGAAAGTAGCATCACGTATCCCTGACCTTTTTCAATAAGAACATTCAACAGAACACACCATTATAAAGTGTACTCGCGTAAAACTATTATATTATTATAAATCAATCGTGAATACGATGAATTTTACACTGCATAGAGTGTGTGCATGGGTCATGTAGCATAAGGGATCCACGTTCGTCGTTTACTATGATGAAGAGCGTTCAACAGACAATGAAATGAATGTTCTGTCTACTGTAAACTGCATTACCACAATGTTGTTGTAAAAAAACACACTATTAGGAATGACATAGTAGTCCGACTTTCAAACGTATGACCAGCAAGATAATGCTTCTAGTTTTGAAAAAATTTCAACCCACCTCATATTCATCTGCTGGAAACCCTTCGATCGTAGCCGTCCACGTGACGAATAGACCAAAGATGATCCATTCAAGACACTTCATCACTGCGAATTTCTACTCACTCCTTAAAAATCTCGAGGCTTCTATGTAAAACTCGACTGAGCGCGGATGGATCGTAAAAGCACTTTATATAGGGGCGTGCTGTGCTTTACAATGAATGCACTTAATACACAAAGCAACGCGACGCAAACAACAGTTAATTACGGACAGCAACATTTTACATGTAATTTTCTATAAAATGGCAAACGCATTAGCCGATGATGCCGCTTTTCATTGGGGCGCAGGTAAGTAACAGACGCCGGGGACGGCTGTGTGGATGCGCTAATTATTCCAGAAAAGCAGTTGTGTTATGAAACGCAGTATTGCACGCGGTGTTTTCTGGTAACTTATAAATTTATGTACAAATGTAATCAGTAGTGTGGGGAAACCGAGCTCGAACACCCACTACGCAAGTATTTTGATGTTCATTGACGGTAAAAACAATAAGTTTTTATAGAAATGAAGAATGGTGAGGATTTGAAATCCAAATACATTTTCTAATGCAAACAGTGTGCATTTTCTTGTCACGAACATAGATTTCATTCATACCTTCGTTTTGTTTTTATGCTCGACTCATATGGTCGATCATTGTTATCTTGCTCATCATGCAAGTCACATTGATAGTCTGGTTACTTGGTCAGTTGCAGCAAGGCAAACGATCATTCGATAGGAAAATTCCTTTTATTTAAGCGCTAAAACATACAATTCAGTTATGAGAGAGGATTGGGCGTTTTTAGGAAATTAATTGGCGACAAGTTTGTTGACAAATTTACTTGCTTATGTTTATTGAACGAGAACTTTCGTCATAGTTTGCATCGAAAGACTTTTTTCTTCTTCATGACACAAAATTTAGTGAAGTTTGCAACTGTGAGTTGGCTGAGGTATGTAATAATCTATTTTAAATATGTTTTAATTTTCTCTGCAGGCGAATAAATTCCCTAGTTGAAAAGCTGGTACAAATAGCCTTTGACAAAAACTTTAAGCTGTCAATGAAAACATTGCTTGCTTGAAAGGGCTTTTAATGTTTTTCGCGTGAACAAGCTGCATTGATCAAAAGACGAATGCATAGCTGAATGAAAAATGCATAGCTCAATGAAAAATGCATAGAATGCGTTTGCACATACTGCGAGTAAAACTTTTCAGATCACTCGGCTAGCGGGCCTCTAGCCGATCAAATTCATCAATATTCGACCGCGTATAGAAACAACTGCTCAAGCTGGTTCTATCGATGCGATGGCGTTCATAATTGAATAAAATACAGTAAAGTCATTTTGAATAAATTAAAGTCAAAATTTGAATAAATTGAAGACAGATGGTAAAATACTTGCCGTTTTATCATTTATGCTGGAAAATTACTTCAAGAATTGTTATCGACCTCGATGTGTATTGTTTATTTTCAGATAAAAGCAAATTAAATAAATGTAATAATTTTTTCTAGCCTAGCAACGATCTAGCGTCTTTGCCAATCATTTCCCATTGCAACAGAAAGAAATACAAAGCTAACGAGTATGTAAACTATTAGTCAGCGGACATTGCTATTGTTTGCAGGAGAGTAAACACAGGCTACGGTATTGAAAGAGGTTATCTGTGAACTAACTGTATTCTTATTCATATGATAATGAGACTAGTTTCCTGCTAAAAGCTACATAAACACGCTTTCTAATTAATGTAACGAAATATCGAAGAATAATTTCCTCTTATAAATTGTTTATGAAAAAAATGAAAATAATATCGGCAAATGTGCTTGTCGTGTGTTCGTTGAGTGTAGCTTACGTTCGCCAGCAGCTAGCAGCGCACTATGTTTTTATAATATTTATTCAGCAAGTCTCGAGGCATGCGGTCGCAGTTTTCCAGTTTTCACTCACAGGTTTTGCCCCCGCACGTAAATAAAATCCTCCCCCTCTCTCAATGAGCACTTAATTAAAACTACTCCCACTCGAAAAATACATCGACATAAAAATTTCACGATAAACATACGATTATCGTCGAAAACGAATGCGATGCGTGAATTGTGGGGCATGAGTTCCACTGTTGACGGTTGATGAGGTCACTTGAGACAACATTGGAAAACATCGACTTCAATTATGTGATAATATATGTCGAAAAAGTGGAGATGTTTAACATGTCTGTACGCAGCATGTACGCGTCTTATCGAGTCAAACAAATCCCATACAAGCCATTTTTGAAGGGCTCGGGAGTCCAAGGGTATCGGGGCGACCGTACACCCACAAATTTTGCATCCAGCTTGAACGCTTACAATGAATGCTAGGATTTAAGCGCACAAACATTTTAAATCAACGAACAGTCTCTTTACTTTGACACGATGCAGTTTAAAATACCCCCGATTAAAAATAAAGAAAAGCAAGCTGTTTCATTAATAGTTTAATTAAATTTCATGTGTAAATGTTATCACACAGTGTGAATGGAAGATTCGCACCTTTTTAAGTTTTCACAGCCCCCACCGTTTTTAATGAATTAAATTTAGACCGAACTAAACGAGGTCAAAGATTGAATATCAAAAAGTGCAGGCTCCCCGAATAGTTCCCATCAACAATGCAGTTTATAGTTCGAGAAATACTTCTCTTCATTATAAAGTCACGAGGCAAGCTGCGAACTAATTAAATGTTGCTAGGCTTAACCAGAGTGGGATTAATTTGTGGCTTTTCCTGCGCACGCGCATTGATTTCACTCGTATTAAATGATATGCATGCGTGTAAACCAATGGTGTAAGCAACTTGAGATCACGTTACCAGAAAGATTTTTGATCTTCTTCTTTGTTAAGATGGTGTTCCATGAAACTTGAGGCCACTCATGTATTTAGCAGTTTGACAACAGGCTCACTTGTAACGTAATTTCTTCTTGATTTAATAGGCCAAAGAAACGAATTTATTTACTGTGCTGATGCTCCTTTTTATCAAATCTAGATGGGTACAGCGATATATTAGTCAATGTTATCCTCATCGTAAATAATGGTGCAATGGAAAATACTCCTGAACTTACTTAAAACTTTAGAACCTCTTTAAACAACTTTACCATTAAAGTGGTAATAATCACTAGGGGAAATAATCTCTTTAGATAAAGTGGACGATTTGAAGAACATTTGCAATATATTCATAAGACGAAAATTTGATCTTCCTTGACTTTTTGGGCGTCCAAGTTGGCTTTTTCGTGTTTGACGGTGAGGTGCTGGGACTGGGTCGAGTTCATCGACGTGACGTACATTGGAGAGCACGCTGAATTTTAACGCTATAGAACTATAGTGTGATTCAATCACAAAGTGCACAATATAACTCAAGTTTAATAAAAAGTAAACGTCTTGACTTTGCTACAAATTTCACTTTAAACTACAGCGTTAAAAAGCAGCGTGTTCTCCAATTTACGTCACGTTTTTTGTGAACTAGACCCAGTCACAGCACCTCACGGTCAAACACGAAAAAAGCCAACTTCGAGGCCCAAAAAGTCAAGGAAGATCAAATTTTCGTCTAATGAAATATATTGCAAATGGTCAATTCTATCTAAATAGATTATTTCCCTGTGGGTGATATAGGCACTTTAATACCAGCAATATTCAGCTAACCTTCATCGATTTGAAACCATTAACGTTCATCACTTCCATTCACATCAAGAAACATTCAGGGACATGCAGTGACGTTTAGTTCCATCATGTAACACTCACAATAACATGAAGTAACATGAAGCAACATTCAGTACCATCCTGCAATCTGTACATTATTATATTTACGTTTTTCAGTAATGAATTGTTCTGCTTTCTCGCTGTGCATCGTCAGTTCTGATATAAAAACAACACAGTTACATTAAGGTATAGTTCTATATTGATAAATTACGTCACTCACCGTAACTTCTTAGCACATGCGCGTAAACGGGGAAAATTCGCTCATCCTGACTTAAATAAATTACATATTAATCCCAATTTATGTGAATTTTAGCACGTACGCTTTTAAAGCTTGTTGGAAAAAACATAAATTGTCTTCTGAAAAAAAAAACTCCCGTCCTGCAAAGCGATGTTTAGTCAATAACTCCAGTGTGGGTAAGAATGGCCAGCATGGATAATGTAAATTTTTCGTGCAACTGTTCAAGTCGATGTTTTAAATTTAAAAGGTAGAAAGTGAGGGGGAGGGGGGGTGGGGTGCGAAAGGGTTTCTTGTTCGTCAAACAGCCGCATAGAAAAAACAATTAGGATTTAAAAAAGAAAGAGCAATAGCGAGTCGAATTTCTTTTTTCTATGGCAGAGATGATTTTCTTCAAAACAGTAAAGTACTCTTATAGTCCGTATAAAATACTTGGATGCTTGTCGAGCAAGACAACCGATGAAGGCACAACAGTCAGTTTCTTTCCTTTGCCTTCAACTTCTCGACAAGACTGTTAAAGTTGACGTTCTTCTTCAGCTTGACGTAAGGACACTTTCTTACGTGCGTAATCGAAAGCCATTCGGGAAGGGTTTCGCAGAGCAGCCTAACATGCTTCTCCACTTCAACTAGAATAAAATAGAGAAAAAATAAATGAACAGTCCAGTTGGCCTACAGTCAGCAAGCCACAGCCACAGTATAGGAATATACAGTAGGGCCACTTCGCTGTGCAACTGGCTCCTGTATATTTAATTAGTTTACTGGCTGCCGTTTGCCATATCGTCAATCCTATTGGTCACACAATGCAATTTACTGGCTGCCAATATGGTAATCACATGCGTAATAAGATATGCCATAGTTTCTAGAGGGGTTGGAACCCACCCCTACATAGACATACCCAACCCCAAATTGGTAACCCACCCCTACATATGAGTCGAAAAAAAATTCGTTTTTTTCTACGGGAAAGCTGATTTTAGACTTATTTATGGTCTCTCTATGCATACTACTGATAAAGTCTATGTATTCACTAATATTGTCAATCAAGCAAGTTCACCAAACTCGCCAATGGCTGATGCAATCAATGGCTGATGCAATAACATGGTGTCAAATTAGGGAGATATTTTTGGTCCCTTATAGGGTAATATGAAGATAGATGATGCAATAACATGGGGGCAAAAATTGAGTGATGTTGAACTTTGAAGTTATTAACTTTTTTTATCATAGATGCATTTCATCTATTTTTTAATTTTTCTAATAGGGAAAATCTCGGAACCCACCCCTACATAGACACACCCACCCCTAGAAATTCAAAATTTTTTCGACCCACCCCTAGAAGGCATTTTTGAAAATTCCAAGACCCCCCCTAAATTTAGGGGGGGTAGAAACTGTGTATGCGTGACACGAAAAAATTCAATGGAGTGGCCCTTCTTTATGTTCTCTATACTGTGATATAGCTGCAATGAATCACTGATGAGTGCAACAGTTACAAAATTTATGCTCTATACTGCATTCGCAAATCTATATTGGTTGCCTGAAGATTGAACTGGCATGAAGCTCCGAGCAGCAACATTTTTAGAATCACTATAATTAATTCAATTGTAAAGATACGCTCTACAACTGTATTGAGCAGTTTTTAATCACAAAACGACTACACAGTGTATCTTTTCCGGAATCGTGCACGCTCGTTCACAGAGGAAAACACGCAACAAAACCCTTTAAAACTGAAAAAGACGCGGAAGCTGCTTCGGTATAGGAAAGAGGTGTTAACCATGAGCATTGATGTTTCAAGCATCCTCTTTAAAAGACAACAATTACAACAAAGAAAGACTATGAAGACATTTTTACCTGTTGACATCGTACTTGTGAAGCTTTCTGCGATTTTTCCGATAACATCTTCCAATGGAATCGCAACTTTACGTTCGCCAACAAAGTATCTTAGCCGTGAATGAAGGTTATGTCACTTCTCACATGAAAAATCGAAAATTTCACTAAGATTACAATGAACAAACGATACACTAGGCAAGATTACCCCAAAGCCAAAGGCTAACACGTACATTTCTCCTCACTTGGTTGAAACCGGTGGCTTGTGAAAAGCAAAAGGATACGTTTTTAAAATCCTAGAAAATTCTGGTAATCTCTGCAGCATGGCGCGTTTTTTAACGACCTCCGAATCGACCGTGAGGGCTTCTTGTATTTTTTTCTCTTCTTTCAGTCTTATCTAGGAAAATGAGATTGTATGCGTTGAAATATATGCATTAAACATGCCTGTATCATAATGACACATCTTGCGCATCTTTTCTGCGCATGAGTGGAAACTAGAGTAGTCGTTGGGAAAAGTGTTGAAGTACCTTATCAATAAGAGATTGTGAAACCCCTCTCAGAGATGGATTGTGACTCTTAGCTGCTTGATTTGAGTTCATCTCAAATTTATTTGTCTTTGACTGGGTATTATCAGAGTTCTTTTCCAACGATGATTGTGCAACATTCTTTAAAGCATTCTCGACCTGAAAACAAATCCACGACCAAAAATTAATTTCTACTCGTATGCATCATTTGCTGCTAACATTGAGAAATTACTGAATTCTGCACCCAACATGTACAATGTATGTAACATGCTTCAGTCCCTGGAGCCTGAATTATACGTTTTCTGAATTCAAATTCTTTTACTCATTAGAAACCACGCATGTCACCATAGTGCAAAGAATATACTTCTTCAGAAAATACTCAAACTAACCCTGGGAGACATGTTTAGTCTGGCCTTATCCAAAACATCTCTAGCCGAAGTGAATGTTTCCATTTGTGGGGGTTGAGGTAATGCTGCCTGTTCAAGTTCTGGTATTTTATCGAGTGGAAAGCACGGGTGCCATCGCATGATTTCCACATTCTTCACACACAATCTTGGATAGTTTTTTGCCAAATAATCTTGATGATGTTCCATTGTGACTTCCAAAAGCTTATTCTTAAAGTGCTTTAGTCTTTCAGTAAAAACGAAACTTTCAACAAATTTAACATCTTTCGCGTGTTTTCCGTTTAGATTCAAACTGATCGTCAGTTGAAAAGATGATTTCTTCCCTTCAACCAAAGTGCTTTGCTGTCGAAACACAAAGGCATCAGGATAAATAGTCTTTATTTGTGCCAAATGCTTTTTCTCAAACTTTCTGCAATAAGTTAAAAAAGTCATGGGAATTAAATATTTGGTGAAACTGTAGTACATTGCAACACAAACTTTATTCTAAATATATAAATTAACCGTTTAAGTAAATTTTTTTGATAAACTTGCTTTATTTTATCCTGAAGCTATTAGCTCAACTCAAATAGGCCCAAAAACATGTTTCACAAGACATCAAATTTTAATGATCACATCAATACAGTAACTCACTTTCGAGTCATTTCTTGTACAGAATACTTGAGCTTCTCAAATGTACATGACTCGTGACGTTTCTGTTTCAAACTGAGAACAACATCTACACATCGGAACATTTCTTCAAGCATTTTGAAATGATAAGGGAGGGGTAGGTTGTGGGTGGCTTGGTCTGCTTCTGGTTTCTTAGCTTCAAGAAGGTGACCAAACCTTTGGTAGGCCGGATGTTTGGTTCCACTGGAAAGAGAAAATTGTGAAATTCAAAAATCTTTCATAAATGGTTGGTAATGAATGCAGTTAATTTCAATGTATTGTTTAGTCTGTCAGACATATTGGAAATTGACAGTAGAATGTCATCAACTATGGATGTTTTCTAAGTAGCATGCATTTATATTGCTTTGGAAAGTGTTCCCAATAAGGCAAATGAAATCAATGGAATAAACCATGGAAACTGAAGATGAAATTTGATGTGCATCTTAACTGAGTAATTCATTCCAAGGCAATACTAAGTGGCCAGACAACAATCTTTCAACATGAATATCACAAGAACAAACAATTGGTCTACCTGCTTGGTGATATTTTTTCAGCTTTCATGGCAGCTTCTTTACTCAACCTAGGTACTTCAATTGTTGGTTTGATGTTCTTGAAACTGGGAATGCCTTTTGACAAGCATTTATTATCATCTTTAACAATCACTTCGTCGTTCTTCTTTGTAGCAGAATCTTTCTTCTTTTGCAGACTCTTCTCCAGAGCCTGCTTTCCCCTGCTTGCAAGCACCAGCTTAGCTTGTTCCGCAATCCATGGATTCACTTTAATGTCGTTACGAGGTTTGTTGTTGATGATTGCCTTCACTGATGATACATCAACAGATGGTTCTTTGATGGAATCTATTCTATCCTCCGTATTTCGTTTCAAGTCATCAACACTCTCATTCAGATGAGATACATTCTCTTCTTTCTGACACTTTTTCTCTGGAATTGAAACGCCTTTGCCAGCAGGTTCTTTAGCACGATTCTCTGCATGTCGTTTAGGTTCCAAGCCATTCTTTAACATCGGTTGAAGTTGCTTCCTTGACCGTTGGCTTTCGTGATCGTCTTTTGCCGACGTTGTAATAAACATTACATCACTATGCACTGATTTATCGAAATTCTTCCTTTTTACTGACTTTCTACCTTTACTTCGCGAGCGATTAACTTTCCTTGTGATTCCACTAGCAACCCTCGCCTCGGACTTCTGTTTGACTTCATTTTTCTCTACCTCTATTTGGCATTTGCCTTCGGCTGAGTTCGCCAGTATTTTTTGTGCAACATTGTTCTCCGTCTCAATTTTCCTCCGCTTTGCAGGATGCAAGACTGGACGTGATTTTGAGGCATTAAAATACTTCGTTAAAACCAGTTGACCGTCCATATTGAAACGTTCCATCACAAAACAGAACCAAATAAAGTTGGCGCGGGAAAATAGTTGAGCCCGCAAGAGGTATAATAGCGGAAGACCTATTGGATTTTATAATCTACTGTAATCGACATAGAAAATTTTCATCGATATTTTCGATTCGATAATCAAACAATATTATATCAGATGAATGTCTTAACATAAAACTAACGAAGTAATTTATTGAGCTTAAATATACATGTTCAAATATTATCTTACTTGTGACAACTTGTCTCTTACAAAAATCCAGTAACTAATCTTTGCTTCAAAAATCCTTCGGTTCCTTACTATGTGTGGATGAACTGCACTTACAAATAATAATGTAACAATACTTCCCAAATCCCAATTCAAGCCATTCACTTTATACTAAAAGTACCATGGAATTCTGCAGTATTATGCAACTATAAATTTCAAATTATCAAGGCCAAACCACACTATAGAGAACATACAGTAGAGCCACTGCATTGAGTTTTTTTGTACCACGGATATCTCATGATTACCATATTGGCAGCCAGTGAACTGCATTGTGTGACCAATAGGATTGACGATATGGCTAACGGCAGCCAGTAAACTAACTAAATATACAGCAGCCAGTAAACTAACTAAATATACAGCAGCCAGTTGTACAGCGAAGTGGCCCTACTGTATATTCCTATACTGTGGCCGAACATAGAGATAAAATCAACAAAATTGGTGCATAACAAATTAGCAAAACAAGTTACTTGTTACACAGATATCTCATTGTACCAAATTGCGTACATTTGTGTTGGTCATGTGACTAAAATAAAATCGTTTTGCAGTTTTAATGACGTCTTAACAAAGCGGAAACTTTTATATTCTACTTCTTAAGAACAAATATTACATTATTTCCTAATTCATGTGACAGTAATATCTGATATGAAAAATATCGATTTTTATTCCACATATCGCCCACCACTATTTTTTCCTCGATTCAGTTCTGTCCCCCCACGTGGCTAAGTAAGACGAGTCTAGTGGGTAGAAACCTTTCAATAGAAACACAATGTGGGACAATCATTTATAAGTTTGTAAAAACAATATCACGCTTGCCCACAGAGTAATTAGCGAGCGCGCGACACTCAAACTAACTGGATATGACGTCAATAGCGTATCCAGCATGCAGATTACCCCACATTTATAAAAACGGCACTATACACGGTGGAGGCTTGTGAGATTGCCCTTCCTTTTATTTTACAAACGTTCCTACTCTGTTTCAAAAGTAAGAAACCTGGTCGGTGTTATTGAAAACATAAAATTTTGCCTCGTTTTAGGTCAGTGTGATTTTGACATGGGCGAAACTAGGGGGCTGTTCACATGAGCCCGGTAGCCGGGAATCAGAGAAGCATTAAATCATTTTGCCAAATGGAAAAGATTAAATACTTCACAACAAAAAACTTATATGAGCAATTTGTCTATGCTAACTTTTCAAATTCACAAAACCTTTAAAATGAAAACAAATAATTTGTCACGATTTGAAAATTTCGACTAAAATGACATATGACGCTTGTAAGAAAAGGTTGTAAGTTTTGCGCTTAAAGTTTTTACTCGTTTAAATGACTCAAAATCATTTCACGTCTCGCTGAATCCCGGTTACCAGGCTCATGTGAACAGCCCCCAGAACGCTAATTGTGGGCTGTGAATATTCATATCTTCAGCTCTACCCAATTGATCTCTTTTCAAAATACGTAATGTGAAATAAGATATATATATTGCAGCTAGACTGCGTGACGAGAAAGGAACTTTTGCTCCTCCAACAAATAGCTTTGTAGAGTGTTAAATATCCTGTCATACTTGAATTTGGACCAAGGTGTTGTTGTGAGCTCAACACATTCATTTAAAATCTCATCGAATTTCTTTTTACTTCTTAAGGGGACACTGGCCAGAACACCACGTATGAACCATCTTGAGCGAAATAGATTTTGGCAAACAACCTGTGAAAACAAAAAATCAGCACACGTGTCAAAAACTGTCCAATTAATTATCACTTTTCGTCCGATCCGATCCGAAGCCGGTCCGATCTTTTACTTATTTAGAATAATGTCCGATTATTTAATTATTTAGAAAATCAATTCCATTCATTGTTTTTCCAGAAATTGAATGCAAAATATTTGCATTGTAGGAGTAAAACATGGGCTGGCTTAGCAGCTGCTGCTCCTTCCCTTTGGTTAGTAGAAAGAAAAATGAATTCATATAACTCATGGCAATACAACCTAATATTTATCTAAAATAAAGACTGTTGCATGGCCAGACCTTAATTTCGTGTAAATTTCAGAACATGATTAACATTATTCATTTTTTTAAAAATGTTTTGTTTTTGCAATGAGTGAAACAGAGCAGCACTTGAAAAGGAGCAACATGCCTTGGTTTTGCAGTTTGTTGCAAATCAGCTATTGCTCATTGACAGAGATTTGATCATAACTTCAACAATTCGAAAGTCCAATCTCATGCATCAACTGGTTAGAAAGGTCCATCACCTGCAAATTATTCGAAATGACTTGAGAATTACACCTGTTCGTTTCTAAATTGCACTGTGATGCACAATCAAAGAATTTGCAAACTTTGTGCGATGTGCAGTTTTCTGACTGTTCCTCAAAAATTTCTGATAATTTCTCACTAGTGTACAACATGTCCACATCAATGGCTTTGAGCTCTCCCATTGCATTAATTCCAAAGTTTTCACCATGAATATCACAATGATGCCAGTTAAATCCATATGCTCCCTGCAAGTTGAGTTCACGAACAAAGTCCATAATTTCCAGGGCAACCTTTACCTGTATCTTCCAACTGATTGATGCTGAAATTACTCTTATTCCAACAAGACTAGTGAGTGTTTCAACCTTTTCCACGGCATAAAATCTACCACATGTACCAAAAATCTTTGGAAAGTGTTTTAAATCCTTCAACACTTGCAGCAAGTAGTACTCATCCTGATGTAACAGTTGCCAAAGACTTCGCATTTCTGCTTCGGTGTAGCTGCTGACAGATGGCATGTGCATTAGATACTTCAGAAAATCATCGGGTGAAAGATTGCTAAGTTTGTGTCGATCACTGATGACATCATCAATATGAAGCAGCTGGGTAACCACATGATCGTACACTGCCGCTGAGAAACTTTGCCTGAGAACAAACGCATCCACGACATTACTAGCTAAAATCAAAAATTGGTGGCAGGTATAACCACATTAGTATTACCTTAGAGGTAAAGTGCACTAAGTTATGCTATCAAAAGAGTTATCGCTAATCAAGCAGAACAAAAATTGTTTTTCTACAATTATCTTATATGTTTTAACTGCATTTAAACTTTTTGGTTGGTAAAAATTATTTAATGATCTTTCATTTATCAATTCTCCAAGGTAAGATCATTTACATAACAAGCTTATCAACAACCATGTGGTGGGCTCAAAGAGAGATCAATCTAATTGTCTATGAATGACTAATACCCACCTCCTAGGAAATTTGATTGTTTTATGTTGAGCGGTCAGATACCTGGAAAAATATCTTCCCAAGAGCTATATGCTGCGGCTTTCTTAGTTTTCAAAATGATGTCCTGTTTATTCAAAACTGCAGCAAAGATCGTATTCTTGTCATTGTGTGACAAGCACTGTTTGATGAACAAATTTCTCGAGGTGCAGAGATCATAACACAAGTTCCCAGCCACTATACCTGTATGGTATGAATGGCACTAAAAAAAAAGAAAAATTCACAGTGGCAACTTTGACTCATAAATTCAAAGTCGGTTTCCACCAACTCGCAGTTAAAACAATCAAAAACCATATGAGTAGGTGGTCAGTAACAGCAATGCAAGTACACTCTCTTTCTATGGTGTTTTCTGAGTTCACCATACGTTTTCAGAAATACATTTCTACACTCATTTCTAAAACTTTAATTCCTTGATTTATTTTCAAGACAGGTATGAACACCAAAGTAGGTGGTTGGGTGGACGAGCAATGCAGCGTCTTTAAGTGATATTGTGATATGAAATGGGTAGATTACCATCTTCCCATTTTTTTATTGTTTCGCTTCGTTGATCCTCTTGAAATGCTACAAGGATACTGCAAAAATCGCTCGACAAACGGAATCACCTACGTTAGTCAGTTTGCAACAATAGCTAGCTCTAAGTCTCTAATATTACGTACGTTGAAGCGAAATGAATTTTAATTATTTTCTCCATTACTTACCAATGCATAAAGCAAGGCTCTTCCTTTCTTCTCGTCACAGGTAATGCCATTAAAACTGTCGTATATTGACTGACTATGACCATTCCTACTTCTAATTAACAAAAACGCAAGAACGAGGAATGTTAGAGCAATTAAAATTGTTCTCTTTCGCCTTTTCCACATCAATGAACTTAGTTTTTATTTTTAAGAGCAATTATGTTGCAAGTCATTATTCTATCATTCAAGTCAGGGAACACTTTGGCCAGTTTCGGGTTCAGAAATATAAAGGATATTTAGTATTGTTCGTTAATACACTGATTATTCGAGAAATAATACAATGAAGAGGATAAATCTAGATTAAATGTACGAATCTTCCTGCTTTTTCCAGAAGGTACTATACAAACGTCGAACAATGACGTAAAATTCCGTTTATGATCGTTAACTGCTCGTAATCGTCGTTTCTTTAGCAACACCATCAACAAAGAGATAATTCGTGCAGAAAGAACAATATTGACGTAATAATATTTCGCAATGTCGCTAAGCCCCAGTCACGCAATCTAACCAATCACGTCGCGTGTCGCGCTGTTGTATAGTAATATATATATATGAAATGCGTGGTTCAATCGATCATTCTAAGATTGCTGTTGCCACTACAGTACGCCGGAAAATTCGAATTTTTATAGTTTGCAGGATTTATTAATGAAATCATGCCTCGTGTTGTGCCGGATCAAAGAAACAAGTTCGAAAATGACGAGTTGTTTAGAAAATTGTCGAGGGAATCCGAGGTTCGCAAATATCAAGCCGGTTAAATTTTAACTTTCGTACGTAGGCGATGAACTAACTTTTATCGTGCTTTTATTATGCAGGTGAAGTATACGATGTATCGAGACAGGCCTCAATCGGAGCGCATACAGCATTTTCAAAACGACTGCAGAGAAGGCAAGATTAGTGCAGTAAGTATTTGCATTTACGTTGTGGAAATAAGTGGGATTTAAGGGAAAATTGCCAAAAATGTTGCAAATCGGCTAATTAGTTTTCGTGTAATCAGATTTAACGACGTGGCGAACAAACTTTGCTGGTATTGAAAACTGTACGTGTACAGGCAGACAGAAAAAATAAAAATGTTCTAGGGTAACAACGTGCGATTTACAGAGATTGTGAGATTGACTAAAAATAGGATTTTGTTTTCGCTGCATTAGAGGAGTTCAACTTTATTGCGTGGAATTCTAACCGTTAAAAAATGTAATCAAAAAAATTTATTATAATATGCATCAAAAATACACATAACTACAAAACAAAATCACGACGAATACTCCAATTGTCAACTTGCACGAATAACAAAACCACAAGACAAGCCATTAATATTAAATGGAAACATTTTGTTCTTTGCAGTCCTTTGTCGCCACTGGTACGAACATCTGCTTGTTTTTCCCGAAGCCAGATAATCTTTTATCAACACCATTCATAAACTTCGAGCAGGAACCAGGCAAGGTGAGAATAAGTTCTTGAGAAGTCGTCAAAAGTTCTTTAATAGATACTTCACAATTTAAGGGCTCATTGAACCTGATGACACCTCACCACTCGAAAGTTCCGAACAAAAATTCCAGAGCATTGTAATTTCTGATGTTTGTAGCTAAAAGCTAGCGCACAATGTTTTTAATGCAGTAAAAATTTTCAAGAAAACCTAGCGCATGAGCGGAAAATCAACATGATTTTTTGCGCGTTGGGTGTTTTGCTACGAAGTGCAAATGCAAAAATAAAATGTGGTCTGTCTTAATCTGTGTGATTAAGAAATCATGAGTGTGGAGTTTGACCGCGGCAGCTGCATAGCTATAGCCAAGAATTCCCCAGCTGGTACTAAGCAATGAACGTCAATTATGTCCATTATCAGATATTTAACAAATAAACTCTTGCGAGACCAGCTGCCAAAAAGCACGTGGTTGGACAGCTCGGCTCCAAGGAAGAATAGACGAGTTTAAGAAATCGACAACGAAATGAGACAAATGCGTGGTTTATACATACTCCGTACTGTCCGCATATTATAAGTTCACATGATTTCATAGATAAATCTCAAGTCAATCAAACTTCGTTCCAGTGATAGACATGAGAAGTCTTTTTTCTTGGGCAAGGACATTCAAGCATTTTGATAAAAGGGAACTTCTGACAAGAGTGTCTGGGAGGTTAACAAAGACAATAACTCTAGCTTTACAATAGAACTAATGCATTTCACCTTGATATAAATTAAGTAAATGTAATAAAGTTTTATCTTTGTTTGATAATTGCGACAACTGCGTGGCACGTGTCCTCAATTTGCTTTAATTGATACTTTGGAAAGAAAATGTCCGCTACAGAGGAATTGCGCTTGTGATGAAAAAAAACCTTCAACGATGATTCTACTTTCTTCATAGGTTCACGTTCGAAGTTCATTTATCATGAATGGAGTGTGCGTACTCTTCGAAGGTTGGTTTGACCTTCACAGGCTTGACGGAATCGGCAGCCTGAAATTCGACGAAGCCAACGCGCACGTCGAGGACAAGTTGATGAGGGAGACGTTGGCACGCGCCAGAATCAAACTCATCGAATTCGAAGAGCAACAAAGAGCGTGGAGGGACGACAATAAAACAGATGGTATAACACACTTTCATGCTCGTAATACCTTACTCCGAAATTCGGGGAGCGGTCTTGTAAGTTTCGTAGATGGAAATTAGTCGTCGGCAAATACCTGAAAGCAATCCCTTGAGAGCGGTGACAATAAGCGAGGTCAGGGGGGGAGGAGGGCAATCGTAATATTTACCGAACTACGGTCTCCAACTGCATGCAGGTTTTCAGAGGCTTTTTGCTTGTTTATTCTTATATGTTTTTAAGAAAAAGAGTTGATCAATCACTCAGTCGCTGAAAAACACCCCAAGCTTTCCATTTTCTTTGTAATACTCATCGACAATGACCGCTCCCTGCTCCCAAAAGAATAATCAGCCAATCAAAATCATTGTAGCGTTATTTTCCATTCTGTCAGCACTACTCGGCCAGCCACGACAGGCGTGACGGAGTTTCGAGCAAATAAATGACGATGCTCCACGACGACATAGCGAAGACTAATAACACTTAGCAGTAAGATGAAAACGTCCCAGCTTCATGATTGCCACAGTATCATTTAGAGATCCCATGATGCCATGGGATTGAAGGAATAGTAAAAAATTGCAAGCACTGAGCAAAGCATCATGGATCAGTAAAAATCAGTCGCAGCCGAAAAATCAACAACGCTATTGTATATTACACGATGTATTGCAGCCTGATTGGACTGAACAGCCTTGATTCAAAAACTAAAATGGATGTAATGTCTGTGTGTGTGTTGAGTTAAGTTTTAAAAATCTAATAATTATCGTTGAATATTTTTTATTCAAATTGTAATGTATAGTAAATTATTTAGTGTTTATTACATATGTTTATAAGACAATGATGACTGAGAGTTGAATAAATTACTCTACATGCCACTGCATCGGTAAGAGAGAGGAAACTTTACCTGAAGTCATGCATACGGGTCAACATTTTTTAGGGGGGGGGAGGGTCAGAACATTTTCAATCTCTAATTTACCCAGCTTAATTACCCAGCTCAGCAAACAATGCCCAACTGGCTTTGTCTGCCCAACCTTAATTTTTTTTTTTGGGGGGGGGATTGATACTACAAAAGCACATACTTCAGGAAGAGACTAATGCAAATTGTTTTTGATTGTTATCATTGAAAGCATTGACAAAAATGACAAGAACAACACAAGCAAACAATCTGTTGTTCACATTTCTAAGTCATGGTAGTACAATCAGAAATCGTCTACATTGTTAAAAGCTATGAGTACGGTAACTCTACCATTCCTTATGTATTAAGATCCAACAGCAGCGCCGGGAAATTTCACAGATAAGAATAAAATGTTATAAGTTCCATACCATGCACCTAGGCCCAAAATTGTCCCTAATAACTTACTATTCGTTGAATGAAAATACATGCTTGTGATGGCGAGAAGGAAAATCCAAAGCATCATGAGAAGACAACAAGAGATATACAACACAAGAGCAATGCAACAGGTGACCTTCTCAGTAGTGCCAGACTCCCTTTCATCATCTCCACTGGAGCGCCGCAGATTGTCCTTCCTCCAGTATCGTATAACCTGAATTTCTTCACTGATTATAAGCGTACAATAAATCAAAATAAAGGAATGTCCCGAGATGTCGAAACCGTTCCATAACAAGCCTTCTCTGTGGCATTCCTGTTTAGTAGTGTATAAATCACTGCCCTCGCATTTTCCACTCTGGTGTTCAACAAATTCCAAGATGGCGATCAAAGTATACCAAACTACATAAGAAGCAACAAGACGGAGCAAGTGCTTGCAAACCACTTTCAGGTTGCTTCGACTCCTTCTCCAGTAGGTCAAAGCCATGAAAGGTGCGAGAAGGCCGAAAGTCCATGCTAAACTCCATTTCGCGAACACTACATTAAGTATGTTGCTTTTCTTCGACAGGTAAAACTCGGGTGGCCGGTGGAAATCGTTCATCCACGACCCAAAGATGACGATGAACCAACATAGTACAGCTATGTATATACGATTAGTTGTGCCCAATTTGATAAAAAGTGTTGAGAGTTTTGCGACCAATATTTCGCAGTCAAAAGATGCACCGCGTCTTTCCCTTCCCATATTATCTTCCTTTAATTTCTGCAATTTTTTCGGAGATATGCGACGATGTTAGAGACTATTTAGTCAGCGGTAATTCGGAAGCCAACAGTTCTCAGAGAGCAAATAAATGGCGTATATAGCAAACTCAGAACATCTCAATAATCTCGACCGTTATTTTAAACGAAAAGGACGTATTGGTTTGGATATCAAGTTAGGAATGCCTTTAAGAAAGTGATGCTAAGTGATAAAATATTGATGCTGACTTCTATTCGGAATCAGAAACATCAATGAGAACAAACCTTCGTTGATAATAAAATCAAGAAAAACCGAAAATATATTTGAAGCAGACTGCAGATATTTGCAAACAGACAAAATAGTCTAAAATCTATGGTAAAAATAAAAAGACATCATAAAGCCAGATGAAAGGATGGCAGTTCGCTTGGTACAGCAACTTAAGTCGACGTCAAAACATGCACACATGCATTCAAACAAATGGAAGGGAATATTTGCGCCGTATGAAATGATTACAAGAATCTCTAGTATGTTTTTAGAAACTTTCAGATACTAATTACATAACATAATAAAAATTTTTATTATCATGTGTATTAGTAAATTACGTTCAATCGCGGGCTCAATTGCATAATGCAAACTTTTTGGAGGGAAATTTTAAAAGTTGTAGGACCGATCAATCGTAATCTTTTACTACAATTCACAATAAAGACAAAAAACGTTTTTAAGAGTACGTGGAACGAACGATTTAAAGCTTTAACCAATTTAAAAAACATAGAACTTTGATTTTTGTACTATTTAATTTGATACTCACATCAGAATTGCATTTTACTTTGTAAACAACATTAATTAGCAAATAGAAATTACGCATGCAGTGAAGTTTTAACTATAAATTTCTCCTCAGTGATAGGCAATGGAAAAACCAGCGTCACAAATAAATGGATTGATGAAACAACTGGCAAGAACATAAAGCCTGTTCGGGTAAGTTGATGATTCTCAAGACAACAATCTGCACCAAACAAAACATGACTTGACAAATTCAAACCATTTCAGATATCAATCGAGGGAAATATTGGCAGTGGGAAAACAACATTGCTCGAGTATTTTAAAAGGCATTCACATGTTGAAGTAGGTATTAAGTTTTACATAAAGGATGACCCTCTAACAAGATGCTTTTATAAAAGTCATAAGGCTAAAGGCTTGCCTAAAGCAAGACTTCTTATCCCATCAAGTCAAATAGGCCTACTACGTATATAAGAGAGTAATATGTTTGCCTACCAACATCTTAGGTATTTACAGAACCTGTCAACAAATGGCAAAATATAGGAGATGGAAATGCCTTGGTATGATTTTGAGGTCATCAATTTTTTTTTCGTCAAGTCTGAAATAACAAGAGATTTCATTTTCAGGGTCTTGTTTATGAAGATCCTAGCAGATGGAGCTTTCTATTTCAATCATATGTACTTCTAACGATGCTGGAAGTTCACAAAACAAAACAGGATCATCCTGTCACGTTGATGGAAAGAAGCATTTACAGTGCAAGCTATTGTTTTGTTGAAAATCTTTATCAGAGGTTAATCACGAAAAATTCAAAATACACAACACAATGTCATGAATGATTAGATCCCTCCACAGAGGAATAACTACATGTCAAAATGACATGAATAAGCTGGTCCAACAACCGAAATTGTCATTTATGATTGTGGTGAAAACATTGCTAATTTCACCCATAAGTCAATAACCAATTTAACTATTTTGTGTTTAGGACAAAATGTTGTCTAAACATTTAATGATGGTTTTTAATCATTTAGTGGAAAGATGTCTTCAGTTGAATACAACGTATATCAAAAATGGTTCAATTACATTATGAAGGAGGATAAGCCGAAACTAGATTTGATTGGTATATGTATTTTTTTACTTTGATTCTTAAACCTGGAAGTTGACATGTACCAGACCAACATGGAATTATATTTTTTTTCAGTTTATCTCAGGACGTCTCCAGAAGAATGCTATAAACGCTTAAAAAAGAGGAGAAGAAAGGAAGAAATCGACATCCCCATGGTATAACTTGCTTAAAAAGACCCAACAGATATTATAAAAAAATTTGAGTGGTAGTAGTGACAAAATAATTTTATTTTCTATAACAAAAAAGTCCTGCATTTTCAGAGTCTACTTGAGACAATTGACCAACATCACGAAGACTGGTTGATCAACAAAACAAAATTCGACATTCCTGCGCCTGTTTTGGTAAGATTCATTATTTTCAATATCATGTTTATCACCAAGGAAATGATTGTTTTTATATATTTTTATGTTCTTTTTCCAATTATTTGTGCACAGGTTCTTGATGGTAATAAGGATCTTAAGGACATGTTTAAAATTTATGAAACTAACACCAACAGCATCTTACTTGGAATGGGCGATGAACCGATTACATGTAGAGATTGAATCTAAACTATTACCATCAGTTGAAACTTTTTAACTTGTAAACATACCAGACTTTTTGCAAGCAATTCACCATTTTTATTGTAAATAAACAAAAAAAGTATTTCGTGTTGATTGATTTGTCTCTTGGTATTATAATAAGCAAGAAATATGGGAGAATGCACAAATTGATACAAATTCCACAAATGCATCACAAATTTCTCAATTGTCCAGTAGTTAAAAATAAGTGAAGAAGGCACATTACCATTCATGATTAAGACAAAGGAAGCAAGAATGCCTTTACTGGGGGATAACGGTGGGTACATAGGTACAGAGTGATGCACACCACTCCTAGATTGATGATTGATCTGTTACAATTACAACTTACACTACATGCACCACTTCACTAAAGTAAAGAGTTATTAATTGGAATAGCCTGAAAATTAACTAGAAAGTCTTTACAATTAGCTCACGTTAAATAAAAGAATGAAACATTGTCGAAGAAATATACGGTCGACAGATTCTCACTACCTTCTATGAGTTTAGTTTGATCTTTCATTTCTTCTTTTTTTTCATCTCCTTCGTCGAAAACCTGGACTTCTGCTACGGCTTCGCCTCTTAGGAGGAGGTGACCCTCGCCTTTCCGGTCGTTGACGAGGTGGTGGCGAACGCCCACGATTATCTTGCAGCGGTCTCCGTTCTTGTACGCGCGGTGTCTCTCTTGCTTTCGCTCGTTCAGGCTCGCGTAGTCTTGGTCTGTCGTCGAGTCTGGTCGTGTCTTCGGGTACCTTCTGATTAGGGACATTCTTCTCTTCCTGTTTTAGAGCCAACTCTCTCTTTTTGCGTCGTTCTTCGCGTTCTTTCTCTTTTGCAACGATCTAAAGACAGATTAATTAAAGACGTTGTTCCAAAGCCATCGTCTAAGAATCAGAACACGAATTCTGATTCTCTGAACATGAATTCAGATTCTCTGAACATGAATTCTGATTCTCTGAACATGAATTCTGATTCTCTGAACATGAATTCTGATTCTCTGAACATGAATTCTGATTCTCTGAACATGAATTCTGATTCTTTGAACATGAATTCTGATTCTCTGAACATGAATTCTGATTCTCTGAAAATGAATTCTGATTCAATGAACATGAATTCTGATTCTTTGAATAAGAATTCTAATTTTCAACACGAATTCTGATTCTCCGATCATGAATTCTGATTGTTTGAACATGAATTCTGACTTTCTGAATTCTTGTTCTGATTGAAAACGATTAAATTTTCCCACTTTCTTTGCAAAACGATAAAACTTTAAAATAGTTAGTTTTGTGAAACGTAACAACGAGTTCGATCGTGTTGATCACGTGTAAGAAGCTCTAAGCATGTCGGTTTTCCCGACTCAGGCTACGGTCCGTGTGAACAGACTGGTAATATATACAACCGTCTTGTTGTATTGTGCATTTACCTGTTCATTTGTGAGAGGTAACCAATAAATACATGGTTCAGTTGTAGTTTTACGAAACAGCTGATCGAGAAGGCTGACAGCACTTGGTTCCTCTTTCTTTTTCTCTAAATAACAAACACGTGATGTTTAAAACACGTGACAGGTTAAAACACGTGTTGCTACTGTCTGTACGGGTTGAATGTCTTATACGCAACAAAACGTGCGATGCGTTAAAAAACATGTGTTACTACAGTCTCTGGAGGTTAAATGTGTCTATCCAACAAAACATGTAATGTGTTAAGACCATGTGTTGTTAGACAAACCCAGAAGTTGAAAGTTTCTACGTGACAAAATATATGTGTTGTTGCTGAAAGTTTCCATACAACGAGCACGTGATGTGTTAAAAATAAATATGTGTTTATACTGACGGTTGACATTTATCAAAAACAAACAAGTTCAAAAACACGCTGGTCTATCATTGTAATATGGATGGCATTGCCTTTATTCTCAAGAGCTATAGCTTCATCAAAACATTATTCACTTAAAAAAACACAGTATCAAAAATAGCAAAAAACCCCTACCTTTCTTTTCCTTGTGTCTTTTACTGCTCTTCTCTTTTGTCTTGCTTGGCTCTTCGGTATCTTCATTCTTTTCTTCCGCAGTTTCTTCCATTTTCTCTGTGCCAGCTTCCTCTTTCTTACCTAGAGCACCTTCTGTATCTTCCAACATCTACATTGAAAATGTAAAATGGTTCTTCGACGAAATACGACTGCGCAGTGTGACCGACTATATATGTGCATTTTTTTTACAATATTCGGTCGGATGAGCATGAGCACTCCCCCCCCTGTTGTAGGGGAGAATATTCTCGTCCGAATAAACCTGCTAAAAAATGCACATAGAGCCGGACTGCTTACAAATGAAATAAAACAAACTTGAACATATCATCGAATTATTTACCTTGTTATTATCAGCAAAGTCGACAATCAGCGTTTTGGGGCTCGTGGCTGGCCAACGTTCTCCATGTATTGACTGACGCGCATGCGTAGCTTCCTCAACAGTGGGATACTATAAACATAAAAACAAAAACTTTCTTAAGCAGTTCAACACAACAGTAGTAACAGGATCAGTACGTCCATACATGCAAATTTTTTTAGTAGATTTGGTGTGATGAGCTTAAACTCTCCCACCTGCTTTGTATAGTTGCAAACTTAAGAACAGGAGGGTGTGTGTATAAACTCCCAAACTGGCAAATGAATTTGCACATATGGTCACATTGCACAGGATATACATATTTTTCCTATGACCGTGTAACTGCCCTTCGAGAAAGACTTGCACTACCACGTTTTCCAAACGGATGTTTACGTACATGTAAGAATGAAAACTCAATCCCTTTTAGTCTACTGCACATGCGTAACAAACGTAATACAAAAACTAGCCTGCGGGCTGAAGAAGGGAGAAACTTACAACAGCATAGCAATGCGACTTGATCTTATTGATCCAGAATGTTTCTTCAGTCAGAGAGCCAAATTGTGAAAGATACTGCATCAGTTGCTTCTGAGTAAACGGTCGCACGAGTTGAGCCACGTGGATAGCACATGAAGGTGGATTGAGCGGTGGGGATATCGCTTTCTTGACGGGTAAGGGATCCTCCGCAGGTGGAAGAGTTAACGATTGGCTCTCGTCGTGTCCATCATCACCTATGACGTACACAAAATATTAGCGATAAAGAATGTTGTGCAATCTAGAGGAAATGCATTTTTTCAATAGCACAATGACTGAGTTTATACGTCAGTAACTCGAAACGTGAGGCATGCAGAAAACTTACTAAGAGCATGGAATAAACAATAAGGAAACAAAAATAGACAAAAACTCAATCGGTTCCTTCTCTATGTCCCTGCGAGCACTCTTACAATCACGCCAGCGGTCCCCAAATTATCCACAACTTGATGTAAGTTCGCGAATTGGAGGTTACATCGCCCGCTTGTTATTCCTCAACATGAGATAACGTTAGATAACTGAGCGTGGATTTAGAAACGTGTTCCACTCGTGAGTATGAAGATCCACGTCTGCCCATCCTTTCATTTGAGTCACGTTGGTGGTCTGATACAAAACAATAGTTTATCAAAGTTATTGTGACCACCAGTCAACGTGACGATTGTCGTTGTTCAATATAACACAAGGGAATGGTGGCAAGTCAAAAATCGTTTCAGTAAGTGAAAAGTTCTGGTTCCAACGTCTTATGAATCAACTTTTCAATAAAGTTGGCGACACAATAGCAACAAATAGGCGATGGACACTACACGTGTATAATATAAGATTTCCATTTGATTTCATTATTGTTTTTCATTCATCGTAAATGTAACTCATCTCTCATGCCAATGTCGACATTCGACAACGTTTGTGCGGAACATGTTGAGGGCGTCTTTTTAAAAAACACGCCTTTGCAATTGAAGCACAGTTCAAGATGTGCGCGGTTTTAAAGCAAGTTGTACATGAACATCGTTCCGAAAATGTCTTTTTCTTATTGAATAACACCACAAATACATGTTCTTTTTGAACAAGCCGTTCAAAAACTGTAGTTTCTAAGTTTCAACGATGCGTATCGTTCCAAAATTTCTTTTTGTCTTATTGAATTATAATTTAGAAGATGCGGTTTCAAAAGTCCATACTAAGCTCTCTAGCAAAGCGTGTAGTTCCACAAATAGTCCTTTTTATGGAATTGTCGTTTAAAAAGTGCAAGTTTCAAAATTCCATACCAGGCTGTACAGCAAGGTGCGTCGTTCCACAATTAATTCAATAGTTCAAAAAGTGCAGTTTCAAATTCGTCTTTCATATTGAAGTAGAGTAGTTCCAAAGTATTTTTTTTGTTCTGATCGGATTGCAATTCGTAATGATTACAATGCCAATCTCCTTGATCTCAAGTAAGTTCATTACGTTCAGTCCAGGAGATTTACAGTCCCATACTAGACTTCTCCTTTCTTGTTTAATCACACCTCTTCATATATGTATTTTCCCTAGAAAGCCTCCATTAGTCAGGACAACAATTTCACCTTCTAAACAATAAGCATTCTGAAAGCGTTGTATCAGTTCCACGTTGCATTCGACAGCGAAAGTTTATCACGTTACTTTGTTTAATTTTTAGCTGCCAAAACCACAGCCACACTCGATAGGAGACACTATTTTTGTCACGACAAACAGCAAACGACGAAAGTCATAGCAATCGAGTTCTTTAATAACATCATACCGCACTTTCGGTAGGTCAAACGACCAAACTGTGCTTTACAAACGGAAAAACATTCACAGTTATTAAAGGAATGTTTCACGTCCATTTCATTGAGTTGAACATTTATTTAACAACATGTCAAAAAACCCAGTTCTTTTGGCCACAAATATTAAGAACCACGCCAGAAAACACACACGACTTCGCACATGCGCCAAAGAACGGCGACCACAATTGCCATAACACGAGGTCTAAGACTTATAACACCTTTGTCATCAAGTGGGGATACGTACGTATTTTAGCCAATAGTTCACACAGCCAGAGTGTGAATCCTAACAGGTCTAGTATAAATTTTTGAATGAATCATAAAAAAAATACATACTATATGCATTACAGTCGCGTCTTAGATCAGGAAGAGAATTCTCAGAAATTCAACTACAGAACAATGTGTTCACTACGCATGTCGTGTTTTTGACTCACTTACTTGAGGAGTTTCCTAATCAAAGATGAGCAAGGGAGATAAATAGTTTTAAAAGCAGTACGTTAAGGGTCTTTTACATGATTTTGATTGATTTTACTAAGATGTACAGTACCTAAGCATAAATATTTCAATGTCTTCTGACTTTTAAACTATCAGTAATTTAGGAATACGACAAGCAGCAACGAATAAGAACATGGAAGGAACAATGAGCGGAATCCTTAATCGCAGGAAAAAGTAAATTTTGTAAATGCTAAACGTTGTCACATGCTGGCAAATTAGTGCGAAACACAGTTCCTCAAAAAAAAGAAATTTTCTCCGCGGCATATGTTTTGAGCTCAAAAAAACTGGGAACTAGTTATAAAATAAAGAGTCATCTGATTTCAATCAGCGATTAGTATTCATCATTTCAATATGTTTTGAGCTCAAAAAAAAAACACTGAGAACTAGTTGTAAAATAGAGTCATCGAATTTCGATCTGCGATTTGAATTCATCATTTCAATATGTTTTGAACTCAAAAACAAACTGGGGACTAGTTGTAAAACAAAGAGTCATCTGATTTCGATCGGCGATTTCGATTCATCATTTCAATGAACACGTGATAACCATTATAAAACAAACCTTGCCAACCGAACTTCAGGCAGAATAAAGTACACGCTACCTGCATAAATACCTGCTCTTTCACTTGAAATGTCATTTTCCATGTTGCCCATTTCTCCATTCTTAAAGCTTCCACTTAACTTCACTGTTTTCGACTCGGCAATATGAACAATCCTCTTTTTAACTAAACATACATTAAAAACGTTCACTATTTCACACCCCCTAACAGGATAACGGGGGGGGGGATGGCTAACTTCAATATCCCATACTCCCTCGGGGAGTTGCGTACAAACGAATGTGCATGAGCAGGAATATAGAACAACGCACATGGCGATTTTTCATCCATTGATCTCGCTTCTTTTTCGTCTTTTTCATCCTTCGTTTCACTTTCTTCATCCCGATCGTCATCAAGTTCCATAACTGCCTCAAGTGCGGGTGTCGATGCTAACTGTACACCGGGAATTAACTCCTAAAGTAAATGTTAACTTTGATGAGTGATCACTGTTTCGATGTACATGTACTGACGGGGGGAGTGAGATCAAAGTTTCGATGTACATGTACAGACGGGGGAGTGAGATCAAAGTTTCGATGTACATGTACAGACGGGGGAGTGAGATCAAAGTTTCGATGTACATGTACGGACGGGGGGAGTGAGATCAAAGTTTCGATGTACATGTACAGACGGGGGAGTGAGATCAAAGTTTCGATGTACATGTACAGACGGGGGAGCGAGATCAAAGTTTCGATGTACATGTACAGACGGGGGGAGGAGTGAAACCGTAAGACATATTTTTGCCTTATATATTTCCTTGTGTAAACACGAGAAATCTAGAAATTGAAGCGGAGCAATATGGCGTCATCGAAAAAAGACGCGCGGTTTACCGAAATGAAAAAATCGTTTTTCGGCCCGTTTTATGCACGAAAAACCTTAGGTTCTACACTCCTGTATTATCTTGAAGTTGGAATTTGTTTTATTTTGTTGTTATTTAATGAATATATAGATCAGTGAATTAGATTAGTACATACTCAAAAGTCAAAGAATCTTACCTTTAGTGAGTCTGTACTGATGACAACCGAAGATTTTGACTTGTTTGAACTCCATTTTCTCTTTCTTGTTCCAGGTGTGGGAGGATTGTTGGCTAAAAAAAACATTTCACACAAAAGAAAGTTTTAAATAAGATATGAAGAAAATATGTCAAATAAAGTCTTATAAATACAGAAAGAATTGTATGAAACATATATGTCAAATGCTATGTACAAATTAATATTCAAAATCAAATGAGTCAAAACTACAAATTCATAAACAGAAAACAAAGTCCCAGAACAATGCTGTACTTCATGTAATTAACAACATGCAAGACATACAAATTTGCCTGGTTAAGGATATTTTTCGCCTTTTCTCGCCCACTGAAGGTTTCTAAAAATAACAAAAGCAAACTGATTCTGCAAATAAAACCACGTCGCGTTTTTTAAGTGCCAATGATAAATTCTGCATTTCACTGTTTCTTGGGGATCCTCATAAATGGTACTACTATATTATATCACAATCTTTCTTTATATGTTTTAAATGTAGATCGTCCAGGTTGGTATAGTCCTGAGAAGGACTGTTTTTGTTGTTGTTGACTGACTTTTCGACAACCTTAGCCGTAATCATCTTCAGAGTCAAAAATTGTCAAAAATGACTCTGAAGATGACTACAGCTAAGGTTGTCGAAACGTAAGTCAACAACAACAAAAACAGTCCTTCCCTCTGGACCAATCGATCTACAAACATGTAACCATACTCCCGGGCTCAAACCATTTACTTTATTACAATCTTTCTTCTTGCTTAATGATGTATCCAAGGCCGTTTGGCTTTAATCAAAAAACTCAGCCTCCAAAAAATTTCAGTTTATAATTAAAAATTTCTTTAAAACAATACCTGATCTTCTTTTTTCTCTTCTTCATCTATCTCACCATCTTCAACACTTTCAGGATTGTTTGCAGTTTTCTTCAAATCTTTTGTAGCATCGGACTCCTGTGGGGAGACAGTTTAATACTTCATGAAATAAAATCCACCATGCAGCAGAGTGCCAACTGTAGGCATACCATGTTACAAAGATGTACACATGATAATAGCATGCAATGAGAATAAACTCCTTTTATTTAACATGTCAATCTGCAGGTTCACATAAACAAAGCATGGAGAGAATTTTTTGAATATGCACAAAATTTCAAAAATTTCAAAGAAACTTACATTGGTGGCCTTGTTTTCATTTTCCTGAAGGTCTTTGGTCACATCTGAGACACTGTCAACTTCCAACGAATCTTTAGGCAAATCGGTCGTTATACTTTCATTGCCTTTGCCACTTGTTGATGCATCATTATTCTCATCGAGCTTGCCAGAACTGCTTTCCATATTTGAGCCCACGGTTGAAGCAATGCTCGTCATCATCTATTGTTGTTGATGAAACTTCTTGGCTGGCTATCTCTTCATCATTATGGGTAGATGCTTCTGGCTCTGGCGCATCTTTAATGGTAAAACACTGTCTAGTTCAGTAAATCAATAACTTTCGATTTGTGCTGAACTTTTGGTCTAAATAGTGTAGGTTGTACGAAAAACAATGTGCAATGGATGCAATTCATGATGCAATGGAAAGGTTTCAAGCATTTCAATCACTGCTGTATTCAGGAATATCAGACATATAGTCATACCACAAGTGACACCACACTTTGTACAAAAAATCTCGAGTTTAAATTGTACATACTTGAAGTAGAACCATTTGCATTTCTTTTCTCTTTTTCAATTGCCTGTTGCAAAAGCGAGAGAGATTAATGTGGTCACCGGTAGTTACCGGTTAAAAACGGACTTTAGAGTATCTAAAAAGAGGAGGGAAGCGAGGTCCTTCTTCAAATTGCAATATTCTACCTTTATCAGCCGCTCCTGAAGTTCTTTCTTGAGACCAGATTTATCCAAGCCTCTGGAAATGAGTTCTTGTTTTAATTCGTCGACTTTTAGCTTCGTCAAAGGTCTGCCGTTGATTTCAACTTCCTCTTGTTTCGCAGAACCTTCGTTGGTGGACGCCATGCTACTTTACTCGATGCTTGTAAACGCATGCGCACCTCATTACCAGTACATATATTGATAAAGGAGAATAACAATGAGCACGATCCACAATACTCAATTTTATCCATGTGACACACGGTGTAAACAAGCGGACATAATACACTATAAATAATACAATGTCATATGATTTGTTTTAATCTGTTTACAATCAATTTTTTTATAATTTCTATCTTTCATGAGGCAATAAAGAGGTATGTCATCCACTTTTGCAGCGTGTCTGAACGTTGCACTTCCTTCTATACGACACTCAACGCTACTGGACTCGGAAAATCGACACAAGGTATGGCACACACACACTATCACTATGAAAAAGGAAAGTAACAGAAATCTTTATAGTTTGAAAGTATTTAAAACACTTCATGCCGTTGAAATCGTTTTGTATTACAGTGTAAATAACATATGACAGTCTAAATTACTTCCAGGGACACAGAAGGACTGATGAGGACTTTGTACTCGTCTACAACGAGTTCATTCACGTAGTCCGACATAGGCTGGCTAGAGGCCTAGAGCTGTTGTTTACGTTTTACTTTAGATAACATGCATGAGAAGTATGTAAGTCTTTACACTCTAAGAGTCTATGTGTTTGAATCTCTGGTTTTATCAATGGATACATCATTGAAATGGCTGGTGACACGAAAAACACATAAACTTATGGCAAGACCATACAATTATCCAAGCGCAAATACTGAACTACCAGCAGTCTGATAAAACAGCAATTTAGATATACTTATATACCATCTTTCAACAGTACATGGACATTCAATGTTTGTGACCTTCTGTGCATAACACGATACCATTATCCTTCATCCTTTTCATGTATATCCACCATTATCCTGCATCCTTTTTATGCATATCCACCATTATCCTGCATCCTTTTTATGCATATCCACCATTATATTTTATCCTTTTCATGTATATCCACCATTATCCTGCATTCTTTTTATGTATATCCACCATTATATTTTATCCTTTTCATGTATATCCACCATTATCCTTCATTCTTTTCATGTATATCCACCATTATCCTTCATCATTTTCATGTATATCAACCATTATCCTTCATCCTTTTCATGTATAACCTACATTATATTTTATCCTTTTCATGTATATCCACCATTATCCTGCATTCTTTTCATGTATATTCACCATTATCCTATGGTTTCTGTGGCTTACCCAAAGTTTACCTTGTAGGAAGCATTTTGTCAATATCTAAGCAATGTCATCTATATTTGTGGCGTGATTAAGGATGAAGCATGGCAAAGAGGTACCGCATACCACCATATATATTATATCAAACTTTATATATGAGTTGAAAATTTTTTGTGTTTGTTTTTTTAGAGTTAATAGACTGTCATACTCCTGTGACTTTGAAACTATTTAAGTTATCTAGTCAGTGCTTGGAGAGAGCACAAGATCTCCTAATCACTTCTAAAGCATCAGGTATCATTTAATTCATCCATTCTCAAGATAAATATTAGAGCCCAACAAATAATTTTAAACATAGTCATAAACAATTTGGTTTTATGAACTTTATTAAAAGAGTGACGTTTCTTCTTTACTCAAGACATCTTCAGATTAATTAGGAAGTTAACAAGAATTATAGATATATATAGAGTTATTTACATAGTTTGAGGTATCAGATTACTGTGAATGTATAAGTGTGAATGTGTCAGTAATCTGATATCTCAAACTATGTAAATAGCTCTATATATATCAATAATTCTTGTTAACTTCCTAATTAGTCTGAAGATGTCTTGAGTAAAGACGAAACGTCACTCTTTTAATAAATTTCATAAAACCAAATTGTCTATGACTATGTTTAAAATTATTTGTTAGGCTCTAATGTTTATATTGAAAATCCGACTGACACTTCATTGGCTACAATATTAATTAATCCATCTTGTTTACCACTCCGGGAAGGAATGGTAATCCACTAAGCTTTAAACAAAATCATTTCTCTCTTAGCTGGATTTTCTGATTCGCTAGATCTTCAGATTGGGTTGGTTGTGTGATTCATGGGATCTTAAGACTTTTCAATCTACCAACTAATCAGAACTTTAGACTACATGGATCTTCAAATTTTTCAGATCCTCTGATTCATGCTTCCTTTCCAGTCAGTAGTGCAGCCTGCATGACTTTTTACTTCTGCCATGCCAATATAACTATGTTTGATGACCATGAGAGCAATGGATTTCTAAAGAAATGAACAAAATGAACAGTCATAATCTTTCCGAATTTACATCAATGGAGTAAATCTTCAGGGTTGCTTCGCTACTGTTCCAAAAACATCCATTTATACGTATGATCTTTAATCATTTCATAAAATAACATGCATCTATACTATATTTTTTCCCGTTCAGGAAACAATGATGAAGAAGACATTGAAGAGCAGTCAGAGAACTCTATGATGAAGAAAAGTGAAGAGCAGAATTCGCAATCATCGCAGGCAAGCTCCAACCTTTCCACCATCGTTCCACCAATGGCTACACCATTTAGCACTATTGTGCATTCTCCGAAGAGGTTAAACAAAAAATAATTCACACTTTTTACTGACGCATTTTACAGAGAAATTATAACGACGTGTAAGCTTTAAATATTGACAAAGATACAATGCTGGATAAGAACCACAGTATAAATACATACAGTAGTCTCACTCCACTGTGCAACTTGGTGCTGTATATTTAATTAAATTACTGGCTGTGGCTAGCCATCTCAGTGCTCCTATTGGCCAAAAAAAGCAATTGACTGGCTGCCACAATGCTAATCACATGCGTAATAAGATATGCGCTACACAAAAAATTTATACCGAGTGGGACTACTGTTTGTGTCTATACTGTGATAAGAACGCTTTTTTCTTTTTCTCATTCATTAGAAATAGACCGGCGTATGTCGACGAGGCACGACGTGATAACTCGCATTTACTGTCGGCGTACCGAGCAAGAATGGAACGACGGGAAAAACAGCTCACGAAGCGGACTGACGTCACCAGAAGGGTGCACGATGTCACATCTATGGTATAGAATCAGCTATGACTATAGCATGCAAAATAAGACCAGCTACAACAATTTGTTGTTGCTAGCTAATGCATAAAACTATTTTCCCTTCAGTGCACAATTTTTCCTCATTGAATTCCTGTTTTTTACTCCATTTACACTTACACTACAGTCTCATTTCCTTTTTCGAGCACAAGTCTTTTTCTTTCCTAGAATCTTAGTATCTTCAGAAAAATGGCTGAAAATATTGAAATCGCCAAGGCGAGGGAAAAATCTGTATCCTAAAATGTACGAGGTCTGAGAAAGAGGCATTATAATGTGCACACAGAGAGTCCGCTTATAGGGTTTTGGGGAGAAATAAATAGCTTCTTTTGCTTAACCCGACCATCCATAGCGTAAGAAAAAGATTGAAGAAAGACAACAGAGGTTACTGGAGGAAGCTGACAGGTGAGAATTGCCCGCCAACGTTATTAAAGTTGTATTCAAAGGCAACATTTTTGAAAGTGAAAGTAGGTTTTTTTTGAAAGTGAAAGTAGGTTTTTTTGAAAGTGAAAGCATTTTTTTTGAGGTTAAAAATGCACACGAAAAAACAGGTGAGCACACTACATGATCAGGTCTCCTTCCTACCCCCCTTGGCTGCATATTTTAACATCACGAAACATTTAATGCTATATCTTCCAATTGCATCGTTTACTCCACATACAATGCTGTCTTTTGTAGACGAATGGGCCCATCATCCCTTCTCACGACCCACGACCAAATTAGAAAAGAAATTTATGTCAAAGTGCTGGAATTTGAACAGGAATCGGTGAGATTCGAATGTTTGACGGCATTTCTCATTCTTTCTCGTGCACTATAGAGTACCAAACACTTCGGGTCAAAATCATTCTGCTGATTTACTTTGTGCGTTAGGTATGGCTCGTTGGCCTTAGACACCAGTTGAAGTCAAGACCAGACGATTCGACGTTGATTCAAAGCATCATCAGTAAAGTTTTGGCGTACGAAAATTTCCTCTTTCATTAAAATCATGTACATTCCGAAGAGATATAACCGTGTATCTTTTCCACAGAACAAGAGATCATCCTTTGACGAAATGCCTGTTGTCCTACCAACACGATGTAAACACGCAACTAAATTCAGTTCCGGAAGACGCCTTAAACACACTCGCAGGCATTTCGGCTATAGAAAGTCGAGAACTTCCAGATCGCCAGGAGGAAACGTCTGCGCTTTCAAATTCCGAGTCGGTGGAAAACGTCGGTTTCAAGACAAGCACTGGCAGCGAAATCAATATGGAGCCCGGTAAAAACAAAAGTGAGCCGGGAGAAAGAGAACTGAAATATAAGAAGTTATTGGACGATGTCGTTAAGAATGTTCAATCTTCGTTGGGTTGGTAAAGATCATGATAATGTGCTTTTATATGCCATGGTTTTGATTCGTAAAATCTCCCCTTGCTTTATCTGACAGAAATCATTCATTCGTTGTTTTTGCTGACGTACGAAGAATTTTCGAGTGGTACAGCACAAGATCTTTGCTACGCAATGGTCGAGCTGACTTTTTTCAAACCCTTGTGGCCGTCATTACTTAATCTTTACAGGTAAATCAACCGTTATGGCAGTTGATCCATCACATCGTCTTTCAAGTGAAGCATTTAGATTATGCAATACATCGACGGGGGCACTGAAAACCGAAATCGATGTCGTTGTGACAGATTCAAAATAGTTTCAGAGCACCGTCGGTTTGTTTAGGATCGTGAATTATAGAAGAGAAGTTAAGCTAGCAAAGATATTTAAGGAGAACGTTTCGTGTACACCACAGTCCCTTCAGGTACCTGCAAGACTGTGTTTACAACCACAGGTAGGTGGTACACAAGCCTAGTCTTCGTTTTTAATAGAAAATCTTAGTTTAAAATCTTCAAGTCACAGTTGTGTTTTCCTGTTAAGAATGCAGAGACTGACATCCTGCCTTATCAGAATGTTGTGGACGAATTGAATTCCCTGGTAAAATATGAAAGTCCGCTGGAAAAATTAGAATGCATTGGTGAGAGGAAACTTCATGAAATAATGATTATTGACGATTTGTGTGAGCGCAGCGATCAATTGACTTCATATGATTTCCATGTTTTAGTTCGGACAAGCCATCATATCGTTGAATGCGTCGTCGACTATTACGAACTACAAGGAAAATCACGGAATTCTCCAGAAGCAGCAATGTATGTGAAAAGTAACCCTTAAAGTTCACATATGACCTCATTTCGGATCCAATATGCGGTCATAAGCACTTTAAAAGTAACCCCTAAAGTTCACATATGACCTCATTTTGGATGCAATATGCGGTCATAAGCACTTTACGAGCCCAGAGTATTTTCTCAACTCATTTCTAATATGGCGTCCCGAGGTCGGTTGCACGAAGCCTTTGTTAGCGTTATCCATTGGATAGCATTTTTTTTGAAACTTTTATGAAACCTTTTAAAAAGCCAAAAATATGAGATTCGAACTGAGCAATCATTAAAATAAAAAATTGTTTCGAAGATTACGAAATTTCTTTGTCGTAAGACAAACGCAAACACCTATTTTACAAATTGGGAAATTTGCGCTTTCGAATGGATAACGCTATCCAGGCTTCGTGAAACCGCCCCATTGATTGTAACACATTAGTCACACGAGATATTAGAGGGTTAATCAAAACTTGCTGCTTACTTTGCAGTATGTATTGATAATGAATATATATGTATTATTGATATTTACGATATTTATCCTGTCTGAGGATGACTTTGAAATTTACAGTTCACTTCTCGTCTTGTTTTGATGCATATTTTGCAATCTCAAGATGTCTTGCTTCTTCGGAATTTGTTTTATACTATATTTCTTCAAATTGTCGGCTGGTCATGGTTTTGATTATGAATATATCTGTATTATTGATATTTATGCTGGTAGTACTTATCCAGTAAATATCAATAACATTTGTGTAGTATATTTACGACATCTGTTAATGTATTTGTAGCGGCTGTGATGATCTGCTGCCGATCCTGAGTTATGTGATCATGAAAAGTCGACTTTGCCAACTTATATCTGAATGCAATGCAATGGAGGATTTCATCAGCGCTGAGTAAGTATTCGTCATTTCTGAATAGTGAAATTTTTATGCTTCAATTAAACGAACCTTCCTGCCAGCACTCAAGTTGGTCGTGCAGTGCAAATTTCACACCATTAGCATTATTTCTTTCTTTAGAAATCTATTGTTCTTACAGTAAAATATACACATATCACGACTAATATTGCAGTTTGACTACGCTCCCTGCTTTCACCAATCACTCGGGAACCATAATGATTTTTTAAGTCTGCCGCTTCTGTCTTTGTCACGTGACAGAATAATGATTTTAAGTCTGCCGCTTCTGTCTTTGTCACGTGACAGAATAATGATTTTTTAAGTCTTCTGCTTCTGTCTTTGTCACGTGACAGAATAATGGTTTCTTAAATCTGCTGCTTCTGTCTTTGTCACGTGACAGAATAATGATTTTTAAGTCTGCCTCTTCCGTCTTTGTCATGTGACAGAATAATGATTTTTTTAAGTCTGCCGCTTCTGTCTTTGTCACGTGACAGAATAATGATTTTTTAAGTCTGCCGCTTCTGTCTTTGTCACGTGACAGAATAATGATTTTTTTAAGTCTGCCGCTTCTGTCTTTGTCACGTTGAAAAAATTTACCTTCATTTCCGTTTGTCTGTCTCCTCCTGTTCATCATCTTGTTGTATCCGAGTTTGTGAAGATTTTAGAGATGTCTCCTAGAAAACAATAAATTCATAGAATAGAATTCATAGAATCACACGATATACATTTTCTTCGAAAATTTCAGCTACCTGATGGGGGAGGAAGGTTATTCCTTGACGACATTTCAAACGGCGTTGGCATTCCTAGAAACGCTGGACGTTCAGGAAAAAACCGACGAATCGGAAAACGTGCAAAATTCTGATCAAAATCCACCTGACAATGAAACAAAGGAGCGTTTATGAAACGAACAAAAAGCTAATTATCACTTACGTACTTATTAAGCTGTATATCATTAACACATTATTTAACACATATAATAACACATTATTTAACACGTATATTAACACATACATTTTACACCAATAGAAAACACAGTATTCAACTGAAAGTGGAATAAACGAAACTGTACATCGTCTGCGTATTGTTTCAATGTTTTACCTTCGTTCACGTCTTCAAAACATAATATTTCCTTTTTTCGACGTTCGATTTATTTTTCTACCCAAAATACTACGAAGTGCCAGCTCTTCTTCCCTTCTTCTCCATTTCAGCTACCTGATGGGGGAGGAAGGTTATTCCTTGACGACATTTCAAACGGCGTTGGCATTCCTAGAAACGCTGGACGTTCAGGAAAAAACCGACGAATCGGAAAACGTGCAAAATTCTGATCAAAATCCACCTGACAATGAAACAAAGGAGCGTTTATGAAACGAACAAAAAGCTAATTATCACTTACGTACTTATTAAGCTGTATATCATTAACACATTATTTAACACATATAATAACACATTATTTAACACGTATATTAACACATACATTTTACACCAATAGAAAACACAGTATTCAACTGAAAGTGGAATAAACGAAACTGTACATCGTCTGCGTATTGTTTCAATGTTTTACCTTCGTCCATGTCTTCAAAACGTAATATTTCCTTTTTTCGACGTTCGATTTATTTTTCCACCCAAAATACTACGAAGTGCCAGCTTTTCTTCCCTTCTTCTCCATTTCTCGACCATTTCTTCGTATAACTCTTCCTCCTTTTCCAGTTCTTCCATATTTTTCACCATCAGCCACATATCGTACACCAAACGAGCGTCTTGGGGTATTTTATTGAAGAATTTAATACGACTGAAGTTGCGCCTCGCTTCTCCGGTGAATTTCTCGACCAAACAAAATCTATCGCATTCTGAGTACGTTTCTCCTCAAACCATTCCTCAAACGTTTTGGCTTTTGGATTTAGAGGGCGTCGTTTTTCCAACAGGGCTTTCTTCTGTATTTCCTGCTTTGTCAAAGTCTCTCCTGACAAACATCTTTTTTGTATATCTCTATTTTTTTCGCGAAGCCATTCTGAGAACGTCTTTCCTGATCTACAACGCGTTTTATTAGCTGCAGCTGCAGCGTCATTACAGTCGTTCAACATTTGAGGAAAGTTTTGTTTTTCCATCAACCATTCGTCGTACGTTTTCCCGCACAAACTGGTATGTTTAGGTCTTGAATCGGTTTTAACTTCGCATGAATCACGTGCAGTGGAATCTGCATTAAAATATTGACAAGATTTCGCGGTTTGTGGATGTGGATCGTCCAGGTAATTGTAGATCAGTGGCCGATTGCACGAAACTGCATAGATAGCGTTATCCATTGGATAGTAAAATTTTCAAACTCGTAAAAAAGTTATTTTTACTTTCTTTACGGCATAGAAATTTTTGTCATCTTGGAAGCAATATTTTCTTTTAGTGAATGCTCATATCAAATCTTATATTTTCCTCTTTTAAGAGATTTTTTAAACGTTCGATAAAGTATGCTATCCAGTGGATAGCACCATCTCGCCTTCGCGCAACCAACCCCTGAAAAGGACCGTTGGTGTTGGCATTGACTGACGTTTTGACATTCTTAATGGACATTATTTTACATGTTTGTAGATGTAGATCATCCAGGTTGGTATAGTCCTGAGAAGGACTGTTTTGTTGTTGTTGACTGACGTTTTGACAACTTTAGCGATAGTCATCTTCAGAGTCAAAAATGACTCTGCTATTTTTGACTCTAAAGTCAAAAGTTATTTGGAAGTTATTTCACATTTAAGTGACATCAATCGAGAAATACACCATCAATCCTTCTCGGGATTGCATTAACCGGGAGGATCAACATGTACAAACGTGTACTTCGATACTCTGTATTAACAGACAATAACAATAACTGAATAAAATACAGTCGGTATTTCAAAAGCAACAAAATATTTCACGCATTGTTGATTTTAAATACGCAATTAAACATCTGGGGCGGGTTGCACGAAGCCTGGATAACGTTATCCATTGGATAGCAAAAATTTTCAAACTTGTAGAAAACGCGTTTATATTTTTCTTACGAAGAAGAAATTTTGTAATCTTCGAAACAATACATTATTTCAGTGGTTGCTCAGTTAGAATCTTACATTTTTGGCTTTTCAAAAGGTTTTATTTAAATAATAATAATAATTTATAAAAGTTTAAAAAAACTTGCTATCCAATGGATAACGCTATTCAAGCTTTGTGCAGCCGGCCCCTGAAACATAAAATAAGTTTCACTAACTTGTCTGCCTTTTTTTTCTCAGCCATTCTTCAAACGGTACGCCGGAGCCGATATGATGACTTCCGGAATTCGTAGTTGCTGTTTTACAGCGTCTTCGACCCTCTTTTTTACCTTGAAGCCATTCTTTAAACGCAATCACGTCAAGTTGCCGCCCCACTTTATGTTTCGGGGACTGAGAACCAGTGGCAGCTTGAAGCGCTTTTGTTTCCTTGCCTTCTTTCTTTTTCTTTTCTAACCATGCGTCGTAACTGAGGGAAAATCCTAATTTGGGATGCATCGATGAAGCTACTGAGCTTTCTCCCGTCACTCTTCTAGGTGAAACGCTAAGATGACGACCGGTAACCGCATATAAATTATCCTCACTACTCGGATCCTGGTCTGTGTCGTCGTCGTTAACATATGTTCGCATGTTTTCTCCGTTTCCTTTCTCACTCCAAGCAAATTCCAGCATTCTCTTGTGTCTGGGAAATTGTACTCTAACAAAACACAATGACACGTGACTTTAGAGCGCCGTAAGACTTTCTACAGAAATTCTGGAAAACATCCTGCATCTTGTGGAAAGTGAAATCTTTTCTCAAGACTAAAATGGACAATGACTGAAATCCGACACGCGAGCCATATCTCAAAGTTCATCTAACCTCGATATTTTACTTGGACGAATTTGATAAACTGTAGACATGGGATAATATTCGTGAAAGAATTTTGTGAATTGGATGAAAAATCCTGACGCTACGCCATGTGTAACACAGCACATCTTTGGTAAACGACCGCGACGCTATGCCATGTGTAACACAGCACATCTTTGGTAAACGACCGCGACGCTATGCCATGTAACACAGCACATCTTTGGTAAACGACCGCGACGCTATGCCATGTGTAACACAGCACATCTTTGGTAAACGACCGCGACGCTATGCCATGTGTAACACAGCACATCTTTGGTAAATGACCGTGACGCTATGCCATGTGTAACACACATCTTTGGTAAATGACCGTGACGCTATGCCATGTGTAACACAGCACATCTTTGGTAAATGACCGTGACGCTATGCCATGTGTAACACAGCACATCTTTGGTAAACGACCGCGACGCTATGCCTTGTGTAACACAGCACATCTTTGGTAAACGACCGCGAGAGAACTTTGACGTAAATTCCGGACAACACTTGCTAAATAACATGGCGATATTTTACCGAATTATTCTAAAGCTACTGCAAGCATATGCCATACTTCTTTAGAGCATGTTTTCCAATTTGGAGTAAGAACAAATAGTGGAAGATGGATAGGATTGTAATCGGGAAAATACGTCATATTTTAGGTACCAGACTCCAAATGCTTCGTTCTGAGCCAAAATTGCAGCACTTTCACAAGGCCTAGCGTGAAGATTTTATAGCCTTCTCAAACAATGCTTTCACTATTATTATCCCAAGTTTACATTTTATCGAATTCATCAAAAAAAATTATGAGGTTAGGTAGAAATATTATGCGTACGCAAGCTTTGAATTACCCCCACTCTCCCGAAACTTCCAAGTATCTTATCTTAAATGAAGTCTATACTCTATACAGAGCATATCTTGAATGAAAATTCATAATCGATCATTTTTGAAGAATGAAGAGAGCGGCCGATGTCAAAATACCTTAACTTCTCCATGTCAGATTGCTCAGTGTTGAAAACAGGTTCTTGTTCTTTCACTTCATCTTCTTTGATGTCATTTAATCGATTTTTAGACTGCATCAAAATGGTCGAATTGATATCTACTCTACTTTCTATGAAACATTAAAAGGAAGTTTTAATTTGTGTTTTCATTACCTATGGGCCATGTCGAATATATTTTATACTGATATGAATCAGTCAGCGCTTGTTTATCAAGGAAAGTTTACCTTTAATATCGTGGTATTCACCAACAACATCACCTCGTGCTGTTTCAAGAATTTTCTCAATACCTCGCATTCCACTTGAACCATTTGATTTATCCACCTTCATCCTTCGCTTCACCGGTACGGTGTGTGGACGTGGCGACGAGGAGGGATCTGGTGTCGACTTCAACATGTCGTGTTGATGACGTCATCTTCGTTTTGGGTAAATTGAGAATTGTGAGGTATTGCTGTTTGCTTCAGGATTGGTCGATGGTTGCTGTTCAATAAAGAAACAAGAAACGACGTATAATTCACTATAGAAAGACAATTCGTCGCGTATTTCAAAGAGTTAGCATTATAGCCAGTTGTAATTTGTCATGGGCGAAAGGTTTTGACAAAATTGAAAACAGAAAATATCTCATATTCCTAAAGTTTGTAAAGCATATCGTCGTTTATGTAATGAAACTCTACCCCAAAATCTTTTTGCAGAGACTAAATTTGACGTGATACAAGTTGTTTTTCGTTATGCCGTGATACAAGTTGTTTTCGTTATGCCGTGATGCAAGTTGTTTTTCGTTATGCCGTGATACAAGTTGTTTTTCGTTATGCCGTGATGCAAGTTGTTTTTCGTTATGCCGTGATGCAAGTTGTTTTCGTTATGCCGTGATACAAGTTGTTTTCGTTATGCCGTGATACAAGTTGTTTTTCGTTATGCCGTGATACAAGTTGATTTTCGTTATGCCGTGATACAAGTTGTTTTCGTTATGACGTGATGCAAGTTGTTTTCGTTATGCCGTGATACAAGTTGTTTTCGTTATGCCGTGATACAAGTTGTTTTCGTTATGCCGTGATACAAGTTGATTTTCGTTATGCCGTGATACAAGTTGTTTTTCGTTATGACGTGATACAAGTTGTTTTCGTTATGCCGTGATACAAGTTGTTTTTCGTTATGCCGTGATACAAGTTGTTTTTCGTAATGCCGTGATACAAGTTGATTTTCGTTATGACGTGATACAAGTTGTTTTCGTTATGCGGTGATACAAGTTGTTTTCGTTATGCCGTGATACAAGTTGTTTTGTTATGCCGTGATACAAGTTGTTTTTCGTTATGCCGTGATACAAGTTGATTTTCGTTATGACGTGATACAAGTTGTTTTTCGTTATGCGGTGATACAAGTTGATTTTCGTTATGCCGTGATACAAGTTGTTTTCGTTATGCCGTGATACAAGTTGTTTTCGTTATGACGTGATACAAGTTGTTTTTCGTTATGCCGTGATACAAGTTGTTTTTCGTTATGACGTGATATAAGTTGTTTTTCGTTATGCCGTGATACAAGTTGTTTTTCGTTATACTTTGACTCAACTTTAACAACTGTCGACTAAGACTTGCAAACAACGTCTAAAAACATGCAATTTGCTATGTGTGTTATTTTCAATGCAAAAGTTTCACGGTAGCAGCTTCATGACACATTTATACTGAGCGCCGTACGTCTTAAATGATGCACGCTGGTGAAATTTTAAGAAAAATGCAAAACTCAAAATACTGACCCTAAAATAGGCGACCCTTTCGGTGGAATGGTCGGTTTTGGCTGAAGCTGTTCGTTGGACATTGTTTCTATCGATAACATTGGTTGATCTGGAACTCGTAGGATTAGATGTAGTCCCACTTTTATAGCCTTCCTACTTTCAAAAGCACGATGAATGTATAACCTTTTTTGGCAGTAGACATGTTTGTTCACCTGGGCTAACTGAAGCGGTGTTTTTCCAAAAACGTCTATGGCTGTTGAATCGGCTCCTTCCGACAATAGAAGAGAGACGCAACCGATGTGTCCCCGGAAGGCGGCCAGATGTAAAGCCGTACGACCAAATATCGTAGAGCCATTGATATTAGCTGCACTGTGATTTAGCAAGTCCAACATCAACGACAAATAGCCGTGAAAGGTTGCTATAAAGAGAGCAACTGTTCCGCGTTTCTCCACAAGTTTCTTCCAAACGTGCGCATCGACAATGGAGTCGCCTGACTGCGTCGTGTTTTCGAAGTCCGTTGCTTTCACGCAGTTTTTGAAAAGCTCGTAAGAATCGCCTTCGCTGCTTGCAAGATATAAACCGAGCCAAATCTTGCGCAAGCGAACTCTTAGTATGCATCCATGTTTAACTTTGAAATCTTTTAGAATTCTTTCGTCGGTCAATTCTTCGTTCACAAAATACAAGTGTATCAAGTCAGTTGGTATTCCCACGCGAAGCTCCACTTCAGATTTCACTTGACTTATGAGCGATTTCACGCTGACGTCCCGTAAACTGTACACATCATTGTTTGGCAAACTAATAAACAAATCAATGATTTCCCTTGTCCTTGAAGTATCCTCCTTGTTCTCCATCGTGTATATGCAAGATAACATTTCGTGCGATCATCGAAACTTCGCGTAGCAACAGGATTCCGTGAGAAGGCTGTATATTAAACGCTCAAAGATATTGTTATCCCTTGACAACACAAGATTCATCATAAATCTTTTTCAATAAACAGAATAATTGTTATGAAATTATTCTTAAAGTAATTACTAAAGCCTTTTTAAACAAATGCTAATGCAAATTAATGCAAACGTGTATGGCATACTCACACAAAGGCTCTAAAAGAGAAAGGTGCAATTTTTCACGCGACCTGCTCCTCGTTTAATCGATTCGCGTACAAACTGTCGAACTGAATAAATAACTAGGTTGCTATACCTTTAGGCTTCAGCTAAGCATGATTGTGCTACTTTTACCTCTAAACACGAATGTTTGGAGACGAAGTTCCCGTCTAATCTTAAATCATAATGAGCCTGTCGTGTGTGAGGAATGATTGGGACTACAAAGTTGAATTGCTAGGAATGAAGAACGGTAGCTTTCTAGTAATAGTCAATTTAGTTTATGTTCACCTGGTTTATATTCTTTGAAAATTGCACATTGATTAGTCAACGCAATTTCGGCATTTAAATCTTATTGGCTCCCTGGTTTGTATTCTTTGAAAATTGCACATTGATTAGTCAACGCAATTTCGGCATTGAAATCTTAATGGCTCCCTGGTTTATATTTTTTGAAAATTGCACATTGATTAGTCAACGCAATTTCGGCATTGAAATCTTATTGGCTCCTGGTTTATAGTTTTTGAAAATTGCACATTGATTAGTCAACGCAATTTCGGCATTGAAATCTTATTGGCTCCTTTTGGAGTAGCTCTATGTGGCAAGAGACAGAGCTCTACTAGTTATACTGCTTCATGCATCACTATTTGTTTTTTGGCAAATGCAGGATTTTAAACATTGTTTCGCACAATCTGCGCAAAGTGCTGGTTCACTGTTCTAAAACTTCACACTAACGATGGGACTGTATTTTGAATATATAATTTTAACACTTCAATAAGATATTTACAGTGTTGGGCACGATTTTACGTTCCAAGCGTTGGTTCTTCGCGATACTTAATGATTGCGGGCAACCGTCAATCCTAAAACTGCGTTTTCGAAATTTATTGCCTTGTGCAATACAACTCTAATTCATCAAATTTGTATGACCAGTTCATACACCAACAACGTCAACTTTTCCGAACTCCCGAACCAACGCTTGCAAGCTATATTTATGTATAATTATTCCGAAGTGGTTTTTTGGCGTTTACATGTGACGCGCAACTTTGCCATTCCGTTTCTACCTAAATCCTACCGCAATGACGCATTGTGGCGAGGAAGTGTTCTCTTAACATGACTATAGTATTATTTTACATCAATTTAATATCAGTTATATCTTATAATCTATAATATGACACAGTCACACACTACATAATTTGACATGACAATTTACAACACATTGTTGATGGGCTATATTTTAAACGTGCACTCCGACACGAGCCCTTTGGAAATCAGGTGGGAGGGGTGATCATAGAAAACAATCTATTTCGAAGGGGCTTAATACGGCATAATCGTGCACATATTATTATGACCCCTATCCCAATTATCGATCTTTCCACGCCAATGAAAGGTAAGTGTTTGAAAATAACTTGTGTGCACGTTAATGGTCTCTCAGCTAAAAAGCATGCTGTTAAAAGCAGGCAGGTGCATTGTGACATTCGAGCAGTTATGTTTTTTTCTGCAGGTGTTTCCAGATAGAATTTTTTTAGTTGTGATAATAGTCGAATAATCAATGCGAAAATGGAAAATCGCAAATAAACCGAGAAATGAAAACATTCGCACTCTGTTTTTTATGCTACTTCATATCACTTATTGACAATTAACAAGGCGACATCACACCGTGTTAAGTGCCACTTGAACACTACAATTTCCTTATGCAAATGCATGCACGCGCGATGTAAATTTTTCTAAGGAAAACATGCCTTATGCTTTGTGGTGCATAAAAAATGCTGTTTCGATGAGATGACACAACAAAACAAACACGTCAACTTTGGATTCGGTTACTAATTATACGAGGTGAATGATAAAAGTTTAATGACAATGTGTCTCGAACGCCTGTTCATCAATGAAAATTAATTTTCCATTTAAAACCTACATCACAATAATATCTCACCAGCAATCAACGATGAAGATGATAGACGTGTACAGATTATAAAATTGAGAACGCGTGTGACAACTCTGAGGAAGAACAATTCGCCCGGCTCGAAATAAATTTTGAAGGACAAGACGGTAAGCAATATTATATACTTCCATTCGATTTCAAAGTATCTCTTAGTTGAATACATCATATTTTGTGTAAGACTCGATCGGCGCCTGTACTCCTTATAGGTAAATGCAATTAACATTGATAAATTCTAAATACTGCTGGGTGTTAAAAGCAGCACATACGATTAAGCAAGCAAATGGGGGAAACTAGCTTTGAGCAGCAGTAGAAATGGAGAGCTTACTTTCTTCACTTTTGATGTTTTTGTTTCCAGAGCTTTTATGGTCATAAAATCTCAAAAGCGAGAAATTAAATTACAAATTATAAAAGAAACCGTGCTACGGAGAAAAGGGTCCATCTTGAACTGCAGTGTAATGATGAATTTGCAATAAATTTGAAATAGAACTACTTGAAAACACTCTTTTCTCTTGTTGTGTCAAGTATTTCGTTAAAGATGGCCTTCAGCCCCTTACTGGGGCTCTGGAAGCTTTTCAGAGTGTGCCCAAATTTTTTGATATTGTTCCTGTGAAAAACAATATTTTCACCATATATATATTAATTACGCAAAATCCATCTTAAATGCATGGTACAACGGATAGGAACATCATGGATTAACTCACATAACTTTCTTTAAATTCCATAAATAATCACAAATATTTTCCAAAATGTTTCTGCAGCTGTTCATCAAAAACAGATGCCTTGCAAATTACATCAATGTCTAATGGATAAAGCATATCTTTGTGAGCATAAAAATGAAATTTTTTATGGAGAACTAGTATATCGAAGGACCAGCTTGAAAACACCAATTGTTACTTTGAAAAATTTGCAAATTTTGCAGATGTCCTCCCGTTGCTTACAGAGCCCCTGAAGGAAACATACTCCGAAGAAAAGGCCATCTTTAACGAAATACTTGACACAACAAGAGAAAAGAGGGTTTTCAAGTAGTTCTATTTCAAATTTATTGCAAATTCATCATTACACTGGAGTTCAAGATGGACCCTTTTCTTCGTAGCACGGTTTCTTTTATAATTTGTAATTTAATTTCTCATTTTGACATTGTATGACCATAAAAGGAGGCTACATCAGTTTGCCACAGGTGGAAAATTTGAGCTACTTTAAAACACTTTTAAATTATTAAAATCTCGAGTAGCACATAAGCCAATGGGAAAGGAGGTTGAATCTTCTGGGACGCGTTGATTCACTGCAGGCGCATGCTCCTTAAGTTCGACCATATTACCCAATAAAAATTTTTAAGGAACTACAACTTTGAACAAAAATGTCATGACCGAGTAATAACTTATCATGTGATGATATGTTTCGTCATTGATGACAAAAGCACACTATAGAGAACATACAGGAGGGCCACTCCATTGAATGTTTTCGTGCAACGCGTATCTTATTGCGCATGTGCTGACCATAGTGGCAGCATGTAAATTGCAATTTCTGACCAATAGGATTGACGATATGGCAAATGGCAGCCAGTAAACTAATTAAATAAACAGCAGCCAGTTGCACAGCGAAGTGGCCCTACTGTATATTCCCTATACTGTGGACAAAGCTTGATTGGTGCGTTGCCTTGCTCATTCATTGAGCGAGTTTTACTTGCATGTCCAATTCATTTGCTGATTTTTCATAAAGCGAAATTGAAAGAAGAAAATGGTCGAGGAGCTATCTTGGCCACAAAGAAGTCCAGATTGGCCTAAAGCGAAAAAAACCTGGGGATTATACTGGCAGGTCCACGTATACCTATTCGCAGGTTTTTGGACAATTGCAACCGTTTGCTATTTCGCCCTTTCGATCAAATCGATAACCCGACTAAAGAATGGACGTAAACGAACACATTTCACGGTGCTTGCAACTCAATTGCTCTTCGTTGCACTTTCTCGTTGTTTTGTATTATTTTTAAACCCCTACGGCTCGAAATCGACGAACTTGATTGGACTAGTAATCACTATTGGAGGATGGTCCCTCGGTACGGCCGGTCTGACGTCGGCTCTTGGAGTCCTCTTACTAATTCTACTGGACACGACTAGGGTCAGTCTGGGTTCACCGAGGTTCCAGAATCTTAGAGTACTTCTCGCAATAACTGCCAGCATTGTCGTTTTTGTTATCATTACTGATGTCATAGTTGCCCTCCACAACGAAGCAAAAATACTTCTCCTATTGTGCGAAATGGCCGTGTCGATTTGGGGTTTGGTAACGATGATTGGCTACGTCCTTGTCGCCGCAAGGATCCGTCGCAACTTGAGGTCGACTTTGGATTCGGCAAATCCTAATTCAACCGGTCAAAGGCTGGATCAGTATCAGCGAACCCGGTTGACACGTATCCTTTTCACATGCTTCGGTGCTGCCTTCTTGGGCTTTGTCATGTTCGGTACCAGTCTTTACGCGGTTTTCTTCGGCAGCAGTAGCGTTCTCTCGGATGAAGATGTCGCTGACGTCTGGAGATGGTGGGCTTTCCAGACAACTTTCCGCGTGCTGGAGATGTTGATAACGCTGTCGATATCCCTTATAACATTTCAAACACCTCGGGAAGCAGTGAAACGCGATAATAGAAAGCCGAGTGAAATATCAGTTATGCAAGAAGAACAATGACGAACTGAAAAGGAAGATTCTAGGTAAAAATATCGATATTTGACATTGGAAGGCATGGGAAAAGTAGAAAAGATCAAACAGATTATTGCATGAACTAGCATTATATAGACAGTATATCACATTTTCTCTGTTCAGCAGTACACCCCCCCTCCCACTTTTAATAATCCCCCACTTGAAAGGTAGCAAAAAATAACCACATACCCTCTATTTGCACCCCACTCTCCAGTAAATATAAAAATCTCTGAGATGTCAATGTCGTGATGAAATCACAGAAAAATACAAAGGCTACTCTTTGGGCCTGTTCATATGAGCTGGGCTGGCCTGCTTTGCCAGGCCAGTTTATTATTTGATTCACATGAGGCGGGCTGGCCCTGCAAGTACAGAAATAATTAATTACGTCCAAATCCCGCTATTTCATGTTACTTTTATAAGCTGAAAGAAACTCATTGATTTTATGCATTATAATCTAAGGTCCACCGAAAGTTGTTCTTGTGCTTGCCCTCTATTTTGCATCGAACTGAATTTCAGGAGCATGCGCACTAGTACGATGTTTGGCCGGTATGCAGGGCTAGCCCGCCTAGTGCATTCACATGAACCCGTTTATGACGAGATAACGGAAAAACGGGCCCGCCTCTCATATGAATCAAATTTGTAATTATAAGTAAAGACTAAAAGCGTCGAGATCTCGCTACTGCCGGGCTAGCCCGGCTCATATGAACAGGCCCTTAGTTCGTTGACATCAGCATTAATTCTTTCGAAGTTAACAATTGTAAGCATTTTAATAGTCACTTGGTTGGTGCAAAAATTTCAGACAAATCTAAGTCATGTTTTTTTAAGTTTTTCATTTTTCAAAATGCACTTATCACTTATTGCACTTACCAGAATTGGATTTTTACTATAAATTTACAAAGAAGCGTGCGTTACGTGAAAGAGTAAGCGTCTTTTTAGCCCCCCCCTCCCCTTCCCCCTAACAATACGCAACCTCCCTCCTAATATTACTCCCCCCCCCTAATGGAAAGGTTGCAAAACATACAATCCCGGAGGATGAGGCTGAAGAGGGAAAATAAGGGAAGGGTCATTATTTTTGGCCAGCGACAATTACGGTGAAATAGGATTTGATTGGCTTATAAATACTTGGCGGCCATTACGAGCTGGAAACAATTATCTACGCTACAATTAGTCAACTGGAAACGAAGTAGAACAAGTAAAATAATGAGATTGTAGAGTAATATAGACCATGTATATAAAGACCAAAAATCAGTAAAACTTTGATGTATTTAAAAAGTTGAGGTAACATGAAGCATCATGCGTTTTTTGCAACTTGTATTGGATGAATTTTATTTCTGTTGCTTTCTCGGCCTTTTCACAGTTTCACAAAGCTATATGTAGAATATCGAGAGTGCCAGCCAATAACTTCTCTTCCTTTAAAATTAGCCATCAGCTCATTCTACCTGCAGTGAAAACTACAATATCATAATCAACCAACCTATGGGAAGGGAGGGTGGCAGAGGTATTCAGTCGCGCTTTAAGTTCCACAATTCTTTTAGTCGTTTCATTTTAGTCTACTGTTTTATTTATCTTCGGTAGGAATGAAATTGATCATTACGAAAATATATTCCAAAGGATAAAATATTGAAATTGTCATCACATTAGCATCGTTAATCAAGCTATCTCGCTGTTCATCTTCACGTGAAACCTTTCTCGCTGTTAATCTTCACGTGAAACCTTTCTCGCTGTTAATCTTCACGTGAAACCTTTCTCGCTGTTCACCAACTGATGTCGTACGAGTTTCGCGTACGTGCCCTCCTTAGCCATCAACTGCGCATGCGTGCCAACCTCGGCAATCTTCCCATGTTCCATCACGATGATCCTGTCGGCTTTTTCAATCGTGCTCAAACGATGAGCGATTATAATGAGCGTCCTTCCTTTTAAATTCGTGAACATCGCTTCTTGGATTTTATTCTCGCTTGCCGCATCCAAAGCGCTCGTTGCCTCGTCGAACAACAAGATGGAAGGTTTGCGTATAAGAGCCCGCGCAATAGCAATGCGCTGCTTCTGTCCACCGGAAAGTTGCTGACCCTTTTCACCGGCTTGTGTGTTGTAACCGCGAGATAAATCCACAATAAAGTCGTGAGCGTTTGCTAGTCTAGCCGCTTCGGTTATGAGCTCGTCCATGTCACTCTCCGCTTCAAAATTATACGCGATGTTTTCTTTCAAAGTTCGAGCAAACAAAACCGGCTCCTGTCCGACCAAAGCGATTTGCTGGTGTAAAAATTTATGATCGATATCCCCTACGGCGACGCCATCGAACAAAATTTCACCCGCATCGGGTTCGTAGAAATGCTGAAGTAAATTTATACACGTGCTTTTGCCAGCCCCACTGGGGCCAACAAGCGCTACAGTTTCACCTTGTTCAATCACGAACGAGACGTCCTCGAGAACGGGGGACTCGGATCGACTCGGATACGTGAATGAAACATTTTTGAATTCAACGCGCCCCGTGAATTTACTAGGTGTTAAAACTCCATTGTTCGGCATTTTAGGTTTTCTGTCTATATATCGAAATACCTTCAAATTCAAAATAAACAGAAAATATAAAAATCGTTCTAGCTTTGTTTATATTTGTGGTTGCGTAGCTACATACCTTTTCTGCTGCCCCAACAGCATCAACAAGCCCCGTGTACACGTCACCAATCCCTTCGATAGCATTGCCGAGACTCAACGAATATAGAAGGAACGAGACCAAATTACCGCCGCTCATTTCACCTCGCATCACCAAATGTCCCCCGTAGTACAACGTAATCACGCTTGTGATCGTTTCCAACAAGTAATTACCAGACGCGTAGCCACCATACACCAGCGCCTCTTTCTATGTACAAAAACACATTGAAATATAATGGTCTGCATAATGATCTCAACTTTGAAGACAAATGGAAGATTGCTCGATAAACTAGAAGTTCGCACATCAAATCAACGTACTCGTCAAGAGGGAATACATACATGCCAAGTCAGAAGTCTTACTCGTCAAATTAGAATACACACATGTCAAATTAGAAGTTATACACGTCAAATTAGAAGTTATACTTGTCAAATTAGAATAAATACACGTCAAATTAGAAGTTATACACGTCAAATTAGAAGTTATATTCGTCAAATTAGAACACATACACGTCAAATTAGAAGTTATACACGTCAAATTAGAAAAAACAAACGTCAAATAAGTTGAACTCGTCAAATTAGAATACATACATGTCAAATTAGAAGTCACTTCTAATTTGACATGTTACATTTTACAGTCAGGCTAACTCGTAAAATTAAAGTCCAAGAACACAGTGATAAGGAAGACGCTTCGACTGGCTTTTTGCCTTTCGAAGAATAATAAAAGCAAATAACCCAAAATAAACGTGGGCAACGCCGGCCGCACCTTATTCAACGCGTAAGTTTTATCCAGCTTTGTAGAATACTCTCGAACGACGCCATCTTCGTTAGCAAAACTGCGAACAGTCTTCATTGAAGAGATCACTTCTTCAGCAACCTCGTTCGCCTTGGCAATGGAATTTTGAACCTTTTCCGAGAGTTTCTGAAAATACTTGCCGTAGATTTCCGAGATCACGGCCACGATTGGTATGCTTATCAAGGTAACAATGGATAATTTCCACGAAATATGAAACATGAACGCGCAGACGCCCATCGCAGTGACGAGATTTCGTAGAAAAACGTTGATATTCAAAGAAACCTGTTCGCCCATTTTCTCGGTATCTGACGTGAGACGGGAAACGATCTCACCCGTTCTTGTCTTGTCGAAAAATGCGATTTCCTGACGAACGATGGAGTCGAACAGCTGTTTATTGACGCGTATGTTAAATCGACTCATCACGAGCTGGAAAATTCCACCTCGAAGTCCCGTACACACCGCAGTGATAGCTGACACCATCGTCATGACAACTATGAACCTCTGAAACTTTTCATTGTCCCTTTCTATGGCTATGCTATCAATCACCTTACCAGTGAAATACGGCATGAACATCTCGCCGAAAGCTGCACACAGCAGAAATATAAACGCGAAACACAACATATGGGTATCTGGTTTGGAGACGGAAAGTAGGCGGAAGATTGTCACTTTGCTTTTTCGTTTGCTAACAGGAAGAAAGGATTTAATACAGGTCAAAATACTGAACTGATGTTGAACTGATGAAAAGGTAATAACACTTTCTTACGCAAAGACCACTAATTTGTTAGTCTAAAAATCTACAATAGCCCGAGGCCCTTGCAACTTTCGCTAGGATTGCAAAGCACCCCCTTGGAAAAACTGCACCCCTCCTGTCAAAGAGCCCTTGTTTTTTTTTCATGTTACATGATTTTAAGCAAGGTATAAAACAGTACAGCACAGCTCTAAATGTAAACATCATTATTTAAGAAGTAAAATATGTTTACTGTGTTTGCATGGGCTTATGCAAACTGAGCAGACCTTTGGGAGAACTTGAGAGCAGATCAGTGCAAGCCCAAGACTGAAGGTCGAGGGTTACACAAGCTTGAGAGTTCTCACAATGGTCTCCTTGGCTTGCATAAGCCCATGCAAACACAGTAAACATCTTTTATTTCTTTTATAAAATAAAATAATGTGAAAAAGACAAACATTTTAATTTTTCCTCTAAAATGTCTTCATGAATGATTTGCAAATTCTCTTTGACTGATGGATTGTTTTGATTGATTTGATTGGTTGAGCTCAGATGGGTTTTGCACAAGCTAATGCAAACACGGCTCTAGACCAATCAGCGCACGCATTTCACTGTGTTTATTTTGTATACATCTATAACGTAAGGCCCAAGCCTTTTTATTATGGTAGCACCCCTTCAAATAGAAGAGGCAACAGCATCTAAACATATATATTTCAATTGTCATAGCACAGCAATTGGTCTAGAGCAGAGTTTGCATTAGCCTGTGCAAACCAATCTCAGCTCCATTAATTAAACCAATAAAATAGAATATGAGGACCTTCAATGTCAAGTTTCCAGTGATCTGCAGTAAAGTTCTCCCAAAGTTCTCCTAGGTTTGCATGAGGCTGTGCAAAATCAGTAAACATTTTTTTCTTAATTCAAAAACACGATACTTGCATACCTATTGTCCGAAATGCTTCCAGCTTCATCACTTTCACTTTCATCATCTGATATTGACGAACAACTGTCTTCGTTTAAAACTGGACAAACCTCATGGTCGGCATTAACACTTAAAGTTTGGCCTGATACAATATGAGGTTTTCCCAACATCCACCAGTTCCACGACATCACAATCGAAAAGAAAAATGTATGACCCAGAAACAACCAAAAAAATCTTTTCTTGCGATGTGTCTGCCCACATTCGGTGCTAGCCAAGAGTTTTACCAAATCGTAAACGACAATCCCGAAGGTTAGAAAGAATATAATTCTTCGACACCGCCTTAATCGAAGGCAACTTTTCGCCGGATTCATCTTCGTACCGATAACTGCACCGGCTATTAATGCAAAACGCGATATAGCCAGCAGCCATAAGTCTATTAGCGTAGTACAAAAATTCAAATCTGAGACAGCAACAAGCCACGAATGTAACGTCCACTTTGTGCGAAATAGCAACAACGTAGCGAGCATAATGTCTAAGAAATTTGAAAGAAGAACCAGGAGCACGTATTTCGCCATATTTGATTTGTTAATTAATCACAAGATTCATCGCAGTATTCGCCACGTTGCTTGCAGATACAATGTGAAGCTAGCACAAGGTTTAACAAATTGGTGTCGGCCTTGTAACATCAGAATCGGATTTAGAAAATATACCAAAAAATAGAAATGAATATATACACCAAGTGTATAACAATGTGCCCTCCTGACTATCACCACAGTAAAATGATGACTCAATGTGCCCTCCCAGCTATCACCATAGTGCAATGGTGACTCCTGCACTTGGGAGACAGGATGTATAGTTACACATTGTATGGATTGTTTGTAGATTCACCAGAGTGCTCAAACCCATTAAGGTGAGCTTTGCATAGCGCGAAAGCGGTGAACGTCTCACTAGGAGACTCTCTACACAATCCTAGAGTGCTCAATATAATAATTAGAGTGCTCAATATAATAATTAGAGTGCTCAATATAATAATTAGAGTGCTCAATATAATAATTAGAGTGCTCATATATAATAATTGAGATAAAAACAATAAATAATAGCAACAAAGATTATGGATAAAATTAGTATTTATATTATTTTTATAATGTTCATGTTAATTCGTAATTTTTTCATATTACTCTCGAGCAGGTGCAAACATAGACCTCAATGACTTATAGAACTCAATGACATAGACCTTCGGTCCCAGGGTTTTCATTGATCAGCTCTCAAGTTCTCCCAAAGGTTCCCTCGGTTTGCCATAAGCCTGTGCAAGCACAGTAGACATCTTTTATTTTTAAACAACTAATAAACCGAATGGCTTGAAACCCTATCCAATACTAACGCCAAAATTCCTAGTTTCTCGGAAATACACTAACCTGTACGAGATCAACATTTTTGTAATGTAATATTGACATCAATGATTATGTAAGGCACTGCATTAATTATGTAAGGCACTGCATTAATTATGTAAGGCACTGCATTAATTATGTAAGATATTGCATGAACGAGTAGAAAACGTACGGAGTCTCAAGATGAGATCAAAATTTATACATTTATGTCTCATGAAGTAACTACACGTCGTAATCAGACGATGCATGAAGATAATGTTCTGTTTTGGAGTTACAGTCGAAATTCCAGTAGACAGACACTCTTTGAACCACGACCTATAGAGTCCGCTTACAGGAGGTGTCAGCTTATGAAAGGTGTCTGTAAGTTGAGGTTCGAGTGTATCAGTTTGTGATGTCTATGGTTGTAAATATTTATTCAGAGCAAGATCACTTGATCAAAAACTCAAAGACACTGATTTTTCTCTGCGATGAACGGTAACTATTGACTTTTCATATTCAATGAACATGACTATTAATTGCTGAAAAGACTGTTTTTTATAGAGTTAAAATCCACAAGTAAATTTCTTACGAGAGAAGAATCAATTGAAAAACAAAATGCTACAAAAATGTAGATTTTTGCAAATGACAGAAAATTAGGTCTGGTCACGATCAAGTCTCATGACAATAGTGTCTGGTTAAAATACACGGTATGTACCTGTATGTAGGCGTAAGCTGTGAATCTTTACTTAACTCTGAAAATCGTTGGCAAATGGAATACGAAAAATTGCAAATGAGCACTGGTAGTGATACAGGGAGTTAAACAAACAATTAAACAATGGGTAAATCCTTTAATTCTTGCTCAATAGCGACTGAAGCGCTTCCGAGGAAGAAATTACCATAAATACAAACGAGGCAATCAAATAAATTCAACACAATAGAAGACATACGGATTACTTCAATTGTCAGACTGTTTACAATGTATCATATGACAGGGTAAATTTATTTATTAATCGAAAAATCAGACAGAAGGTTCATCACGCTGCAAAGTTTCGTTCACAAATCGTCTTAAAGCTAAAATGAAGTTGGGAATCGTAATATTTACATTTTTCGCTGTCATCACAAGCAATTTGTCATCGGTAAGTAAGGCCTTTTTCGAACGTCGAACTTCACATGCACCGAACGCATTAAAGACAAAAGAAAATGAGATGAACTTCCTCGTTATCTTTTGTTTTAAATGTGTTCGGTTCATGTAAAGTTCCACGTTTGATACGGTCCTAAGATGTAAAAATAATGTAGAACATTTTGCAATCTCGCTCATCTGTTTTGTATGACTTATGCGCCATCTATATTTCGCGGAAGTTTCATTGCGTCAAGACAATGTCGCTACAGTTTCATAGAAAACAGTTCCATACCAGCTGATAATGAGAAATACACTTGTACAAGAAAAATAGAAATACACTTGTACAAGAAAAATAGAAAAGGTCAAGTTGATTTTAAGAAAATTGAGTCAAATTTGATGTCCTAAAGGAATTAAACAACGACAATTACATGACTACCTTTGACCAGTATTTTCATAATAGTTTTTTTAAATGGTCAGAGCCAATAGCTATCGAGGTTTTATAACGAGAATCAATAACTATCGTGGTTTGATGGTGAGAAAAAGCTAGTGTATCAATGATTGTATATGATGTCTGTGTTTAAATATGTGTTTACAGTATGTTAAAATAAGTGTGTTTTACAAACTTTGCGTCTTTCTATATCAAAATGACTGATATGTGTCCTTGTAAGTGAAAATACGTCAGAAAGAAGAATTTAAATCGATGGCAGGAATGCTTTTCTCATTTTGGCAAAATATTCCTCCGATTAGCCCTCATGGCTGATCGATTCCTACAAAAATATTAGAAATCATTTAAGTAATTCGGTCATTCACAATGTTTGTAAGCAGATAAATTAGGAAGAATGACTGCGAATGAGATGCGTGTCAGTATAAGTTACACTGGTATGACAAATGTGAAACATCTTGGTAGCCGACCGAAAATCTTAGGAAAAAATATTTGCGGATTCAAATATGTCTCCAAACTTTTTCGTTGATGCCCAATTCATCATGTGAAGAGCAACCGCTATGTTTAGAGCAGACGATGCCTCAACGCTTTCACGCGCACAAGTGTAAGGAAATTTCGATATAAACTCACACTTCCTTCGTTTATTCAACACCACTGCTATGTTAAATTGCCCAATAAATTCCCAATTATGCAGTATGTAGATTAGACAAAAACCAATTATATATATTGTGTTTAAACGTATAGCGTATATCGGTTTCGTTATAAGAACTGTACTAATGAAAACGTTATCCATATTTTTATCATTTAGAAACCAGTCCGAAACACTGGATTGTTATTTACACAGTGGACACGAACGGAGCCCAATGCAACATGCGATGCAAACATGAACAATTGCAAATACTACATAGAAATATGTTGGAATTGGCTTGACAACAACCAGAGCAGATGCTTTTTAGCTTGGTTAAAAAGATCATATACGTACACAATGAAGCCAACCCAAACAAGGAGGTTTTCGCTATTTTACTACTTTTCCAGGAATATTCATAATCCTTTGTGGAAACTCGTCGATATATGGAGTGATGTGAGTATGTTAAAGTGCAAAGTTCTTTGCGTCTGCGCGAGGCTTCCAACGAGTTATATTAAAGACAGTGTTTGTGGAATAAAAGTTGAAATTATTCTAAGTTCGCAATATCGTGCAGTCAAGAAATAGCAACTAACAACATAGGACTTGAAACAATCTACTTAACATGAAGCAATCTTCAATACCGATGAAATCAAACGCAATGCACTAATTTAAGTATTTTTTTACAGCGAATGACCATAGTGGAAATTAACATATATCAAGAAGGCAAAGGTCCAAATCCTGTTGAAAGATTGAACATCAGTAAACGATTACAACTTCCAATCAGAGATATGAATAAACTACATGATGATACATACAACATCACTGGCTCAAAGTTTCGCGTCTATGGAGCCATATACATGTGGTGCGATGATAACTGTGTACCACCCACTTCACCACCGTCTATACCATTAACCACACAATCATACAGACCATCTTTCACATCATCCACTATAAACACGCTCCCTACACATTCTAAAATAGTTCTCAAACAATCTACCACAAAAACAGAGCGACTTATCAACAATACCATGTACACCAAATCCCCCACAGACAACGTCTCCAAAAAATTTACCACAATGAAGATCGATAAAAATTTTACCGAAAAAAACACAATACCAACACAACATGTAACCACTCACAAAATTCTTCAAATACACTCCACTGCAAGAATCAGTGTAAAACTTTTTGCGGATCAAACCACACAGCAACCATCTGCAAGTCAAACAAAAGAAGATAAAGAAGAAAATGAAATACCCACCACTTCAGCAATCAGTGTAAAAATTCCAGTAGATCAAACCATACAGCAACCATCTGCAAGTCAAACAAAAGAAGATAAAGAAGAAAATGAAATACGCACCACTTCAGCAATCAGTATAAAAATTCCAGTTGATCAAACCACACAGCAACCATCTGCAAGTCAAACAAAAGAAGATAAAGAAGAAAATGAAATACGCACCACTTCAGCAATCAGTATAAAAATTCCAGTAGATCAAACCATACAGCAACCATCTGCAAGTCAAACAAAAGACGATAAAGAAGAAAATGAAATACACACCACTTCAGCAATCAGTATAAAAATTCCAGTAGATCAAACCACACAGCAACCATCTGCAAGTCAAACAAAAGAAGATAAAGAAGAAAATGAAATACGCACCACTTCAGCAATCAGTATAAAAATTCCAGTAGATCAAACCATACAGCAACCATCTGCAAGTCAAACAAAAGAAGATAAAGAAGAAAATGAAATACGCACCACTTCAGCAATCAGTATAAAAATTCCAATAGATCAAACCATACAGCAACCATCTGCAAGTCCAACAAAAACAAAAGACAATAAGCAAAACGAATATCAACATGACAATAAATCATCACATCTATCCAAATGGAAAGTACTTGCGATCATATTAACGTCATTATGTGGTGTGATGGTTCTCCTCGCTTTAGCAGGCTGGTGGTTAAAAAGGTAAAATATTATTCATTGAAAAACCACCAAAATTGGAATCATTTATAAAATTTCTTTTTTGATGAAGCACTACGGCAAATTTATCAGAGAAAATACTTCTTTTGGAGAGTGGGTGTTCCCTATTGGAAGGGCACCCACAAATGTAGCGTTTGGCTTGAAGTTTGCGACATATTGAATGGCAGGTTTTAGAATTTTTACATCAACGAGCAGGATCTTTGCTTTGCCATGATGATATAAAAAACGGATTAAAAAAAATAAAACTAAAAGCAAGTGGCTTCATTGCTAGTTTAACACTTTCATGAGTTATCACATCATGAGCATGGAGCCCGCACACTTTTTGAAAAGCGTCCAAAACTCCAACGAACAATACAATAATTCAAATAAGATGACACGTAACTGATATATACAGGTTTGTTATTAATATTGCTTAAAAGGCATCAGTACAGTTTTGAATTATTCTGTTTTGGCTCGTTTATAGAAAGTCACAATCGGCCGACATAAAAACGACAGATCAACAACACAATGCGAGCAACACAGAAATATTCAAAAACAAGATGGTATTCGGCAATGACGCCGATAATTTAAATTCCAAACAAGATGACAAAATGATAGATATGTTGGATTTAATGGAAACGAAATCAAATTTTTAAGACGTGCTGTACTTGTTTAGAGGAACGTGCAATTGTGAGTTTTATAGACAATAGTGAAATTCTTGAAGACAATATTGCGTCAGTGATTGTTTAAATAATTAACGTTGTGAAAAGTGGTTGAAGCAACGACTTAATTGGTTGAATAGGTTTACATCAAAGTAAATATAATTATACGTTAAGCCTTATAAAGGAACGCCAAGTAAAACATTTATAACGAGTATATTGATTTGTTGTCATTTTTTTCAGCGATTGTTAAATTTTATCGAAACGTGAATGGTTTTTGATTTTAGGAGTCAGTTTTTGAATAAAATGTCGTCGGCCGTAACTTTGATTGTTACGTAACTTTGATTGATACTTTGATTCTGTTTCATTTACAGAATCGCCAGTGTTAACACTTCTATCAATGACATAAACATTGTCCTTTACACCATATCACTCTCCACACCATATCACCACCCAGCAAAACCTATTACTCTGCATATATTACTCCACACCATCCTCCATACAACTTTCCACACCATCCTCCATACCATCCTCTTTACCATCCTTTATACCATCCTCTTTACCATCCTTTATACCATCCTCCAGACGACTCTCCATAACATTCTTCATACCGTCCTCCATACGACTCTCCATACCATTCTTCATAGCATCCTCCATACGACTTACCATACCAACCTTTACACCATCCTCAACACCATCTTCCACACTATCCTCCACGTCCTCTTCCATGCCATCCTCCACATCACCATTCATACCATTCTCTACACCATCCTCTATACCATCCTTCATACATTCCTCCATACCATTATTCATACCATACTCTACACCATCCTCCATACCATCCCTCACACCACCTTCCACACAATCCTCCATACAACACTCCATACCATTCTAAACACTATCTTCTACACAACCTTCTACACCATCTTCTACACCATCCTCCATACCATTCTCTACACCAACCTCCATACCTTCTTTCATACCATCCTTCATACCAATCTTCATACCTATCTCAGCACCACTCTCCATAACATTATCCACACCATCCACGACACCATCCACTACAAACACCACATATTATATCAACTCATCCTAAAGTTCATCACCACTACAGCCATTGAGGTCAAGAATAAAAACGACCACATTAACTGCATTCCGTCTTGTGATCTTTTTTGGCCTTTTGACTGTTAGTTTACAATGGTTGCTTTTGTTTACTGTGGATACTTTTGAATAGACGTACTTTTTTATGAGGTGCGGAAAAATGACTTTTTATGACGATGCTGCATTAACAAATGTAGAAAACAGTTGCAGTCTCGAAACGAGATAATTTAGCATCAAGTTCGCAAAATAAAAAATATATTTATACCTTATAAGGTAACTTCACTTCGTAACCAGACGATACATGAAGATAATGATCTCGTCTGTCGTTGAAGTCAAACCTTCCGTATACAGACACTCTTTGGATAACGATCTAGTGTCCGCCAACGTGAGGTGTCAGCTTAAGAAAGGTTTCTGTAAGTAGAGGCAACTATAGTTCATGTATGTCTATATAGTTTTAAATATTTATGCGGAGTAAGAATGCATATGGCCCAACAGACAAAGATTTTTCCTACAATGACCTATAACTTTTGACTTTCTTAACCTCGTATTAAATAAATAGGATGATTTATAATTGATGAATAGGCTACACTTTGGTTGACAAATCTATACACAATTTTTCAATAAGAGAAAGATTTCGAAAGTCAACTGCAAGATGGTAGCAATAAAACTGCAGCTTCGTTTAGAGCAAAGTTCCAACTATTTGAATCTCTACGCTTTTCTTTATATTCCCATGAGAGAACTAAATTTTGAGCATTTTTAAAAAGGCACAGATTCCAGAGTCCCCATAGCCTGAAAAATTACACGTTATCTATATGGGGTTTGGTTAAAACACACCAATGCCCAGAATAAATTACCATAGCCTAAAAATTACACGTTTTTTTAGGGGTTTGGTTAAAACACACCAATGCCAGAATAAATTACTAATTCATACTCCTTACTAACTTTAAAGCTGTTGGCAATTGGGGAATTCCAAACATTCATATAATCAACGATTAATTTTTTTCAGGCAAATGCAAATGGTGTTCAAAAAACACATTAAAATAATCACGTTGTATTTTAGCCTAAAATGATCAGCTTATGATTTATGCGTGTGAAAAAAGCGATTGATGCGTTTCTCCAAGAATAAAGTCACTGTTATAAAGATTTTCAAATAAAACGAACACGTAGACACACATAAGTTATTTCAATTAGCAGATTGTTTGTACAATAAAAACGTATCAGATGACGAAGGTAAATATTCTTTAGCTAGAGATCAAACAAGACGTTCATCGTATGCATTTTCTTCAAAAACTGTCTTGAATTTGAAATGAATTCGGGATTGATCGTCACATTTTTTGCTATCATTGCAACGAACTTGTCTCCTGTAAGTACGATGTAATTTAAAACACATTTTAAAGTCGCGCGACTATTATATAACCTAATTATGTTTCGCGAAAGGAGCATATTGCGTCAAGAAAATGTCTCGAGAATTTCCAAAAAAACAATTTCCATGTCAGCTTATTATGCGAAATACGTTTGATATTATTGTATTATCTAGTCGTTCAGGTGTAAGGGAAAGTAAGAAAAAGTTATTGTGATTTTAACAAATTTGGATGAGATTTGACGCGTGTAAAACCGCCTCAAGGAACGACAAATACTAGACAGGAATATTTTCAATTGGTCACAATTAATGACTATATCGAGGGGTGATAAGGACAAACCAAGTAAATCAACGCGTCATGTACTTAAACTCTTTAGAATGGAAGCAAAAAATCCCTATCAACTTTAATAACTACGTTAAATATAACAACTTGTATGCTCTGTATTTACATTATTTAATGCTAACAACGGGGCAAATTTTGAAGTCTTTTTAAACATCATGTGGAGAAAAATGCAGACGAAGCCTCGCTTGCGTCTGTTGTTCTTACGACTAGGAGATTGTGACGACTGTGAGAAAGTGCAATGAAGACACCCCACCTCGATTATTTCACAGTGTTGTTTTTGTAACTTTCCCAAGCTGTTCCTGTTATCCAATGAAATAAAGACAAAAGGATAATGTAGTCAAAAAAATGCGCAGATTGTATAAAAAATAAGTATATATAATGTGTTTATACGTAGTGTAGATTGGTTTCATTACCAATGAAAACGTTATCCATATTTTCATATTTATAAAGCATTTCGAAACTCTGGGTTGTTATTTACACAGTTGACACAATAAACATACAGATCAGTATTCCCATGCGCATGTCTAGCAGCCACGCACTTGAGCTTGGCTGTCAAAACAACGTGTATGATCAGTGTCACAGGAAATTTTTCCACAAACCCCTCCACCCCCACGGGAAAATTTAGTGGGACAGACTTCCTGGGAAATATGGCACGGGCAAGGGACAAATTTCCAGGGACAATTGAAAACAATAAGTGTTGTCATGGTGATGTCGTATGGTTGATCGTACAATATAAATTCCAGGTCACTAGCTGCATTCATTTTTTTAGAAATCTGTTGTTTTCACAGTTAATGAACATCAAATATTTACATAGCACAACCTAAAATTTGCTGTCTGGCTGGTCTATTGCGCAAAGTAAAAGAGATTACGATCTATTTTATTCTTCATCCTTTAGAAAGCTTTCGCAAATCCTGTCCGAAACACTGGACTGTTATTTACACAGTGGACACGAACGGAGCCCAATGCAACATGCAATGCAAACATGAACAATTGCAAATACTACATAGAAATATGTTGGAATTGGCGTGACCATAACCAGAGCAGATGCTTTTTAGCTTGGTTAAAAAGATCATATACGTACACAATGAAGCCAACCCAAACAAGGAGGTTTTCGTTATTTCACTACTTTTCCAGGAATATTCATAATCCTTTGTGGAAACTCGTCGATATATGGAGTGATGTAAGTATGTTAAAGTGCAAAGTTTTTTGCGTCTGCGCGAGGCTTCCAACGAGTTATGTTAAAGACAGTGTTTGTGAAATAAAAGTTGAAATTATTCTAAGTTCGCAATATCGTGTAGTCAAGAAATAGCAACTAACAACATAGGACTTGAAACAATCTACTAAACATGAAACAATCTTCAATACCAATGAAATCAAACGCATTGCACTAGTTTAAGTACTTTTTACAGCGAATGACCGTAGTGGAAATCAACATATATCAAGAAGGCAAAGGTCCAAATCCTGTTGAGAGATTGAACATCAGTAAACGATTACAACTTCCAGTCAGAGATTGGAATAAACTACATGATAATACATACAACATCACTGGCTCAAAGTTTCGCGTCTATGGAGCAATATACATGTGGTGTGATGATAACTGTTTACCAACTACCACTTTACCTACCACACCTCCTTCCAAACCAACCGCCAAACCAACGTCCAAACCAGCCTCCAATTCAACTTCCAAGTCCAAACCAACCTCCAAATCCAAACCAACTTCCAAACTAATCTCCAAACCTACCTCCAAACCAAGGTCCAAATCAACCTCCACACCAGATCAAAACACCAAGCAACCAATAGAAATGTTTACAAATGCAACATATACAAGTTCAACAAAGATAATAAGCAAAACGAAGATCAACATGACAATAAATCATCACATCTATCCAAATGGATAATACCCACGATCGTATTAACGTCATTATGTGGTGTGATCTTCCTCTTGGCTATTGCGATTTGGCGGGTAAAAAGGTAAAATATCGGCTTGGACTGTAGATGCAAAAACAAAAATTTTATCGTTGTTTAGATGTACTTTAATTGGTTTACACATTGTCACATAGTTTTATTGATCCACGCATGCGTGTATTTTGGTGGCTTTTGGGGGTTCAAACATTAAGTTCATTTAAAAATTTTAAAAATTTCAAAAGGTATGCAAAGGTCTTTCACGCACAACATAACATTTCTCGAATTAGCTGAAAATGACGGCTATTTTTTCTTAAAAAGGACACATGCAAGCTAGAAGACAACTTTATTTTATTGTAATGCCTATAGCGTGAAAATAAGACGTACCAAGTTTCAAAGTCGTCCGCAAAATATTTCAAAAGATATTTAGGGTTATAATCGGTAAATACGCGATATTCGATGACCATTAATAAAACGCCGTGAGATAAAACGCCGTGAGATTGTTTAAGTCTGGGAACTGGGAAAGAGTGACGTATTAGTTGACATAAACAAGTATCGTTCTTATATCGTTCTACGACTTGCATGCAGTGTTTGCACCATTGAGTTCTATATACCTGGAGCGGCTAACTTTACTGGGGCGAGGACGCCAAAAAAATGGCGGCCAAAGGACGTATTTCCGCTGAAATGGTCGCTTTGCAGAAAAATAATATTCTCGACCTCCCCCTGGTGTCTATAGGAAATTATAAAGAATTTTTCAAAAACAAACACGATATCACAGAATATGGATATCGTTAGTTCCATATTCTGTGACGATTCTTTTTTGGCATTTCTTTTATAATGCCAACACTTCAACCGTTCAATTGTTGGATGTCGTAGTTTCCACAAAAAGGAACATATCGCTTCTCACAGATGAGGTAGTTGTTTGTTTTGTTAGTCCGTCAACGATTGAAAAGCAATTATACATGCACTTGAAAAGCCATAAAATACATATTAAAGATCGTATTTTTTAAGACTGACTTGAACGCCAAATATACTGATGTTTTCCTGTTTTTGTTTATAAAATTCTGCATACTTTTCTGTCATTTGTTAATGCATGAAATCGTAAATTTCCCATTTATTTGCTAAATAGTTTCCCTAAAGCAAAAAAGACTCTGCACACATTTCGCTCTGTGAGTAAGTATCAAAAAGAAATGATCAGCCCAAACGGTACCCATGATTTGGAGCAGAGCTTGTTATGTTCTATTTGCTGACAACATGCAGGGAAGATCAAGGAGTAAAGATGACTGGAAGATGTTATTGACCAGGCAGAGTCTTAAAAAATGATAATGCTGTAAAGATAATTGATTTATTGTCTGCCCTATCCAGAGTTATTTAATTTGATCATGGTCAAATTCTATGGATGGAGATAATGGATTCACTAAGGATGCCTTGAATGCTTTGAAGTTAAAGTTCATGATCCAAAGAAAGATGGCAAGAAGGTTGTGTGTGTTTTGATGCTTAATGAAATGTCAATTCACAAACATGTAAAATGGAAGGCCATAAAGTTTGTGTCTATGTAAACATTTGTACTAAGATTGATGATGACTTGATGCAGATGTGAAGCTTCAAACTGTATAAGCCATTGGGTTTTATATAACTTAATGTTTAAATCATGTCATATCTTTATCAAAATACTTTAGTTGAGTGTTGTTTAAATGTTACTAATATCTAATGCACTATACTGAAGCATTAAAGATTCAGTGATGAAACCTTTAAAATTATTGTACTGTATATTTCTTATATATTTCTTATATTTTTTTTTAGAAACAGTGTGAGCTTATTTACCTATTATAGTGCAGAATGGAGATTTATCATATGCATTATTGCTGCTTTTTTAAAGAAAAGTTTTTCACTTTTCAAAGCTTTTCTACAAATTTTTTGCTTCTTATTTCTTATCATGAGATGATATAGAGGTAATATAATCCAATAACTTTCTAATTTCTAAAAAGCTTTTAAGCTTCTAGCATAAAAGTACACTATAGGTATGTAATTCATTTGGTTTTATTGCCTTGCTATGACATATCTACTTGCACTTCATCATTCTTGTATGAACAAAACACCAGATGTAGATACTCAGAGAACAAAATGCACTACCAACTGCTTATGAAATTTATTATTGAGGTGAAAACTGTGTTAATCATTCAAATTATAGTGCACTTTTATTGCAAATATAGGAAAAACAAAACAAAGTGAAAAAGAAAGGTAGAAGTAGTAAAACTACAAATGAATTATAAACACCATTGGAAGCATAAGTGTTTTGATGATTATTTGCATTTTACCCAATTCATATATCAATACAACAAAATCAAAATGTGCTACAACTTTACAAGTATTTGATGCAGTTGCACTTCAGAACATCACAAAAAGGTTACTTAAAGTAATTTCTATACAATATTGTTTGTTTTCATTTACCAAACCTATGCAGGCTTGAGTCTTTTTGAAATTTCATATGAAACTCAATTACAGAAAATCCGTAAATATACAGAGATTTTATATTTACCTTTTTAAAGAAACAAGTAAAAATCCTACAATTGTGGCGAAAAAAGCCATTGCCCATTGCATGAAAAGAAGCAAAATAGCAATGATAAAAAATAAGCTAACTTCTCTCTCGTGAACCGTTGAGATGAACTATGATATACTTTTTTGTGTAGACTAAAGAGTTTAAACGATCAAACAAGTTTGACGCTGGTAAGAAAACGATGCACATCTGCATTCATACATGTGTAGCCGACATATAGCTCTTTCGTCGATAGTTATAAATGCATCCTCTTAGGAGCAGACAACTGACAACCACAGTTGACTCGCTGTTATGAATTTAAGGTTTTTACCTTGATTTTCATCAAAAAATTGCTTGCCGAATCCCAAATACACACATACATTTTCCTCACTCTTTCCTCAGGAGGGAGTGGGAAATTATGGAATTTTCGGAAAAGCGGTCAATTTCGGTAAATCTCAGCGGCAAAGGACGAAATCCGCCATTTTTTTGGCGTCATCAGATATCTTAGGCCGCGCTTGAGATAGCCGCTCTAGTTATTATAGAACTCAATGGTTTGCACGGCTTTCGGTAGTTTGCTATTACTGTTTTTTATTTATCAAAAATTAATGGATTCTTCTGAAGAAGAAGCCGATTATGATATTTTCATCAATAACAATGAGGTACAACCTTACATGTTTGAGCCTTTGGCCAACGCGCTAGGTGGTCAAAATGATGACAATTCTTCGTCATCGGAAAGCAAAGATGAATACATTCACAGAATTGGAAATGTTGAATGGTTAGTTGCATTTTATTTATTCAAGCGAGATTTATGTTGCTTAATGGCTTCAGCTTTGCTGATTTTTGATTTGTGGCGAGTCAATGGGAGAGGTATTTCTTTCACTCCAGCGACATCAAGAGCTTTGGACAGTGTTGGATTAATGCGTCTGCAGTACAAAACTTCTTTCATCAAGTCCTTAACATATCCTGAAAAGCAAATCATTATTTATGTTGGCTTTGCATTGCACTTTGAGAAAAGGTAAGTTTATTTTTCTGTGCTAACCATAAGTGCTGTCAACCTTCACTGGTTTGATGACCCCCTGTCCTTCTTTTGACTTTGAATAAGCCACTCTCCAAATCAATGCCTCTTCTGTTTGCCCATCATTCTTCGTTTTCTGAAGTTTATTTCCATTCTCATTGAAATGAAGAGCGGCAATAAACAATCTACAAATGAATGTTAAGTTTATGTTTACAACTATTGCAACTTATTGCTTTTGCAATGATGACTTTTTAAGTAATCATACACAAGTCATAATTATATTACCTTGCTTCCATTGATCTGTAGAAAGAATGGGTATGTTTTGGTGCAAAAAGAATCACCACTCGGTGGAAACCTTTGATGGATGAAGTCTGCTTCTGATAACTGAGTTTTCCAGTATCTCTCATGAGATACTTGGACTCAACAATCGAAGACAGCTCAACATAAGCTTTTGAACCTAAGATCAGAAGTTAGTTAACAAAGAAAAGAATGTTGATGTTACTTTGAAATTTATTCGCTTACAGTACCTTTTTTATCCACATTCTAGCTCTAACATATAATGTTCACATTTTGGGAATACATCACTATGTCCCTCATGGATGTCACATATATGGTTGAGAACTGACAACCACTTTGTCTTGACAAGTTCTTCATCACCATTGCTGGAAGCAGCACACCAGTATACATGGTTGGAAATTGATTGGGCCCAATCTGACAATAATTTGCAACCACTTTTTTTTGATGCTGCCAAAATTTTCTTTTTGATTCCTGTTGGATTTTGGTAATTGATGAAATGTATAAAAGGTTGGTTTGTTATGACAATCTATACCTTTTGCTACATCCCATACATCAAAGTAGTGCTCGATTTTTGGTCTTTGTTTTGACATGTGGGATTTGATTTGAGCATGTCTGTCTGTGGTCATTGACTTCACCTTCATCCCACTTTCATCAAACTTTGCCAGACATCTTTTTAATCCCTCAAGTTCCATTGCTCCAGAGTTCGTCACTTCATTGGACTGTTTAACATAATTATGTGAGTATTCTAATCATGTTTTATGTACAGTTGTTGAAGAATTGTTACCTGAACAAGTTGGTTGTCTAAAATGTTGTTAGATTCCAAATCCATGCAGCTATATGACCCATACTTGGCACAATATCCAGGCGAATCACATCTTCTATCTCCTCCAAGGTTAATGTTCCTTTCTCTGATTGATTCTAGAAGATGCTTTTGGTTCATATGCCAAACATTTGAAACACTGGGTATCAAATACGCTGTTTGAATATAGCTATATGTGCGCTCTGACAGAAATTGTATGCCTGAGTGACGAAGGAATTGAAGAACTTTGCTGGGGCTACTACCACTAAACAAGATGCTGGCAGCAAAGACCAAGTTGCCCAAAGACATTCGCCCTTGCAGAGGTTGGCTATTCCTGTCTCGAGCATAACCACAATGACATTTTGCAAGTACGTTAACCATACTACCAGTCGTTTTGGTCAAAATAGAACAGCTTTCACCACAACATGGGCATTGACTCACTAACTGTCTCAGGCAACTATCAAACACTATGTATTTTCTCTCATTTTGAGCATCTTTCCTATAACATAAAAATTACCATCAGGATCAGAGAGAGATAAACTTAACGTTCGGAGAAACATATGACAGGTAAAAGCAATGTAAAGAATAGTCAGGTGACTGGATAGTTGGTACTAACAATGCATTGTCATTGTCGGATTCTTCATTTTCGCTTAACTCATTTGAACATTGAGAGTCTGATCCATTGTAGCTATTGCTCATCGTCGACGTGCTTTCTGTATCAGACCATACAGCGCTATCCTCAAAATGTTCAATTTCACATGACGTGGTTGAAATGAACTCAACCTCCGTACCTTAGCATAAAATTATCGTATTGCTGGATTTTTCACAAAAATCAAACGGCCGAAATGGAAAGTCTATACCTCTATTTATAATATTTGGCACTTTCTTTGAGTGGTTCTTGACCTTACGTGTTTTTGCGGACGGATTGTTATGTCTGCTTGGCATTTCACATTGCGCTTCTAAGGTACAAGGAATTTTCTATGAGTTAAAATAACAAAGAAAAGATCAAATGACATTAGTCTGAATTAGTTACCACTGTATATGTTTGTGTTTCGCTGTCTACATATATTTATACATGTTTTATCTTAAACAAACTTCCTTTGAGGTAAAACGCACAAACATTTCGAGCCGATGTCGACACATCGTGGTCGTTGCCTACAAGAAAGTCGTCATGTTCTGCAAGAACGTCGTCAATAATCTAAAATTAAAAAATTGTCCTCAATTTGGTAATGCTAATAGCTTAGTTTTTGATAAATGTAAATAAATATTGCTAAGTATAACTATAATAATCACCTCTTGCCTTCGTCTGGCTTCTTGCCTTCTTAATCTTGCCTTCTTAATCTTGCCTTCTTAGATCTTGCCTTCTTAATTTGGACTCTCTTCTCAAATGTAGTTCTAACATTTGTTGGCTGCTTCCTTTTAGAGCTACACTTGTGGGCTCCACAGAGTATTCAAAAATCGTGGGTACTACATCCTTCTTAAGGCGAAGCTGTCCTGCTGTCCATCCTACTGATTGCATCGCTTAAAAATTTTGCACGAAGCACGAACTCTCGAAATGTTGCGAGCACAATTTTGAGTTCTTTGTTGGCTTCAAATTTTTGCGTCGGATTTTTTCAATCCAAATATCTCGCATGCGCTTGTTTTCGGGAAACGAAAAAAAGAAACCTTTTGCTGCGTTTGGTGGTTCTTAGAAGAACCGTTTTTACAATTAAATGCGGCACAATAAACCATATTTTCAATGCTAAATTGTCGTGTTGTTAATGCAGGCAAAGAAGTTACCAATATATTTTGAACGAAACGCGCAATTGACCGCGTTTAGCTAATGTCAACTATTACGTCACAACGACCTTTTTCCAATCGGTAGCCGTCGTTAGCTCGTCGGGCATTTTCAATACGTTATCAGTAAAGCATTAACTTTAAACCTCCATATCTTCTAAAATATTTATCTTTTGAGTCTCAAACTTTGGTGAACTATTAGTTGGAGCTATACCTTTATGTAAAGTACAAAATAACAATCCGAATTTTATGTTGCATGTGTCCTTTAAGTCCTTTTCTTCGAATCAGTTTTGTTTGATTTTCTAAGAATTCCTTACCACACCCACGCACTTAGTGTCGTATTAAATAACACAATATGGCTTCCGCGAGAAAAAACATTTGGCGCAAGACAACTTAGATTGGACTTGAAGATAACTGAAGTTCGGAACACAATATGGAACAAGTTAAAACTGAATTTGGCAAAACTCAGTTGGTAGAAGATGAATTGACTGTTAACGAAGCTATTTCAGAGCTTAAAGAATACAAGTTAAGAAACGACAACCTCATTGCTGTGGACAGCGAAGGGATCTCGCTAAGTAGAAAAGGTAAATTGACGGTTTTGATCATAGCAACAAGAGAGAAAGTATACGTTTTTGATGTGCTGAAGGTTGGCCAGTCCATTTTCGAATCTGGCCTAAGGGAAATTCTTGAAGACAGCAAATACGAAAAGTTGATGTTTGATTGCCGTCAAGATGCCGATGCACTTTGGCATCAATTCAACATCAAATTGGCAGGAGTCGTGGACTTACAATTGCTTGAAGTCATGCAACGTCGCGAGTCTCCGTCAGATTTTTCAAGATCAAAGTCAAGCACAAAAAGAAGGTTTTATCGACGTCGCAGTCAAAATACAGAAAATATAAAGAAAGTTTATGGGTATCGAAATTGCTTAGAATTGTACGTCAAAGATGAAAAAATGATTGCTGTAAAAGATGACGGGGTGAAATTGTTCACATCAAATATCCTTGCTTGGACGAAACGACCATTACCAGAAAAGCTGATTCGGTATTGTGCAGTAGACACAATGGGAATGTTCAAGCTACACGAAGCGTTCAAAAGTATGCTCAGTATTTCTGAAAAAGCTCGTCTCAAGATAGCCTCCGATAAATACACAGATTACTACAGAGAAAAGAAGGAGAGAGTCTTCAATGAATACGAAACAAACTCATATCTTCCGCTTGATGTTATTCCCGAGAAAGGAACACAGAGTTTTCCATACGCTGGAACGACATGTACAAAATGTGATCGTAAATTTCCACAAGAGGAGTTTAGCGTCACCCAGCTACGGAAAGGAGAACAAAAATGCAGAGTTTGTAAGGAGATTAAGCACGTGAACGATGTTCAAAAGAACAGGGAAGATAATTGGGCGCGAGATGAAGAATATGAGAATTCAATTTACATATCAGATGGTGAAGGCGAATTTTGTTTCTTATAAAAAGGAGTGCAACACTTGGAGTTACTCGCAAATTTATCATGGAAAAATAAGTTAGCAAAAATATTCATCTTTCCTTCCCGCCACATACCAAAATTACACACGTTCAGGTCATCGTTCAGTAAATATGGAATACGAAAGCTTAAAGAACACTGACGTTTTAACACGTGACCTCGATTGTCATTTACGAACGCTATTGATGAAATAAATTATCGCGAAGAAATAAATAACTAAAAGTCCACTTATTCACGCCCTTGCGATATTGTGTCCTTGAAATTGCCTCATTGAAATGTCGATTCGATTCAAAACAAATTGGTTTTTAAAATGCGCAGTACATTAAGAAATAAAAAATGCTTCCAAGATGGACTATTTTGGCGCAGTAAGAGTGCCAACAAATGTACCAGTGTCACGCACTCAATGCATTATGGGACTTGGAGTTTCAATCTTTGCAATATAGGTTCTTATAACTATATATAGCTTTTAGCTCAATATAGCTACAATATAATGATTTACTGTAGCATTGCATCAATAAAATGAATACATCCTTTGTTCGCTTGTTTATAGATGGTCGCATTTTGCCAAGATAAGGACGACAGACCAAAACCGCAATACAACAAACACATTCATAATCGAAAACAAGATAGCATTCGGCAAAGACGAGGAGGATTCAAACACAAAACAAGCAGAAAAAGCAATAAATATGTTGGATTTAGTGAAAACAAAAACACAATGTTAGATGGTGTGTCGCTTGTTTAAAGGAGCTTCTTTAACGAATAAATATTTTTTAAAAACGCAGAAATTTTATTGGGTAACATCGTGTCTTTGATTCTTTCCATAATTTGCGAGGTGGCAATTGGTTTTTCCCGTGATGCAATTCGCCAATTCGTTAAGCAAATTTATAGGCAGTGTTGGCGAAAGTGTAGTGGGAGTTTAACTTTGACCAAAATATTTGGATAAATAAACAAATTAATGGATAGATAATTAAGTCACACGTAAACAAATATAAGTTAAGCCGAGTTAAGCCTTCTAAAGGCAAGTCAAGTGAAACATTTATGACGAGTAAAGTAATTTGTTGTCCTAAACTACAACGATAGCTGGTGTGTAGATGATGCATGCGTGTAGAAATATGGAAGGATAAAAATAGTATGACGGCAATTACCATATTGTCGTTTCATCAAATAAATAATATTTATAAATTTTTTGACTATTCTACTAATCATAAATCGTATACAATTAAATTGACATGAGTTTTTTTTACATCGAGAAATTCTGAACAATTCAAAACTTCGCATTTCGTCACCAACTAGCGTTTATCCACTGCAAAGCATAACACACAACACGTAATACACAATACATAATATGTAATACATAATACATAATACACAATACATAATACATCATACATAACACATAAAACATAACAATATATTCAATAATACATAATACACAATACATAATACATAATACACAATACATAATACACAATACATAATACATAATACATAATACACAATATATAACACACAATACATAATACATAATACATAACACATAAAACATAACAATATATTCAATAATACATAATACACAATACATAATACATAATACACAATACATAATACATAATACATAATACACCATACATAATACACAATACATCACAATAATTTAAGCCTAACAAAAACCCAAATACTGAACATGATGTTTATGGAATGATAATTATAGATGAATCATTTGTGAGCCATTTCATATTTCACTAAAATTTCAAAATCGTTGACAAAGAAAAACCTTAACATTTTATCAATCACAAGTAGATACAAACGGAACCATGTAAACATTAAAAAATAAAATACCCCCATTTCATTAACTTTAAATGGTTTACACCAAATACATCCAACAGTCTGATGCCCTTCCAGGGGGATAAAAATAGAACGGTAACTGCGGGATACTTTTCAAAAGAAACTAGTAGGACAGAGCTGAATATATAAATTCCCCTCCCCCCTCGCCCATTTAGCGTGCTGGCTTCGCCATTTACCCCTCCGTTTAAAACAAAAGAAAATTTGCCATGATAAAGGAGGTGACTATAAAACGAAGCAACATATGACAGACACAAGAGTTTTCTAAGCTTAAAAACTGTTTGTAAAAAATACAGAATGTATCATATAACATCGTGATTATTTTTTTTTTCATCTGGTGATTCAACGAAAGGTTTATCATATGCTTTTTATTCGAAAACGTCTTAAACCTAAAAATGAAGTTGGGAATCGTAATATTCACATTTTTCGCAATCACCACAAGTATATTATCGTCGGTAAGTAAGTGAGATGTAAAAACAATGTAGAACATATTGCATTCTCGCTCGTCGGTCTTGTATGAGTTATGCTACCCATATTTTGCGGAAGTTTCATTGCGTCAAGAAAATGTCGCTCCATGTTAGAAAAATGATAACGATTAATACATTTGGCACTTTTTAATATGAAATATGCCTAAGCTACTGTAAGAAAAAGTTACGTTAATTCTCAGAAATCATCGAGTCGGATTTGTCCTCTGAAAGCTTCTCAATGAAGCAAGGACAAATACATGACCAGAATATTTTCCTGCAGTCTTTTCATGTGATCAAAGCCAATAAATCTCGATGAACAATATTTTTGAATGGGAGTGTTCAAACACTATTAACTTTAGAAATATTTTATACAAATTTTCAAAACCAAGTACATATTAATTTATACGTAGTATAAACCGGCTTCGTCAAAAAGAACTGTACAAATGAAAACGTTATCCATATTTTTGTCATTTAGAAACCAGTCCGAAACACTAGATTGATATTTACACAGTGGACACGAACGGAGCCCAATGAAACATGCGATGCAAACATGAACAATTGCAAATACTACATAGAAATATGTTGGAGTTGGCGTGACCATAACCAGAGCAGATGCTCATTAGGTTGGTTAAAAAGATCATATACGTACACAATGAAACCAACCCAAACAAGGAGGTTTTTGTTATATCACTACTTTTCCAAGAATATTTATAATCCTTTGAGCACACTCGTCGATATGTGGAGTGATGTAAGTATGTTAAAATGCAAAATTGTTTACGTCAGCACGAGGCTTGAGCGAGTTATGTTAATAAGCAGTGTTTGTGAAATAAAAGTTGAAATTATTCTAAGTTCGCAAAATCGTGTAGTCAAGAAATAGCAACTAACAACATAGGACCTGAAACAATATACTTAACATGAAACAATCTTCAATACCGATGAAATCAAACGCAATGCACTAATTTAAGCACTTTTTACAGCGAATGACCGTAGTGGAGTTCAACATATATCAAGAAGGCAAAGGTCCAAATCCTGTTGAAAGATTGAACATCAGTAAACGATTACAACTTCCAATCAGAGATATAAATAAACTACATGATGATACATACAACATCACTGGCTCAAAGTTTCGCGTCTATGGAGCAATATACATGTGGTGTGATGATAACTGTGTACCACCCACCACTGTGCCTACCACATTACCCACCACATTACCCACCATAGCACCCCCCACACCTCCTTCCAAACCATACTCCAAACCAACGTCACCGGTAAGAAAGATTTAAAAATAACGTAAAACATTTACTAACGTCGCGCATCTGTCTTGTATGAGTTATGCTCCACCTATATTTCGTAGAAGTTTCATTGCGTCAAGAAAATGTCGCTACATGTCAGAAAAATGAGAACGATTAATATTTTTGGCACTTTTTAAGTGAAATATGTCTAATTTTTCCCCCCATTTTTTCTCATCCCCTACTTTTTGTTGACTCTGAAGATGACTACCGCTAAGGTTGTCAAAACGTCAGTCAACAACAAAAAAAATCCTTCTCAGGACTATACTAACCTGGACGATCTACATCTACAAACATGTAACGATACTCCCGGGTTCAAACCATTTACTTTATAAAATATTCCTAAGCTACTATAAGAAAAAGTTACGTTAATTCTCAGAAATCATTGAGTCGGATTTGTCCTCTGAAAGCTTCTCAATGAAGCAAGGACAAATACATGACCACAATATTTTCCTGCAGTTTTTTCATGTGATCAAAGCCAATAAATCTCGATGAACAACTTTTTTGAATGGGACTGTTCGAACACTGTAAACTTTTGTAAATATTTAAATACAAATTTTCAAAGCTAAGTACATAGTAATTTATACATAGTTAAAGCCGGCTTCGTCAAAAAGAACTGTACAAATGAAAACGTTATCCATATTTTCATATTTAGAAACCATTTCGAAACTTTGGGTTGATATTTACACAGTGGACACGAACGGAGCCCAATGAAACATGCGATGCAAACATGAACAATTGCAAATACTACATAGAAATATGTTGGAGTTGGCGTGACCATAACCAGAGCAGATGCTCATTAGGTTGGTTAAAAAGATCATATACGTACACAATGAAACCAACCCAAACAAGGAGGTTTTTGTTATATGACTACTTTTCCAGGAATATTTTTAACCCTTTGTCGACACTCGCCGATATGTGGAGTAATGTAAGTATGTTAAAATGCAAAATTGTTTACGTCAGCACGAGGCTTGGAGCGAGTTATGTTAATAAGCAGTGTTTGTGAAATAAAAGTTGAAATTATTATAAGTTCGCAATATCGTGTAGTCAAGAAATAGCAACTAACAACATAGGACTTGAAACAAACTACTTAACATGAAGCAATCTTCAATACCGATGAAATCAAACGCAATGCACTAATTTAAGTATTTTTTACAGCGAATGACCATAGTGGAGTTTAACATATATCAAGAAGGCAAAGGTCCAAATCCTGTTGAAAGATTGAACATCAGTAAACGATTACAACTTCCAATCAGAGATATGAATAAACTACATGATGATACATACAACATCACTGGCTCAAAGTTTCGCGTCTATGGAGCCATATACATGTGGTGCGATGATAACTGTGTACCACCCACTTCACCACCGACTATACCATTAACCACACAATCATACAGACCATCGTTCACATCATCCACGATAAACACGCTCCCTACACATTCCAAAATAGTTCCCAAACAATCTACCACAAAAACAGAGCAACTTATCTCCAATACCATCTACACCAAATCCCCCACAGATCAACATGACAATAAATCATCACATCTATCCAAATGGAAAGTACTTGCGGTCATATTAACGTCATTATGTGGTGTGATGTTTCTCTTCGCTTTAGCAGGCTGGTGGTTAAAAAGGTAAAATATTATTCATTGAAAAACCACCAAAATTGGAATCATTTTTAAAGTATTTTTTTGATGAAACACTACGGTGTTTATCGTAAGAAATACGATCACAAAAGTTCTTTCATTCAGTGATCCATTAAAAGATATCACGCCCAATTGTGAAAGAGAATATATTCATAACAACGGTTGTATAGACATGCCCAATTAATATATGTACGCACACGGAAAATTTATCAGAGAAAATACTTCTTTTGGAGAGTGGGTGTTCCCTATTAGAAGGGCACCCACAAATGTAACGTTTTGCTTGACGTTTACGACATATGGAATGGCAGGTTTTAGAATTTTTACATCAACGAGCAGGATCTTTGCTTTGCCATGATGATGTAAAAAACAGATTAAAAAAAACAAACTAAAAGCAAGTATCAACATTGCTAGTGTAACACTTTCATGAGTTATCACATCATTAGCATGGAGCCCGCACACTTTTTGAAAAGCGTCCAAAACTCCAACGAACAATACAATAATTCAAATAAGTTGACACGTAACTGATATATACATGTTTAAAGTAAATGGTTTGAACCCGGGAGTATCGTTATATGTTTGTAAATGATGATCGTCCAGGTTAATAAAGTCCTGAGAAGGACTGTTTTTGTTGTTGTTGACTGACGTTTCGACAACCTTAGCGGTAGTCATCTTCAAAGTCAAAAATGACTCTGAAGATGACTTTTTGACTCTGAAGATGACTTTTTGACTCTGAAGATGACTTTTTGACTCTGAAGATGACTACCGCTAAGGTTGTCGAAACGTCAGTCAACAACAACAAAAACAGTCCTTCTCAGGACTTTATTAACCTGGACGATCATCATTTACAAACATATATACATGTTTGTTATTAATATTGCATCAGTATAGTTTTGAATTATTCTATTTTGGCTCGTTTATAGAAAGTCACAATCGGCCGACATAAAAACGACAGATCAACAACACAATGCGAGCAACACAGAAATATTCAAATACAAGATGGTATACGGCAATGATGCCGATAATTTAAATTCCAAACAAGATGACCAAATGATAGATATGTTGGATTTAATGGAAACGAAATCAAATTTTTAAGACGTGCTGTACTTGCTTAGAGGAACGTGCAATTGTGAGTTTTATAGACAATAGTAAAATTCTTGAAGACAATATCGCGTCAGTGATTGTTTAAATAATTGACGTTGTGGAAAGTGGTTGAAGCAACGACTTAATTGGTTGAATAGTTTTACATCCAAGTAAATATAAATATTCTTTAGCTTAAGTTAAGCTTTATAAAGGAACGCCAAGTAAAACATTTATAACGAGTATATTGATTTGTTGTCATTTTTTTCAGCGATTGTTGAATTTTATCGAAATGTGAATGGTTTTTGATTTTAGGAGTCAGTTTTTGAATAAATATCATCGGCCGTAACAATCAAAGTTTAGTTTACGGAATCGCCAGTGTTAACACTTCTATCAATGACATAAACATTGTCCTTTACACTATATCTCTCCACACCATATCACCACCCTGCACAACATATTACCTTGCGTATATTCCTCCACACCATCCTTCATACAACTCTCCACACCATCCCCCACACCATCTTTATACCCAACTCCGTACGACTCTCCATACCATCCTCCATACGACTTACCAACCTTTATACCATCCTCAACACCATCTTTCACACCATCCTCCACGCCCTCTTCCGTGCCATCCTACACACCATTCTTCATACCATCCTCTCCTATCCCCTTCCTCCATACCATTCCTTCATTCCATCCATCCCTCCCTTCCATCCATCTTCCACTTCCTTCCTTCCATCCATCCTACCACATCCATTCCTTCTCCACCATCCTCCCTTCCATTCCTCTTCCTCCTTCTTACCATCCTTCATACCAATCTTCATACCTATCTCAGCACCACTCTCCATAACATTCTCCACACCGTCCACGACACCATCCACTACAAAAACCACATCATGTATCAACTCATCCTAAAGCTCATCACCACTACAGCCATTGAGGTCAAGAATAAAAACGACCACATTAACTGCATTCCGTCTTGTGATCTTTTCTTTCCTTTTAACTGTTAATTTACATTGGTTGCTTTTGTTTACTGTGGATACTTTTGAATAGACGTACTTTTTTTGTGAGGTGCGAAAAAAATGTTTTTTTATTACGATGCTGCATTAACAAATGTAGAAAACAGTTGCAGTCTCGAAACGAGATAATTTAGCATCAAGTTCGCAAAATAAAAAATATATTTATACCTTATAAGGTAACTTCACTTCGTAACCAGACGATACATGAAGATAATGATCTCGTCTGTCGTTGAAGTCAAACCTTCCGTATACAGACACTCTTTGGATAACGATCTAGTGTCCGCCTATGTGAGGTGTCAGCTTATGAAAGGTTTCTGCAAGTAGAGGCAACTATAGTTCATGTATGTCTATATAGTTTTAAATATTTATGCGGAGTAAGAATGCATATGGCCAAACAGACAAAGATTTTTCCTACAATGACCTATAACTTTTGCCTTTTTTAACCTCGTATTAAATAAATAGGATGATTTATAATTGATGAATAGGCTACACTTTGGTTGACAAATCTATACACAATTTTTCAATAAGAGAAAGATTTCGAAAGTCAACTGCAAAACGGTAGCAATAAAACTGCAGCTTCGTTTCGAGCAAAGTTCCAACTATTTGAATTTCTACGCTTTTCTTTAAGTTCCCATGAGAGAATTAAATTTAGAGCATTTTTATAAAGGCACAGATTACAGAGTCCCCCATAGCCTGAAAAATTACACGTTATGTTCATGGGGTTTGGATAAAACACACCAATACCCAGAATAAATTACCATAGCCTTAAAAATTACACGTTATGTTTGGATAAAACACACCAATGCCCAGAATAAATTACCATAGCCTGAAAAATTACACGTTATGTTCATGGGGTTTTGTTAAAACATACCAATGCCCCGAATAAATTACAAATTCATACTCCTTACTAACTTTAAAGCTGTTGGCAATTGGGGAATTCCAAACATTCATATAATCAACGATTAATTTTTTTCAGGCTAATGCAAACGGTGTTCAAAAAACACATTAAAATAATCACGTTGTATTTTAGCCTAAAATGATCAGCTTATGATTTATGCGTGTGAAAAAAGCGATTGATGCGTTTCTCCAAGAATAAAGTCACTGTTATAAAGAAGATTTTCAAATAAAACGAACTCGTAGACACACATGAGTTATTTCAATTAGCAGATTGTTTGTACAATAAAAACGTATCAGATGACGAAGGTAAATTATTTTTTAGCTAGAGATCAAACAAGACGTTCATCGTATGCATTTTCTTCAAAAACTGTCTTGAATTTGAAATGAATTTGGGATTGATCGTCACATTTTTTGCTATCATTGCAACGAATTTGACTCCTGTAAGTACGATGTAATTTAAAACACATTTTAAAGTCGCGCGACTATTATATAACCTAATTATGTTTCGCGAAAGGAGCATATTGCGTCAAGAAAATGTCTCGAGAATTTCAAAAAAAACAATTTCCATGTCAGCTTATTATGCGAAGAACGTTTGATATTATTGTATTATCTAGTCGTTCAGGTGTTAAGGGAAAGTAAGAAAAAGTTATTGTGATTTTAACAAATCTGGTTGAGATTTGACGCGTGTAAAACCGCCTGAAGGAGCGACAAATACTTGACAGGAATATTTTCAATTGGTCACAATTAATGAGTATATCGAGGTGTGATAAGGACAATCCAAGTAAATCAACACGTCATGTATTTAAACTCTTTAGAGTGGAAGCAAAAAATCCCTATCAACTTTAATAACTACGTGAAATATAACAACTTGTATTCTCTATATTTACATTATGTAATGCTAACAACGGGGCAAATTTTGAAGTCTTTTTAAACATCATGTGGAGAAAAATGCAGACGAAGCCTCGCTTGCGTCTGTTGTTCTTACGACTAGGAGATTGTGACGACTGTGAGAAAGTGCAATGAAGAAACCCCACCTCGTTTATTTCACAGTGTTATTTTTGTAACTTTCCCAAGCTGTTCCCGTCATCCAATTATACAAAAAACAAGTATATATAATGTGTTTATACGTAGTGTAGATTGGTTTCATTACCAATGAAAACGTTATCCATATTTTCATATTTAGAAAGCATTTCGAAACTCTGTTTTGTTATTTACACAGTCGACACAATAAGCATACAGATCAGTATTCCCATGCGCATGTCTAGCAGCCACGCACCTGAGCTTGGCGGTCAAAACAACGTGTATAATCGGTGTCACAGGAAATTTTTCCACCCCCACCCCCACGGAAATATTTTTTGGGACAGACTTCCTGGGAAATATGGCAAGGGTAAGGCACGGGCAAGGGTCTGGCTGGTCTACTGCGTAAAGTAAAAGAGATTACGATCGACTTTATTCTTCATCCTTTAGAAACCTTTCGCACATGCTGTCCGAAACACTGGATTGTTATTTACACAGTGGACACGAACGGAGCCCAATGAAACATGCGATGCAAACATGAACAATTGCAAATACTACATAGAAATATGTTGGAGTTGGCGTGACTATAACCAGAGCAGATGCTCATTAGGTTGGTTAAAAAGATCATATACGTACACAATGAAGCCAACCCAAACAAGGAGGTTTTTGTTATATGACTACTTTTCCAAGAATGTTTTTAATCCTGTGTGGACACTCGTCGATATGTGGAGAGATGTAAGTATGTTAAAATGCAAAATTGTTTACGTCAGCACGAGGCTTGGAGCGAGTTATGTTAAAGACAGTGTTTGTGAAATAAAAGTTGAAATTATTCTAAGTTCGCAGTATCGTGTAGTCAAGAAATAGCAACAAACAACATAGGACTTGAAACAATCTACTAAACATGAAGCAATCTTCAATACCGATGAAATCAAACGCACTGCATTAATTTAAGTATTTTTTTACAGCGAATGACCGTAGTGGAGTTTAACATATATCAAGAAGGCAAAGGTCCAAATCCTGTTGAAAGATTGAACATCAGTAAACGATTACAACTTCCAATCAGAGATATGAATAAACTATATGATGATCCATTCAACATCACTGGTTGTAAGTTTCGCGTCTATGGAGCCATATACATGTGGTGTGATGATAACTGTGTACCACCCACCACTGTGCCTACCACAGCTTCTTCCAAAACAACCTCCAAACCAACGTCTAAACCAAAGTCTAAACCAACTTCCAAACCAACGTCCAAGCCAACGTCCAAACCAACATCTAAACCAACGTCCAAACCAACTTCTAAACCAACGTCCAAACCAACATCCAAACCAATGTCCAAACCTACCTCCAAACCAACTTCAAAATCAGTCTCCACACCAGATCAAAACACCAAGCAACCAATGAAAACGTTTAAAAATGCAGCATATACAAGTCCAACAAAAGATAATAAGCAAAACGAAGATCAACATGACAATAAATCATCACATCTATCCAAATGGATAATACCCACGATCGTATTAACGTCATTATGTGGTGTGATCTTCCTCTTGGCTATTGCGATTTGGCGGGTAAAAAGGTAAAACATCGGCTTGGGTTGTGGATGCCAAAAACAAAAAATTTCATCGTTTTTTAGATGTACTTTAATTGGTATACACATTGTCACGTAGTTTTATTGATCCACGCATGCGTGAATTTTGGTGGCTTTTTGGGGTTCAAACATTAAGTTCATTTAAAAATTTTAAAAATTTCAAAAGGTATGCAAAGGTCTTTCACGCACAACATAACATTTCTCGAATAAGTTGAAAATGACGGCTATCGACTCTTCGAATCAGTTTTGTTTAATTTTCTAAGTATTTCTTACCACACCCACGCGCTTGGTGTTGTATTAAATAACACAAAAGGGAGCTTTAGCAAATTAACTATTTATCGCTTCCGCTTAATCATAACAAGTCAAAATTCAAAGGAGTTTCTGAGGCTGATGAGCTCTGTTTTCTGCGCGCATGACATTAAAGAGTACTCTCTTTTGGGTAAAAATTGGCAATGTGTGAAAGCACATGCCAATTTATTTAAATAGAAATAACAAATATAACATAACCTAAATTAATTATTTTACAGAATTTAAGCAAAAATCTTTACGAATAAAGCTTTTCTGTATAGCACAGAAAAGGTGGGTGATAAAAACGCCATAAGCCTCTTGAGCTAAGGAGGCCGCCCCAACCCATCAGCCGCGGAAACGCCTGCACAATAAACATGTAAGAACACTAATAATTTCTTAAACGAGCAAGACAAATGTTTAAGAAGATGAGACCTAATAACTATGAACGTACCACAACTGTTAATATAAGAATGAGATAAAGATATATCAATCCCACATGCTTTGCTGTTAATTGTGAACGTAGCCCCTGCATCCGAACTCAGAATGAACACAATGCAAAAAGAAATCATGCAGCCGCTGGCCTAGCCCCTGCATCAGCTACACGACAACAAGTAAGATCATTTCGCCTAACCTCAACTACAACAGAATATGTACTATGATCATTCGTCTTGCCAAACAAGAATCTAGCCACCGTAAGTCCCCAGCCATTACAACAAAGAAACATTTAAACTTGGAGCTCTAATGTATTTGTGAAATGCATCCGATCGCCAACGACCCATCGCACGAATCTGGGCATCAGAAAAACCCCGCTCTGCTGCAAACGTAGCTGCTCCGATCCGAAAACTATGCCCTTTGCATTTGGATGAATCCAGGCCACACGCTCTAAACACTGAAGCTAAGAAATTTGTAAATAAAGTGCGTGGAACAGGGTTACCTGAACTTTGTTGAAACAACGGTTCATTAGAGGAATCTCGAACAGAAAAGTAATCCAGCAAGCTTTGGACCGGACAGATATCTGAACGACGCGATAACGTCAGAACGGCAGGTCGTTCGTTATACGAATGTTTGAAGTCATTTAATGTTATCTTAATTTCAATTAGTTTATTAGTTTCATCGACCACCTTAATTACCTGGTTAATATTGATAACTGAAGGTGACCTATGGCAAGTTGAAATCTCCCCTATACGTAAAAAGGCAAAAAAATGCAGTGGTACACATGGATTGAAAAAGCCTCTTGTCATACACACAGTGGAAGTTAATGTTGCTATATTCCGCAGAATGCTGCGAAGTAAGGGCATAGTGATTGGCCACCGAGAATCAATTCGAGTTCCTGTGTTTTTTTAGCCTTTTAAAATCTGAACAATCCAAAAAGCTTTACTAGGGTCAGGGTAATCCGCCAGTCGATGACAGTACCCAAGCGCAGACACATATGTAAGCACCGTAGAAGGCGCATACTTACGTTGGAACAAGAAAGCAATAAATAAACTCAAATCTGTCGATGAAATGGGAAGTGAAATTACAGCTCTTTGAAGAGCCTTGTGCGAAAATTGTCGTATAATTTCCAAGGACGACGATAAGTGGGGACTGACGATGGCTGCAAACTAGATTGTAGTAAAATAAAAGTTACAGCTTCCAATTGTGCGGTAGTAGATGTTCGGGAGCAACCGACGGTAAAGTGTGAACGTTCGCGGGGGCTAGCTCTTTAAATTTTGAAACCTGAAAACGCGACAAGGCATCAGCTAGATGGTTTAACACACCTTGTATATGTTTGGCACGGAACAAAATGTTAAATTTTAAACAAACCAGCACCAGGCGACGAACAAATATCATCACTGTCGGGTCCCGAGAGGTAGATCTATTTATAAATTCGACCAATGCTGCGTTGTCTGTGTGAAATAGTACGCGTTGATCACGCAAAAGGTGACCCCATAACAATACGCTTTGAACGATTGGGTAAAATTCCAAAATAACGATGTTTAATTTTTTCCAGTGCTCAGGCCAGGCCCCGCGTAAGACCAAAATTTACCGAAAATGGCTCCAAAGCCAAAGCTTGCAGAAGCATCTGTGTAAAAATTTAAAACATTAAATGGAAGCCAATAGTCGGAAAGAAAAAATGACCGACCGTTAAAATCATCGATAAAAGATTTCCAAAGATTCAAATCTGCCTTTACAGACAGTGTCAAACGAATGCAGTAATGATTTACATAGGCGTACGGGCACATATTTTTAGGGGGAGCTGGACTAAATTTGCCCGAATTATATGACGTCATATGACGTATGACGTCATAGATATTCTTATGTTGTCTCTGGCCATCTCAATTAATAAGCTAAAATCATTACAATTTGCTAAGAGGATGCTACGAAAGTAACTACATTTTATTTGATATTTGAAATTTTGTCATATATAACACTAGACGCAGAAGAAATTTAGTTAGTTAAATGTGCGACGATCTAAGACTAAAAGAAATAAGATTTACGATTACGTCGCTGTCCAAAATGTTAATTATCTTTTCCATGTCGTTCTTTAAAGTACTATTTGCATAGGCTCTTTCCACATTGATTAGGGCAATGCTGTTTAACCGTTTTGACCAATTGTACTTCGAAGATAGGTTTTAAGCGACGAAGAGCGCTAAAAGATCTTTCTGCTGAGCAGGATGTTGCCGGGATCGCGGCCAGAATCGAAAATACTTTGTAAGCCACAGGCAGGACTTCATGAACACCATTTTCGAACATTCTCTTAACAATTTTGGCAGCGTTTTCTCTCTCAGCACAAGGGAAATCAACGTCAATATTCTCAAAGACATTTTTCTCGCTACTAAGAAGCTCACTGTCGATACCATAGAAGTGTGATACCAACTCAACATTCGCCGTGGTTGGAGACCTGTTGAACACAATATCTGCAAGTGCCAATAGGACCTCTTGATCACTACCTTCAAATCTTGATTTCATCTCCGCCACAATCTTGTCAATGCTTAGGTAGTAGCATGTGATACGATAGTAATCTTTTCTGTTCGATTTTCCACTTCTGCATTTACTTCAGCCATTTCACCGACGAGCTTGGAGCCGCCGTGACGGCTGTTGGAATCTTGGTACTTTTGCATCTTTGAAATTGAATTCTGTACCTTCAATTTGCTCCTTAATTTTGTGTGCTATGATTTCAGCCCGTGACCATAACAGTTCGAAATTTTCGAGGGAACGACATCCAATTAATGTCTTAATCACGCCATCAACACTCTTCTTTGCTGTGGCGACATCCATTTGCTTTCCTTGTAGGTACCTGCTCAAACCATCGGTGTTAGATAAAATAACCTTTAATACCATCAAACCAAAAACGAACCGAAAGTCGCAAATCGAGTTAAGTAGCGAATTGCTGTCATTGTAGGTCTTCGGATCGCGATCTTTTGAGAGTGTAAGGAGAACCTCGATGATCTTAGGTAATTGGTTTACTACTGCTTTTACAGCTGCCCAACGACAAGACCATCTAGTAGCACTCTGCGATTTAATAGTCAGTGTAATATCTTCGTCCTCATCTTCGACCTTGATGTCATTGAAGATGGAGTGGCGTTGGGACTTCCTTCCAAGAAATTATGGAGACTCTGGATCACACCTAAAGCTTTCTGAAGTGGCTCAATTGTAGTCATCGTATCTTGTAGCGCCAAGTTAAGCCGATGCCCATGGCAGTGAACATAGATGCTAAGAGGTGAGCACTCCTTCATGCGTGCAGCAAGTCCTTTGCGAGGGCCACTCATATTTGCAGCGCCATCAAAGCATTCTGCGACAATGTTTTCCAATGTCAACTCTAGCCTGCCAATGGCTGTCTTTAACAGCTCATACAATACTTCTCCTTCCGTAGATTTGG